GTAGTGGAGCGCCAATTATCTAAGTGGTGTCGATGAAAATTTTGCCGTGTGAAACGATGGCGGAAGGTTGCGGCCGGTATTAGTCCGAACAATTCCTCGGAGCACTCTCCATGATATACATATATATATATATTGTATTTTATGACAAGACACGCATAATTCGAGGCTTATAATTAAAAATGAAAGATTTTGCGAGGCAGCTAGCTCTTCTAGAAGTCCCTACTAACCTGTAGCCAATGACAGCCAAAGCGGCTCTTAATGTGGCAGGAATAATGTTTGAAAACTCGACACCAGAGCGGTGCAATTCGATCAAACTGTTGGAAAGGTAATTATCAACTGTAATGTTATCACAAGTGGTAATTGTTGGTAATAAAATCTGCTTCCTAATCTTTTTAATCAAATCTGGTTATCAAACCACAAGTCTGCTTTCTTCTACGGTTCGTGACGACTACCCGGCAGGCGGCAGAGGCCCACAAGTATTAAGGAGAACAACTTAGAATTTGAGGATACCCGAGTTTGAGTGAAATAATAAAAATATATGTGTAATGTATGTGACTGTTACATTTGTACTTTATACGGCATTTCAAAATTGATATCTATCTATATATCTCTTATAAATCTAACGTTCTAGGTATATGAGAGTCGAAATGAATGAATAATGGTATGTTGTTAAAATAAAAAACAAAATTATAAAAATTGACATGAAACTTGTTATCAAAATTCAAAATAATTATATCTATTGTTTAGAAATGGGTACGTACATTAGGGAGCATTTTCTTAAGGTTTTTCTACATAATTTTTTCAAGCTAAATCAACTTTTAGTCAGCTACCAATAACGCTATCCAATAATGATGCTATAAATTTTTTTTTTTACTTTTTGTAACTAAAAGGCACCGAAAGATTGACTCGCCCAAGACGCTTGGATGTATTTAGACTGCGTTGCGTTTTACCAGTTTATTTAATCGTTCGAGAGCAATATAAATGTGTTATCGTAGGATAAATAGTTATTTTAGTTTAAGATACATTCTTCACGTACACAAACATTCAAACAAAACTGTTTAATAGTAATAAAACGTAAATGGAAGATTAAAAGTAGATCAATGTTATCTGTCGTAAAAAAATTACTCAATGCTAAAACCTGACAGAACAAACGAGTATTCTTTTGTAATATGTTTTAGCCTTTTCAGCTATATTCTATCTTACCTACCATTTGTTTACCTTGCGGCACGATTATATATAATAGGTACAAACGAAGTTTTTTTAGTTTCTATCGTTCATGAAGGTCGTCTTGGTTCGATAAAATGACGAGTTAAAGTGCATCAAAACTAAATGTGTAGAATTAATTATAATTTCTTACCATTAACTGTTTATTCCATTCCATATAATCCTTAATTTTATATAATACGATGTGAACACAAAAGGCTCGACTTATGCCCTACATAATTATATTATCATGATTTTCCTATTAGTTCGGCTCATATAACCAAAGCAATACCCGTCTTATAACCCTGTAATTAAGTGTAGTGTAACGTAAATTAAGTGTAACGCTATTATCGTTAACGTTATTCAGTCGCTAATAAAGTAATAAATAAATAATGCAGACATCAGACATTCACTTAAGTGTTCATAACTTTTAGAAACTACTTTTAGGAATGGGAATATTACCTAACCCTTCATAGTCTGCAAGAGGATGGCCTCTGCTCAGACAAGACCGACAGTTGTTTATACTGAATGAATCATCCTAACGAGAGATAAGTATGTTTAAACAACTCGGCGGGAGCTGTATAGATTTTGTATAAAGCAGACTTTTATAAACTTGTGCTTCTAATTTGAAGGAGTGCAAAAAGGACTGATCCATAAAACAATACATTTACAGTGCGATAATTTGCTTTATTACTCGTTGCTTTAGTGACAGTCAAATATCTACGACTAAATTATACTGTGCAATAAAATAAGCATGTAAATAACAGTTATCAGGTAAACCAATATCTTAACAATTAATCAGAATTATGGAAACAATGAAACTTTTTACTTATAATTATTAATAACTTTTCTTTGGCTGCGAAACTGGGACCGTCGCAAATGCCGTTCGCAAACTCTAATAAGCAGCCAAACGACGCCAAAGTCCTATCCACACTTTTGAAAGTGAGTAGGCTTGTTCCCAGTATTAGCGGGTTCAAATATGACTAAGTTTTTAACATTTTAAGCAGAAAACTCTGACTTTATTATGACTAGACTCTGATCAATGAAAGCAGAAGCGTTGCAGTTCCTACTAAAGTACTGCCGTACTGTACTAAAAAATCCTCTTAGTCTTTTGTTTCATTTCCGTTCGGGTCTTATCTGGCGTCGGATAAGAGCGGCGACACGTTGAAACTACAAGGACGTAACCTCGTTTGGTTTCAACATTTCAACTGTCAAAGAATCCAAAAAAAGTAATTAAAATTAAAGAATTTAATCATAAACAAAGTAAGTTAAGTTTAACGGTTTAACATTTGATTAATCATAAACAAAGTAAGTTAAGTTTAACGGTTTAACATTTGATTTCTAAAGCTGTTTATCACATTTTGATTTATAAATGGATAATCACAAGGACCGCCAAACCATAATTATTTAAACATTGTATGATTTCACATTGTATAGATTTGGATGGCAAAAACCACTGAACTATACGAGTAAGTATCAATGGTATATTATTGTATATCAAGATTCAAAACAGTTGAATGATTGCCAAATATTCTTATTTAATCTACGTGTTATACATGTATTGTAAGCATAAACAAACACTATAAAGACGTATGGAACGAATTAATACATCCATAAATCAAATTAGTAAAATCTTTACATCTTTATTTTAAAGTTAATATTATAAATAGTGACATTTAATTTATTTCTTCTCGTATAATATTTATAAACATTATAATACTACGTTTGTCGAGAATTGACATCTTACAGCTATATTTAGGCAATTACGGAAATGTCGTTATCTATTAAATAAATAAATTTAATAGATGTTCCTACTTATATAATTATATTGTTATACAGAAACTTATTTTTACTATGTATGTATATTAAAATATGTTAATACCTTTATTAATTCAAAAGTATTCAGAAATTTCAGGTGTCAGAAGTATAAATACGGAATATAACAATAATAACATTTTTTTACTTCTATACAAATAAATAAAATTGAAGTGTCTGTTTGTAATGTCAAAATAATAGGTTTTTCATGCTCACACGGTTATTTGCACGATACCTATGCCTAAAAACCAGTTCAAATATTTTTTGTCTCTGTGGCTGTTTGTTTCGGGTAATCTTCAAAACGGCAAAACTGATTTTGATAATATTTTACTACCAGGTAGCTGTCTATTTAAATAGTAACTAAGGATATTTTTCCTCTCTGAAAAACCTTATAAAACTTTGCCCGGTCCGGAAATCTGACTGGGACTGCAGTCGCGTACCGTACTACACCACTAAGGCAGCGCTTTTTTAATTCCACGCGCGGTCCAGTCGCGGGTAGCAGCTAGATAATGAATAAATCAAACAAAATGAGACAAAGATGACTTTTCAAACTCTACTTTCAAGGGACAATGACGCAATTTCGTAATGATACCTTCTTGTAATTGTCGCTTTATGCTTTTTCAAGTTCATAATTTACGGACCATGATGACCACCACTAAAAACTGAAAAAAAAACATGGTTCAAATAATCAACTCTTCTATTGGATCTGTCAATCTATACTGATTAGAAATTTCGATTCCGGGACCCCGGGGAGACATTAATTTGGAATGTCAATAAATATTTAATGAAGATACTTCTAACTTCGAGCAAAACGCGCGTTCGGAATGCAGATAAGGTTTAAAATTTCTGCTTATTTTAAACAACATTTTTAATTTTAATGTTTATTTTTGAAGTTTTTTGTTTTTTATTTTATACATTTAGATTAAATTTTATTGAAATAGAATTTTATGTAAAACATAAAAAAAAAACTGTTTTTGTATAACAAGATGTTACAGACAACTGTCATACTTTAGAATTAGTCCCGGTCACTTTTTTCTATATTTTTCAAACGTTTTTCGGGATTAAACAAAAAAAAATAAAAAAATCACATTCTCTAAAACACCTTGTAGTGCTCTGGGTTTTAATCACTATTGCAATCACAATCCTGGGATTAACCCAGAATTGTTTATAAAACCTGAAAAAGTAGTCTAATCATTTGAACCCCGAATACTAATAAAGTTGAAAGCTTAAAATGAATTCTCTAATCTCATTAGCCTAAGTCGTAAAAATTTACTATCCTGTATATTCACTGCTATATAAAATCGAGTTAAAACTCATAGGCAACATACAAACATAAAACCACTTAAGTGTAATTTCGTCACTAGCCGATAAATTAAAAGTGCATTAAGAGTATATTGTTTAAATATACATGTTAGTTGGGTGTGATATCAGCAGTACTGGATCTGTGTATGAATTTGGTTGGTGTTGCCTGCTACCAGTTAGGTAGGTAGGTAGGTTAGTAGGTTTAAGATTCGTAGTATTTTTTTAAATGTATCATATTATTATAATTTAAAAAATGATATTTAATCGAAATTAACCATTGAGAAAATGGAACAAGATTAACAAGAGAACTTATAAGATGTATTGTAACAATGTGAACATGGTATTAAATAAGTGTACTTCAATTTTAGCAACATTATTGTGGTATTGCATTTACTATATGTATTGTACGTAGGATAAATACCAGCCCCACTGTGGCCACTGTATGTGTTTGTTTGTTTTCGTTACTAACTCAACTAGTGCAAAATATATTATTTTTAATTATAACAGCATGTTATGCAACATCTTTTCTGTTTAATATTAAAAGTTATTAAATGGACATTAAACAAAAATCTCCTTGCAAACCTGAATCTTACTTGATTTTAATATCGCTATCTTCAGGTAAAAGCCATGTGCAAAACATATCTTAGCTGTACTTCATTAGGTATATTAGAATGGAATTATTAAGCTTTATTATCCAGCTGTTGAACAATTTGATTGGAAACTACTTTGGTAGCTACAGAAGCATTAGGAATAAGGAAACGATCCATGTCTTTTATCAATAGATTATCACCATCTGGTATGCCATATTTAAATGTTATAAGTTCTGGATGTCTCTTTTTGGCAGTGATTTTGACAATTGTAGATAAGGGTCTCCTAGACATAACTTTTGCGGCGCCCCTTTTATTTGGAATGTCACGTAATACAATCAGATGGGTTTCAGTCACAACCAGATAGGAATCATGCATATAGCCATTCAGTAAAACTTCTTGACATTGAAAGTTGTCAACTACATTGTGGTCTTTAAGGAACAAATTCACTTCAACAATTTCTTCTAATGAATCAGAATCTGCCAAATCTCGCCTTAAGCTATCTGATCTTGAATCGTCTTCCTCATCGTTAATACTGAATACTGGAGGTACATTTCTGTATCTCTGTCCTTTTCTGTCTACAGGTGATACATGCCATTCTCCATTGTTGTATGTTGAATTAGGATTTACAATGTACTCGATTAGCTTACCCTTCACTTCCTGGCTTTTTGCTTTCATAGCAGATGACAATTTACTGAATAATTGTTTAGCTGGTATATTTTCCTTTATTTTAGTCTGATGAGTTTCTATTCCCTCATTGTTATTATTGGGAGCACAAACTAAACATGTAGATGGATTATGTTCCTCTAAACAGTCTGTCATATGAGGGCCAAAGTAATCATGGATTGCTACAAAACCACCTTCCAACATTGAAACATGTTTAGCATTTCTTTTCAAAAATGATGCAACAACCATGTGTGCATAACTGTCTTCCTCCGTTCTACCAGAACCAACAAAACAAAGATGTTCGCCCGCTGCCAGAGATCCTGCAGCTAATGCCTGCCTTTGGGCATTCAGTAATCCTTGAACAGCTGTGTTGAATGCTGAAGGTTCTTGTAACATCAAGTTGCAATCCAGATGGAATGCTGTAGATAAATGCCCTGCATTATATTGTTCTGCTGGTCTACAATCAACCAAAAAGAATTTGACACTGTCACCATTTGTAGAATCCAATGTAGCACTTTCAATCAATTCGTGGACAGCAACAGGAAGACACAGTGCTTGGGAATAAAGTTTGGAATTGATTTCTAACAAGCTTTCAGAAAATAATACTTCTAAGACATCTTCTCGGAATGATTGAGGAGTTTTCAGTGAATAATAATGTGCAAGCGAACAAAAGTCTGACACATCATTTGCTTCTAAATCGGATGGCATATCTATCAAAGTTTGCATAATAGATTCCTTGTCTTCACTTTTCATTTGCAACAATTGTTCTCTAGCATTAATAATCATAATCAGGCATAGGAAAAATATAAAAAAAGGATCTGACCTTTGGAAATATAAATCCCACATAAAAAGCACTACCTCCAAATTACATGTGCCAGCAAAGAGAGACCTTAGCCATGACATACAATATTGTTCAGGAGTAATTCGTTTTGTATCCAGAAATGAGCAAAGCTCAGGGTCATGGTACTGGAGAATTAATCGTAATATGTGAAATGGCACACCATTCTTTACACAGCCTCTTGGAATGTAAAGCTTTAAGATTTTCTCAAATAAATTGTATGTGTCTGACCTTGGCAATTTTAGACTCAGTAGTGGTAACAAGATTTCAATCCAGCCATTATTAGCACTATAGTTAATAGATTTAGACTTACAGTAGAAGGTTATTATAGACTCAATATCAGAAATAACTGATAGTTTATCATCATCATCATTTCCAAGCCGTTTGACAAACTTTTTAACATCATCTCGGAGTTCATTCTGATTTGTGAGATCAAATATTTCATCGAATGACAACAGTTGATTAGCAGCTTCTTGGCAACTTAAGCAAAGAAGCCAAACATCTGGGCGCAAACTTTCTGGAATCTTTTTGCCTTTTGTTAGGACATTGATTTCTTGTGCTGAGCAACCATCCAGTAAAGCAGATTCCAATTCGATTAACCTGAAAGTGATTTATATATCGTTAGGGGCATACTTACAATTAAATATAAATTAAATGAATATAAAATTAAAATGCAATATACTATGTACTTCTAATAATTAGGTAATATCAATTAACAGACAACAATAACAATATTCAATGGATTTATTATTCTGTCAATAATGGCAATAGAAAGCCAGTTTCAGTCTAAGTAAAATACAAAAGTATTCTGCAAAATAATAATATCATTTTTATATGAATTTACCATGTACTATCATCTTCGTCACCAGCCATCGCTAATACTTAAAAATCCTGATAAAACTGTTTTTGTTCCACTAATAGTATATGTCACTGTTTTTAAAACATATCTTAGCACTTGGGCATAACAACTTATTTTTTTCCATGCATAATAAAATTCACTTATTCGTCAACATAAATGTATTACTTATAAGAAGTAATGTTTATCACATCAAATCTATTCCACTTTTGCAATTTTAACATTTTTAACATAACACCTATTTAGGGTTGCCACTTGCCATTGAACTGCTGTAATGAGTTTTGACTTGCTGAAACCGTATTTTAGAGGCTCTTAATCAGTTTAAAAAAAAGATCTTTATTTCTTAAGTAGAAACTATGATACTTTTTTGTAATTGAATAATTCAAATCTTAAATTAACTAAATCACCTGGCGCAGATTTGAATATCTTGTTTTATTTGGAGGACCATGGTCCCTTGAAGACTTGAAGTTTGAACTGTCATTGAATAGTAACAGTTATTTATTTATACTACTTTTGGACCGTACAATACTCTACTTTTGTAACAGGTCACGATATCATCAGTTCAAAAGGAAACTAGCCAGATGTCAAATGAACTTTTACATTACTTTTCATGTGTGTAAATTTATTAGTCAAAAACAAATATCTTTAAATATATTAATTTCTATGGTTAGATCAGACTGCCAAGTTTACTGTTGTGCTGGATCCTGTTTATAGTTTTTTGAAGTAAAATTTCATTACCCACGCTTGACTTGGAGAGTAAGCTGGTGAATGCGTGACGAGAGCGTTATAAAAAGTGTGATCTTGCTAGGCGAACGGACGTTGAAAGGGAGATATAAGTTAATCAAGATAAAAAGAGAGCTACGTTTCGTACATTACTGTAGGGGTAAGAGAGAAAAGTGCGAGCACACATTTTCTTTCTCTGTTTCTCTCATAGCGAAGAAGTTTTACTTGTGTGTTGTCCAAAGCACACTTGTTTTTTTTTATGTATTCCATTTTTATGTTATTTTATTTTAATGTATCTAAAAACCAATTACATGTTTTCACATTTGGATAACTATCAAAACCTTGTTTGTTAAAAAAAAAAAGAAAGAGCTACAACAATTGCAATACGCTGCAATAATTTAAGCAGTTATTGAACCAGTTCGAATGATTCCCACAGAGGCACTGGAATAGTTCTCCACCTATCTTCAGGGGCTACAGCAGTGTCTTCTTGTCGAAGATGCCTCTTCGAGCTGGTGCGACCTGCATTCTAGCGTCCCACTGGGCGGAATATTATCTCCTCTTTTATTTTCAATATTTATTAATCTCATCACACAACATCTTCAATGTGCGTATCACCTGTATGCTGATGATCTGCAGCTGTATTCACAAGCAAGGGTAGAGAACGTAGCGCAAGACATTAATGAGGTTAACAGGAACCTAGAATTCTTAAATTCCTGGTCGATGAGATTCGGACTGTCGGTAAACCCAACCAAATGCCAGGCGATCATTGTAGGCACATTGTAGGCAGCAAACAAATGATAAGCAGATTAAATACTTTTTTTTTTTTTTTTTAACGTGTGGAAACCCCCTCGGGCCGTCACCCCACCGGGGTTTATGGCGAGGTAGTGTGTCGGAATCGGACCTACTAAAACCACACGGTGTGCCACTCTGCGCCTGTAATAGGAGGGATCCGGGAACTGCTGTTATTAGGACCTCCGGACCCCTCCTAGCGCCAGCCCGCAACGATGCGGGCACCACCTTCAAGTACATTCTCTATTTAGGCGACGTCCGGCACACGCGGACGTCGCCTCCTCGCGGCTGGCCGTTATGGCAGGTGGAGGGGAAAACCCGTCCCGTCCAACCGCTGCCACACTCAGGGCGGCATGAGGTGGTGATAAGCGCGCCTCCGCCGCCCGGTTCGCCGGCGACGGATTGGGTCCGAGTGGATACTGTCCTCCCGGGCCCCCTCCGCCGCCTCCTTCTGCGAGATGACGTCTTCGCAGAAGGATGCGACCGCGGTAAAACATCTGTCACTACCGGCCATGGAGCGTATGACGGCCGGTAGCGAGAGATCCTCCCCGATGACTGCAATGAGGACCCGGCGCTGCGGCGCCCAAGCCGGGCAAATTGCCAGCGTGTGCTGAGCCGAGTCCTCACTGCAATCGCAGTGGTGACAGGCGGGACTCAATTCCCTCCTAGCGACCGAGTGCAGGTACTTCCCGAAGCAGCCATGCCCGGAAAGGACCAAGCAGATTAAATACTGCTTCAATCTCACCGATCTTCTTCAACGGCTCAGTCATACCTTTCAGCCCTGTAGTCAGGGACCTAGGTCTACTCATTGACTCAACTCTCGATTGGCGAGCTCAGGTTACTCATGTGAGTCAAAAAGTAACCGGAAACTTACGAACACCATATCGCCTCTAAAGTTTCCTGCCACCTAAAACCAAAACTACTCTCATACAGTCCTTAATCATTCCTTTAATCAACTATGGTGATGTATGTTATTTCGACCTGAATGCAGACCTCTTTAATAAGACCGCCTTCTTAATAAATGCATTCGGTACATTTACAATCTTCGCAAGTATGACCACGTGTCTGCCTTACGTTGCCAAGTAAACTAGTTACCCATTCGCCTGCGCCGCAATCAGCGAGCTCTGACTTCTTTATATTAATTTCTCACCTCCGCATCTTCACCTACATACCTTGCACCCTACCTCCGTTTTTTGTCGTCTAATCACGACAGGAATCTTCGCTCTGCAAATAATTTGCTTCTCTTATGCCTCTCACAATTCCGACTTCGTGAACTCTTCGTTCAAGCAGTCTACTCTGGAATGCGCTCCCAGTTGAAATCAGGATGTGCACAAACCGTTCCATATTTAAAAAGAAGGTGCACAACTTTCTTCGTAATGAGACGGCGGAATCAGAATTAACCTTTAGGTTGCCTTGGGCATTAAGTCGGACGATGTACAAATGTGCTAAAAGTTATAAATAAATATATGTATTCCAAAAATGTACGTTAAAACATCTGTGCTTCTAACAATATGTCATTGATTTAAATAACCAGATTTGGTTTTAGACAATATCATAAATGTTTTAAAATGTAAGGGTACAATCAATATTCATCTTGTGATTTCGCTTTTTTTTTGTCGAAACCAAATTGAAACCACACACTGGCGCCAGGTTATCTACCTACAACAAAGTCCTAACACCGATGCTGTTGTATAGACGACTCCCATGATTTATTGTTTTTATTGTGTCTGAATTTAAAAATATTTTTACTAGCTACTAGCTTATTAGTTACTATTTTATCATTTCATTGACATTCAAAATAAGTTTTGAATACATTTATATTATTCACTCCACAAATGCAAAACCGGTCAGAGTTGCCACTAACGACAGATGTCACTGTCATCTACCAACAAAATTACAAAACTAGTTTTGTGAAGGACCTGGGAAGTGAACTAGCGCTAAAATTTAATTGATAAATAAAAAATATATGCAGTCCACTTGTAAATTTAGGCTCTATATCATATACATCAAACATTTCAATTGTGCATTCGTGCATCTATAATTTATCCAAAAGAAAATGAAGGAATGTTTTAAATTGTTTCCTAATAAAGAAGCGTTTATTATTTTTGCTTTATACATCATACTCTTCGTATTCCAAGGTAAGATCTTAAAAAAATAACTTCTCTCCAATGCTTGTAGTTTGTGTTTTAATATTAAAACCATGTAAAAAACAAGAAACATTTGTTTCCTGTCTTTTATCGTTCTATTATACATATAGAAAATGAACATAATAAAATCAGAATGTTTTTATTCCTGTTATCACAGATTATTCAAATGACTAGATGTTAATCTACATACTTAACTATTATGTTAGGCTTTAACTAATTCCAAAAATCTATAAATTGTAATTATATCTTAATTTAAAAATGAATATTAGAAAACATAGGAATCTAAATAAGTAAATGAAGTAAATTTTCAATAGAATTATTTACTGCTTTTTTATATTACTCTTTTTATGGTTAAGTAAAAAATAACTCCTTTTTTTAACTGTCTAAACTCAAGCCTTGTTGTAGAAATAAATTGTTTTATTAATTACTTTGCATACCTAGTGGGCTCAGATCATTAATAGGTATCAAGCAATTTTTTTTAATATCTGTTTTTTCTATATAAGTATTGTACAAATCTAAAACATTAAAGTAAATAAAATTATTTTATGGATAAAGCAAAAGTTTGATGACTATAATATAAAAGTCCCATAATATACATTTACTGGAAGGAAAATCACTAGATTATTTAAATGTTTACAAAACTTAGCTTTCCTGTAAGAAAAACAATACAGTATGAATGGTACATTTGATAACATATAACTTTACATCACATTTTCAACATAGAACTGTACTTTTTTACTATTGATTGCAGATATAGATTTCTTTGTTATAAACTTTCTACAGGACATAAAAACTTACTAGTACCAGATATTTAAATAAAAAGAACACTTATTTAATTCCAGGTGTGTTTGTAACAGCATCAAAGTCAAATTATGGGGGCTATGATTATAATACCACACTTGTGGTACTCCTGTCAGAAGTACTTAAGCTTGTTGCATCTTCAATACTCTACTCTTGGAGAAGAGAGTAAGTTGATTTTTCATTTATTTTTTTGTTTATTATTTATCTGTACATATATAATTTATATCTGTACTAGCTTCCACAACTTGGTCTACGTAGGGGTAGACATCAAACTTCATAGTAATTATACTGAGAGTTTTGAAAACTTAAAATAAAATACTTCCTTATATTTTAAAGGGTAGTTTGAAAAAATTAGTGACAATGTTTTATATTACTTTTAATAAAGAGTATTTACTGTGTGTTTGAAAACACTACTAAAAATAACAAAGTTTCATATAAATTTTAAACCCCAGTTTTGCACCTTCAGGGGTGAAATTTTTAAAAAGCCTTAGTGCACACCTACATCACCTAAGGAACATTTGTGCAAACTATCATGCTTCTAGATCCAGTAATTTCAGCTTTGACCTACATCGATCAGTCAGTCTCTTCTTTTATAGATATAAATTGTGTTTAGTAATTATAAATTGACATCCTTTAATCCTTTTTCCTGGACATAAGCATCTCCTTTCTAAGGAGAGGCTTATGTCCAGCAGTGGACTATTAAAGGCTGTTGATGATGATGATGATGAAATTGAAATCAGAAGTTTCACTTCAAGATTAAAATAATAAATCATCTGCTACTGAAATAGCTCTGATTATTCTACTTACAACATCTCTACACACTATTTGTATAGTAATGTGAAGTTGTGTAATCATATATTTTTTCTTTGCTAACAAGATTTTATTTGTTAAGAATATAATTGTTTTTTTATGTCTATACATAATTCTTTTTTGTACTAGGTTATTGAATTGCTAATTATGTAAGAGAAGCTTACTGATTAATGAAAAATGTTTCTGCTGTAATTTATTTACAATTAACAAACATTGCTAATCATTTCACTAGTTTGATTGTGATAATTATAGTTCTTACATATTGGTACTACTTTTAACTAACTAGAGAAATACAAGAGGTTCTCAATTGATTCATCATCATCAGCCTATTGCAGTCCTCTGCTGGACATAGGCTCTCAATTGCAACCTTTTATTTTTTACATCTGTATTTTAAAGTTGTCTTTGTCAATTCGAAAAGATCCTTTTATTGGAAAGAGTACAATATCTAATGGCTCTAATTCTCTTAAGGTCAACGTCTGATCCTAGTAAAAATTAACAAAACTCGTCAAACATATATGACATTTGCATTTGAGCATTTGCTGTCGTAAAGTACATCTCCAATTCCAAATCTCCATTCCTCAAGAACAAGTATATATATATATATATATATACGACTATATTATGGGTTGGGATTGGCTTACCGTAATATGGTTTGCTCAGCGGTGCAATGTATACATATAGTAAAGTACCAGGACAACTCTTCAACAAATATCATCCCTGTATTAGTAAAGGCACTATTTTGTAAAAGATGTACATACAACAACAACAAATAAGATCTTTCTCAATTAAATTTATGGTTTTGTATATATCTTACGTGACATTTCTGCCATGGGAGCAAAAAGCCCCCTCCCCTTAGTTTTGGGGGGAAATTAGAAAGGTGATGTTTAAAGGAACTCCATCCTAGCAGTCTCTACTAATATTATAAATGCGAAAGTAAGTCTGTTTGTATGGACGGCGGTAGTTACTTATCATCAGATGATCCGCCTTCCCGTTTCCCCTGTGCCATAAAAAATATTTTCGCATATTACAAACCAATTTAAATCTTTCTTTTTCAATTGGACTGATTATACTTAAGAAAGGACCCATTTCGATTTCAACAAAATATTGCACTTCTTGGTTTAAAAATCATGAGATAAAGAATTCAGTTTATTACAATACCTACCATGATTTAAACGTCTTAAAATGCCCATATTTTTTAGAAGAACTTATTTATATCTGATCGCTTGCATACCTTTCTCGTTACCGTCCACTGCTAGAAAGGAGGTCTTAGCCTACTATACCACACATGCCAGACGGGTTGGTATAAAGTTTGATTGAAGTTTTCCTCCTCTTTGCAGTGCTGTTGTTCTGCGTAGTTTGGTCCCTTAGTCGTTTGTCATAGTCATTACCCAGATATATCGTAATTCGATTCTCACCAAATAAAGTGAGCAACATGTGTAACTCTAATTAAATAATAATTAATATGTAATTTTCTTTACTCTTACAGACTTGTATATCAGGCTAAGTTAACTTTGTCCTTTAATCTTACTTGAAAGAGACACATATTGTAGTAATACACATACAGACACATGTGGGGAAGCCTACTCGGCCAAACAAGCAAAAATGATCCATAACCAATTCCCGAGATCGACAAACTATCTACATACGTTTAGATTTGTACTGAACACTCGGTGCCAGGAGTCACTCGCACTCTGCCGTGCCAATCCAAAAGACTGTAACTTGACACAGTGTTTTGCCTTAACAACGCTCAATCAGTTTCTGTACCCCTGATCAATACTTTATTTTTTACACATTACATTACATTATTTATAACACGTTATTCTAAAGTGTATTTTAGAAGAGTCGATAATCTAAAAAATACTGTATTTTATTGAAATTAGACTTTTAACATGGTAAAAACTGTGACAAAGCTTTCAAAGTCAAAAATCATTTTCAAAAGTTACAGTGTTTTGGATTGGCACCTCAGCACTTGTCCTGTCTTTAATATCAGACGCAAAAATGTCTGTGGCGTCATAGCTCCGTCATATAATAAACGGAAATAATGATTTTGACCTGATCAAGGCCATTCGTAGCTATGATTTAAGAAAACCTGTTTGACCATTCGAAGATCGTTAGCTCTTATTTATGTGACGGGTTATGAATACGTATTGTCACCTATTCATCTCGTGGGTTACGAAAGAGCCGACTAAGACAGCAAACTACGCAGGACAACAGCACTGCAAAGAGAAGAAAAATTTGACACTAATCCATACCAACCAAAACCTCCTTTCTAAGGAGAGGCTTAAGTCTAGGAGTAGACTATTGAAGGCTGTTGATGATGATGATTAAAAACTTTTATCAAAATGTTTATCAAATTATTTTAACTAAAGGGAAGTACCATCTTATCAGTTTAATAGTTACAAACGTTAAATCGATGATTCATTTAATTAATCATACATCCTGTGCCTTATCTACACCAACATATTTAATGGTACACATAGCCACTAACACCGGTTTCTATTCAATTTAGATCGCTTCCGATTGTAATTGACAGAAAATATCAACTTATCTATTGATAAGTCGATGTTTATCTCGTTATGAAATAAATAGTAATAAGAGATAATCTTCTTCTTATATAAATAACTATGACATATTAGTCGTTGATACGTGTTGGTACTTGGTAATGGAGAGGCATATTTTTATAATTCCTTAAAATAACCGCATTAGTATAGTCTGCCTGAAAAAGAAGCGTACGTGAAATCTTGAACAATATTCCATTCTAATATGTATCTACGAGGGGTGATCAATAAGTAATGATAATCGAGTATTTCTAGAACGCACAAAAACCCAAATTATTTTTTTTCTGCTTGCTTATATATCCACTACTTCAGCTTCAAAAAAATGTATAAATAGGACACCATTACCGGGAGATACATTCATTTGAATACGAACTGTCGAAGAGAAAACATCAAAATGGAGAAAAATGAAATAAGAGCTGTCATCAAGTACCTCTGCCTGAAAAAAATGTCTACCAAAGACATACACAGCGACTTAGACGAAACATTGGGGGAGTCTGCTCCTCCATATTCCACAGTCGCACGATGGGCAAAGGAATTTAAGCTGGGCAGAACCTCCACTGAAGATGAACATCGCGAGGGACGCCCTTCCACGTCCCTTACTGGAGAAAACGTCAAAAAAGTGGAAGATATCGTGTTGGCCGATCGAAGGGTGACCGTAAGGCATGTAGCTGAGGTCACAGGGATCTCCTATAGCAGGGTTAAAAAAATCATTGTCAACAAAATGCATATGAAAAAGGTCTCTGCGCGTTGGGTACCGAGAATGTTAACCGACGAGCAAAAAAAGAAACGAGTCGACATTTCGAGGGTGAATCTTCAAAAGTTCCAGGCCGATAAATAATTTTTTTTGTCGCGTTTTGTGACCATGGACGAGACCTGGATCCACCACTTTGATCCCGAAACCAAACGACAATCAATGACTTGGACACGAGCTTCCTCACCAACGCCGAAGAAATTCAAAGTGTCAAGTTCAGCGGGAAAGGTTATGGCGTCTGTTTTCTGGGATGCAGAAGGAATTATTTTGGTGGAATATTTGGAAAAGGGGGCCACTAAAACAGGCTCTTACTACGCAGGCCAAATAAGAAGATTGCGAGAAGCTATTAAGTCAAAAAGACGCGGTAAACTGCGCGCTGGAGTGCTGTTTCACCAAGACAACGCCCCGGCTCACAAAGCCGCAGTTGCGATGGCTGCCATTGAAGAAACGGGGTTCGAACTGCTCGAACACCCTCCCTATTCGCCAGATCTAGCTCCCAGTGACTTCTACCTCTTTCCTCGGCTCAAAGAACACCTCCGGGGCAACAAATTTGAGGACAATAGTGAAGTGATGGCCGCAGTAGAGGCATTTTGGGAGGATCAAGACAAATAATTTTTTTCTAAGGGAATCATGGGCTTAGAAAAAAGATACACTAAATGTATTAACTTGCAAGGAGACTATGTTGAAAAATAAAATACTTTTTTTAATCTAATAGTTCTGTTTCATATTGATTATCATTACTTATTGATCACCCCTCGTACATGTTATGTATTGACTGAACAGAATATTTACAGGAACTGCCAATTCCAAGTATACATCGAGTTTCAACCTTCGTTAACATGTCTGTTTTATGACTTTGTATACATTTTTTTAAACTACTACGTACATAGCCTATCAAAATGGTGTATACAGGTATTGTTTGATAACGACGTAAACAATGCGATAAATCGTGTAAGCGCGTACTGCTATACTCGTTTATCAGCGATTAGCCAGTGAAAAAGTTAACGCGTGCGCGTTTAATTATTATAATATTTTATTCAATTCCGTCAATATTGTTAATGCGAATATCAGAAGTATAGCAAAGAATAAAGAGTGCATTCAAACTATGCTTGACGTAACCTCCATAAGTACAATATTTTTATGATAGCTTTAATGTTTTAGAACTTACAATACTTCAAAGTACAAAAATGGCACTGTAATAAACAATCATTTAAATAATAAAATAATTCGTTATTTTTTAAATACGTAGCATGCATACCTGTAAGTATACGCACCGCGTATACTTGTTGATAACTTGTGTAATTTCGGTATATACACCATCTATACATTACACAAATTATCAACAAGTTACATTCATGAAGTTATCAAACAACACATGAACTAATCTTTCTATATGTCATTAAGTGTTTAAAACCAGTGAACAACGACATGCAAGCTGTTTGAATAAAGTGCGCCTCATAGTGTTGTCTACATGAAAATAAAAATAATTGTACCACCTTAATAGGGGTAGTGAACTGGTGACACTCCGCATTTTTAATTCGTCACCACATAGTTATCATTGCCTATATGTTATCTAGGTGCATAAGCTACAATTTCTTAAACGTACATTTTGGGGCCCACTCATTCTTCTGAAAGCTATAATTATCAACGGGAAAATGTACATGATTTAAATTACACTATACGAGTACACCTAATAGTGATGCGTTTTCTCCGTACACTATTTCAGAATCGGATAATCGCAAAATAAATACAGCATTTAAAACATTAACATCATTAAAGCTATTGAAAGCGAGATTTTTTGAACTGTATATCCAAAATAATTTCAAGAAACAGAAGGTGAGATTCGATTCATCACCCTAAGCGCCTTACGTAACGTATGGAGAGCCCCTCATGTGCATTGTGCATAGAGGAAAATACACACTTAAATCACACTTAAGAAATTGTTGATCTTCTAAGTCATATAACAAATTTCGTTGCTGCAAAACTTGCATACTGATTATAATACGATCAAATAGCCTAAATCCTATAAACGAAAATTGAAAACTTAAAAATACAAACATGTATGGATTTCCCCACTGTCACCTACGTCTTTGACCTGGTCAACAAATTAGCGAGCATTGAGATAACTTCTATGTAAATCCTTAAAATTCTTAGGAATATTTAGTAATAATTTAAAAAAATCTTACCAACTTTAATGCACCTATATCATGCATGATATATTGTAATAATCTGTACCTATTATTTACTCCTTAATTAGAAGTTTGCACTTAAAAATAATTTTCTAAATCAGTTCATAAATAACGAAATTCGAAGGTAACAAACATAATAAACAATTACAACCGAATTGAAATCCTCTCATTTCATTTTAGTCGTTAAATTAAAAACGTCGTAATGTTTATACTATGTCATAGATTTTGCTACTTATCTGACTCCTGAGAATTATTTCTGGTAATGTACTTTTAAAATAATTTGCACACAATCATTTATATTTTCAGAAATAAACCTCGTTTAATAAAGGCAGTATATGTGAATTACAAACTACTATTGATGTACTTTATACCATCGTTACTGTACTGCTTCTATAACAACTTGGCATTTATAAACTTATCGCATTATGACCCGACATCGTATTACATCTTACTGCAATTCAGAGTCGTATTAACTGCTCTTCTTTTTCAAGTAAGTTTTTTCATGAAATTACTACGTAAAGCTAAATTATGGCATACACAAAATGCCACTCACTCACTTGAACATTTTTGGAGCCTTTATTTTACATAATATAGGCTGCAAAAATGTTCAAAAGAAGTGAAGTTGTATTTAAAAAAAAAAGATGAATAAACAAATGCCATAAATATCTCTCGACATATCTTTTTTCATGACACATTTTATATAATTTATAACTTTACTAAAGAAATAAGTAAGAATTTTACCATAAAATATTCAAAATAAAATGATTTGATGATGAGACAATGTTTGACTTGTATAAGACAAGTTTGGTCTACATTATATATTAATAAATGTATTTATTCCTGTTTTCAGTTCCTGTTTAAAAGGAAATTGACATTTATCCAGTGGATTTCCCTGGGAATATTAACAATTGGATGTATGGTGAAGAACTTCGATGTCGCCTCCATCCAGTCAAACGGCGACACAACTCTATGGTCACAAATATTTAATATATACTTTTTTTCAATAAACTTTCAAAATTTCTGTTCATGTTTAGCCGGAACATATAATGAGTATCTTTTGAAAACGCAAGGATCTAGCATTGATATATTCTTGCAAAATGTCTTCATGTATTTAGATTCGGTAGTATGTAACTGTTTTATTTTGTTGTTCAAAGGCGAATTAGGCACCATACTGGACGATTTTAGTTCATTATATGACACTTTCGTTATACTTATTATAATTAACAGTGCTATTGTTGGTATTGTTACCAGTTTTTTCTTAAAGAATTTAAATTCAATTTTAAAAACTTACGCAAGTGCATTAGAATTAATCATAACAGCTGTAGTATGTTACATTTTATTTAGTATTTTAATAACCAAATATACAATATTATCGATTCTCTTAGTCAGTATTGCTGTAGCGATGTATTTTAAAAATCCAGTAAGTAATATTAATATATCTACTAACTCCGTGGATAAGGAACCACTTTTACCAGTGACTGTCAAGTAATTTAGAACTAATGTATAGTGTAGTAATAAATGTTACCTAAACTGTACTTTACAGTAAATTAAATTGTATTCAACCAACAAGAGAAGCCATAAAAACTAAACGACTTGGGGAGCCATAGAGACAAATTTAAAGTACGGCATTCAATATTCACATAACATCAACAGCCTTTAATAGTCCACTGCTGGACATAGGCCTCTCCTTAGAAAAGAGGTTTTGACCTACTATACCCCGCTGTCCAGACGATTTGGTATAAGATTTAGTTTTCCTTCTTTTTGCAGTGTTGTTGTCCTGCATAGTTCGTTACCTTAGTCTGCTCTTACGACACCCACGGGATGAAAAGGAGTGGTGACATTCCGTATTCTTAATCCGTTACCACACGGATATTATCAATAAACAGCTAATATTAAGAATTACCATAACTAGATATGAAATAAAAAATGCCGAGAATCACGCAGTTGCGAGGTTATTTTATGTCTTCTTGTCTAGTGAGTGATCTATAAATACATAGACTATATGTGTCCGTTCAAACCTGTTGCCGGCATCGTAATAATATAAGACACTTTTTAGGACTTTTATTAAATAAGTTGCAAATTTAATTTAGCCTATGTTCAGATGATGGGTCAAACGCGCGTTGAGTTTTTGTGTAGTGTTCACATTGTGAGCGCTTCTATGCGTTGAACGCGTGTTTGCGTTGTTAGAATTCTATATTTGCCTAGGAATAGACCTTTTAAACAGGTTTTTATTTTTCTATTGATTAGTGTTCATTTCCTGTATTTTATATTTATATTATAAATAAAAGCAAACTGCATGGAATATATGAAGAGAAGTATTGTAAAATGTTGTCGCTTTGAGTAGTCATGTGAACGTATGTATGGCAAAAACAATGATCTCAGAACGCGCGCGTTCAACGCCCGTCATCTCAATGTAGCCTTATGGTAACTCATAATATATTATTATATTAAAATTTGTTTTTATATACATATATGATGTATGTTAAGTATGTAAGTAGGCATTTTTGTAATAAACCATTCTGCTTAAGAACTTTGGCCTTCATTGACATACCAGTGCGTTGGTACCTACTTGTGATTTGGCAGTTGCCTAATTGGCGCTCTAATACTGTGCACAACCAATCTGTGGAACAGGTTATCTTCTGCAGTACTTCCGGACCGATCCGACCTTCAAGAAAAGAGCGTACTCCTTCCTAAAAGGCCGGCAAAGCGTTTGTAACTCCTAAGTTGCAGACGTATGACCGTCTGCATGCCCATGAGAGCGGAGATAGTCATTTTCCATCAGGGTGACCCGTCTGCTCGTCTGCCCCTTCTAACATAAAAAAAGTCATCAAAATAGGTTCAGTAGTTTAGTATAAATGTGACCTTGTAATGTTAGTGAGCCTGCCCTACCATTAAACACGATCAATTATTATTTATCCTTTGCCTTTGAATAGTGTGCCAAAACCAAACGCCAAGTTTTGGCCAAGTGCCAAAACGAGAGCTAGAGGAGGTAAGAAAGTAATCAGTGCGTACAGGGCTAGACCCAGAAGAATAGCTAGCCAGCAATCGTACAAACAAATAAAATAGATGATCTGGAAATAGACTTTTTATTTACACTCTAAAGTTTAAATTCTATAACTAGTCACAACAAGTAAATAATTTAAAAACAGGTATAAGCACATTATCACAACTATATATAGAATTAAACTTGTTTAACAACATTGCACTATAGGTGTGTAGAATACCTATTAACTTGATCTCACTTAGATTATAATTGCGTTATTCTAGTAATACATGTTCATCGCTAAAACTTTACCAAAGTTTTTTGGGTTACCTTACTACCCTAGTCCCAAATGTAAATTCGCTCAAAATAAGAGACATGAGACATGATCATTTCCAAGACACATTCTTATCGCCAAATAAATATCTATATTTCAACAACTGTACTGAATCAATGAGATGTTGGTTTAAGCTTGAACGATGTGCCCAGTGAAAATTTTCACATATTTTATAAGTTTATTATTATATGTAATTTTACTAATTTACTTTAATCATAGTTAATGTATGCAATAATACATAAAAACTTGCCTATGCACTGATATCTTAATACAGTACAGTCCCATAATTTGGTGTTAGTGAATATTGAGTTGATATATCTTTGCTTATAGACAAGCAACAAAATAGCCTAATACATAGCCTAAGCTTAAGTTGTCTGCTGTGAGCCTTACAAAATAACAATATATCTATTAAGTAATATTTCACAATCTGATAGTTAAAATAGTAACAATTCACCATGAATAATTCAGTTTTGGCTTTGAATTATATTATTGTGTTATACATTGAATATTCTATGCTGCAGTTGAGTATAGTAAATATATTTTTTGCAATTCAAATGTAGTTATTTATTAAAGCTAATAAAGTCTACATAGTATTTGGAAATTTGATTTATAACAGATTGATAAATACATCAGATCAACACACTAATTATATAGGCTTGTAAAGCAGTGTTGTAACATACTTCTTTCTGTATCTATGTGTTGCTGACAATACCATTACACCATCTTTGATTGACAATGCATACAGGTGATTCAGCATAACATGATTTGGTTCTGGTAACAATGTAGGCTCACACTGAAAATAATAAAATAATGGTTTGATTGCTTACTAGGTGAGATTCAACTAAAATAAATATTTCATGAGCTTTGGCCATTTGAAATCTAAGGTAATCCTGCAAAAGTTAGTATGTAAATAACTTTCCATGGGCATAAAATCACACAATGTCATCACCCCTATTCATCCCCTGGATGTCATAAGAGCAGAATATAGGAGCAAACTATGCAGGACAGAGCAGATGATAATAAAATCTCATTTTTTGATCTGAGAAGAACCAAGGCCATGATATTATACAATCTACACCTCAATTGTGCAGATTCTGTAGATCAATGGCCCTTTCTGTATGCTGAATGAAGATTATGTTGGGCATTGATGAATTATTTTTTTAAAGAAATATTACTTACTGATAAAGGTGTATCTTTATTTAAAATGACTTGTAACAGATGTGGTGGTAGGATAGGTGGTCCTGAAACTTTTTCCCAGGGTTTGGATTGTGGTATTTCCTAAAACAAAGCAATTCAACTAAAAACACAACCTACAAATTATTACAAAATGTTATAACTCTTACTTTCTTGTGTTAACTTGAAAGTATATAATTTGTCAAGCATTACAAATAATGAACATTACCTGGGAGTACTCTGTTTGAGCACTGCTATGTACTCCTTCACTGTCTTTTGCGAGAGCTTGAAAAACCTCAAAGTCAGACAATTTTACTGATACTAAATTATTTTTACTACCCATTCCATTGTCAACTAGTTTCTGCAATAAAAACAATTGTTGTTTAATAATTAACATTTCAAATCACAATATTAACATTGAAATTATGAATAGCAGAAAAGTAATAAAGTTATTTGTTTCAATTATTTAGATATCATATTAAACAGTATTGCAACATACCACTGCAGGATCATTCCGCCATTCACCATCCACAAAATACTTATATTGATGTTCACCTTCAGGTAAATCAATGATAGTTACAAAGTCTCCATGAGATTTCACCATAGGAATAGTTTTCCAGTCAGTAAAAGTTCCACTAATATAAACCTGAAGAATTCATTTAATATATTAAAATAAAACAATATAAACGATAATAGGGAACAAGAACAATAATTTATGCCCTACTTGCTTGCCTCCGCCCTCCCATTTGAAGACAGTTGGTAAAACTTTAACATCATCTACTATTGTACTACCTTCAGTCAAAGTGTTTGACCTCTCACGCGTACCAGTATATTCTACATTACTTTCAGGAACTGCTTTTGTATAGTATGGAGCACCATCTTCAATGTTATTTTCGTCATCTCGACCACCACGGTCATCGTCAACTTTTTTATCAAATGTAAACGCCTCTCCTTCCTTGGCTGGTGATGATGGCCCCGCATCAGGTATTTTGGTCACAGCATCTCTATGCCAATCTTTAGGCTGATTACTTCCTGCATTACCCATTGTGCACCTACCGAAATTGTTGAAAAATAGTTTTGTTAATTTGTTACATTGACTTGAGTTTCTGACTTATAATATGTCAATGTTCCTACTTCACCTTAGGGATGCGCGATATTTATCGATTTTGTGTGAATTTCGATGAAGGAAGGAAACGGTGTAATATCGATATATATATCGTCAAATAAATTGATAATTAAATATCGAAAATCACAACTTGTAAAATTCTATGTTTATTACGATATCAAAATTGTTTTGTTTTTTTTAGGCTAGGTTACTCAGGTTAGGGACTTAGGTTCATGACAGTTCACACTGTATGTCTTTATCCTTTTTTGAATTCAATGTGTCAAAGACTGAGTTCTTCATTCATTGAATGAATATTCTTACAGAGTGCTTAAAAATATCGCCATTAAGCATATTACTTGCTCATCTGCTTCAACATCGACGGAGTAACTATTATCAAAAGCTGTTTAGACTTTATACCAACAACGAAACCGTCTCAATGAAAAACTACTCTCAAAATTGCTTATCTTGCAGCTATGGGCTGTCAAATAATATGACATAACCCATAACAGTGGTCCATTTTTTTTTCTTCATTTGTCCTTTGTACATTTTTAGAAGTTCTGATAATGACCTTTGAGATAACCTTCAAGGTTGCGATTAAGGTCAATTTCAAGGTCACCCATGGATAGCCAGAGAAAATTCCTGTAACTTTTGTGTATAATGTACCGAATATTGTATTATGAGTTGGTTTCAACATCTCGACTTTTTTGTCGGTTTTATAAATACCCCGTCCCGTTACCCACAGGAAAAAGGATATCTATGTCCCCATAACTTCAAAATTGATGAAGTTAGTTATGAATGGTGTGTATGAATAGATATATTGTAATTTCATTTTTAATGTGTAGTTTCATTGTATGAGAGGAAACTAACTAGTGTGTGTCTGTCGTGTGGTGCGTGTTATTTGCGGTCCTTCTCCTTCCTCGTCCTCTTCCACTTCCTCTTACCCGTCGTTCTGTTATGTATTAATGTCTGTTGTTTGTCCAGTGTATGTGTTATGTCGAGTGGGTCTGGAGTGTCTGGTGCGATTGTTGCGAGCCCTGTGGTTGTGGGTCCTGTGACTGATGCATATTTTGCGATTCTTGGGTATTTTGTGTGTTGGTCCTGTGTGCTGTATATGAATACCGTATCTCCCAAAACTTTACTGAGTATGGTCACTGTTTGTATCACTGCTTGTTTTTGAAAGGTTGGTTATGTCGATGTTGGCTTCTAATTTATCTATGTATTTCTTGATGCTTTTAGTGACTATTCTAGTCGCGCCTATAACTATCGGGATGACAGTCGTTTGTGTATTCCACAGGCGCGCGACTTCAGTTTTCAACACCTGTTATTTGCTCAATTTCTCAATCTTCTCAGTGCCCATTTTGTAATCGGATGGTACTGTGATGTCTATTAAATATGTTTTATTGCTAGTTTTGTCGATATGTATATAAGGTCAGGTCTATTGTGCGTTACGGTGATATCTGGTTGTACGGGCATTTCCCAAAGGATTTTAGTGGATTAATTTTCTTTTACTTGTGGTTGTATGATTTTTACTTCCACCAAAGGTCAGAGACTTCCATTTTGTGTTTTTGGCCAGACACCAGTAGACGTATTGGACAAGGTTATTATGTCGTTTAACATAATAGGTCAGTTTTTCGCATGCCGATATGTTATGCTGAGTGGTCTCATCCTTGCAGGCACATATGCGACATTTTCCGTCAACTGATTCTTTCATTATATCGCGCTGATGCTGTCGGGTCATGATGGCTTAGTCTTGTATGGCAAATAATGATGATTCTAATTTTTTGTAGTTTGTTGTGATTGTATCTGTTGTTTCTTAATGCATTTAAACGAAAGCTCTGCACCTTTGTTGGCTTGATCAAGTACTTTATGCGGAAATTGCCCATGTAACTGCTTACTTCTCCACACTGCATTGTGTGTTTTAGTTATCGATTTCTTAATTTCTTCAACTGTGTGACAGTGGATAACATACCCACTATTAAGTGTAGTTCTTCTTCTATTTCTTGTGCTTCCTTAATTATTGAGTATTTATCTCTATGTGAGTCATGTTGTACGATTGCTTGAATAAGATGATCTCTTTCTGTTGCTTATATTTAACTACCTGTGTTTTATACATATACTCTACGTTTATAAGACCCCTCCCTCCTTCTGTCAACGGTAAGTATAGTCGCTTTACTTTTGCCATTTGTTGATGTGCCTTGTTCATTGCCAATACTTTTCTTGTTTTGTCATCTATTTTCTTAAGATCACTAATTTTGTATTTAATAACACCTGATGAATAGAGTAGCACCGGAATAGCATATGTATTTATACCTTTTACTATTGAACGTGAATTGAGATATGTATTTAGCAGCTTTTTAATCCTTTTAAAATATTCTTTCGTTATTTGATCCCTAATTATACTGTGTTCTATTTCAGCATTTTTCCTGATTCATGTATTCCTAAATATTTATGTCTATCTTCTATTGCAAGTTGTTGAAACTTTTCTCTACTTAATAGAATATGGCCTTCTCCTATTACACTACTCCTATGGCCTGATCTAATATGTATTACATTACATTCATCCAACCCAAAGCTCATCCCTATGTCTCCTGTAAATATCCCTTCGCTATCCAATAATATTTTAAGGTTACTTACATTATTTGCATAAATCTTAAGGTCATTCATGTAAATAAAATGATTGATCCAGAAACTATCTTTAAGTTTATATCCTTTCATTTCATATTTATTCACTAAAAATGACAAAGGGTTAATAGTTATGCAAAACAATAACGGTGATAGGGAGTCGCCTTAAAAAATGCCGCGTTTGATGGTGATCGGTTCTGTAGTTATTTAATCTTGGGAGACACGGGCTGTCATGATCACCCTCCACGAAGGCATAACTAGCTGAAGGAACCTTTTTATGATAGATGAACATTTATAGACATCAAGTGTTTTTAGAAGGCATTCATGCGATACGCTGTCGAAGGCTTTTTGATAGTCTATCCACGCCATGCTTAGGTTCTTTTGGGCTTGGTGTGCATCCTCTAATATCGCTTTGTTAACCATAAGGTGATCCTTACATCCCCTGGCACCACGGCGACATCCACGTTGTTCTACTGCCATTATGTTGTTTTGATCACAGTGACTATACAGGATCTTAGCTAATACGACGTTGACGTTATTAATTTGTAAATACTTGGTAAGCACGCTATCGATCTCCAGTTTTTCGGTTCCTCTGTATTTTCATTTGTAGGGATTAATATGACCTTGCCTGTAGTAAACCATTCTTCTAATGCCGCTGTACCTGCAACTATATTTGTAAATAATGAACTCAGATATGGGTGGACACTAGCAAAATATTTCAAGTGGTAATTTTGTATTTTATCTATGCTTTGTGCTTTCCAGTTTTGTAGTTTTCTGATGGCTGATTTAACTTGATCTTCCGCAATCTCTTCTATGTTTATTGTACTTACCTCACTTGTCCACATTTCTATCTCGTTGATCCACTTAGCTTCAGTGTTGTATTGTGAATGTTGTGATAATACTGAAGTCCAGAATTCTACCACTCCTTCTCTACTTGGTTTTTTAATATCCTTACTAGTATTCCTGTTGCCTAAAGTTTCGTATAATCTATGTTGGTTTTCCCTAAATAAACTATTCTGTTCTTTTCTACTGTTAATATCACCATATCGTTTGATTCTATCTGCTAGTGCTTTAAGTTTTTGCTTAAGTGTTTCTGCTGCATTTTTCCTACCTAATTATTTCCTAAATTTTTCAATTTTAATTCTTATTCTCTTTTTCCACGGTGGATCGCATTTTGGTTTTATAGTGTGTGTATGGTGTTTGGTTATTGTTTAGTATTAGAGTCTTAGCTGTTGCATAGATTATATTATTTATTTCGCGTAGATTAGTGTTAGTAACTAATAGGTTAGGTAGATATTTGTCAAGCGTGTTCAGATTTTGAATGAATTGTTTATTTATTTTAGCTTTTGGTAAAAGTAAACGTTCTGTAAGTGGAGTCTCTTTTGTTTTAGCTAATATTTAAAGGTAGTGTAATACTAATGGGTCCTGATCGTCGTTCACTTCTATGTTGTTTGTTAACTGATCTGTTTGTTATGAAGAGAATTGTGTATGTGGTATTTTTTATTGTGTGTTGTGTATTGATGATGGTGTTTAATGTCGTTCTTGGGTTGCATGTGAAATATGTTAAGGATTCTCAGTAGCCATGTTTCCTTCTGCTTGTTTTTGTATTAAGTCTAGTAACTTTTGTGATATGACATTCTGTTTTATAACCCTGCGAGCTTGATTAGACAAAGTGTTACCGTTAAACTAATGAATTTTATCGTTATTAGGGTTCCTCTCTGTATAAAGTGCCTGGACACGGCCTATGTCTCCTGGTCCTTCTGATCGTGGTTTGAAATAAAACATTAATTCTTTTGTTGACCACTTTCTTCTTCTATCGTCGCTTATTACATTATTTGTGGTCGTTGTAGATGAGCCGACAGAGTCTATGGGCGAAACCCTGTTCTGCAAAGCAACATCCACGCCCTCCCCTCCCCGTTAATCGGCTGTGACATTTTCGAGATCCCCGACACTCGCCCCAGGCGGGCGAGTGTCGGGCATCTCGATTGTGACCAAAAAATGAATCGGTAATCTGCTAGTATTAGTAATACTTTATTATTTTACGACGAAAATAATTTTTTTGACAGTTGTAAGATCGAGAGTTGATCGGCACTGAATTATTTTAATTACAAAAATTTATAACTTTTTTTACATGGAATACAATTTTCGGTAAAGTGAATTATTTTTCGTAAAGAAAATTCATATAAGATTGTAAGCAGGAAGGCTTGTTTTTTTTATTGTAAAGTATTTCGGAGTCTTACTTTAGACCGTTGTGGTCTTACGCTAATGGCTTCCTAAATAGTTAGCCGTTGTGAGAACACACTGCATTGCACACAGTTTGGTAAAGTTTAGTTAATTTTTATTGTGGAGTATGTAGAGTCCAATGTTCTCTTGACAGCATTCGTGATGATGAGATTGAATATAGGCTGTAGTGCACCTGAAAATTTAATTCAAACAAAAGCAAACTACTTTTTTGTTTTCTTTTCCATTTAGAATTTTTAACGTGAAACGAGAACTGTTTTCCAAATGTCGAATCCAATTAGTATATTTTTAAAAGTTACTTTTGTTCGATTCCTCTGTTTCGACTTTCGATTCGATTCTCCTCTTTAGAAGGCTAGAAATGCTCGATATCAAAGGCAGATAATCTGAAGTAGCTCGTAACTCGATTGTATGCAAAAATTAGTTTACTCTCATGTTTTACCTCTATGTGTTTGACAATTGAGAATTATTGACGAGTGACGACATCCGTGTAAATTAATTTAAAAATTTATTCAGTCAGTAGGTAGTATTCTGAGTCTCTCGAATCTCGTCGTGATAAGGGTGACTGTGAAGCTTATGGCTCTGCATAATATTATTTATTAAATTACATTTAAGCATAAAAGTATAATAATTAAAATAATGAACGATGAAAAGCTACCACTACTTACCGGACCCAATAATTCAGTTGATATAGTTGAACAGTCAGTAGAATTAGTAGCAGAGCCAATAGCGGCTTGTCGTGAAAAGCCTAAAGGAGACTATCACCCGGGTTTGGAAAGATGCCTGGAACACCCGACATCAAACTGCGACACTTTAATCCATCTTCTGAAAGGAAATATAGGTACTGGCATATTAGCTATGCCAGATGCCTTCAAAAATGCTGGATTAATACTTGGTGAGTGACAATAAACAATTAAAAATATTTTACAGTAAATTAATTATCTTATCAATCACTTCAGGTGAAAAATATTTGTTACTTATAGTAAATATTATATGAGGTAGCCCTCATATAATATTTACTTTAAAAATAAATTTTATTAAAATAAAACTAATAAAAAATTGAACTTTGTTTGAATATTTAACCTGCTTAGTTTGGGAGAGGGACAGAATGTATAAAAGCAGTAAATGAATTGCAGTACATATAATCTTCTTTAATCATATGGTTAAGTACTTCATACATAAATTAATCCTTTATCATAATAAAATAAAGGACAATACAGTTCAAAAATATATTTTAACTACCCACCAAATTATAATAAATGTTTGCTTATTACCTTTGCTTAAAGGTGTCTCTTCTTTGCTTTATTATGGGACAATAATTATGGTAACAGATGCTAAATTCATTAATTTGTACTTAAGAAATGTCAACCTACCTATAATTTGTAACCTTGCATATATTGTGATATATATGTTATTATTATTATTTAGCTCTTAGTACTTTGTCCTAATGATCAATTCCTCCAATTTTACCCTAGCTGAAATAACAATATAATGAATTATGCTTTATGACCTTTCTAAAGGTAACATGGATAGGTCACAAACACACGGCCACCTGATCCTAAACTAGGCAGTCTTTACTATGGTAACCAGACTGGTGATAAAGATATGTAAATATTTCTAAATACATATATATTATGGATAAATTACATTCAGACCTAAATTAAATTAAATGATCTTACTCATCACACAATTGTTTGTCCTGGGTGGGAATCAAATGCACAACCTTAAACTTAGCAGACAGAATCACTATCCACTATACCAACAAGCTAGTCAAACATTATCTGAATAGTACAAACCATTACTGGTATAATTTATTGTAGCTCTATTTCGTGATAGATATACAATAAATACTTTTCTTATTGTTCAGGTGTTTTTGGAACAATAATAATGGGCGCAATTTGCACTCATTGCATGCATGTTCTTGTGCAATGTTCACATGAGTTATGCATCAGGAGTCAAAGACCAGCATTGAGTTTCTCAGAAGTTATTGAAGATTCATTTGCATCAGGACCAGTTTCCTTAAGGCCCTATGCTAAGACAATGAAGTAAGTAATCTATTTTCATCTGCTATATTTAATTGATTAACAAAGCTATTTTATTGTTATAAATTCTTCCTATTTAAGAATTTGTGTTTTTCAGCAGAGAAATTTTAAATTATAAAAGCATACAACCTACAATGATTACCTTTCATAGGCTTCTGATAGTTAAAAGCGGGCCGCAAAAATAACTCTTTAATTAGCTTCTTAATCTGATATTATCTGTTATACTTTATCTATAAATTATGCTAATAGCAATCATATTAATTTTATAATGTAATCAATAAGGTGGCTTACTAACAAAATCATTTTTAACTTGATTAACTTCCTGAGATTAGCATTGTCAAATGTAGAACTATATCAACATACTATTAATATCAAATTAATTCCATTTAAGACAATTAAATATATTTAATCTATTGGAGGTATTTCTACTACAGTTTAGCTATGTAAAATGATTTATCTGTCAGATATTGTCCCAGATTGGTACCAGGTGAAGTATAACTTGATAGGGAGTGAATGAATGTCACATGCTTGTGACTCCTGAGTTGAAGGCATTCATGGGCAATGGTTGTCACTTTTCATCAGGTGACCTGTCTGCTCTTTTGCCCTCTCTATCATAAAAAAAAATAAAGCAGGTATGGTGTCGACTTTTAGCTACCTTAATAACAATAGATCTGATTATAGTTTTGCTAAGGCACACAACACATAACATTAACAACATACAATTGTTTACACATTGATAAATTACTTCCAATATGTAACTTATCTGGAATATATAGGTAATATGTATTTATACCTACATTTTATCACAATATTTGTCACCCATATAACACAATCTCAACGAGTATTATAATTCAATGTTTTAATCTTATCTCGCCACATATGTCCACCCAATTTGCACATCACCTTGGTCAGACATTTTTGATACAAGTATTATGTATAATTTTTGGTTTCTATTTTACTGATGAAAAATAAGTTATCAAAAATTTTGAATCTGACATATCTTATCATCTCAAATACATACTGTTTCATTTTGCCTAACTAGGAAAGTGGTAGGTGTACAAGTGATATTTTTTCCAGACAAACTTTGAATAGAAACATTCAGATGGTCTTGAGAACCTCACTAGCCAAGATTGATTTGTTACGCTTTCATATTACCGTTAGCGTTACATTTATCGTGCGGGAAATGGTCCAGTAATAGCATTACTTTTAGTCTTACCGGCAACAATGAGTTCAAATCGCCGACTAACGCTTTCGTATGAAAGCACTAAAGTGGCCTGAAACGCAGTCGTATTCATTACAATAGTAAGTAGGAACGCTTTTAATCAACGTTTAATGGGGTCTCATAGCGTTACGTAAACGTAATATATCTTCCTACGTCTAGAATATATAAATTGTTTATTTAGATCTACATTATATACGTGTTTTGCGTATGTAAAACTAGCGATAGAGACCGTATTGGATCCCAGTATAAGGGTACAATATATGTATGTATGTATAAAAATGTCAAGAGACCTTAAAATCGGACATGCTCGTTTTTTTAATCAAACGTTAACGGCTCATTTTTACAAATGTTATAGTAAAACTCTTGTTTGAAAATCCCGCATAGTTTTCTAGAAATAAAAATTTGAAATTAATTAATTTAATCATTTAAAGGGAAAATATCTTATTTAATAACTAATAGCATTAAACTCAAAAACTCTACACTATTTCATAGACCCTTTAGAAATACACGTAATAAGCGTTTAATATGATTCGTAAATGGATTTAGTTAATCAGGATAAAAAATAAAACGTTATTTCAGTTTTTATTTTTTACTTACTACTTTTTTACCAGGACATGTGCAAACTTTTTTTACTACCTACTGCAACACATAGCAACATATGTATTCTAGAAATGTTAAAAAAATTGGCTTTAAATTCCGTGATATATTTGAGAGAAAAAAAGTGTTTCGTGTCACAAAATTTTCACGCGTCTGGGTTTTTCACTTTTGGACTCTGCGTCACAGAAAGATTGAAGAACATTTGGATTAATTTTCATTCTTTTAATAAACGTTTCCTTTTGTTTTCATTTTAAGTTAATTGATTAATATACCTACAGTGAAAGTTGTCGATTATCCGTGTGGTGACGGTTTAAGAATACGGAGTATCACCACCCCTATTCATCCCGTGGGTGTCGTAAGAGCCGGCTATGAGAGCAAACTAAGCAAGACTGCAAAGAAAAGACCAACCCTTAAAATTAGACCTACCAATGAGTCCTCTTAATAATATTAAAAAACGAAGCAAAAATCATGAAAGAAAAAACTGCAACTAGTCGAATATTTCTTTACAAAATCTGCCTAAGTCGATCTTCGGAGGAAGTCTAAAACTCTATTACACGAATTATTTGGCGTCTCACTTGAAGTTCAGCTTACACAGGTTCTACTGTTTGAAGTTCTAATAAAGAACATTTATTATTTTACTTGATTATTAAATTGTATCTGAATATAATTTACATGAAAAACATAAGGTGAAAATTTTACAATTTATCATAAAAACTTACAATATACTGAAATTATAATACATGGAAATAATTCGATTATTAATAATTCTTATTAATTTAATTCGATTTTTATTGCATCGTGTGTAGATTAAATCTCAAACAAAAAAAATCTGAAGATATCGAGTTAGTACATTGTGTCGTGTACAGCAGAGCGCATCACCCGCCACGCGTCCCGCAAACCATCGGGAGGGCCAAGCTTACGGCGGTTTGACTATAATTTAATTTAAAAAAAAAAACGAAATGATAATGTATTTTTCATATTTTTATAATAACTGTACTTTTATAAATAGCTAGCAATGAACTATTTGTAACATTTGATGTCAAGCACCTCATCCTTTCTTATCTTAGTACATACGGTACATTTTTATTTATCTTAGTTTAATTAGGTTTCATTTCTTTGCTGTGTAATATATATGTACGATATTGGCCAATATGGTTGAGTTACCTACAGTAGGTATTATTCAGTTCAGAATGAGAATAGATATTATTATACATAATTAAATATATCAAATATATATAAATATATCAAATTTAAAGCGCCTAATCAGCAATCACGCATTGTTCCGCCCATAAGTCTCAACGACGTAGCACTAAACACTGTAAATAGTTTTAGGTGCCTGGGCCACATTGTCACGACCGACCTAAGGGACGATGGAGACATAGAGAGGGAGCGCAGGGCATTGTCTGTGAGGAGCAATATGCTTGCCCGCAGGTTTGCTCGTTGTGGCGAGGATGTCAAAGTAACCCTTTTTAGGGCGTTTTGTCAGTCTTTCTACGCGAGCGGCCTGTGGGTGTCATACACGCGACGGGCGTACAATGTCCTGCGTGTTCAATATAATAATGCGTTCAGGATGCTGTTGGGGCTGCCGCAGCGCTGTAGCGCATCAGGTATGTTCGCGGAAGCTCGCATAGATGATTTCTACGCAATTATGCGAAAGAAAGCGGCTTCCTTACTCCAGCGCCTACATGACAGTGACAACAGCATTCTGAAAATGATCGCTGCCAGACCGGACTACCCATTCCAGAAACAATGGGTGGGGACAGTCATAGGTCTATACAAATAGTTAATTAAGGTAAAAAATGTAATTACTAATAATACTAACCTATCAACTTAAGCACTATTGTTACTAACACTAAAATACTAACATAAATATGGACCATAAGTCTGAAATAAACTTTATTATTATTCTCTTTATTAAATTATACACACATATTAATTACATTTTTAAATATATTACAAAAGAAATAAAAATACATTTAAAAATATAAAAAATAGTAGACCACCGACATCGGGTACAGGTACCAAGACACCAGTGGTTAGGACTGCAAAGATAGGAACCTCCTCACTATACGAGCCGTGTCAAGGAGGACTGCCTTCTGTATCAGACCCTTGATCCAGCCGTCCAACGTGAGCCTCTTAAGGTGTTGGTCGAGGCTCTTGGCTATCAATCCGTGAGCAGATACGACTATCGGAACAATTATTACTGAATCGACATTCCACATATCGACAATCTCGTGAGATAAATCCAAATATTTTATTTGTTTTTCTTTTTCAACTTTCACGAGATTCTCGTCATGAGGAACGGCGATATCAACAATCATTGCGCGGCGCTCTAATCGATCTATCACTACAATATCAGGCTTATTAGCAACAATAGTCCTGTCTGTGATAATAGATCGATCCCAATACAACGTGGCCCGACCATTCTCGAGAACTGGGTCGGGCACATACCTGTAGTATGGCACCTCTAGATTCACAAGATGGTATTTAAGGGCAAGCTGTTGGTGTACAATCCTGGCTACTTGGTTGTGCCTATGCAAATATTCACCGTTAGCAAGACGAGAACAACCAGAAATGATATGCCTGATTGATTCCCCAGGACGGTGGCATGCCCGACAGATGTCAACCGTACCATCTTTCAGGATATATTTCCGATAGTTATTCGTCATGATAACTTCGTCCATAATCATCTCTTCGTCCATTTATTATTATTATTATTATATTATTATATTTGTATGAAATGTATATTCATTGAAATATGTTATCACATTTAATTATGTGAGTCACTATCGTAGTTAGAGATTTGAAACTTTCCTTTTTGTTATCATTTAGGAATATTACCAACAAACAAACAATAACTGTTCCAATATGTTGTATTGATTAAGGTATGAAAGTTAAACACAGAAGTAAGTTAAATAATATGTGTAGTCTTTAAAGAATGTAACCCTCGTCAAAAGTAACACTATTGACGAGAGTTACATTCTTTTCTGAAATTAATTGATGAGCTTTATGAATTATTCAGACAGTTGAAAATTATTATAAATGATACCAAATATTATCTATCATTTAAATATTTGCGTTATGTAATTAAATCTACACACGTTACGTTAGCATGCAATAATCGTCGCCATGCTTGCTGGCCCATATGGGTCGGCTAGTGTTAATCGTTACCTGAGGCCTTAAAGCCCACCTACCCCGCCTCGTAATGGTAGCACTGTTGAACAATATGTTATCCTAGATTGGTACCAGATGCGCTAATTTAGAACCACTTTGCACCTGAACGCCGACGTCCAGGTTTCCCCTCATACTGGGCGAGAAGGAGGGCACAACTTCTGACTACAGAGACTTCTGCAATATCAGGGTCTTACACTCCAACTTCAATGCTAACTATTATTTGCCTCCAGGTTAAGAGAAAAAAGCCATTGCTAGGGCGAAATCGGAGCACATAAGCCGGATCGGTGAGAGACTGGTGAGATTTGCTTATGAAACTCGTGCATTCTGGTCTCTTGCCAAGGCTGTCCAGGGGAATTTCTGTAGCCAATCCTTTCTACCCCTGCAGATGGGAGATAATTCTTTGGCCTATGATGCCAAGGAGAAAGCCGATCTCCTAGGCAAACTCTTTGCATCCAATTCGACTTTGGATGACGGGGGAAGCGTACCGCCGACCACACCACGGTGTCAGACCTATATGCCGGATATCCGGTTCACACAAAATGAGTGCGTAAAGCACTCTTTTCCCTCGACATTCAAAAGTCAAAGGCAAAGTCGTGTGACTTTTGAATGTCGAGGGAAAAGAGGGAATTCAAAAGTCACACGACTTTGCCTTTGACTTTGCTTCCGATGGAATCTCTCCTGTCGTGTTGAAGACGTGTGCTCCGGAGTTGGCACCGGTTTTAACGCGCCTTTTTCGTCTCTTCTAGCTCCTCCGGTACTTAGATTATCACCAGCTACTCAATGACCGACAATATGGTTTTCATCTTTCTAACACACCGGTGGGCACAGGCGATCGAAACCAAAGGAGAAGCTTGTGCGGTTGGTTTGGACATAGCGAAGGCCTTCGATCGGGTCTGGCATAAGGCGCTTCTCTCGAAACTGCCTTCCTTTGGGCTTCCCGAGAAATTGTGTAATTGGGTCACCAGCTCCCTTGCGGACAGAAGTATTAAGGTCGTTGTCGACGGTGCATGCTCCACCTCAAAATTCGTAAATGCTGGTGTCCCACAAGGCTGTGTGCTATTACCACACTGTTTCTTCTGCATATCAATAACATGTTGCAAACAAGTAGCATCCATTGCTATGCAGATGATAGCACGGGAGATGCCTTTTACACCGGCTCCCCATTTCTCGGGAAGACGTCATCGAGAGTCGAAACAAACTTGTGTCTGAAATTGAGTTAATTACAATCCCAAAAGGCATATCCCATTTGTCGTATTCCCTCGCTTAAGAGAGCAATTCCCTAACTGCTATAACCAGCATTCGAATTCTTGGCGTAAACAAATCTTGCGACGTCTAGTTTCGCGGTCACTTAGATGATTGAGACTTTATTTCACTCCGGCTCACCGCCTACAACTTTATAAAGCGTAGATGCAGCTCATAATGATTATTTTTAACATCTCCGGGGGTATCTCATTTCAAAGTTACTCGAATCGTCGATTGCCAGAATATTGCAAATCGACTTGACCTCATATCATTACGCAGAGATATAGTTTCACCTTGCATATTCTATTGTTTGTATATGGGTAGTGCTCCGAGGAATTATTGAGACTTACACCGGCTGCAGCTTGCCGCTATCCCATCATTGAAATAATTCGCAATGTGCACTGTTCATGTCAATTGTCATTCAATCTTTGGCACAAATTGTTGCCTGTCGTATTTCCAGACTGATATATGCATAAATCTCTTAATATGGTATATGATATTATTATGTATGGTTGCATACTTTGTTTTTTTTTTGCCGGCCGTTTGATCCCAAAGTAGGCAGAGCCTGTACCACGGTACAATTATAATACAGTAGTGTAACTCGGCCGCATGATAGAAATAAATGCCTACAGCCGCGCGGTACGTAAACATGCGTTAGGGCTGCCCGTCTCCACCATTTTAATTATATTTGCCTACTTTCTGTTTCTATTTAGATTTGTGATTGTAAATATCCTTTTTATATAAATAAATGAAATACTTTGTATATTGAATAGGAAGTGTTCAATAAAAATGCGTGTTGTTTTTTGATTGGTAGATTTAATTATTTTATTTTTTTTCTGCATTGGAGGAGTTCAAGTTTCAATTTTCTTTTTCTTGGAGTGTTGCTAGAGAGACTCGTTGAGATTTGAGCAAAGATTTCATTTGTTGCATTTTCAGTCTGTGTACTATTTTCATTTCCTACCAACGGAGCAGTTTGGGTTTGTTTATCTTCTTTTAGAGAGACTCCTGGATCAGTACTAGCTAAGCTTGGCAGCATCAACAATGGTAGGGCATTTTTTAAAGTTTTCTATTTGATTAATGTAATACATCCTCCAAATTAAAATGTTTTTCACAAACTTGGTAGGAACTAAAGTTAGGTTTGTTTTCCAAATCATCTCGCCGGATCAGTTGCAACCATTGAAGACGTCTGAAAAAAAAAATACATGTGGCACTCTCGGAGACTGCCGCGGTAAAGCTGTTGCATAACATTTTTTTTTAAAGAAAAAAATCTGCGTGGTGTCAGGTATTTTTCGTTAGGTTTTGAGAATTTCTGGATTCGGTCACCGCGCCGCGCCGCGCTCAGAGCCCGCGATAAAAGCTATGCAATAGCTTAAAAATCCTTCTATAATAAATAAAAAAATGTGCTTTCTCTAAATAAAAAAAATGTGCTTTCTCCATACGCGTTACAAAACTCCAATCCTTAGAAACTCCAACACCTGCCTACTCAACTAGGATGCAAGAAACAGCTGACGAGTAAGTAACTTTTTATCTCAGCTTATTAACGTCTCTATAAGTTAGGTACCTACCTACAACACGCAACAACTCAAAACAAAAATTCTTTGGTCACCAATTAATTAATTATTAAAAAGCTGAACAGCTGACTACGAATGTTTTAAAATCATAACCCTCAAACATCTAAATATTATATATGAGTCTAGCTGTTGTTGTTAATACCGAGAAAATAAAACCAGTGTTTAGTGGTATATGTTGTTATAGTAGCAGAAGAAACACTTTGTGAAAATTTCGAAAACTATCTAATGACACACAGACGGTAAAAAAAAATTTCTAGTATTATTCATACACACAGATAATAAACAAATATTATTAATAATAAAATACCATGTCTTTACTTTGAATTATGCAAAGTAACAAAACACACATGCACCGAAGTTTTAACACAAGCGTAAGTAGGTACCTACCGTATCATGATTCATTCAGAACCGCATATAACTACCTATTTCACTCGTCTCAATAACTTTTCGTTACTCTATTCGCTTTATTTATTAATCCAAACACCTTTTTTTTCGTGAGATAAAAGGAAATACTTAGCCATTAAAAAGACACATATTATGTACCTACCTACTAGTAAGTATAATTATTATTTTATTAATTTTTATTAAGTAAAGTAAAATGATTATAGTGTTACCTTTCAGAGTTTCCAGGTAATTTAAAAAAACTTATGTCTGGATGCGTTATTGACGAATTCATACAACCAAAAACAGCACAATATTTCCTACTCGTCATATTAACTGATTTTTAGAGAAAAAATCACGCGGTTATTGTTAAAAAAACAACACACAGTCCGTCCGACACTGCGGTACAGCCGTGACTGTCTGCGCCCCGAGCGCACCCCGAGATCGAGGCGCGTAGGTATAGCTCGCGTTTCGTCCGTTTGTATGAAGTTGGAGTACTGTATTATAATAGTACCGTGCCTGTACTATGGTAACCAGACTGCTGATAAACATACTTAATGCTCTTTTATAGGTATTAGATAGATTACATTACAAATACCTAGTATGAACAGATGTAACACATTGAGTCAACTCATTTACGTAGTTAAAAAGCGTTCTGTCATCACTAAAAGTATAATAAAAGAGTTTATTTCTGAAAATATGAATACAGATCATTTCTTAGTTTATTATAATTATTGAAAATTTTGCCAGTTTGCGAATCGTGTCTGCTTCAACACCTTTGTAAGTCACCTTTTGTTACAGAATAGGGCCATGGTACAGTTATAGTCAATAAGCCTACACACACGTATCATTTAATTGTTCAATTTTTGAAGTTATAGAACGCTTATAATATATTTTGATATATATCTTGTCAGTCCACTAAACTATTGTCGAGCCTATACTATTGTAGGATTAAGTAGTTTCATCGTTCCAGAATTGTATAGAATGTGGAGCACAGCGCCATCTAGTATCAAGTAAAGTACAACTATTAAGACTGTGATTAATAATTATAATACTTACAGCGCTAGATGGCGCTGCAAGTAACACGTAACTGATACTGGAATATTATTATTTGTCTGGAACGGACTATCGAATACTAGGGATCATCCTAGTAAATTCGATAGCACTATAAAAGCGTGTTGGCTGTACGAGACAGTATCGTTTTACGACACAGCGAATTAACATCGAAGCGAATTTCTAGTGCGACTAACGAGTTATATAGCGATTTCTTGTTTGTTATAGTAAGTATTTGTAAATACAGTGCAATAAAAGTAATTAATCGACAACTTTTATTTATTTTATACCTCACTCGTAACAATATGCAAAATCACATTTAAAAAAATTGGTATAGTTTGATGAGGTCCAATATAAACAGCTACTCATCATATGTGTATTGTTGCTTAGACCAGTTTATCGTGTTTAAGCTTTAATTTAAATTAGCCTATCTAACATGTACGTGTATTGTTTCAGGAATGTTGTCAATGTATTTTTGGTGATAACGCAATTGGGATTTTGCTGTGTTTACTTTTTATTTGTTGCTACTAACCTGCAAGACATGATGCATCTTCTCCATATAAATTTAAGTGTACATGTCTATTTGGCTTTATTATTCCCCCCCATACTTGCTCTGGCTATGGTGCAGAATCTAAAATATTTGACTCCGGTGTCTCTGGTCGCATCTATAATGACTGCATGGGGACTTGTAATAACATTTTACTATATATTGCAAGATTTACCACCTACTGATACAGTACAAGCATTTGCCAGTTGGCATCAGTTACCTTTGTATTTCGGCACGGCAATATATGCTTTTGAAGGAATAGGAGTGGTAAGTTCTATTTTTATTATTATGCCTAGGTATATAAGACTTCACTCATCACTTTATTCTTTTATATACCTGCTATATTTTTAGGCATAGAGTAAAGGATCTTATTTGTGTTCTCTATATATTTTTATTAAGGAATTTTAGCATCCGGTTTAAAAAAAAAGTCGTCTCTTAAGTTTACTGGAGGAGCAACATAACTGGTTAAAGGTGTGCCGTTAAAATTAACTGCTTTGATCGGTTTTATCCTTAATTCTAATTCATTAATTCTTAAAATGTTACCCTGGCTACACAGTGAATTTGATGCCTGAAGCTTAAGTTTTACAAAAATGTCACTCATTCGAGGGCCAAGAAGTAGACGTTGATCTTATAAATATGAAAAATCTAGATTTAATCTAATCACATGTATAACGAAACAGAATTCTGAATTAGTTCAAAGTACTTTTGACCTATAAGTGTTTTGCCTGTAACGTATACACCTACTACCTCATATACTTTGGGATCAATATCCAAGGCTTCAAAGATATATGTATAGTATTAGTCTAACAAAATTCATTCCAAAAGAATGATTGTATGGTACAATATAGGTTAACCTATCTCATCACTGGTGCTTAGGCCACGCCGCGCCGTGTTGCTGAACGTCATATTTATGTATGAATAATAAAAATGCATAGCTTCTATCGTACTTAAATTATGGCTGACTACTACACTAACGAGTCTCTACTTTTGATATCAAGGATAGGTTTAACTAGAAGACTGTGAATAATGTTGTTTCTTATTTATTGGCTAGATTGCGAACGACGGCAGTTCAATAAAAAATGTGTTACTGTTACTCGACTGGTTTCATTACTAGACTGAATCTAGGTGCGATAACCTCGGCATCTGATGTGATGACCCAGACAACATTTGGTTATACGATATGTGGGTACATACATATAAAACATAGAGTATAACAAAGGCAGCCAGTGAATAGATGACCGGAAATGTACTCTTAATAACGCAATGGCACAATGTGAGACATTGTATAAATTAAAAATAAATTACATCAATTGACAAAAAAAGAAACGATGGTTTTCTAAAATACGTATATGAAAAGAATAATAATTATTAGAATTATTATACCAAAAGGACGACAAACGTGGTGTTTGGATAAAATTGACTGAGTTACCAAGTCATGTCATTTTTCAAGTATGTAGACTATTGTTTCATTATGTAGGTAACTGAAAGCAATTGTTATATGGCGTTGAACCTAGACGGTAATTTTTCACAAAACTGAGTTTTGTCTGGAGCTGAATGAGCTATTGGACTTCTTCTACTAAACATAGACGTGGTATCGAGTTTCTATTCTATGTATATTATGTATACAGCAGTAGTGATACATTTTAAATTATTTTTAACAACTTATCGAAAAAGATAATCTTAAACGAGACAAACACTAGAAGTAAAGGTCACCTATTTTCGACCTTTACCCTTGTCCTTCCCATTTCTGAAACCCTACCGTTTTGAAGGGCACCTATTCACTAAAGTGTCTTATCACTTTCTATCAGGAACAAGACCTGAAGGAGTTTACAAAATTGATTTATTTATTGAATGCGTAAAAAGTCTCTTACATCCACTACTTAGTCGTTACTAAACCGACAGTTTAGTAACGACTAGTACCGACAGCGTAAGTTAAAATGTATGTACACACGTAATTGCATAATCAAATGAAGTAATAATTTTGAAGTAGGTAATTCTTGTCTGTGATCTTAACTGTAGCATTTCATGCCATTATATATATTTTATATTGATATTTCAAATACTCCGAAAATTAATTATTTGGAAGCTCCGATCCGACCGAGCTCCGTCCGATGGCAGTCAAATGCCAGTTCTACTAATGCGAGTTCTATTAGCCGAATAACAAATGGACAAATACTTATGGAAACACTCATTTACCTCAATATAGCTAGCAATAACAAGTATAAAAAACACATATTGTAGGAAAAAATGAGGTGTCTAATAAAATAAATAACAATTTAATATAATATTACAGGTGCTACCATTAGAAAACAATATGAAAACACCAGAAGCTTTCGGTGGTTGGAATGGAGTGTTAAATACTGGAATGGTGATAGTAGCCGCTTTGTATACTGGAATTGGATTTTTCGGTTATCTGAAATACGGTGACCGTGTAAGAGGCAGTATTACACTCAATCTACCTGACTCTCTGTAAGTTTAAATATAACATATTACAAGACAGAAATTCGCATTACGAAAACGTCACGTCACTATAGACTAGTTTAGGCACAATCAGTTAAGATGGTACACGGATATACGTTCAAGGTCAGTAACAAATGTGACAAATAGACTGATAATCAAATATTAAGCATTTGATCAACATTGCCTAACTTAACACCTGTGACTTTGAGCTTTAATTTTCTAACAATATATTAAAATTTGTCGGGATATGTGGCGAAGAATAACACTCAAGTAATCGTAACCAGTCCCAAATGCATTAAAGTCTCTCAAAAGCTAAAAAGTATGGGATTAAATGCAACTCTTAAACTTATTATCCTAACTATATTTCCTAACTATATTTCCCTAATCTAAGCTATAAATTTAATTTCGGTACGATCCCCTTTATGGAAAAACATTTTTTGTGTAATAGTAAAATAAAAATTATCTATACATATATTTATTTTCATTTTAATCCTTTAAAATTACAGCTTAGCACATAGTGTTCGCACAGTGATGGCAGCTTCAATATTTCTCTCATACGGCCTTCAGTTCTATGTGCCAATGAACATAGTGTGGCCATATGTGAAGTCAAAGTTGTCATCGGAAAAGGCCCTCAAACATGGCGAGGCAGTCACTCGTTTCGTGCTAATATCTATAACATGTAAGTATTTACTCGATCAAAATTTCACGTTCTATCAATTAAAGTCATAAAGTTTATCTCTCTCAGTAAATTACTTGATTATTCGCTTTTTGTTAGCACTTATAATATATGTTATTAGTGGTTATCATTTCATTTTAATTAAATGACTACAAATATCAAAACATATTTTTATCATTTGTAAGTTATTTGATTTTTCTTCATCAAGTTGCTGTTTATTCTCGTCATTAGTATAGTCGAAAACATCCTGCAATGTTCACAGTTTTCTTTTTCTGCCAAATCCATTGAGTTTAATTTTAGACTAATTAAGAAATGCAAAATTGGAATTCACGTCCAAACTTACATTAAAAACAAATAGAAAAATTAACAATACTACGCACATTCTTCTTTACAAATTACATAACGTACATATAAATAAATCCAACCGTATTTTTTCTTGAATCGATAATCAATCGACTTGGTATTGCTCATAACTTATTGACTTCTAATGCAACAGAAAAAAAAATTAGACTGTATGACACTTTCACATATGTTTATAAATCATCGAAATAAATTATTCAAATTCAAATAATTTATTTATAGTAACAGTACAGATAGTTTATGAAGTCCCTGACTTCTGTGCTAGGTAAACCTGTGTTACAGAAGCCCACTGGCTTCTGTAACAAACAATATGTATGTTACTATAATGGGAGAGGGCACTCCCTCTCCCATTATAGTAACATACATATTGTTTTATGAAATAAAGTCGTAGTACAATAATAATTTAAACTCATAAAAAGAGTAGGTAGATAATAAAAGGAGATCGGATACCTATGTTATGTGTCAGTGTGCTTATGTGTGTTTCTAAGTCGGTATGTGTGTGTGTATGTGTATATGTTATGGGGACGTATATGTGTGTAAATGGTTGGGTTGCTATCGCGGAGCATTTCTAATAAAGTGAGTCTCGTGAGAGTGTGGTTTAATGGGATAAGCGGAGCGGAAATATGTGGGTCATTATTTGTAAGGCAAGTGGATTTTTATGTAATTGTTATTATGATTTTCTCAGTTTCGTCGTATGTCAGAGATTGTAACCATGTTTTAAGTTTGTTTTTAACACTGCAAACTAAGTTTATAGATGGGAAGAATTTTGTTAACTTTGTTATAAATGCGGCAGCTGTGGGCCAAAAAGTGTCTTCGTGCAAGAGCAGTGTGACAAGTTTCACAAACAGGAAAACCGGTACGTCGACTTGAGAGATTTGTAGTCAAGGGCAGCATTGTGTGTCTGCGTACGACAGAGCGCAAGATATATAGTTGTCTAACTGTTAAAACTTGGGCATCCGAGTAAAGTATTGTGGTGGGATAGTCTCTTTTTCTAAAATACATGGTTTTAAGAGTTGCCCGTTGGGCTCGTTCCACCCCAAGCATCACCGTTTTAAAAGTGCCTCCCATCAAGTGACAACCATTCCATCACAGCTTGCAGAGAAAGTTCGGTTGAGTGCTTGGCACCCACCCAGTCCTTCTCGCAAATTAGAAGAGCCGTGTCGTCAGCATAGGTGAAGATGTTGCAGTGATTTAGAGGTAGGTGACAGAGGTCATTAATATAAATTTGGAAAAGGGTGAGCGCCAAAACACTGCCTTGTGGTAAGCCGTAATTGAGTATTTCCTCGTCACTGCATGTCGCATTGATTTTAACGCACTGGCTACGTTCCCTAAGGAACTCCTTGTAGATATTCAATTCCATCTTTCCATCTTCTTGACAAGTCTAGGAATGGAAACCGTATCGAAGGCCTTGGTTAGGTCTAAAACTACACCATAACATTTCAAGTGCTTATCTAATTTATTGACCAGTTTATTCGCAAAGTCCGAAACCGCATCTTCAGTAGAAAACCATATTGGTTGCTTGCTATCAAGTGGTTCTTGTTTAGATTTTTTTTTAGGTTGGTATTCAAAATATTTTCAAGAATTTTGAATAATCCGGTAAGCACTAAGATTGGTCGGTTATTGGAAACATCATCTCTCGCTCCACTCTTGTAAATCGGATGTACAATCGCTCGCTTAAAAGCGCTAGGAAAGATACCTGAGTCGATGGCCCAATTACAAATGTGAGCGATGATAGGGGCCAGAGTATTTCGAGACAATTTTATAATTTTTGTTGGGATATTGTCCCACCCGGTAGCGCAGTCACTTCGTAGCCTTTCTATCAGTGCTTTCACAGTACCCGTATCAACAAAGGAAACACCTAGAGAGCCACCAGGATCCACAGCAGTGACCCACGAACACACCGAGTTATGACAATCGGGAAGTCCCGGGAAGAAATTAAACTGTCTTGGAACCCGCAACGAAATTAATCAGAAGAAAATTGGAGGAGTTGGAAATACAGTAAATCCACTTCCCTCCTTAGCAAAGCGGGAGACAAAATGAAGTGAAATGGGCATACACCCTTTTAAACAGGGAAGCACCACGGCCACGAAATATTACGGGTCCTACGTGAGCTATATTTGATTTCTATAATATGTATGGCAGAATCGCGCTTATATGTTGTTTTTAGAATAGCGTCATCGGGTGATAATCTAACCTGACGATGCATTTTGTCACGATTACGGAGGCATCGGACTAATCCCGCTGTCATCCAGGGTTTAATTATAGTGTTGCGGTTGGAATGGTATATGTTTTGAAATCACTGTCTGTATCCCCGAGATTAATAGATTAGTTGCCAAGTTTGGATCTGAAGTGTTAAGTACGTAATTGAAATCGTGTTCATCGAGTTCTTTTTTATAGCATCGTAATCATATCGGATTGATATTTTTTTCAGCTCACATTTTAATGTTTTGTTTTGACCTAGAAATATTGCAATCGGAAGATGATCGGTTATATGGGTGTCTAGTACAATAATTTTGGCTGGCGATTTCGATCTCATCATGACATGGTCTAAACCAGGGATGCACAGACTTATTAAGACTAGGAGCCACTCGGGCAAATTATGAACTGATGGCGGGCCGCCAGAAGTATAGGTAATTAAAGACAATAAAGAATTGATAAATATGTATTAAAAATTGAAAAAGAATTTATTAATTTGAAGCGTGGCACTGCATAGTGCTTACAATCTTTTTTATATTTGGCTCAAATTTACTTGTAGCAACACGTAAAACTGCTTCCAAACTTTCATTTGCAAGGCGGTTTCGATTTTTTGTTTTATTATTATTTAGTATTGAAAAGGTTTGTTCACATATATAGGTAGAACCAAATAAGCTGGCACATTTCAGAGCGTTTATGCGCAACTCTTTGTACGTATTTTTATCAATGGAGCGGTAAAAGTTCAAGTCCCCTTCGTTGAATTTGTTGCGTAAATCTTGGTCGTTTTGAATGATTGAATCATATTTTGATTCAATTTTAGCTTTTCTACATAACTGAAATTAATCGCAGTTTTGTTGAATTTTTCAGCCATTTTCTTATAATTCGGAAAATGATTGTAATTTCCAGAATTCAATTGCGATCTGAAAAGTGTCAGCTTGCATTGAAAGGATGATACATGAGCGTAGAGCTGGGATATCAGTTGATTTTTGCCTCGAAGCCGTGTGTTCAAGACATTCAAATGATTTGTAATGTCAACTAAAAAAGCCAAATCACACAACCAATCACGATTTTTTAAGTTCCGGGACATCCCTTTGCTTTGCCGCCAGAAATATTCCAATTTCTTCTATTAAATTTAGAAATCGTTCCAGTGTCAATCCACGACTTAGCCACCTTACTTCTGCATAATACAGTAAATCTCCATATTCGCTTTCGATGTCATCAAGGAATTGTTTGAATTGCCTGTGATTGAGTCCTCGTGATTTATGAAATTTACAGTCGAAACTACCACTTTCATGACATTTTGAAATTCAGTTTTTTTAGAACAGAGGGCTTCTGGGTGTATAATGCAGTGAAACTGCATGAGATCTTCAGCGTTTATGTTTTTTTCTTGCAGATGCTTCTTCAGCAAAGTAACTAGCCCAGAATTGACACCAATCATCAAAGGAGCACCGTCAGTCGCAACTTCCGATAATTTTGATAAGTCCAAATTAGTTTTTGAACACTCATCCAAAAGTACATTGATTATATCAACTCCTCTGGTTTGACCTTTCAATGAACACATTCCTAATAACTCTTCTAAGACTTCAAAATCTTGAGTAACACTTCGTATGAATATGAGAAGTTGAGTTGTGGAACTAATATCAGTCGATTCGTCGAGTGCTAATGAAAAAAAATCAATGATCTTAGTTTTTTCATTTAATTGTTCCGCAATATTACCTGACAAAGCCATAATTCGTCTTTGGATAGTCATACGATTCAGTTGAATTTTCTTAAACTTTTTTGCTGATTCTGGGCACATTTTCTTAGCGGCAATTTCTATGCATTCTTTTACAAAATCCCCATCATTGAAGGGGAAACTTCGCTTTGCTATCATTCGAGAAATTTCATAACTAACTTCTGTAGCTGTTTCTGAATCTTGAATGGGTTTTGTAAAAATAGCTTGCTGACTAATAAGCTCCCGTTTTAAAGACAACATTTTTTGCTTTCTTAATTCGCCTGTAAACTTGGTAAAAGTAGGATGCTGCGTTTCATAGTGCTTTTTGAACATTATATTCTTTTGCAATCGCAACAGAATTCTTGCAAATTAAACAAACGACTTTGTTATGCGACCATACAAAAAAGTAATTCTCAGTCCAAATTTCTTGAAACTGCCGATTTTCATCTCTAACCTTACGTTTTTTACTAGGTCCTGGCTTGTCCATGTTGCGTTCTAATCCTGGCTAGGATTAACACAGCACCTAAAAACAATTACAGTACTTACTTAAATTACCCATCCTTTTTTTAAATTACCAAAAATAATTGATTAAATAGGTAGGGAAACACTTATTAATAACAGAGTTTTACTTACGATTTCACAACACAATTATACACGGCACTTGACTGGAAATCTACGTTGAATGTGGATCAAAGTATATGACACCGGCTAGTCGAGTTAAAATCTACACTAGAACTATTGACACTTCACTCAAATTAAAACCGAACTGTCGGTCGCTGCGGTTAGCGTGGCTTTTATACCGCGCGTATAGAGTCGAAAACTGTCTGGAGAAATCTCGAAACCGACTCTGGAAGCTTCGTGTATCTACCTACGCGAGCAATCGGGAATTCGGGACTATTGCTATCTCGCTTGCTCTAACAATATAACCTGTGGATACGCCGCCACCGCGCTGCCGTCGTCGCCGCGCCGCCGGCCGCGGCGCTTCCTCAAGAAAACTAATTTAGCCGAGATCAGCACGAACATTACCGACCGCTGTTACCGACGCATGCACGGCGCACCGATAAGCGCACTTAAGAGCGCGCGCGCGAGATTAAAATTACTTTTCGAACATATTTTTTGACGTGACAACGTCTTATAATTCGATGGAGCCGGCTGCACGCACGAAAAAACATGACTCATGCGGCGTTACCTCGCTCTGAGGCGTTCCATTTAAGGCGTGAAGTGCAAGCGAGAGCGCGGAAGTGACAAAGAGGCACAAGCGGCCTCCGCGTTCGGCAGCGTTCGACATCTGTCTCTCTCCTACTTGAGTGAGCGATGCGTCCGCGTGGACAGCTGCTACTCGTATACAATAATACATTTTTGAAAAATGCAACGATTCCATCAGTATTTTCTTATGACGTTGTCACGTTCAACTATCGTCAGTAAACCGACTTTACAGACAACCGATTTTTTGGTTTTATTCTGGAATAGAATTCAATATTTTTCGTATGTACGAGAGTATTATTTTTGCTGTCGGCGGGCCACCAGTATTCGACCGGCGGGCCGCGGTCTGTGCATCTCTGGTCTAAACAATTATTGATTCTGGTTGGCAAAGTATGTGCAGGTAACAATCCAAGCGTAGCTGTTATGTTTAGATAGTCATTTGCGTGTCGATCATTATTACCTGGCTTAATATCGATGTTAAGGTCACCTATGAGCATAACATTATTGTAAGATTTCAAAGATGTGACTATTTTACTTAGGCTGGTGTAGAAGTTGGTGGGGTTTGAATAGGACGGGGATCGATAAATTCCGACTATCGCTGTATCATTGTAGCAGCAGACCAGGCAGTTGGCGTCAGTTATCTCTGGCTCTTGTATGGAACTACATAGAGTGCTTTTGGCGTATATTAATACACCATCATTTTGTTTTGGGTTGTTTATGGTTTTATATGCAGTATAGCCCTCCAAAACGGGAATATTACCAACTGTTTGCAGCCAACATTCCGTGGTAACATGTAAACATGGTAGTGAATTGGTCTAGGTTATTTTTGTGCTCCTGATATTGGTGTGTATAATTTTTAATTCATTATCGCAAAATCCTGTGAAATTCTGACATTGTTCCGGTGTCGATAAGTAGTTGTCCGCAACTGAGATTGTATCTAATTCATTAGAGATTTCATTTATGTTCATCATTTTTAGTGTGAGAATAGTTCGGTGCAGGGAATGAGACAGCGTGGAATTGGTGATTATGATGTGTATGAGATGTGATGTACCACATCACATCTCATACACATGTCATACACGTCTCATACACGTCTATGCGTTATGCCCTGTGTGGTGTGCGGTTTTTCCGGGTTTTTACAATTGTGTGAGTATTTTGTGTTTGGTTTCCGATTAGTGAATAGGGTTTGGTAAATTAGGGATTTCATGATATTTACAAAAACATAGTAGATAGGATAAGCGGATCGCAGCGGAAAAGTGCGTGGTGACAGGCAGTCTTCCGTATGACATGCTAGTCATTTTTCGCCATCAAGGTCGGTTTCGCTTTTTATAATGTAGTGTCGTTCTCCATCCGTTTTACGCAGCAGAACCTTACCGAATGATGTCCAGCAGTACTTATACTTGTGAGAATCAGCAAAGCAGCGAGCAAGGTAATAGATGCGCTGCGTTTTCGGTGTTAGTTTTTCGGCCACAAAGATATGTTTTGAGGGCCCATTAATTTTCAAATGCGTGGTATTTAACTTGTTCTCTTTATTTGCTTTATTGAAATCACGGGCCTTTTTAAGGATATTTTCCTTTGTGATAGCGCTATTGAAATCAACAGTAATAGTGTTTGAATCCTTTTTGTTTTTCATGCGAAATACATCTTTAATATCAGTGTCATCTATCGGACATCCAAGAATGTTTGCGGTCTTGGTGACTATAGCGCACAGATCTTTCTTGCTTTCTTCTTGTTTCTGCGGCAGATTCCTTATTTCGATTTTGGACGAGCATAGTTGCCGCTTCATATGTTCTACCCTTTCTTCTAACTCGCGGATGTATCGACGATCATAATTGCGTTCAGACTCCAGGTTAGATAATTTTATTTTCATGTCGTCATATTCTTTGGAAATAAAAGTGAGAGTCTTTTATCTCTAAATTCTGTGCAATGATTTCGGTAATAGCCCGATGTAGTGAGGCTAGCTTGCTATCTGTTTGTGCGGTTGATGCTGACAACATCGCGCGGATTTTGTCCAGCCCCGACTGGCAGTCGCAGTCGTTGCGCTTACGCTTCAAGCAAGTTATATTGCCATCTCCTCCCAAAGTCGAAAGATCCGGGGATGATCCTGATTGAGGGAATTTCCGGTTCTCGGAAGTGGAACTTCCTTTTTCGTCATCTGGGTGAGAAGGCTTTGGTGGTGTTCTTTTTAAGGGCATGGTTAGTATAATAATAAAATATGTTACCTAAATTGTTTTGTATAGTTAGGCTCCTTATCGATGACGACCGTCTCACACACTCTGTCCGTCACTGTCGCTTATGTATTATGGCAAGCGCTCCTGCAGTACAATGCTGTCCCTTTCTTACATCGACTCCACGTTCCTCACCGCGTTATGCACGCCTAGTACTTCGCGATGATGATTTAATAACGAAATATTTTTTTTTTTTTGCGAATAAATAAATTAATTAATTAAAACGGTTCCACGTCTATACGCTATCGCGGTCCGGAGAGAAGGGGGCATAAATAATGTAATACTACTTCGCTACGTCCTTGTGGTGAAGGTTAGGAATACGGAGTCACCACACATATCCAACCCAAGGGCAGTGGCGGATTTACGGAAAAATTTTTTTTGTCTTTCAGAAATGATAAAAAAAAACAATATTTTAGTACTAAATTGTAACATCTGTATTTGAAAAATTAATAAACGCTTTATGAAATATACCCATGTGAATGTGGATTTTTTAAATATTCCAAAACCGGTCTAATATTATGCGATCCTCTAGTTTACATTGTAGCCACATGTCAATTTATACCAAAAAAACAAGCGACAATTTTTTACAAAGTGCTTTTTGAACAAATGAGTTGTTGGGTTAGTTAGGCTCATCTTGGAACACCCAGACCGTTGATTGTTAAAGACACACAATTTTCAAAATCACTCCGCAAAGGATAAACAAATGACAGCTACATGAAACAAATTGTATTCTTCAGCCAAAGAGTTCCATTTTTTAATCTTACAATTACTTTCTTAATATTATTCGGTAACGGGCCAGTTCCGGATACATAAATAGCAGCCCTCGTATGTAAATAGGCCAAAACCTCCATTCTAAGGAGAGCCCTATGTCGTGTAGTTGACTGTTATAGGCTGTTAGTAATGATGATGACTCCACTACACTTGTAGTAGTCAGGTCAATAGTAGCGGTCAAAGAGAGGCGCTTCCCTGATGGAAGAGTTTTATAATTCAACTTTCTAATTGACGAACCGCGATTGATGAAACATCTCAGTCGGAAATGGGTTTTATCTAGTCGAGATATTTCATTTTATTTAGTTTTTAACATAACATACGTAATAAAAATATTTTTATTATTATTGAATAAACTTGGTTTCTGAATTAATTGTTATATATCGTCTTGCAGGAAATAAAAGCCACTATTTAAGTAACTGTTGACATATTCGCAATTTGTTTACACTGTTAAATATTACGCCTTGTTATCACTTGTTTCAGTTTTGGCAGCGGCTGTAATTCCCAACTTGAGTGGAATAATTTCACTTGTGGGGGCTTTTAGCAGCTCTGCGCTCGCACTCATCTTTCCCCCGCTGATAGAAATAATGACTTTCTGGCCAGATCAACTTGGTAGAAGGGATTGGAGGCTATGGAAGGATGTCGTAATAATCATTTTTGGTTTTACCGGCTTTGTCTTTGGTACTATAACTAATGTACAAAATATATTTTTTAAAGAGTAAAAGCTCTTCTGTTATCTCTATTAATTATTCACCAAAGAGTTTTATACCTAATATTGTGTGTTGTTTTCTATGATAATCATGACAATAATTGTGTGTAGTAAATGTTAACTATATTTTGCTTTATAATATTTAATTAGCTTATAGGTGTTGATTAATTGACAAGCTCAGCTTATTTTTACACTTTTATTTTATATTTGACCTTTTTAGTATTTGTGAAAGTGATATATTTACTCGAATTATTTAAAACTTATAATAAACATGACAATGAGCTTGTAACAAGGAGTAGATAATTTATTGATAACTTACTAAGTGTAGTGCTAATTTACACAATATGTACTTACTATACATTCTGAAATCAGCTATCCTAAATGTGGTTATACTATATAATTTAATACATTCCCTTGATTGTGTATAGAATGAATATATTATGATGTTGTATAGAGTACCAGTCGGTATTTTGTGTAATATTATTGTAGTACCTAACTAATATTTAAAAAAAAATTGTCTTAAATATATTTAAAAAAAAAGAGTATTTAGAAGAAAAAAAAAACATTTAGTAAAAATTTAGGTTATAGTGCAAGAGATTACGATAAAAATATATTTCACTATACTGTATGTAAAGAACAAATAGAACCAGTAGGGATAAAAATTTAGTCAAAATGCATTTAGTTAAATTTATTACTGCTGGTAGCCCTGTGACAACACCGGATCTAATATTTCGAATAATGTTATTCTATCTTGTTTATGTTATAAATAATAATGAATTTAAAAAGATGTTTATATTGTGTTTGGTTTTAAAGAATTGTTATTTCTTTTTATTTTAAGTAGTTCTAGGAGAAAATTTATAGTATTTATGAGGATAATATACCATTCTATTTTTGACCAAAGTTTTTTGTTATAATTCATGTTAAGCTGTGTTGCTCAAATTAATTGTTATTAGAAGAAACGTTTTACTGCAGAAACTGCTCCCAAAATAATATATAACTAAATTATTATTTGTGTACACCAATATGGTCAAAGCTTAAATATATATTATAGGCTAAAAGTTAAATCACGAATAGTTTTATGAGAAACAATGCAAAGGAAAAAAGTATTACACACATTTTGCAGCTACATTTTATAAATTATTCTGTTTTTTTTTTGTTATTATACATACTAAAATAAGCACAATACTTGCATATTAATAAAAATATAAACAGTCTGTCGCAAAATTTATTTACTTGGTGGGTTGCTTATTGTGATGTCATTATATTAAATAAACTATATAACCGATGGTGCAAATGACCGAATTGTTTCAATATATAGGCACCATCCAAACAGACCCAAACAGAATTTTTTTGTTTGACTTGACAGGCCTCACAAAGGCCTGTCAAGTAACTTTTCTAACCAGCCAGCGTGGTATAGTAGGCAAAAACCTCCTTTCTACGCAGAGGCTTATGTCCAGCAGTGGACTAATAAAGGCTATTGATGTAATGTGATGTGAATCAGGCTTCTGAAAAGTGACATCCTCTATATCACTCATGATTCCTTTTAGGTCCCCAACGACAGGCTCCAAACAAATATGTCTAATCAAAGTTCTCTGAAGACCACCCTGTCCGTGAGAGACACCAGTGACCACCAAGAGATTAACATGTTTCCAAGCATCGAATTCCATTGAACGAATTTGGGTATTATTACCTAACTAACAAGACCCTTGAATTATTTGTCTTTTTAAAATCCTCATTATTTATACAATAAACAGTATCTGATACCAAAATCCGTTTTAAAATTATATTATCTAGGGCGGCCTTTGGGGGTGGCGAGCAAAGCAACCGCCCGGAGCCTCGCACACGCTCAACAACAACAAAAAATATGTATATTTGAATTTCGCGCCTTCGCCTCTTATAATAAAACACGTCATTTTTTTTTCATGGTGTTTACAATTTACATTCGGGGATTACCCGTGTTCCATTTCGCTTGTAACTTTGACAGGCTGTTAATATCCACTGTCGTCGTCATTTCTTATGCTTTACGTTCGAGCAGCAATGTGTTGAGTTGCATTTTTGTTTCAAGTGACTGCACAGATGGCGTAGTGGTTTAAGTTGTGGGTTCTATCTCCACATGGGACAAGAATAATATCTTTATTCAGTAGGAGAATTATGTCTAATTAACATTCTGTATCTGTACCTGAACTAGGCTTAACACCTGTATCTCAGACAACAGTGCTCTTCGGACGGACGTACACACCTTAAGTATTGCTCTTTGAACTCTCTCTAATGGCATGATAATATATTTAGAGGTGACCCCCCCAATCAAAACGTGAATCAATACTGTATTACACAGTAGGCCAGTATTGATTTACAGATAGCAGTGTAAGATTCGATTTAATAGCATCGGACCAGTTACGCGACGGAGATTTTTAAATACATAAACTAGCTTCCTAACACGTGAAGTTACTAGTTCTACATGGAGTTGAATGGATGATTTGTTTGTGGTTCCAAATTCAATTTTTAGTAATTATTTTTTTTGTTGTTTATATTAAATACAGTGCTGTTTTTAGTTATGTCATATCTAGTGCGTATTGCGAATTTCATAATGGACAAAAACATCGAACAAAGAGTTAGTCTTAAATTTTGCATCGCCAATGGAATTTAGTGTTCGGAGTCACTGAAAATGTTACAGAAGGCTTACGGTGAAGCGACTTTATCAAAAACTAGTGCTTATGAGTGGTACAAAGCGTTCAAAAGCGGTCGAGATGTGATGGAAGATTTGCCTCGCTCTGGTAGGCCATCAACGTCTGCGACTGAAGTTAACATCGCAAAAGTGAAGGAAATAGTGACTGAAAATCCTCATTCAACTTTGAGAGAGATAGCCCCCGAACTTTCTGTATCTCACGAGTTGATCCGTACTATTTTAACTAATCATTTGGGTATGAAACATGTTACCGCTCAGCTAGTCCCAACAGACCTGAATTTTCTCCAAAAACTCAATTGCTTGAGAGTCGCTGAGGACAGGCTAGAACGAGTCAATTCCGACCCAACATTCATGAAACGAATTGTTACTAGTGACAAGACATGGGATTACGAGTTTGACAAGCAAACTAGTCATCAAGCCTTCTAACTGAACCGAAACCGAAAAAACCACGCCAAAGTCGATCAAAAGTCAAAGTCATGTTGACTGTTTCTTATGACTATCGCGGTGTTGTGCACTCGGAATTGTTGCCGGAAGGTCAAACGGTAAATAAAGAATATTATTTGAGCATTATGCGGTATTTAAGAGAGCAAATTCGACGAAAAAGTCCAGATTTGTGGAAAAAAAAATCTTGGATTTTGCACCACGATAATGCGCCTTCGCACAAGGCCATCTTTGTGAACGATTTTTTGACCAAACACTCAACAAATACCATCAAGCAACCACCATATTAACCAGATATGGCTCCAGCCGATTGCTTTCTTTGTGCCTAAACTCTAATTACCACTTCGTGGCACCCGTTTTCAATCGGTAGAAGACATAAAGAATTCGTGGCGAGAACTGAACTCAATTCCGGAAACAGCGTTTAAAAATGTTTGGATGATTGGATTATTCGTTGGCGTAAGTGAATCGTTTCTGAAGGAGCATACTTTGAAGGTGATAAAATTGAATGAATAACAAACATTTTGTGTATTACTGATCTTTTCCCTGTACTTTCTTGACAGAGTAGTTTAATTATTCCAAGATCCTTTATGTGGTTAGTTCGCGATAAGGGGTCACAGGAATATAATTCTGAGTTTAAGGAAGAACAAGTGTAAGCCGTAACACTAAAAGTGCATGATGGTTGGCTAGAGTTCGTGATAGAAAAGGGTATATATTGGGTTTTTCCCGCATTTAGGGTCAAATAGTTTTTGCGAAGCTAAGTGGAGACCGAATTTAATCCATTTTGAGCCCTATTAACATTTTCCTGCCAAGTGCTTGCTGGAAAAGTAGCACTGTATCATCAGCATATGTTATGATCTTTCCATTGAATGGTTTTATTTTAAGGAGGTCATTTAGGTAAATGAGAAAAAGTACAGGGCCGAAAATACTCCCCTGGGGCACCTCTTGCTTAACAGGTAGGTCACAACTAACATGTCCGCCAATCATAACACTGATGTCGTCCTGCGAGATAGTCTTGAAATAGTTTCAGTTGCTTGCGTCTAATTTCTATGCGCTTGAGCTTTGATAAGAGTATGGGGATAGAGACCGTGTCGAAGGCTTTAGCAAGATTGAGGAAAACGCCAATTGTTTTATTTCCCTGGTCTAGATTAGCATGCAGTCTGTGAGTTCATGAACCGCAGCACCTGACGAATTGACATTCCGATAGTATACCATTCTTTTGCAAATAATCGGTCAGTCTGGAGTTAATGGCTTTCTCAAATATTTTTGAAATTGCTGGCAATATCAATATCGGTCGAAAATTATTGACAGAGTCTCCATAACCAGATTTATGTATAGGGTGGATAACCGACTTTATAATTAAGAAAAACATAGTCATTAACACCAACCGTTTTAAATCGAAAAAAAAGGTTTATATCCTTAATTAATGGTTTAATTAAATTAATGGTTAAAGTCAATAGGCCGGCAATTCGGTTTAAACCGTTTTTTTTTGTTTAAACGGATTGGTTTAATTGGTTTTAAACCGGCTTTACATCTATTATCCGGATTGTTAGACCAATTGGAACTAATGGTTAAACAAAGTTTTAATTTTACTATTGTATAACTGTACTGTTAGATTAGTCGAACCAAAAGCCTAAGTGTGTTGTAGATTCGATTCCCACATGGGACAACACTTTGCGTGATTCACAAATTGTTGTTCTGAGTATGGGTGTTCTTTGTGTCCGTTTTAATAACGTATTTAAAGTAAGTCCCTCGCGGCACAGGGTATATTTTGGCACTCCCGCATTAGGAATGTATCATGTCGCGGAATATTTAAATACGCACATGCAACCTTCTGGCAAGTTCCGTTCCTTTTCATGAAATCACTTCACTAGTTAAGAAGTAGGAAATATGTCATACATCAAAAAGTATGCGCACTTGTGTAATATAGATATTCTTTGTATTTATATTTTTTTTTTTAAATGCTTTCCTCTTCCATAAAACGTTTACCTTCGAATAAAACTCTTTTAACAGTGGACAAAGGAATTCCCGTCGATGTCGCTACCAATTGGGCTGATGTAGTGACACTTGATATGTCTTTATCGTTTATGTGTTTAAAATAACTATTTCAATAAAACAAAATTTCTTTTTCCTGGCTATTTAAAGATTTTCGTATTCTTCGTTTATTTGTGTTAGCAGCAATTTCACTAATAAATCGAACACAAAAACAAAATATTAGGAATTAAACACGTACAAAAGGTGAAGTGAAGAAGGTTGCGTCCAGCGAAGGACGCACCGCGCCTTAGGCCGATTGCCAAAAAGCAGTATTAACCAGTTTGACGTTGACAAAGGACGCGTCACGCAATAGGCCGACGTCATACCTAAACTATCTATATGCACTCACACAAATGCAAAACGCAGCGTAGGCCTTGCGGACTGTACCTACACTGCATTCAATGTTACATGTACTATGACATAGCGTGGCAACGCATACGTCACCACGCCAACAGCCGGTCTGGGCCCTTCTCATTGGATGTTTCACATCAAGAATATAATCAAACTTGCGAAGTGCGATTGCGATGATATATTGATGATATAATGCTAGGCAACTGTCTTATTGATTGCTGAAATAGTAACTGTAGAATAGAAATGGATGTTTATACATTTTATTAAATTTATTTAAATTACCTTGATGTTGAACCAAAATTATCAACTATGATGACACTGGTTGAGAAAATCATTCCAGTTTTTGAACGAAGAAAAGAAAACCCGCAACACTACGGTGAAATGTCATTCACCGACAACAATTAAAAAATGTCGGAATCGTGTCAAGACGGTAATTGTCAAGGAAATAATGAATATGGGGCGGACGAATCACCCACCAAACTTATTGTTAATTACATTCCTGAAGTCATGACCCAGGATATGATGTTCTCGCTATTTTCGACAATGGGTAAACTGGAAAGTTGTAAATTGATATCGAACCGAGGCTATGGGTTCGTCGAGTACTCTCGTCCAGAGGATGCAGTCAAGGCACGAAAAGCATTTAACGGGCTCCTGATGCAAAACAAGACTCTAAAAGTGTCACATGCACTCCTCAATCCAGAGTCTAAACCTCCATCGAAGCCTGAAGCAGACTGGAACCTTTACGTATGTAACCTGCCTAATGAACTGACCTTGCAGGATTTACATGGACTCTTCGCACAATTCGGTAAAATAGTTAATTCTCGTATAGCTGCAGGTATAGCCTTTGTATTATATGAGCATCAGTATGAAGCGGAGAGGGCCATTCAGAGTTTAAATGGTACAACGCCGCCTGGGTTTTTACATCCGTTAACAGTTAAGTATGCTAATAAAAGTAATCCTAATAAACATAAAAACAATAATAATAACTTTTCCAAAAGTTCGCTTGTAAGACCTTATCATTGGATTAATCATATGAACGCAATAGGAGATCACAATTCTCCAAGTACATGGTCAATATACATTTACAATATTGCCCCCGAAGTGGAGGAGTTAACTCTGTGGCAGCTTTTTGGTCCATATGGTGCTATCGTCTCTGTTAAGATAATTAAAGACCATCAAACAAATAAGAGTAAAGGATTTGGTTTTGTCACTATGAGAAACTATGACCAAGCAGCGATGGCAATACAGGCGTTGAACGGGTATGTTCTTCATGGCCAACCTTTGTCGGTTAGTTTCAAGACTCAAAAAAGATAATGCTAATGTGAAAGACTTAATAAATTCTACAATATCAATACAGTAATAAATATACAAAAAGATATCTAATTGTTGATTGGCGTTTTCTGATATTGCAATAAAATAGTCCCAGTTCGGAATCTTTATACACTTACACACAACTGTATGTGCAGTCAGTTGACTCTTGTTGAAAATATTATATTACTTTGAGCTATCTACATTGTTAAGTTTGTTTATGAATAATAATTTATTCAGTTTGCTCGTTAAATGTTTCAAGTTTACTAGAGGTTTAAGATTGTATTGTATTTGATTGTTGTATGGAAATTCAACATCAGTTGTGAGCTGTAATGTTTTCATTATTTTAATCTATTATTTAAGTATAATAAAACCATTTTAAAGAAAGTGCTTTTACAAGATCTAACTAATTGATAAGCCACATTGAGATGTTTAATCAGCTACTAGTTTTAGTTGTACACTTTTTATAACATGATGTCTATTTAGGTAGTGAAAACGAAATCTAGATTATATCATATTTATACATTTAGTATAAAATTTGCTGAATTAAAGTTCATTTTCACAATTTTAAAAATGTGTTTTAATTTTATTTTAACCTTGTCCTTTTCTGCATGTTTAATTCAAATACAGTTAAGTATAAGGTATTTAAGTACAGGTGTATTAATAATTGCTTGCACTGATAAGAATGGTGTTAGTTTATAGTTTGAACTTAATTAAAAATAATATGACCAAGACCATTTTCAAATGTATGTATTTGTTGTAAGACCATGTTTATAGCCTTGAATTTCTATGTTAAATGTAAATCCAAAACTTGTTAGTTTTAATATAATATTATAAAATTCTCTGTGGCACATACCTAAGTGGTAACCACGTAGTGGTAACCAAGTAGGTTACCACATTGTAAAGTTAAGCAATTTAGACAGGTCAGTCTATGGATGCGTGACCATTCTTAACACATGGAGACCCGTCCGTGCCTCGGAGAGCACGTCAAGTGGTTGCTACACGGACACCTGTGGCAATCGTTACTGCTGGTTTAGGCCATAAAAAATTCGTTAAGTCTTTCTGCAGAACTTTGATATCACCTAGTACTCTGGTTGTGGAGGTCTGGCGAGCCCGACTAAATTTGGGAAAAAAATTCGGAGGATGAAGAATTCAAAGTTCTTTGCCATGTGGACTCCATGATTTGAACTTGTTACTTTTCTTTTTGACAAATTAGAAGTGACTATTTCTGTCCTGGACACTTACCAATAATATTTATTAAAGTATTTTTAAATATATTGAAAACTGCAATTTAAATGTTGGTATTGTACAATCAATACCACAAATCCTCGCATGAAGGTCTTTAGTTTACTAAGGTAATCTCTTAGTCTAGATAGAACAATGTATGAACAAACAAAAATAAATAATTGTATTAATACTTTATGCAATATCATATTTTTATAAAACAATCCATGAATATATTTATGTTGATGGATCTAGATCCATCAACACCCTATAATGTTAAACTATTATTATATGTACGGAATATGTGCCTTATTTTCACTTACGACTATAGTTCAGTTGCATGCGTTCAATTTGTCTGTATTCTCTCCATGGTCATAAGTAGATTATAATCTAATAGTTACATATCATGGACGTATAAAAAAGTTGTTTTATACGCCCTTGTTACGTACGTATACTAATTACAGGAATAAAATGCCAGCAATCAATCAACTCTTATAACTTTTTTTGAATTGTTATAAGAATAATGTGTTTTGATCACTATGAAATTACGTTAATGGTTAAAATGTAAGTCGAAACATTTTAGATCGCTTTATATTTTTTTAGTAAGGGTAGGTAAGTAAAATAATGTTATGTGTCAAATGTCGCCTTATACATGTAATTTCCTTGACAGTTATTTAATATTAATCTGTAGGTACAATAAAGAATAAATAAAAAAAATAATGTAATTTTTGTAAGTAGTATAAATCATTTAGCTGGTAGTAACTATAGGTAGGTAAGAACAACAATGCAATTACCGGAGGCCCGAGAAAAACATGTGATTTAAGTTGCAGGTGCCTATCGGCGGCGGTAATCATCATTTAGTAATCTCGACCAGAGTGATACGAAGGCCTCACAGAAACTCTGCACTTTTAAAGGAGTGAGTGAGGTTACTGGAGCCCAAACCCCTCCTTCTCCTTGATTCTAGAGGAGTCCCCCAGAACTTTTGTGACTCTTGAGTTGCAAGCATCCATGGGCGGAGGTAGTCACTTACCATCAGATGACCCGTCTACTCGTTTGCCCCCTATGCCATAAAAAAGAAAGAACCACTAACACTAAGTGGTTACCAAGATATATGCAACAAAGTGTTAATCAACATTACAATCTATATTAGTTAAATAGTTGTTCTAATATATAACCTATGTCTCATACTAATACTCTTATTTAGGATCTTAATTTAGGATAGTAGTAATTTTTGGGTAAAGAAATAATATATTCGCCGAAGAAAAAGAAATAACTGCTTCTGTTGCCCTGGGTTTACTACGGCCAAGCCAAATTATTGTTAAAATACTTCAACTCCAAAATACTTTTACAAAGGCTTTTTAGACATAACTAAAGGTTTATTGCAAGATTCCACTTCCCATTGACAGATGGCGCTAATTGCAATTAAAATCGCAGTGTGTTGCTGACGAAATAATTATATTGAAGATTTTGTTACTCTTACTAGTTGTATATAGTTATTTTATTGGTATCAACTAACAAAACACAGTTATTTCACTATTTAGATATTTTATATTTTGGTTAGGAAGGTATTTTGTATAATACACTGCAGCACAAAACGCCATCTGTGGCATTATGGTGCTAGAGATGCTAAAGGAATTTAGCATCAGAACTTGTACCGAAATAAAAAATAATCATAGGGATCAGGGCACTTTTCAATAAGACCTTTACATCTTTTTTAGTTATTTTCTCAGTTTCAACTACTCTAAATTAGATGCCTGTCTAAAGTTAGAAAAGCGCATGCTCGTTATAGAATCGATATCACATTTTACTAGAGGGTCTTACGTCATACATTTTCAGCTTCAGTTTTAGAGTGTATAGTGAAAGTATTTTCTAGATTTTGAATATTAATAGTTTGGAAGGGAAAAAACTTTTATTCTGCGTGTGTGACGGCGTTACGGCCGTGGCGGACGGAGAGGGTTCTGCAGTGGCGGGGGGCGTCGGCCTCACCGTGAGCAGTAAGGTGAATATATACTACCTAAATTAAATTTCCTATATTAATAAATTTAATTGTAAACATTAACTTAATAAGGAGAAAAGTAAATTGCCGTACATTAAGGAGTACCTACTTACACAATTAATATTTAAAAAGTCAGGCACTGTACCTTAATAACTTTGAAGTAGCATTACTATTTTAATTTCATAATATAGTAAAGCAATTTGGCTGCATTGATTGTCAAATAGATAGGCACCGGTATTAGGTAATCGTGTACCTTATTCTCAAGGACTTCTCGCAACAATCTTCAACTTCTACAAAAAAAGCAGCAATTAATCAACGCACGAATGAATGATATTATTTAATACAAATTGTATATTTAGGTATATCCAAGCCCGGGGGCGGCGCGCGGCGTGTGGGCGCTGCCGCAGCCGCCCCCGTGTACCATGGCCGCCGAAGAGCCTCTACCGCCATGCTCTCCAATGTCTCCTGATGCACCAGCTGCTCCACCGCGAACTATTACCAACATCAGCTATCATTCTGATCTTCATCAACTCTCAGCTCTTATTTTTGAAGCTGTTCGGTCTGGGTACGTTATACTTGGCTGCTTCCCTATACATTTTAAATATTTGTTCTAATACATACCGGAATCTATTTTTCTATTTTACTTTGAAAAAATTATTTGCATAGAGAAGTGTCCGAAATCGAGCGCCTGGTTGAAAAGCTTGGTGTAGAAGTCCTTAGTGCACGAGATCAACATGGCTACACTCCTGCTCACTGGGCAGCATTAGACGGTAGCGTAGCCGTTATGCGATATCTCGTCGAAAGAGGAGCCCCTATAGATCTTTCTTGCTTAGGCACTCAGGTAATTATAAATAAATGTTGAATACCTGTTATATTTAATAAGAGATTGTTAAAATTTTATCTAGACTCTACAATTCTCAGGGTCCTCGTCCAATTCATTGGGCTTGCCGAAAAGGCCATGCATCTGTAGTGCAGGTGTTGTTACAGTCTGGTGTTGCAGTAAATGCAGCAGATTTTAAAGGTCAGATCTATTTAAGAAAATACTTATTCAACAACAACAATTTTTAAATTGACTCAAATGTTAAGTTGTCTTTATAATCTCAATAATTACAACACAGGTTTAACCCCACTAATGACGGCATGCATGTACGGCAAGACTGCAACGGCAGCGTATCTCCTCGGGATGGGAGCAGCAACCAGACTCTCAGACATCAACGGTGACACAGCGCTACACTGGGCCGCATATAAGGGCCACGCCGACTTAGTCCGACTCCTGATTTATTCAGGAGTACCACTGCATTGTACTGATAACTTCGGCTCGACACCTCTCCATCTGGCATGTCTCTCTGGAAACTTGACGTGCGTAAGGCTACTTTGTGAGAAGGTAAATAAATAAAAATTTAAGTCTAGTAGAGGTTTATAATATGGAACCCTATAGTAGTAGATTTCCTTTCTAATGTGAATCTATTTTTTATAGGTAAAGGCAGAATTGGAACCTCGTGACAAAAATGGAAAGACGCCACTAATGTTGGCGCAAAGTCATCGACACGTAGAGGTCGTTAAACTGTTACAAAAGGAGATGAAACGCAAATCACATTGGATGCCGCCTCTATCAGAATTATGGGCATTGTTATTTGGTGGAGCTGGTGATTCGAAGGGACCTTTACTATTCTTTTTAATTTCAGTACTTCTGTGGGGGTATCCCATGTATGTTATACGATGCATACCTTTAACTTGGAATACATTACGCCTATCCCACTATTGTTTCCTATACTGGAATGCTATAATGTGGCTCAGCTGGGTGATTGCCAATAGAAGGGATCCAGGTTATATTCCTCAGAATTCTGAAACCTATTATAGAGCCATTAGACAGATTCCATATTATGATAAATGGAAGAAGAGGAATGTAATTTTGTCACGATTGTGCCATACGTGCCGATGTCTAAGGCCATTGAGGTAAATTTTTATAGTCTATATAGTACCTATAGTTTTTACCTGCAGATCAGCCCGCTTGTATGTCGGATATCGCAGTAAAAAGTAGCTTATGGTACTCGCTCATAATGTAGCTTTCCATTGGTGAAATATTTTTTAAAACCGGTTTGATGATAAAGCTAACAAACAAACTTTCATATTTATAATAAAAGTGTGGCGACTCCCACATACAAAGAAACAGAAATATAAATACAGCGCCATCTAACGAAGACACACCAAACTACGGAGTAAGTCCTGAATAAGAAATTGCTAATCCTGTATCGCAATATGAAGAATACTCTCGCCGATTAGCATATATACAACTTCCCAACATCAATCGTTGGGCGGCAGTCCGCCAGGCATGATCACCTCGCCTGGTCGTAGGATCCTCCCTTTATGTTGTAGGAACACTACACCCGTTCCTCCACTTAAGTATGGATTATAGATAAATTCCTAAATCATGTACCTACTTAGATTATTTGTTTTTGTAAAAGTGTCTAGCACGTTTCACTGAACTTAGCTTTCACTGATTGCAGTCTTCTATTGCGAAAATAGTTAGGTACACATTGCTCAGTTATGATTACAAGGCAATGGAACTTGTGTTCATTTTATAATTATATTTTTGAGTAATATAGATTAACGCTGCAGTGCTTTGACACAATTTATTATAGAAAGAATTTGTACTATATTACATAGGTATGTATGACATTATGTTACTGCTCCGCTTCTAGGTATCGTAGTGTGATGTTATAGATAGGTACATAAACCATTACTCAATGAATACTGTCTAATATAAAACTAATTATTGATCGTTTGTTCCAAATTGTTGTTCAAGTTGTTTAGGTTTTTTTTTTATTTAAGTCTAGTCTAGACTAGACTTAAATAAAAAAAAAAAGTTACCTACACACATAAATTAAAACATGTCATCATTATCATCATCAACAGCCTTTAATAGATCTCTCCTTAGAAAGGAGGTTTTGGCCTAATATACCACACTGGCCTACCGGTTGGTATAGGGTTATGTACGGCGTGTCAAGTTTTCCTTCTCTTTAGAGTGTTGTTATCCTGCGTAGTTTGTTCCCTTAGTCGGCTCTTACGCCACCCACGGCATGAATAGTGGTGGTGGCACTCCGTATTATTAACCCGTCACCACACGGATAACAAAAAACATGTATTAAATACTTATCTTGTCGACACTTAGTACTTATTAGTAATTAATAAGTAGGTAAGTACTTGATAATACTTTTGTTTGACAGGGCTAAGCATTGTCGCATATGCAAGCGCTGCGTTGCCTACTTCGACCACCACTGTCCTTTCATCTACAACTGCGTCGGAGTTCGCAACAGAATGTGGTTCTTTCTTTTTGTGATGAGCGTCGCCATCAATTGCACCTTATCGATATATTTTGCCTGTTACTGCCTATTGTTGGAAGGATTTGGACTACTCTACGTACTTGGGCTGTTGGAAGCGATTACATTTTGTGCACTCGGTTGGATACTTACCTGTACATCTGTGAGTTTTAGGTTTACATTATTTACACCTACTCTACACCTAATATTATAAAGATCACTATTTTCCTGATGTTTAGTGTTAGCAGTCACGTAATACCTATTGTATTACATATTCGGCCGCAAGGGGAAGTGATTAGATTAAGTCCACACACTTGTATATTATAATGCGGTGCCTTGTAAAAAACTATAGGCATGCGTGCGCACACAGTACCTAAGTTAGTAAGTAAGAGTTATTGTAAAAGATTATGTCACAATTTAGAATATTAGGAATTGATCTTTTGATGTTAACCATGGAATTGCCACTTAAGCTAAAATGAAAATCTAATCACTCTGACTTCGATTCTGTAAAACTAATAATTCTTTGATGATTCGTCCGAAAGAACTGTTTTAGATCGAACCACAACTAGGCCATTTCTATGGCTTTAAAAAATATTTTCAGAGGTAATGTTAGTAGTTCCTATTAAAATAACTTCTATTTTCTTACTGGACTACTATATATAATAATATTTTCCTAAATAAACCTGACAATTACAGACCACACATTATAACAGCTTCTTTACAAATTACTGTTCAGATTATCCCCCTTTACGCCGGGAAATGTATGGAAGACTTACCATTGTTCACGTAAATTATACAATCGTAAAATATTTGTCCCGTCATAGAAACCCTAAATTATAATAAGACTAAACTTTGTTTAATATTTGAATGTTTTCTGAGTTGCTCTCTTGTTTCCTGCCGTTGTTTTTGTTTGGTATTGTTGGTTTGAAATGTATTGACATCATTTAATGATAACTGATAACATACTTATTGTCTTCTATTTCAGATATTGCACGCGTGCATGAATTTGACAACAAATGAAATGTTCAATTATAAAAGATACCCATATTTGCGAGACAAACGGGGGCGTTATCAGAATCCATTCTCACGAGGGCCTTTAATGAATCTGATAGAGTTCTTCGTATGCTTGCCAGACAAGGGTGATGAACAAGATATTTTCCACGAAGAGAACATATGATATGTACTGCAATGACGAAGCAATAATTGCGTTGCATGCAAGAAATCTCAAGATGTTATTTAATAAATTTTGAACGGTTCTTGCTTGCGAACCAAGAAATTACGATTATAGTGGGCACCTACTGCTGATTTAACTATAATGTTACACAATTACGCTTTTGATAATATCGGCTTTTGAACAACGAAAGCGAGACGCTTAAATTTAGGCACACGCAATTTGTATAAGAATATCAACAAGTACCTTCTATCTGCTAAATTGGGCATGTCAAGATTTTCTATCTTCACAAATGGTAACACCATTGTTTATTTATAAGTATAAATTGTTCACTGAATTGTTAAAAGCTAGTGTAAATTTAAATTATTAAAACAAATTATTATGATTTTAAGTGATTGGAGTGTATATAATGTAATGTACTTGTATATGATTAAATATATATATCAACGCTTAAAAAAGAACTTTGTTGTCATTTATTTATAAAAAATAAAATCATAAATACATAATGTAATACTAAATAATTTAGAGAAGGAAAACTTGACATAAACGCCATACCATCCCGTTTGGCCAGCGTGGTATAGTAGGCACAAACCTTTCTAACGAGAGGCGTATGTCCAATGTGTGATGTAAAATAATAGACACTAACTTAAGTCTGTCCCGGAGAGCTACAAAAGTAATAGTAGGATAATATGTGTTTCAAATAAAACTCTTTCATTAAGTGCTATAATAGTTATTTATTCGTCAAACGATTATTTGAAATGAAAATTAATTTATACGAGTAGGTATAAGCTTCAAGATGATGTGCGAAAAGTTTTATAACGAAAAAGACGTTGACAGTAAGTTAATTACGTTAACAATATAACTAAACATATAAATACATTTGTTCACATTTCGCTTACATAAGGATAAACAATTTATCCTCTTAAGTATCACAATCTCTTACACGTCAGTCCATTATATACATTGTTATAGCGCATATGTATGTATTGTAGTTGTATATATTCTCACATTTTGTAAAATATCGTTTCAGCTAAAGTAGAATCAGACCAGCTGACTTAACAATTAATATATAACTACTGTAACTTTAATGAATTATTAAATAGAAGTTACTTGTTACACTATCTTGTTTTGTTTAAAGGGAATAGGTTCAGAAGCAATCAAAAGTATTTTGATACTACTAACCTTAGTTGTATTGCACCTGCACAGCTCCTTTCTGTCATATATCGGAATTTGATAGGTCGCAGTTTGATATTTACTTTTATATGCAGTAATTTACTCTTATAACATGTTAAAAAATCTTAAGATCTTATATACCACATTTCATCTGTAAACAATTATTTGTAGAGAAACATTTAAAATATTATTAACTAGTATTTGAAAACATCAATGATGCTTTTACTTCACTGGATACAAAATGCAACAGACTAGTAACTACATTAAGCATAAAAACAAAGAATATAAAACAATGTGGTCTATAATACTGATGTGTTAATTCTATCAAATTATTGCTATCATAATTAAATAACTTATATGTATAATAAATATGCATTATTTTATTAATAATCGTACAGATTTTGTGTTTTAACACTGTAACATCTAGTAGATATAAAGCATAAATTATTTAAAAAAACATACGAAAGTGATTACAATGAAGTGTGCCTTAAGCTTTTGAAATATTATAAAGACATAGTAATAATCACAAGTCGCTCGAAACAGCTGGCCGTTTGACAGCCTTCGCCTTGAGCGTATATAGTAAGTAGCATCTTAGGAAGTAGCCGCGCAACTAAACAATTCAGTACACTTAGTATTCATAGCGAAATCAAGTTCAAATCATCACAGTGCATTCAGATCGTAACGCATTGTGTGTTTTACAAGTACTACCTAATTTTACGCTTCTTATAAATAAACATTGGAATCTCTGATATATTTACTGTAATTTACTATCAGAATGGATAGCTCATCTAGCCCCTGGTAGATTAATCATCCTTTGGATTGATTCTTATAGCAGCATCGACTTCCTCCTTGGAATGATCTTTGTCACCCCATCCCCATAGATGATGGGAACCATCACCCGTGCGCTCGACTCTATTCTTGACGATTTCGTCAGACACCGTCTTCATATCATACGCCCAGCCGAGTTTAGCGAAGAAATTAATGAAGTTGGTTGTAAAGTTAAGTCTGTTGTTTCCGAGTTCAGCGGTTTTGTAATCCCATGGGAATGTGTGGTGGTAATTATGGAAGCCTTCACCGAGTGCGAAAACCGACACCGAAATGTTTTGTGATGGCTTTATGTTTTTGTCGTATGGCTTGTCGCCCCACTTGTGCGCGGCGGAATTGACGAGCCACGTGACGTTCAGAATGAAAGTGTACCGAAACAGCGCGGCCACAAAGAATGCGTTGATCCATGATTCACTCCAGCAATATACAGGAATCACCGTCGGCAGGATAAAGCAAGCGATAGGCATCAAGAGCAGGTAATACCTAGAAAAATTAATTATTAGAAGTTTAATTTCAATGTTAGAATCGCCCAATATTTTCAAGAAATTGAGTTTACACACAAAAAGAAAGAACGAAAATCTTGAGTAGGTGTATGCCGCAAGTATACAATACGAGACAATTTTTAACCCTAACTATACTTTATTGAAAATGCAAACATAAACATACTTCTATAACTTAAAATGTAATAAAATATGCAACAAATCAGATGTCTTTGAGAAATTTCTAGTTTACAATTTAATCTACAGGTAATTTGCATGCAAATGCATATGTTATCACTTTTATCCTAGTATACACAAGGTTTGGTCAAACATTCTGAAGGTAGTCACGTCGCAAACTACATTTGCCTTCCTTTGACCTTCTACAGTGCGTTGTCAATTGTGCTCACCATCACTGTATCGTATAATGGCGAACATACAATAATACACTAGCGAATATTGAACTTTTAAGTCATTTGTGTCTTAGGTAAGTAACTTTTTTAGCATTTATTCATACCCATTAGCCTCATAAACAGCAGCGTTAATTATTATTGACATTCTAGATAATCAGATATTTTTCTTGTTATGAATGAATATTAATTATTACATTTAAAAAAATATTTTAAATATTGAGTTAGAGTTGGAAGTTAAACAATATGAATATTAAATGATATCGTTATATGGATAACAGTATTGCAGCATTGTGATTTTGTTATAAATTGTTGTACCATGTCTTTTTTTTAAAGGACATCTCCCGCATTAGGAATATATCCTGGGTCGCAGAGGACTTTACAAACATACACAAAACAGACACAAAGAACACCCAGACCCAGAACAACAATTTGTGGATAACACAAAGTGTCGTCCCATGTGGGGATCAAACCCACAACACTCAGCGTAATAGTAAAGGGCGTGGCGACTGCTTAAACTACTATGCCTTCCGTGCAGTCTTTAATAACATTAGAGTCCAGGTGCAGTAAATATAATCATTAACAATAAGTGGTAAAAAATATTGCTAGTGATATTTATAGCTTAGTGAAATCACCCAGGCTTTTTATTAGATTAGATTGCTATTTTGTTATTGCAAACCCATTGTAAAATAAAAAGTCACACTAGAAAACCTTATTTTAAAGCCTATTTGACTGAATGATATCAACTCGTAACTTTGTTGCTCGCTTAGGAGGCAACTTATATATGTATCTACCTCAATTCCGTTCAGTGCACTGCATACACTTACTTGAGAATTTTTTACCTATACATAATCATTCCTTATAATTGTCTATTAACCAAAAGTCATTGCCGTGTCGCCGTGGGAGAGCCATGCTTCGCCAAGAATGGGCCGGCTCGACCAGAGTGATACCACGGCCTCACAGAAAACCGGTGTTAAGAAATTGTTTCGTTGCCTTTCACTGAGTGAGTGAGGTTACCGGAGCCCAAACCTGCTGTCCTACTGACTTGAGCGGGAGGGACTCCAAGGGCGGCAACGCACTTGTGACTTTTGAGTTGCAGGTGTCCATGGGCGGCGGTAGTTGCTTACCATCAGGTGACCCGTCTGCACGTTTGCCCCCTTATAGCATAAAAAAAAAGAACACTGTGTATATTTAAGTAACATGTGCAACTAACTTTTTCTGGAAGCGAAGTATTGGATCAGCATATAAGTCACTCAGGTCTAGTCCCTTGCCCTTTTTCTTTAGCTCAGGATGTTTCCTGACGAGCAGCCAGCCAATATGAGAGAAGAAAAAGCCACGGGTTGCATTGTGAGGATCAGCATCAGTTTCTGAGTACTTGTGGTGCATGCGGTGATCACGAGCCCAATCTATGGCAGAGTCCTGAAAGAAGTAAAGGAAGATCTTATTACCATAATATTTTCTCAAGTAGTGTTCAAGTTTTCTGCAAACTGCCAAGTATTAATAAAGCTTTTTTTTTGACGGGGTCGAAGATCCCTTCGGATCTCTGGGTCCTTGGAGATGTAGGAGCCAGGAGTATGTGGTGTTTCAGGCACCCTACTCCGAGGAGGACCAGGACCCATGTTAAAAGGGCTCGAGTCCATGACAGAAAAACATTAAGTATTGTTTCTATTTAAAACCACAACTCCTATCCTGAACTGCATTATCAGTTGCATATTGTCAGTACTACCAGTATTACAAAAAATCCATAATAGCTATTAACAACTGAAACTGATGATTTTTGATTTGATTTTTTTTTTTAATCAGCAATGAACGCATATTTTGAGTCATTTATTTTGTACATTATTAAAGTAATCAATCTAGGTCTCATTAATCATAATGTCACCAATATCTATATTACTAAAGAAACAATACCTCTGATAAGGTGATCTACTAAAGATAACAGAACAATAATAAGAATACAGTAATACTTAGTATTACACATATCTGTTCCATATCTTAATCTGATACACATGTTGTTTACAAACTAAATCTATTGTTTCCATATTTTTCCATTGCAAATTACTTTCATGTACTATTCCATTGCAATATCTAGGGAAAAATAGATAATGTAATAGCAACCAAGTTAATATAAAAGTGAAACTAAATCTTTTTCATAGAATTTTAAGATTAATTTAGTAATAAAATCAAATAATTAACAAAGACCTTCATTTGTTTTGTCAATAAAACATAATACTTTAAAAAAAATTATAATATGTAAACCCATCTCATCACTTCACCGGCACTCACTATGGTCCACAACAGAACCAACTAAAATAACATGTTATTCCATCAGATTTGATCTAATAGAAGGAACTCATACCCTAGGGAAGAAAACCCTTTAGTAAATAGAACAATTTTGTCCATTAAGTAAAGAAGACTAGACTTTTGTGTAAAGGCTTACCCTTCTGTTAGCCATTCTCATATTACAAAAAAATACACTTTCAAACATATGTATGTATATCATCCCAACAGAACTATAACATGATCATATTATTAAATATACAGTCAGCATTAACTTACCTGGAATGCCATAGTGTTAAAAATAATCAATATAAGTCTTAGCGGCCATTTAGCTTTGTACGATTTGTGAGCCCACAATCGATGTGCTCCTGCAGTGATGCCAAGCCCAGACATCACATACAAGATATAGGCTGAAAAATAAATAATATTAATTAGTACCTACTTAAGTAAATCAAACACTTGACCATTTTCAGTTCATTCAAAGAGATAATTTAATGTTTAAAGAAAATCACTAAAAATAACTTAGAAGTGTACAAAACAAGAATCCCTACATGTGTGTGAAAAAGTATTAATTATTCTCTGAACCAGCAAATATGAACAAAACTTTCCTATATTACAACATCCGTATTTATTAAAGATTCTTTCCTGTTCTTTAGTTTTGTCATCAAGTTCATGGAATTGGGTTAATGCAATCTTTCCCTATTCAAGAAACAACTTTTCAACTGAGGTTTACTAAGGAACTTCTTACCAAAAATATCTGTTTGCCATTTAGCCGAGAACAGAAACAAGTAACCACCATATAGCGCGGCTAAATGAAGATATGCAAAGAGTATAATATTCCTCCACACCAGTTGTTTCGGATTGTTATCTGCTTTCTGTACAGGTGTTGTGGCAAGAGCTAGGTCTGGTGTAGCAGCATCGCTCTCGAACAGTACACCATTCGCGTCCGCCACGTTTGGTGCCATTTTAGTGCAATTTTCTATAAACATCATAGAATAAAAATAAACACTTCACATTAATTTAATTTTGTTAGTCTGAAAAAACAAATTGATATCCCTAATGTAAATAATAACTATAGGTAAATACACACACCTGGTTAAAAAGTACAATATTTAGAACAGAAAACGCAACTATGTTTAAGAAATCTCAATGCCTGGATTCCATACTCAGACAGGAAATTTTAAAAAAGTCAATAATTAATCAATAATAATATTAGCAAACAACAAATGACAACAATTATTACATGACCAATCTTTTGCCGATTGCCGACTTTGACGTAAATAGAGACGACCATAGATGTTATATCGATTTTATAACAACTAGTTAGTTTATTCGTGAATAGGCTAAAAAATGTAGGTTGATACCATAGTCATCATCATCATCAACAGCCCTAAAATAGTCCACTGTTTGACATAGGCCTCTACTTAGAAAGCAGGTTTTTCTTCCTATACCACGCTGTACAAACAGGTTTATAAGTTTTCCTTCTCTTTGCGAGTTTGCAGTGCCGTTGTTCTGCTTGGTTTGCTCCCTTAATCAGCTCTTACGACACCCACGGGATGCGTAGGGGTAGTGGGTGACAAACCGTATTCTTAATCCGTCACCACACGGACAATAGAAGGTACTTAATTTATGTATATGTAACCCAGTAAACTTAGTACACTTTAGTATTTTACTTTAAATATACCCTTGAATGAAAAATCACGAGTGCGGTCATAGCGATATTTAATGTTATGTGTAATACTTCTTTTTTGTATCAGAGAATATGGTTAACCGTACCTATTCTGTGATATAAAAAAACATAAGGTTATGCAAAACATCAAATGTCTTCGCAATAAGAGATCAGTCTTTTTCCCATTCCGGTAAAGTCATTAAGCTGAAGCCCTCCACGTCAATTTAATTTCTTGGCAATAGGGCTTCTATTCAGAATATAGTTATATAAGACCCATGTAATCGCAAAGCAACCATAACATAAATGAGAAAAAAAAACAAGTCCAACCAAACACCTGAACAAGCTTGTAAGCTAAGTAAGAGCCAAGTGCAATGTACTTTTTATGCTATTGATTATTATATTAATTACCATCGCCTCACCATTAGATATCACGATTTCCTGGCAAAGGATGGCACCGACTGAAATTAACAAATGCCCCTACCCCGTACAAGTGAGGACTAGACCATCAATACCTGCTTTAAAACCCCAATGTCAATGATTGCGTTCCGGGACAAATCCCTGGAATAGGCGCAGCAACTACCACTTGAAATAACGCACTGGCCGGAAATAACTCCGACACGTATTTCTCCGTAACTCCCAAAACAAGAAAACACGAGATAACATCACAATGAAATATATGACCTGTTCGCCCTTGTCAATTTTCAACGATCTACCTAAATATAACTGTTGAGTTGCAATAGATAGACTCAGGTAGAGTTACTTCTGCATAACTTTCGATGTCTACACATTTTGTTGTCTCACACATGCAGTCTATGAATGTTGTTGTCAATACATAAAAGTAAATCAATTTACATCAACTTAACATTATTGAATAAATTAAATTGCTTACCAAAATACGCACAATAAATCTGTACAAAAATTTAATTTATCACAGTTTAACAACACTACACGATTTTCGCAATACTTATACAGAGTCTTAGCAGTAATGGTAAACTTATTGGATAAAGTCCAATATATATATGTAATCATAACAGATTTCCAGACAAAAACAATGTGTAATTTGCGGCCGGCCGGTGAAATCGATAAGTTCACGTGTTGAACTGTGGACTTATGTGGCATGAGCATGCATCAACCGATTTGTTGATACTGATGGTGTGTTAGGCGAATAAGCGATCGTGGATTGGCCACTGAAATGGCGTGATGTCACACTCACTACCACGTCACTGGCCTGTCATGTAGCCGAGCACGACCTACTGCTGTGATCAGGCGTTTTTTTAGGTATAATTATGCATTAGGCGGCAGTTTAAAACGTAGATTAACTTTTAACGTGTTATTAAACGTGTTGATGTGATACGTAGGTACGAGTACTAATTAAGAAGAATAATATACGAATAACCGACACTGGGTTTAGGCATTGAATTATCCTATTAATATTTACGGCAATTATTGATAAGTACTAGAAATCGTCTTGTGGTCAAATTTCGACTGTAATTCCCTGTTCTTAATTTCTTATTTAAGTTCACTGATTGATAACATTAACTGTCATTTAATAGACTTTCCATACCATGATAGGTCAGCATACGTCATCCATACTTCCATATCCATACTTTAATACCTTTCCATAGTTATAAATGTGAAGAATGTTTTTTATGTTTTATTTCATTTAAGAGAACCTAAGTACCTACTTGTTTATAGCATGAACCGGCATTGAATAAACTTTGCGTAGGTAATATCTATAAATTACTACGTAAAGCGAAAACTTTGTACCCCTTTTTAAGAAAATTGCGCGAACGGATGAACGTGAAATTGGACAGTTAAAGTTTATATGGAGAAGAAGTGCATATAGCTATTTTTTAAAATATAAAATGCCTTAGAAATACATTTACATTATAGCCATGATGAAACTTTGATCATTTTTTTGAGGTATAGTCTTTGACAAAATAACCCTAATAAAGTTGAAACTTAAGAATTAAGTAAGTACATGAATTATGGTCGGATTTCTACCACTGGGCGACTACTAGTGTAATATAAATATGTAGGTATACTGGAACTGTTCGAAACATATTTTTACTTGATTTCTGTAGCTTTTACTAACTGTTTGGACTTGTCCGTAAGAGCCCTGGTGGCTGGCTCTTGACAAGTTTAGCATAAGGGTAGATCTTTAATAATTTAATTATTGTCTCTGATAAAATGTTATTAGATAAAAATAGTGCCAAGTGCCAATCGTACTATTTTGCTTTATTATAACCGTAAAGGTTTGTAGGGATAGATATTTATTTGTTACTCACTTTCGCAAAAAGTGTTGAAAGGATTTTAACTTTACTTTAACTATACTAACTTTAACTATACAGTACCTAATAGAGTTTATAAATTAGAATAATTCAATTAGAATGTAGGTATAAAGATGTTATGTTATTTTAAATTCCACAACATTATTTATTTGTAATAAGCTGCCACCCGTGGCTCGTTAACACTTGCTTATTTGCGTTTAACCATTGATATTATACATTACGTTTAACCTAGTTGTGGAAAATTGATGTTGACCTACTTTTGGAATATTGATGTTAAGATTTATATTCTGGTTTGGAGAAGTTCTTGTAACAGATATTTGTGTAGAGGTGGTGTTTTGTTATTTAACATTATGGTATTGATGGACTTTTGTAGCCGTGGACGGGACGTTAACATAGGTCCCTCACATCTTTTTTTTTGTTTGTTTACACGCTATGCTATTTTCAAGATCAACCAGTCAAAATAGTTTTTTTTGTAGGTATATGAATGCCAGATTCGTGACGAACAGTAGGTACATGCTTTTTTTTACGTGTGGAAATCCCCTTGGGACGTTACCCCACCGGAGTTTGCGGCGGGGTGGTGTGCCGGAATCGGACCGACTAAAATCACACAGTGTTCCACTTTGCGCTTGTAATAGGAGAGATTCGGGAACTGCTATTATTAAGACATTCGGACCATTCCTAGCGCCTGCCCACAACATCCGGCACACGCGAACATCGCCTCCTCGCGGATGGCCGTTATGGCAGGTGAAGGGGAAAACCCATCCTGTCCACCCGCGGCCACACTCAGGGCGGCATGAGGCGGTTCTGCGGCAACTAATTGGGTCCGAGTGGCGGTTGTCCTCCCGGGCCCTCTCCGCCGTCTCCTTCTGCGACATCTGTCACTACCGGCCATGGAGCCTATGATGGCAGGTAGCAAGAGATTCCCTCCGATAACTGTAATGAGGACCCGGCGCTGCGGCGTCCAAACCAGGCAAATTGCCAGCGTGTGCCGAGCCGAGTTCTCAATGCAATCGCAGTTGTGACAGGCGGGACTCAATTTCCTCCTAGCGATCGAGTGCAGGTACTTCCCGAAACAGCCGTGCCCGGAAAGGACCTGCGTCAAACAATTTACCCTCGTCCAGCAACACGATGGGCCTGTAAGCCGCGAACGAATCGGCAAGCCGTCCCGTGCTAGTGCACGGGCACACACCAAACTAGCGTCGAACACTTCCCGTGTTCGACGCTAGTTTGGTGTGTGTGTTAAGGCAGTCTGACATATGGTCGAGGGCTAGCACGAGCAGGTATCCCATCTGGCCCGCGGGCGGTATTCTTGGAACGGATTCGTAGAACAGCCGCCTCTACCTCCGTATCCCGGACGGATGGAACATCATTCACGTTCTCCCCGTCGTCTCCGGCCGAGGAAGCCATCGACGGAGGTGTGTGCTCCGCCCGTTCCGAGAATAGGCCCTCCATCACTTCCTGCAGGAAGCTGGGCTGGAGAGTTTCTGTAAGAGGGGCCCGAAGCGCGGAGCTTTTGTAGCATAAGGGCGAAACCATGGGTCACGATCGAGACCATTAAGCATCTCCTTTCTTTTCACATCTTTGGCGCGGCTAATGGCCAGCTTCAGAGTTGGCCGCGCCTCTCAGTAGGTACATGCTATGTTAGCTATGAAGCATTACACCTGTTAGCTAACCTTTGATATTTGTTTAATAAGTCGGTAGTACATACAATATCATCACTCCTATTCATCCCATGGTTGCTGTAAGAGCCGACTAACGGAGTCAACTACGCACTGCAAAGAGAAGGTAAGCTTGACAAAAACCCTATACCAACAAATCTGGTAAGAGTGGTATAGTAGGCCAAAACCTACTTTCTAAGGAGCAATATCAATGTCCAGCAGCGGACTATTAAAGGCTGTTGGTGATGATGACATACAATGTTCTTTAAAAATATTACTTCGTAGGACAGCGAAAATAGGACCGCATGCTTTGTGACAAAATATTGCTGGAAATAATAAAATGATTCATAAGCATTATTATTAAACATAGTATTTTAATCTTCACGAACAAAAGGTATTTTATCATCAACAAGTTTATGAAGATAAACTTTAGAACATTTGGACATAGGAGATAGTGGAAAATCTGCTAAGTACACTGTATTCTTTGTATTCCTTTTTTAAGTTTCTCTTACAGACTAATATGAAATTTGGAATACGTTAACATTATATAGAAGAAGTGCAGAAAGTTAAACTTTTTAAGCTATTCAAGAATACATTATTGTTTACTTTAGTATGCATTCAATTTGCCTATCATAGGGGGCTTAGGTATTTAAATTTAAAATAAATGCATTATACTTAAATGGGATTTGACGATCGCATTTTAAAAGAACATAACGGTCGTTTTCGCGCTCATAAATTTTAACAATAGAAATATATAATATTTTTCAATATAATTGAAAGAGATATTTTAAATACCATATATATTTTTGGAATTGATTTATTCAAATGTAGACGGCAGAGTTTCAATGGGCAAATGTTATATAAGTATATAGAGAGTTCCAAGGCCTTGCAAAGGAGTGTAAGTTAATGAAGAAGGAGTTAATGAACGGCATTTGTATCCCCAAATGCCGTCTGGAATTCATTTGGGGATACAAATGCCGTTCATTAAACAAAACAAAAGGTGTTCCTAATTAGTAAGTTTATTTAATAATTTGCAAAAATATGTAGGTATTCATCATTGTGGTAATATCGTGAAACAGTCGTCAGTGTTGACTTATAATTTATTAATTTGAACAAGATAAAATGATTTTCAAGAAGATATGTCCTACTAGATGGTCTCAAGAAATGATGCTACGGTAATTAGCTATGAGAAAAAAAATGAAAACATTAGTAATGATAGATATGTACCTACCGATTAAAATTAATTTCCACTAAGACAGACCAGAGGAATGTAAAAATATAATTAATATTTTCGAGAGCTACAATTTGATATTGCTTGGGGCTCTTTTTATTAATTTAGGTATATCTTTATTATTTAATATGTGGTCATAACAATCGGCGGTCTTATCGCTCACTTTTTTCTACGCAACTTTTCCCGTGACAAATCATTATTGTTTCTAAAACGGGGGAAAATCAAAATTTATATCAATTTTTCCTCAACGAATCCAAAAAGTTAGCAAAACAGGGACATAACGAAACAGCAAGACTTACCTAATTATTAGGACAACGGAACCCTAAAGAAATATGACCAAGATGCATATTTAGTAAGGTGCGTTTATACAACCAAGCGTCCTCAAAATGTTAATGTTTTTGACGTTAGTCTGGCAAAACGCATATTGCTTACAAAGGATAATTCAATAGTCGCGGACATTTTCTTAAATTAAATTAATTTTATTTACCGAACTAAACATCAACCCATTCGTATGTATACGGATAAAACATAGCATCGATAATAAAACCTCATTCGCAAGTTTCCTATGGGTCGGTATCGTGCTTATTACTTTATACATGTACACGCGGTCTTGTAACTAAGTAAAGGCGGTGAACCTTTATGAGGCTAAAACTAGAAATAATATTGTTTACCAACCGTTAAGGTACCTACTCCGTTTGTGCAGCCCATTTTAACATACATACATTAGGTACATATTTACATAGTTACACCGGTATCGTTGGTAAGGCACGTGGTATACGTTATGTAAGTATCGTAAACCCACATAAAATAATTTTTTTTTTGTAAATTGTTTATTCCATCATATCAATACTTAATCAAATTCTCAACCTAACATGTGTGAATATAATATATATGACGGAGAACCAGTGTTAAGGGTTTAAGGTGGGATTCATTTAGCACCGCCTATTTCGTAGTAGATATGTGATGTGGGATAGTGTGTATCTTTTATTAATTTTCCATTTTTTTTGTTTTACTGTACTTTCTTTTTTATTCCATCTTTTTTCCATATCTTGTTTTCTCTACATTGCTTTTTTACCTTTTAGTCCTCACATCAAAACAATGTTGTGTATATTTAATGATGCCATTGTATCTGATTGAAAAGAGTGGCCGTGAGTTTGTTTGCCCCTTCTTCTCACGGACCCCTCAGGGCTCAACCCCTTGGAAATAGGCGGTTGTAGATCGGCACAGGCATATAAGAGATTTCCGACAGCTTGGTCCGAAGCTGGTGGACACTGCCTCAGTCCTAGGGCAACTTTTGCCCAATTTGGGCGGGGCCAGTGTTCCCACGAGGCGGCTGTACGCGGGGGTTGTCCGGTCCATGGCGCTGTATGGTGCACCGGTGTGGGTGGCGGCTCTGACCGCCCCGAATAGGGCGCGCCTCTGGCGCCCCCAGAGGGTATTGGCGGTCAGAGCCATACGCGGATACCGCACGGTGTTCACCGAGGCGGCTTGCGCCTTGACCGGAACACCTCCGTGGGATTTGGAGGCGGAAGTGCTTGCCGAAGTGTATCGGCGAGTGGCTGACTTCCGGGCGGAGAGCGGATTTCGCCCTCCGCCCGAAAACGTGTGCGAGTGGCGCGAAGCCGCTCGCCGAGCCACCATGGTGAGATGGTCGTTCCGGCTGGAGACACCACGCGCTGCCGATCATCGCCGAGTGGGCAGGGCGGCAGCACGGGACCCTTACCTTCCGGCTGACGCAGGTGCTTTCCGGGCACGGTTGCTTCGGAAAGTACCTGTACTCGGTCGCTAGGAGGCAATCGAGTCCCGCCTGCCACCACTGCGACTGCAGTGTGGACTCTGCCCAGCACACGCTGGCGGTCTGCCCCGCTTGTCGACGCAGCGCCGGGCCCTCACTGCAGTCATCGGAGCGGATCTCTCGCTACCGGCCGTAGTTCGCTCCATGGCCGGTAGCGACAGTGTTTTTACCGCGGTCGCAACTTTCTGCGAGGAGGTAATCTCGCAGAAGGAGGCGGCGGAGAAGGCCCGGGAGGACGACCTCCACTCGGACCCGATCCGCCGCCGGCGAACCGGGCGGCGGAGGCGCGCTCACCTGCGCCTCATGCCGCCCTGAGTGTGGCCGCGGGTGGACGGGATGGGTTCTCCCCTCCACCCGCATGAGTTTGGCCAGCCGCGAGGGGGCGGCGTCCGCGTGTGCCGGACGTCGCCTAAAGAGAGGAAAATTTTGAGACGGAGCCCGCAACAGGAGCGGGCCGGCGCTGGGAGGGGTCCAGAAGGCGATAACTACCTGGACCCCTCCTAAACTGGAAGCGCAAAGATGGCAAAGCGTGTGGTTTTAGTCGGTTCGAGTCCGACACACCGCCCCGCCGAACGAGAGCCCCGGCGGGGTGACGGTCCGAGGGGACTTCCACACGTTAAAAAAATAAATAAAAGGCATATAAGATATTTTCGATAAGTATATATTTAGTTTGCTAAATATCTGACAAAACAGAGATTGTTGCTATTGTGTGTGTTGATCTATGACTTGAGTCTACACAAGCGACGATTTCAAATAATTTAATTTTTTTATGAAATAAAGATGTTTGAGTTTGGTTGTTATTAAAGAGTGAACAGTGAGAGAAAACATGTAAAACCCCCACAATGTTCACTAAACAAAAATTCTTATCAAGAAAAAACATACGACTTCCCGTCATTTGTTTTTATCTCTTCACAACAAAACTTCTGATGTCATTGTAACATAAGGCCATAAGTTACATCATGCCATTTAAAATAGGCGAATAGAAGAAACAAGTTTAATTAATAGATAGTCCTAAAATAAAACTACAGACTTTGAAATTATTTTATTATAATGAATACCTACTTATCTAACCGAAACTAAATGATAAATCAAAGGCGTTATATTATTAAAAAAAATATTATATCATTTTAACATCAATAACATCAGATAAAAATGTATAAACTTTAGTGTTTATGACGATCTCGTCCAACAGTTATTATATGTCATCAGCTGAAGTGTAAACATGACTCACAAGGCTGGATAAGAACACACAAGTATGACCCGAAACTTATTAGTCATGTTGCGAAAATAATTAGCCACGAGGAAATGATGTAATGCCCAATTACATTACAATATTCAATTAAAATGTTTACCTACCTTTATATATTTTTTGTATTGAATTTCAAATATTTATCGTTCTTATAGGTATTATAATTCTGATAAGCTAAATTCTTCATTCCTTAATTTTCACGGTAGTAGTTAGGAGTGGAATTTTTATTTGAAATTTGAATGGGACCAATCGGAAAGTACAAAAGCCCTTAGATATAAAAAATAACAATTTTCCAAATCAGTTCATAATATTTTTGTAAAGAACTGCCGTACTAGGAATATAATTCTGTGACCCGGGTGACTGACACACACAAAGAACAACAATTTGTGGATCACACAAAGTGTTGTCCTATGTGGGGATTGAACCTACAACACGCACAGTAGGAAGCGCGAGCGGACCGCTTATACCACTGAGCTATCTGTGCAGTGGCCGGACGGACGGAATGACGGAGTTTTGAGGTAACAAACATAAAAAGATAGCCAGCTTGAGAATCTCCTTCTTTTATGTAGATGGTAAATTGGTATTTCCATACGTAAATTCAAAAATCTTTACATAATACTAAAACGGGTATTTTACACTTTGAGCAAAACAGTTACTTTCTATCAATTGTTAAAACGACTATTTTGGATGGAAAATGTACTAAATAGCAACTTATGGCATAACTTAAGACTTTTAGACAATTCAATTAAAGAATATATTTCAGTGTCTACGAGATGTATTAATTAATTATTTACCTTATTCATTCACATTCATATCATACCACGTAATAGTAATAAAAAGCTAGAAAATTATATTTTTATAGTTTTGTGATATTTGTTTTAATGAAGTGGACAATGTTATTTATTAATGATACAGTCAACTACTTTATTTTAAATGTTAAAACATTTTTCAGGACAAATACGATACTGTCTATTTTATGTATTTTTAATCCTTTTCGTATAAACACTATATTTATGGACTTTGTCTGAAATTAAGATTTATTGCTATTATTAAGCATTCACATTATTTATTGTTTATGAGTTGTGTTAATTATTTACCTTATTCATCTGTTCCTTCACCGTCACTTGATATTGTAATTAGATAAACATTCACTTTATTTAAAATATGATATGGGGACGGTTAAAGAAATATATTTAATTACTAAGAGGTCCTCAGACGCGACGACTTGACGATAACTTATAGAAAAGGACCAAAAAACATATTACTAAAATCGAAAACAAATACTTTGAGTAAGATGACATAAATAAAATGCTGAAAGAGAGATTTAAGATAAATATTTCTTTTTCTTCATCGTCATATTCTATATCTAATATTAAACGAGAAATGGGAGCAGACTTTTTGGAATAATTGTTATAATTGTTAATAAAGCTTTAAATTTTATTAATGAGATTAATCCATGTTTATTTTCCTACCAGAGACACATTGAAGGCCCTTCTAAGTTCATTTTCTTAGTATATTAGATGAGATGCTTGTAGGAACCTCTGACATTATATCATCATTGTCGTCAGTGTGTCAGAGGCCTCTGAACTTCTCTGACTTACAATTTTAACCTTTTAGTCATAGGCTAATCAGTTTACAGCAGATACGAGTATGTATCATGAATATTAGAATTTATGTCATACATCTTGTACTTGTTTCAATAAAACCTTGCATCAGCATTTACTGATTTCTGAACCTAATCGATTCGAAGGTAATGGCTGTATTCAGATCCAGTTATTTAAAAGAACTGTATGAAATATAAGAATATTGTAATAGATTTCAATCACAAGTGTAAAGGTTAAAATCGATTTTCTGTCTTCTATGACACTTGACATGATAGCTTTTTACTATAATAGTAATTCGAAGAGTTATTTTCAAAAATCGCTTATTGGAAAACAAGTTGTGACATATATGATAACACATACCTTATAAGTAAAATAAGTGAAGTAACATATATACAATAATAATATAGGCACTTTATTCATAATCTTGAGCGAGTAACACTTCAGGCCAGCGAGCAGTCGCTTCAGGAAGGAGAGAAGACGGACACAATAATAGTTCTTGAATAGATCCCAATGAGTAACTTCCAAGACAATTGAGAACCCATTCAAAGTTTACTGGTACCAAACTGTGTTCCATTGCAAGATCTGAAATAAATAAACAGTGTATAGAGCTATTGAACATACAGAATCCTTAGATTAAACAACAATACCGACAATTACACATGAACGTCCACTACATACGTCAAAACATTTATGTTCTATTGTATTTTATTTATATTTTATTTTTACTTTATCAAACAACGAAATCAAATTTGGAACTTTCGTAGTTCATTTTCGTTGATAACAAATATCGTCGAAAAGTCAAATCGCAAATGCCAAGCCCACCATATCCAGGTGGTCAAATTACCGAAAGCGTATGAACGTTTTATCCCGTGATTCTGCGTATATATCTTTTCTAGAGGGCTCTTAAGAGCTAGGATAATGTAATCTAGAGATCTGGAAAATAATTTAGAACGCGATGTAGAATTATTAGCTGACAGTGCATTGTACAATGATGCTGGTAGACACAGAAATGAAGACGAACATCGGCAACGATTGCACAGCGTGAGAGAACTATGAAATGACCTGTCAGATAGATAGATAGTCTTTATTGTACACAAAAAATCATTCAACGATCTCTTACAGACATCCAGGATAGACTGTACTTAAGTTATGGTGCAATAATTGCGAATTAATACAAAAATATACATTTAGTATCAAAATAATCCACACATACATTTATTCATACATACATGCAGCACCCATTTTGAATATACAGTTATTATAGAGACAAGTAATGATTCTTGAAGCGTTTCTGGAACTAGATTCTCGGATAGTTTCTGGCATTGCAAAGCGAGGAAAATTTGTTATTGTTTAAGAGGAAAAGAATATACTGATATATCAAGGTGTACAGAAATAGTCCAATATCCAACGTTATTCACAATAATATACCGATAGCCTACTGTCAATATTCTATAACACAAAATCTATACAAGACTAGAAAAGTAGCGAAGAAGATAATTATACCATAGTTCAGTAAAGAAAAATCAAGATATGCAAAGCGCTCATAAAGCTCTGCCAAATATGTCAGGCAAAACATTTCCTAAAAATGTATGTACCTATGTAATGTATAAAGTATAAAATAAGTTATATGAGAAGATTATTTTTGCACACTTTTAACTCGCCAGTCAAGTCAACAATCAACAATGTTGACACAAGCACCTTATTGGATCTATGGTTCCCAAAAATAACCTAAAATTTTCTTTTCTTTTAAAGAAGTTCGTCAGGTTTTCTTCTGCATAAAATTAAATTGAATAGCATAGAAAGCGGTTTTCAACTTGAAAGAAGATTGAGAAAGTTACGAAATAGCCATAGGATAATTAAAAACTAACTAAATAAAATTTTACATACATATAAAACGGTCTTCTTGTGTATTTTCTGGTTCAGCTAATAGTAAAGCAGGCTGAGTACTGTCTTTCGCCACTCGTACGTCTTTAATCTCTTTCACAACGTGGCCGCCAGCGGCCGTTAACATGTCCTGTTATAAAATCATTATTATAATAAATCTTATATATAAAATTCTCGTGTCACAATGTTAGTTACCATACTCCTCCGAAACGGCTGGACCAATTTTTATGAAATTTTGTGTGCACATCGGGTAGGTCTGAAAATCGGCCAACATCTATTTTTCATACCCCTAAATGACAAAGGTGACCCACCCCTAATTTTTTTTTCAGTATTGCCTAGAAATAATGTATATGACAAAACAACATTTGCCGGGTCAGCTAGTTAAATATAAATAATTTACCACAAGACCATTTCTGGGAGATTTCCTTCTTTATAAGCAACCATAATTCTGTCCTAAGTTGTTTATACATTAATCCGTTTTTTAAATTGTAAAGAACGATTAAAATATTTTTTTAATGAACTTACAATTTATGTTGAGTTAAAAAATGGCAGTTTTATTTATTGTATATTTCTTTTTCTCGTCACTATGAAAGTGAGATCTCACCTTCAAAGTACTAACATCGAGGACGCTGAAAGGCGGCATACAGTAAAACTTAATGCCTTGAAATAATTTTTGCTTAGCAATGCGTGAGCGCCTAGGTCCTGGTTCACCAAAACTATCTAGAGCTTCAAAATATTCCTGAAATTTTCAAAATTATGTTTTGTACATATTTATAATTTGAATATAATCATAAATTAAGTTGAGGAATAACTATAAGAAATGCACCTGCAGCTATAAAGTAATCTGTCAATATCAGTGAGAGAGGGTAGTCATACACAAACACTTACTTATGTAGTTTCGTTCTATTTTCGTGATTTAATGTGTATAAACAATTAAAAATTATTACCTCATCAACAGCGCTTTTCGTTCTTAGACAACGTTCTATCCACGCAAATGACACAATCCATTTAGAATCAGCGAGTGCACACATGTACTTAACCGATCTGAAAAAAGTTATCATACGTGAAAGTGGGGATTAATATCGCCAAACCTTTACATTTTTAATAACTTATACTAAACGATTTTTTTTTATATACATTTAAATACTATATACATTTAAATACAATATACATTTAAAGTGATCTAGATGTTACGATAAACTGAGATTTCGCGTAACTTACGAGCGACTGTTATAGAACATTTTATCTTGTTGTGTGTAGCTTGTAAACAGTATTTAGCAACATACCTCTGTGATTTATTTTCTTCATCAACACTGACTACTAAATGTGTTATATCTTTTGTATAATTGTCGACATATTTCCATTTCAGTTGAGCGCAGACTATTTTCACTTTACTAATTTCATCTGATGTCAAGCGAGAAGCAGCCAAACAAAACTTTTTGATTGCTTTTGACATATTTCTAGCTAGCAGTGGTCTGGCAGCAGGTGTTGTTGGTGTGCTCTCAAATGCTTTACTCATAATTTCTTTTTCTTGTGTAGTTTTAGCAATTATGTCCGATGTTGAACAAAGTGTCTGTTCGGGGTCATTATCTTCATTCTCATTATCAAAATTGAGTGACTTTCTTGCTACCGGCGTAGATTTATGTATAATATGGTCAGCAAATTTAGTTATAGTGAGAGGAGTTTCTAATGTTAGTTTTTTTCCTACTGGGTCAACTAAAGTCACATCCTTATTGCTATCGTTAGATTCTCTCTCTGTGTCTGTTAAAGTGATGATACTTTTGATGCTTTGGTCAGACGCTTTGGATGGAATCTTCTTGGTCTCACACAAAGCCATCTGTGATAAATTTAAAGTGCTGGTCCTCTTTACTTTCAAGAAGGACAGATCCCTGGAAAGGAAAAATTGTTAGTCCTATGATGCTTTCAAAAACTTATTTACTTATAATCTTACTTAATTAGTAATTTCGTGTAACTAACTTTTGAGGGGTTTCTTCAACAACACTTCTGTCAGAATCATCAAAGTTCTCTGATCCTTTGACTGATTTATTTGTTTTCTGTACTGGTTCATCGCTATCTTGTAAAGAATCTAAATGCTCACATACAACTGGTGTTAACAATTCTTCTACTTGTTGGGGCATCTAAAGTACAAAAATAAAGCAATTAATTTTATTCCACACATATGTTTCTGGCAAAACCATTTAAAACAGAACCTACTTTTTCATCTGTAGATGCTTCCAAATGGTCATCATCTTTTTCCAAAATGCTAAATATATTTTCACTGTGTTTCTCATTTATACACTCTGGCAATTTTTTTGTCGGCACTTGACTATTTGTGTTTGGTATTTGACTTGCATGTTTGATCATTTGTGTTTTCTGTGCTTGAGACAGACCTTTATTCTTGTGTGCATCTGATTTTGTTTCATTATTTTCTATGTGTTTAATACTTTGCAAATCCTGACTTTTCCGTATTTCTTCCATGTCAGCATCAATGCTGGCAAAGACTTGCCCCATAATGACATCATAGTTAACAGGTTCACTGTCAGGTGGAGTATTTTTGTCATTCCCTGTTTGTTGTATTGTTACTTTAACTTTTTTACTTTTCGGTAAAACTTCGTCCTCTGTTATTTCCCTATTTCTTTTCTCAGCATTTTTCTGAGTTTTTACTTTATTACCAACAGTTGATATTAGTATTTCTGAAGGTGCATGTTTTTGTATAATATGAACATTTGCTTCCTTAACTGAACCAGTAAATATATCTAAATCATTTAGATCCTCAAAGTTTGCCTGATTCTCTTGTCCAGTTGCAGCTGTGTCAACATGCTGTATTTCAGATACATTATTTACGTTTCTGAATGTTTCTTTTTGTCCCTCTACAGTCTCATATTCCATTACATTTGACAACTCTTTTTCAACACTTTCAGTTATTTCAAACTGTACAGTAGCTGTATCTGCTGAAGCAGTATTTTTCTTTTCTGTGGTAGATTTATCTGCTGCTGCTGGGATTGTTCCACTCTCTTTAATATTTACTTGAGCCTCTTGGCTGTCAGCTTTACTTATACTTATCTCTATATTATGAAGACCATTATCCTTTACTGAGGTCTGATTTCGATCCAAATTGTGTGGACCTAATGAAGTTTGTACTTCACGATCATTATTTATTTTAACCTGAACATCATTTTTCTTTTTTATTAATATATTTGTAATTGTAGATCCTATTTTAATTGAAATTTCAATATCGTCAGAGCTATCAGGAATTGTTTCCTGTGGAGGAGTATTAGGCACATTGTCACATGTCACTTGAATATTTTTGGGACATAAAGCACTTTTCTTGATGAATGGCATTCTATTTACTTCTATTAAACTAGGGTTCGTTTTATTAATATATTCCTGTTTTTTTGTTGTGGAAGAAATTCTTTGTTTTGTTGTACTGTTATTGTAGCTCATATCCTTATCTTGAGAATTATTACTCTTGTTTGATACAGAATTGTTATTTAACTTAGGCACGACAGTTAGTTGTGGTAAATTTAATTCTTTTGCAATTCCATCCATGTCTTCACATGGAGTTGCATGTTGATCTTTAAAACTGATCTCATTTGAATTTACAGCTATAATTTCATTTTCTTTATTGGTATTGTCAGGTGTATTCTCATCTATGTTAACAACATGTTGAGAAGCAGTTAATGATGTGTTTGGTTTCAAATTTTGAGTTTTCTTGACCATCTCAATGGAAACATTTAATTTACCTCTATTTTTTTTATTTAATTTACTAAATTCTTTCCTCATTCTCTTGACATTATTCCAAGTTTGTTTGCTCTTTTGTGACTTTTTATCATTTTCACAGCTAGAGTCCTTGGAATTGCGTTGGTTGAAAAATTCATTGACTCTTTGATTGGAATCATCATTTTTTATATCTCTTTTTCTAGAACTTCTGCGTGGATTACACATGGTGTACTCACTATCATCTACAAAAAAATGGTTCAATGTCCATAGGGCCCACAATATTATCTCTATGTTTAGGGTTATTTTCTTGATCTGGCATTTCTTCAATTCTATCCCAGTCATCTTGTGGTGGTGGCACATGAATGATTTTATGCACTTCTGTCGAACTTTCAACTTTTTTTTTCTTTTGTGTGGATTATAACATTGCTAGCTGAGATTTCTATTGGATTCTGGGGTTGTTGGGAATCTTGTGAAAAAGTTTCTGAATTTTGGATTGGTGCCGAAAAGTGATTTTGTGAACTTGTTAACCAGTCCTTAACATTTTTAACAGGATCCTTATCTGATTCAATATCTCCAGGTGTGTCAAGACTAAATTCATCTACTGAAATAATGAAAACAAAACATTAAGACTCTTTCATTACAGTGCTAAGTCAGTTATGGATTAAAGACACCCTCATTGCCAAAACATGCCATCCCCTAATTATTTACAGCAAGTAATGAGCGTGTACATTGTAATGTCAACTCTATGCTGTTGCATGCATAACTGAATTACTTTAACAGAGATGGGTGTCAATGTACTTGGTTGCAAGTCCTGGCCATTTTAATGACAGATTTTCCATCAATCTGAAAGTTGGGTTAGGTAGGAAGTTAACCATTTTTGTAGGTAAGACAAGAAAAAATTAAATAATTATAAACAAGTTATTTGTTGTGGCAAGAGGTATAAGCTATTTTTTTAATTTATTCACTCTTCTTTAAATTTTTTTTAATGTTGTTCCCTTTTCCCTTTCAATTGTCAATATATATATATATATTTATATAAATATAAATACTTACACTGTATTTTGAAGAGTTTTTCGAATGCTTCACCAAGTGTTTGAATATGGTTTGTGAGATTTTGTAGAGGTAAATTAAGTTTCAGTGATTTGCGATCAAGGGAACAAGCACATAGAGGACATATACGTCGCCCCCGCCAGCATGTATGACATAATGTGTGCCCACAGGCAGCAGTAGCCGGTGCTATGTAGTACTTACAACTGTAAATTAAAAAGAAGTTTTAAAAAAGCACTTTTAGCATTGTATAGATATATCTCAGCTAAAACACTGTTAAAACTTTAGATTATTAATGTCTAGACGGACAGTCAAAGCGCAAGTGAAAACAGAGGAAAAAGTAAAGTCTAACTATTGCCCTCTAAAAGCTTTGCCCCCATTTAGTATCAGAAGTACTCAGTAATGTCACTGGTTATGCACACATTGCTTTCATATTTTGTGTTGTTTATAATGGCGATTTGTGAGATAAGAGTGTGTAGAAATTATAAAAGGTGATCTAAATAAAATTAAAAAGTCACCTAATATCGGTAAGTACCACTGTTTAGTATCAGTTTTAGCAAAATAAGCCAGTAAATTATTTCTAAAATAAATTTTCATTGTCTTTGCTATTTTAGATGTGTTACTAGTTCATGACCTCAAGTCAAAACTCTCTTAAAAATGTGTATTTTATGTAATACAACTTTCCTTATTCATTTTCCAAAAGCATAAAATTGAAATAGATATCATTTAAAGGATACTTATTTTAAAGTGAATACTTTTAAGTTGTGTTAAGTGATTTTCAGTAGGAGCATATTATAACTCATGGATTGGTGCTGACTGCAGTAGTGCAGTGGCAGCGTGTGCAACTGCTGTGCAGGGATCCAGGTTCCAGATTCAATTCCCAGATCAGACAAAATGTTTGTACAATCTGCAATTATTATTCGGAGTTTGTGTGCTTGTGTTTTCTATTTATATTATATACAGATTTACAAAAAAAAGTATATAAATATTAATTCAGTCAAATTTTCAACAACTGGTATCATTTATGCATTCACACAAGGAAAACAGATTGAGTTGACGTGAGTGTAAGATGAAGCTGTCACGCACACTAATATTAAAAACTCGGCTCATTTCTTCTTGTTCTTTGGCAGCATGATGCTCTATTTAGACTTATAAATAATCTAAGGTTCAAACAATACAATTCATGCTTACCATTCTATACATTTTAAATGGTCGGTGTATTCTGAAGTTAATTTTGTAAGCGTAACTAAATTTAAGTCCTTAAGGCTCATTTCAAAAAGAGTTTACTGAAGAATTAACTGAAACTATTTTGACAAATGAACCACAATTAGAGATTTGTAAACACTGGCATCGGAAATGTATTCAAATGGACCTCTTTCAGTAAATAATATAATGAAAACATTATTAGGAAAAAACTTAAATAACTAATATAAAAACCATTGTTGAGATATGGTTTATAATGAAATTACAAGACCAATTCCCGCCTTAATCACAAACAAATTCACGTTTACTTCAATGATGTCAAATGTCAGAATTGACAATTTTCGTCTCTTTGACAACTGACAGTTGAAACTTAAGGCCCATGGAGGATAGAGGTAAGAAGAACAGACTCATCATGATTTTTAATGCTGAAAAAGTGTGCAGAAACAGTCAAGGATTATATTTATATATATAAAAATAATGAAGTTTAAAAAAAAAAATACTTTTTTGTTGTCCTTACTGTACTTACATGTACACCACGGCCGCAAATGGATGGATATTTCAACATGCATAATCTGCACAGTTGGCAACTCTCGAATCCGCATCTAATCCGAGAAGAAAAATCGCAATACCAGTTCAAAATAAATTATTGGACTGGTATTTTAAACGAAAAAATCATTGGTCCATTTGAACTGTCCGGAAACTTATATGGCCAAAATTATTTACATTTTCTACAAAATGATCTGCCAAATTTAATAGAAGAGGTACCTGAGGAGGTCAGGCAATCTCACTGGCTACAAAATGATGGTTGTCCTGCACATTATGCTGCAAATGTCAGTGCCTATTTAAATGCCACATATATTTTGTGGCCTCCGCGATCCCCGGACTTCCACTAGGATTCGGACCACACTTCGGAAATCCACTAGACTTTTTTACTGGGGCTGCCTAAAAGAACAGGTGTACTTTAAGCCCATTTCAAGTTTGGAGGAATTACGCAGTCGTGTTCAGGAGGCTGCTTCAAAAATAACTGAACGGCGCTACGCACGACTTCTTATAAAAGATCATTTATCAGAAGATGTCGAGCTTGTATCCGAGTTGGTGGCAGACAATTCGAACACCTCTTTTATAAAAGATAAAAAATAAAGATGAATTTATCTACAACTTAAAGCTTTTCACTATTACAATTTAAGACAAGATTTATTTTGTCGAATTTACTCTTTTTGCATCTAAATAACAATCACTGCATATTTACGATAAATAAAATTATTTTATTTATTTATTTATTTATTAAAAACAATTACAGTGTCTTTACAGGATTTATCCCAAAACGATACTGATACTGTATGTACGATTATGTATTACACCATTTTGTAAACTGCATTAACTGCGCATTTTTTAAAAATAGTCGGAATGAGATCTGCAGACAAACAAAGGTCACTGACATTGCCCGGTGAATTGCCAAACTTAAGTGGCAGTGGGCGTTTCACAAGTGCTCGCAGAAGGGACCAACGGCGTAGCGTGAACTAATAACTCTTTCCCTTCGTTCAAAAGACAGGTGCCCAACACATCTATTTCGCCTACCTACTCATGAAAGAGAAAAAAAAAACGTGATGACAGAATATTAGAAAGCTCATAGATTTGAAAAAAGTGTGGCGACGCCCACATACAAAACGAAGGCACACCGAACTACTCAGTAGCTCCTGAATGAGAATTGCTAATCCTGTATCGCGATATGCAGAATTCTCTTGACGATTAGCATATATACAACTTTCCAACATCAACCGTTAGGCCGCAGCCCGCCAGGCATGATTACCTCGCCTGGTCGAAGGATCCTTCCTTTGTGTTGGAGGAACGGGTGGTTCCTCCACAAAAGGTTTATTTTCTTAGCAAAGTAATTTTTTCGGCTTCTTGCTTTACTGAGTCCTCAGGAAAAGACTTGTAATTAACTTTTGCAATTAAATCTGCTTTGATGGAAAGTATTGCTGAAGCAGGCAGTTGGATCTACTTGATAATGTCTTGTGTAAGTAGTTTTTTATTAATTTTCAACTTAGAAATATTTCTTTCTGCGGAGGCTTACAGGTACGTCAGATGCCTCTCTAGATTCTATGTCTTTGCTTTCTCTATCTCGATTTATCGCACCTGAATCATTACAATGCTTAAAAGCTAATTTAAAAAGCGACGATTGTCATAACATGGTCGGGCCACAACACATAGCTAGTGATTTGGTCAAAAGGTGGGGGAAGGCCGCGGCTTCTATTGGGATAGGACCTAGTTAGGTACAGCGTTGATCCGAGAGGGACCTGAAATCACACGGTCCAGGTCCTCCAAGAAATAAACGCCTGAGGCCGGACGTCGGGTGAGTTTTTGGAGGAAGCACCACCTACATTTCGAAGGACGCGCTGGAGATCCAAAGTGATTTTTCACCCCGTCAACAAAAAAAGGCCCCCTCCCCACAAGTCTCATATTCCGTCAATCTTACGATCGCTGTCTTTAAATGTAGTTACAATGGCCTCTATAAGCAATAAGTTGGGGCTTCTTGGGAGACCCGAAACAAATTCGAGCGTTAATGTGATCATTTAATTAGTCATCTGTTGTAAAGTCTGGCGGCATCGCATTTAAAGGAGCCTCGCGACGCCCCCCCCCCCCTAAGTGCGAGGCCGTTGGCGACGGGCCACTTCGCCCACGCCTAGCTACGCCACTAAAAGGGACGGCCGATGGGGCCCAAAATGTTCTGGAGTGGCGACTACGTACCGGAAGACGGAGGACCACGTGGAAGACCACGTACCCTACAAGGTGGGCTGACGATCTCGTTACGGTTGCGGGAAGCCGTTGGATGCGGATTTTGTAGTTATCAGATGGCATGCGATCTAATGCGGTCTTGAATAATGCAACCAATTGGTTGTGTTGTTGGAAAAATATTTGGGGTCTTTTTATGGTGAATTATTGTGTGCACAACGCTGATCGATTGTTGAATCGCCCATAAAACAAATTTGCAAAAATTTGTAGTCATTGTTCGGACAGTGACTACAAATTTTTGCAATAAGGAACCTGTTTGATGATATATTTGACCCTGAATCTTGAAAGTGAGCATAAAATTATCTCGAATAATTTTTGTTGCGCCAAATCATTTAAAAGCATTTATTGTATTGCTGGATATGAGTCGAAAAATCTGGCCCAAAAATTCAATGCCTTGCAATGTGAACATACAACGTTCATAGGTCCAATAGCAACGATTTGTTGTGAACTGTAATCGATTGCCACGTTATAATTGAATTTTGCGTTTTGCGACCTGTGTGTGCACGTTTACTTCTTTGCCATTTTTAATATCAAAATTTAAGTTAATAATAAATCATTAAGTTTCTGCGCAATTTCTTATTTTTTTAAAATGTAAAAACCTTTTACGAAGTATTAGAAAATATTTAAAATTCGTTAAAGCCGTTCTCAAGTTATAGCATGACCAGGAGAAATAGGGGTTCATTTTTATATATATACTAGCTGACCCGACAGACTTTGCCCTGTGTTAACTAAGAATATTGAATTCCATTAAAAATATACAAACAAATGCAAATTTCTAATTAACTTTATTAATGTTTCTCGCAACTTTCTTAATTTTTTCTTTCATAAGAACCTTCTCCTGGTAATGACAAACACAACAAAAAAGAATTCCCGTCCAACCGTTCACGCGTGAGGCCATGACCAAGGGTAATAGGGATTAATTTTTATATATATAGATTTTTTTTTTAAATAATCAAGAATTTCTTTGTAGATTCAAAATTTAATTTAATTTTATTATTATTATTCTCTTTATTTACTTTATATACATATTATTTACATTTTTAAACATACACTTTTTAAAAAGGACGGCCGATGGGGCCCAAAAGGTTCTGGAGTGGCGACTATGTATCGGAAGACGGAGGACCACATGGAAGAGCACGTACCCTACAAGGGTACCCTATTATTATTATTTTTAGGGTTCCTTACCTCAAAAGGTAAAAAAGGAACCCTTATAAGATCACTTTCTTGTCCGTCTGTCCCTCTGTCCGTCTGTCACCACCGATTTTCTCAGGAACGGGTAGACCTAGCAAGTTGAAATTTATACCACATACTGAAGTTTATGGTCCCTATTAGGTGTATAAAAATCAAGGTCCGGAGTCAACACGATAAAAAGATATGGGCAAATTTCGATTTTCGCGAAAAATTTTAAGTACCAAAATTTACCTTAATTTTCAACTTTTTTTATTTTTCAGAATTTTCTCTTTACTTTTGCTGCAAGACCTTGCTTTTAACCAATATTGACAGTTCTAGGTCAACCGAAAGTACCTTATAGGTTTTGGGTCGAAAACCGTTAAAAAAAACGTTATTGTGTGTACCAACTTTTTTTTAAAATACTAGCTTTTAGAGCCTTTTAGCGACATCTGAATCAGCTTTGGGTCACCGGCTCACCATAATCTAACATCCTGGAGCCCAACATTGGCAACACCACTTTGCTTTCTGTCAAGTGCCGAAAGTCAAAGGGGTGCCGAAATTAAAGAATATTTTTTTGTAAATTTTACAAATTAACTCGCAAAAGAAATGTAAGATTCTAACAATTAATATTTCATAAAAATATTATGTTCTACTATCTAATGAAAAGTCCTTTTTTTTTTTCAAATATCGGCGTTATTGAATGTTAGAAAATTATTACATAATCTAGGGTTTGTTTTTAAATTTAACAAGGGTTTATATCTTAATTAGCTTTTTCAATAATCGTTATACTCTAATATTTTATTTAAGAACACAATCCATAATTTAAACTTTGTGTCCTTGTTAAGGTATCAATAGATTCATGGTTAGGTTAAGTTTTATAATCATGGTTTTGCTAGTTTCTTATAAGTTAAAACAACTTCAATGTGTTGCGACGCAAGATAGACAGGTACTAAATGTAACACGATATTCAATGTTCTCAGAAATGTAAAGTAATTTTCTGTACTCTTATATCCTATCTCAGAGATATGTTGCTCAGATGCTGTAGGTATACACATATATGTATTTACATATGTAACTTGCTAAGGCAAGTTTGGTGTGGTTGCATAATTATATTGTTTCAAATCGTTTTTAATTTGTATTTATTTAAATTTTTTATAGCATGGCTCTCGCATTTCGTGGTGTTTTGAGGAGTGCGGCAAGAAGGCTGCAAGTACGTAGCTATGCTGATGCTCCTAGGGGCGATGAAATGGCCCTTACATTTGCTGCTGGAAATAAGGTATGGTCCTGTTTTATAAGCATACATTTTTAAACTTATATTTTCACTTTTGGGAAACTAGGATGATAGAAAGAACTTTGGGACTTACACTATTTTGTGATGATTGCTCTCATAATCATATCCATGGATACATACATATATTGATAGCCAAAAGCTTATATTAACCCCTTAAGACTTTGGTAAGATTGCTGGTTGAAGAAACTGACACAAAAGGCAAATTTTATTGAGGCAATCCATATGGTAAGGGGACTCATGTCTTTGGAACGCTAATGACCTGTGACGCTATGACCTAATGTAATGCTTTTAGCCTTAACCAACCAACTGTTGGTTGCCTTTTTTTTTAAATAATAAACATATTTAACAAAAGATAGTTGTTATTTTACGAAATTAAATTTAGATAATTATATTATATTAATTATCTAGAAGTAACAGTTGACATACTTTGTGGTTAGTAAAACAGAGAACTGACACAAACAAAGACATAAATCACCGTTGTATAATGTCCATGTGGTGATGGTTTAAGAAGATGGAGTGTCACCCCCCCTATTCATCCTGTGGGTGTTGTAAGAGACTAAACTATGCCGGACAACAGCGCTGCAAAGATAAGGAGAACTCGACACAAACCCAACTGGCCTGCATAGTATAGAAGACCAAAACATTCTTTCTAAGGAGAGGCTTGTGTCCTGCAATATGTCAAAGCAAAAATAAAAATATTATATTTTAATTATTCACATGTAAAATTAATTTTGCTTTCAGGTTTACTATGACAAACAAGCAGTAAAGCAGGTTGATGTGCCATCCTTCAGTGGCTCTTTTGGTATTCTGCCAAAACATGTGCCTACACTTGGTATGTTGTTTGTAGACACATAATTTTTAAGGCAACATTAAAAATATTAAAGTAATCATAGCATAGGTTCTGTACATTAATGACAAAAAGAGAAAATGTTTTATCTTAGAAATTAGCCTGAATGTAATACTTACTAGTTTATAATGAATCTGAAAAATACCTCGAATGGTCTATGCTTTGTATTGAGGAAAAGCGATAATATAGAATTTCCTTGTTTAAGTTTTTCTAATCTTTGTGTCAAATTTTTGAATTGTGTTTGGTCCCAAAATTGGATATTGAATGACGATTATTAAATGATTAATATGATGATTAATATTTGTAAATTATCACAAGTTAAACCCTTCTTTTTTCAAATTTATACAGTAGGTACACTTATTTTGTTGTTGAGGTATATGTCAAATGAAATCAGTTTGCTATAAATTTACATGTTTAAAATTTCATTACTTGTTTTTATTTAGCGGTTCTGCGTCCCGGCGTAGTTACTGTAACAGAAAATGACGGTGCGCAGAAAAAAATCTTTGTTTCTTCTGGCACTGTAACCGTCAACGATGATTCCTCAGTTCAGGTGTGTATGGAGTTGTTAAATGTTTTTTTCTGCCAGGGGAAGAATAAAACATCTATAGATTATTTTATAGATGGATAAATTGAATCATTATATGATTTATAGTTATAAATACTTTTAAATAATGTCAAACAGCCATGTTCAAAAAAGTTATTAAACTGTCAGGTATAAAGATCAATGTTTCTCAAAAGGATTTGTATGAAGCCTAATTTTTGTAAAAGTTCTTAAGCTATCAGAACACTTTGATGTATAGACTTTGATATCAATAAAGCAGTCTCAAATAAGTTTTACTATTTTACTCACTTCAGGTCTTGGCAGAAGAAGCCCACCCCTTGGAGAACTTAGACCGTGGTGCTGCACAAGAAGCTCTTAGCAGAGCCCAGAGTGAACTAAACTCTGCTGGTAACGAAAAGGTACATATGTATTACAAACTATAAACAATTGAACGCTTTGTATTTTGAATGGCAGTCTTAGTATATGAAGTAGTATTTTGAGGTTCTGGTTATATTGACAACCACTCAATTGTGTCTTACGAAGTCTATCTTGGTTCAATCCAAGTAGTTTAAGGAATGCCTACTTTAAAACATTGAATGTTTATTGTAGTTAATTTAATATTTGAAAATACGCGTTCATTTTTTTTTCACTTTGAGAACTGCTCTTCTGGCAACTTGCGCTCCCTCCTCCGTTGAGAAACGCGCTGGATACTAGTGCATCAATTTTTATTGCTTTTTGATCAGTGGATCAAAAAGCCATGCATAGAAACTAATTAGAATATATTTGTTAGCAACGCCTGTAGGAGGTATTTTATGGCAATGTTTATTAAAAGTTGTCTATGTATTGTTATCTGTGCTATTTGCAACATTAATTGCCCGGTTGCAGATCAGCGTAAAGTTTACGATACGATTATAGATGCATTTAACTGCATTATCGTAATGATATTACATATATATTGCCTAACTGTAGTGAAACTACTATTGCGTGTTCAGATACTATTTTAATACTCTTCTTGTTAGTAAATTGTGTTAGTATTTATAGTATAATGTTAATCGCGTGTGAGCTAACATATATACACACATTCAAACGGAGATTAAGCTGACTAGTAAAAATATTACGTAAATTATAATATGTAACATCATAATCATAATCAATACATAAGGAAATGATTTGGGGTTGCTGTTAAAGAGGTGACAAAGTTGTATAAAAGAATGCGCGTGTAATGTGCTAACACAACAATAATTTATACAAAATATTTGCTTATTAGTGTGTTTGTTTGCAGGCCAAAGCCGAAGCCGCTATCGCTGTGGAGGTCGCCGAAGAGATCGTAAAGGCGGCGACTGCGTAAAGTGTACTCACCATTGCCAGGAAACATTAGTGTTGTACGAACTATTTAATTATTATCGTTATGTATAAATAAACATCTCCTCCAGTAGAACTCGGATATTTTATTTTATCGTCTGATATAATTTTAACTGCTACCAACCTGACCGCCAAAGGTTTCATGCCGTTGTGGGAATGAGAATGAATAGTTAGATCCTCTCATCCATGTTAGTGGGCTCATTTAGACAAATGTAATAATAATAATAAAAAAATCGCCTTTTCTCCGAAGTCGGTTCTACAAATTAGTGTCTAAGCACGCTATTCCGAAGTTACGCGACCGAAGTTTGGCGTGTATATCTTACGACACATTTGCCGAAATTATGTCGCGTTATGAGTACAGCCAAACTTTGATTGAGAGTAAGTTCGGCGACAACATAGTTTAAATAGCAACACACTATACGCGATGGAAGTTCGGTTCTATTGCTGGGGGCAGTCAGGCCCGCGCAATCCCGCCTTAAAAAGAATAATGGAACCTTTATAATATAAATTTGTTTTCTGTATGTACTCGTATTAGACAACATTGCAAGACACCACGATAGCGCTCCAAAACTGAATTCGCACAACCGAATATCTGTCGTATAATTTGCGTGTTTATGGTGCGTCATATCAGCCGAATACGTCGGAATGAAAAATCAGTCGCCGGAACTAAATTTTAATAATATCATTTTTTATTACCAAAAAAAGGTACAAAATATGTGATACATTGCCGGTGGCCCCACACTTGGCAAGCCTGTCCTGTGGGTGCCAGTTAAGATTACACATTTCGCTATACATTACATCGTCTATGCATGCCTCGTAATTAAGTTTTGTCGTTTGAAGAAAAAAACACAGCTAGAACCTAATAGTACTTTTTATTGTTTTTCAAAGTATTCACCACGTAGCTTAATACACTTTTCCATTCGCTCAAATCAGTTATTATAACATTTATTCCACTCTAAAGCGGGGGTGTTCAAAATGGCTGACTTGAAAGCGTCGACTGCTTCTTCACCAGACTGGAACCTTTGACCACGAAGACTTTTCTTAATTTTAGGAAATCGTTAAGGCTTTTCGAGTGTCATACACGTTAATAGTTCTTGTGGAAATTAAAGTGAAAAAGTATTTCTGGATATTCCAAAAATTGATCTACAGTTTTCTTAATAACGATGCTACACATTGGTGGTACTTTTTTCGTTGGGGGGCAGCACTGGCCTCCCAGCCTTCTTAACAAATAGCGGCCCTGAACTGCCGTAGCTTAATATTTGGGGATATATTTCATTAAAACAATATCTTGTAGTTGACATTTGAGTAGTTTATTTAACACAAATCAAACACTTTGGTACAGTTAGTTAGCTGCTGTTATCGACGTCGTATTATTTATTATTATTATTATAAACTTATTCCAACTAGCCGCAAACCAAACATACATCGACAAAAGCGAAAATATAATAAATTAATTGTTACTCCTTTGCTGTCAAAAAGATCACGATTATGGTACAAATTTTAATTTATTAATTTTATTTTATAATTTTGAATATAATTTATTTAATTTGTTCACATTTCAATTTTAACTAGTTTTTTTATTAAATCGAATTCTAATTGGAAGGATAAGAAGATTCTGTTGCTAGGAAGTCGCGAAAACCTAACTACAAGCCTACTATGCGAAGCTTACATCACAATACACAACATATAATGGGAAACGTCTAGAGAGAGACACACGAATGTCTTACACCTAGTCGCCCGCATAATATAGAAGGATAAAATTACGATTAAGATTAATAAAAATGCACCTTAACGTACTAGATTAATATTTTAAAGATTAGTTTTAAATTCCATGTCAGCAGTGTCCGTTGCGTTTTAGATGGTGGTAGAGTAATTCCTTGCTGTGTGTTGATAGGTAGGTTCATTATTATCAAAAGTATGGTATGGTTACCTGTACTTACTATACATTAAATTGCCAATACATAATGTAGATAGATACGCCTATTAATGATTACCGTTAATTTATTATAAGTATATTCCATAACGCGTGTTATAACTAGCTACGGATTATATAGGTCTTTGTTTAAAAGTTGATTAATTACTAATAAAGAAAATGTATACCTAAACTTATTCTAAGTAGTATATGCATAAATGCGAATCAAAACCGTAACACAAACATGTTTGTCACAAATCAGGACGTGGCAATAACGAAAATGTTAAACAGAAATATTTAAACCAATAACGTTAAAGGAAGCATAGAACAACCGTTCGGTCGTGGTTATCTAACATTACCGTCCTACGAGTATAAACAAAGTTACTTCATGTAAAATTAAAGGGGATAAAAATACAAAATATCACATACATTATTACATGTTGAGCTTAATTTAAATCGGATTCCATACACCCCAATACCAGATGCAAAATGACTTATAACTGAAATTTCATTTTTTCATTTAAATTAAGCTAAACAAATAAGGTAAACTACAATTAAATTAATTGACAATGCGTAATAAATACAACAAAGTTGGGCACGTAGGGTGAAGGTTTAATATATATGGACAAGACATTAACGCGTCACCTATCTATTTAAGCAAATATATCAATTTGAGATAACTACCACAACCATAATTTTCTGCTTTTACATGGTAAGACTACAGTGACGCGTCGGTACGCTCTACTCAGGAAAGGTAGATCTAATTTGTACAATACCCAACTCTGCGAAGTTATTACACTCGATAAGTTAAAATTAAAACTAAATACAAAAAAGTCCAGCCAACTAAGTTGGGGTAAATTTCAAAGTAAAGAGTAACACTGAAATGCGACACACAAATCAAACGGTAAAAAAATATTAGATTTGGCACGTGTATCACCATCCTGCTGAATGCTAGATGAAATTATAGAGCGAACGTGCAATCAAAAATTTATTTTGACAAAAATATTTGCATTAGCCAGCGAGCGCTACATCAGCAAGATGGTAATGGTCCGTTAAACTAAATTATTATAAAAGTGGTATCGTGTGTCGCTGTGCGCTTGCACAACTCCGGTTTACAGGTTACACTGCCACAGTATCGTAGGCTGTGAGTCCCCGCCCGTGGACTGCTTGCTGGGGGATTGGGGTGGTTGCTTCTGGTCTGTCGATACATGCAAAATATTTTAGTATATTGCCAACCTAACTGTCAAAAAAACGGTACTTAGAGCAGCAGTAAAGTAATAGCAAAAGGGCCAGCCGCTGCATGAATACAATAAAATACATTTGAGCTTTTTTGTAGCATTGTAAAGAAAATCACAGCACTTTAAAATAGCTACTGCTAGATTGGTTCTGGGGTCCATTTAGGAGCGGACAGGGTTTAGCCAAAAGAAATGCTAATGACAGTAAATAAATCCATCATGGATTATGTAATAGAAGTGCCAGGGATATCGCTTTTCTATATTTCACTATAATTCATAGCTTCAAAGTGTAAAATAAATATTTAGGTATTTACATTTCATGCCTTCAGTATCGGCAAAGGAATCGTCACAAAAATAATTAAAGTAGCCGTGGTTTAAAGAATTAATAAATTATTGATTCGCCTTACCAATCTTCCAGCAAACAAAAGGAATATTTAAGTGCACCACAGTTTATGTTAGCCACAACGAAAGTTAATAACAGAAACACAAAAATCAGGCAAAAACAAGGTTGATAAACTCATTACAAACTGTCATTTTTACATACATACTTTCACTTACTGTTTCCTGTAGATCATGGATGCAGAACATAACACATGCTTAATAACGAGCAGATACTAATACACAATGCTTAGTGGGTAAACTGTATTCTATAGCACGACACAGTTTGATCGTGCTAGCACACACACAAGGAACCGGCTTGTCTATTAGTTAGTATACTGGGAGCAGCGGTCAATCTTATTTTAGATTCATACCTAACACATTGTTACTTTCTCAATACAAAATAACACAACTATGCACACACTGGCCGGTGAGGATTATATTGACATTAAGACCTCTTATGTATTTTTGGGACTGTGTAAAAACTTTAAGTAGGTACCTATGTGTTAAGGGTGCATTGTGCAAGGCCTATAAAACTGACCTGTCAATGAGTTTTCTCATTTCCTCGCTGTGCATACCGTCCTTGGCAGTGTGGGCCCTTACTGCAACAACACACAAGTCACGACGCGCTCTATACTAGCCACGATACCTGGAGCCGCCTTCTACGCGACACCACGGACAATAACCGCACCACGTCTTTACTAACATTGTAATAACCTAATGTTATCGAATAAGCGGTTATTGTCCGAGGGACCATCTCCAAAACACGTACTAAATATCTACAGAATCATTTCAAATGGAGTGAATTAGTTAACACAATCACGTCTAAGCACATATAGTAGAAAGTTCAGATAGATTAAAAATAAATTAACTTTCCCGTTGGTGGTTTACTTGTCAAAATTAAACGGGTCGTCTTCCTTTTATATTGCTGCCTTTATGCTTTATTAATTATAATTTTCAGAATTAATTTGTATTGAACCAAGAAGAAGGGCTTCAAGAGTCGTATGCTTTAGAATCAGTTTTTTTCACTCGTTAATTTTGACAAGCTTTGAAACCGCATATAAATATAAAGAATTTTGAAAAATAAAGATAGTAAGCCAATTACAAGATGACTAATCTTGAAGCTTTAATTCAATTCCTTATTACTGATACAAATGTTGCATGCTGTCAGTCACAATTATTCATTAAACATAAAAGAATCAAACAATTTGATTCAAAAAAGTTTACCGTCTTCTGTTCAGGTGACACCCAAGTGTGCATGAACCAATTCAATAATAATACATTTCAAACATTGTTACTATTTGGTAGAATGTTGATGAAACAGTTAATGATAATGTTGTTTAGCTTCATACTTTTTTGTTGTATTCAACATTTTACTGGGCATTAATTTGATTTACAAAAATGTTGATTTTTTAAAGGTGCTATTACGATTACTGTAGGACACAAGAGTTCAAACGATACCTTATGAGACATTCTCGGACTTGGCTTTTCATTTGGAACCGATTTCTGGAAAATTGTTTAGTGGCAATGGTTTTGTCAACCAGACAACTTGAATAATATATTATGATTAGCCATTAATTGTTAATAAAAAATATTTATAAAATTACGAGCTTGAAAGAAATTAATGCTCAGTATTTTAAGAGGTCCATTAAATATTTTATAATTTGAAAGCAGCAAATACTGAATACATGGAAGCGGTCGCTACACAAAAAAGTATGATATAGTAAATAGGTGTTTACACGAATGATGTGGCAAAATTCGTGTCCCTGTCAGAAGATGACATGTTGATATTATGCGCATATGTAGCAAGCTGGGCAGAGTAAAGCTGTATTTGTTATAATGTTGTATTTCCGGTCAGTTTAAAGTCAGGTCTTATTTTGTCGGAAATATTATCTTTTAAATACCTGTGGATTTTAAAAATCAAGTACTTGATTTAGAAAAGCTATGACAAACTTCGCTGGGGATGAGTAAAGTAAAAGTGCTTTTGAAATATAAGATTTTAAGCATTATTGGAATGTATTTTATGAAAGCAACCTGATAAAAATAAATGCCAATGCTTGATTTATCTTGTTCTGGTAATATTTTTGAAAATCACGAGTTCCGAACCATTAACTTATTAGACTAGAGCGTGCTTCAGACTGCGTTCATTTTTTGTGTATCTATGTGTATTATGTGTTGGTTTGTATGTAAGTTGGTATGTATGTGCGTTAGTGTTGTTCCTTTACCGGGATAGTTGCGGGGTTGGTCGCATTCGGCTTCGGAGATTTCGTTCGAGTCCTTGCTCTCATTAAAAGAGGAGGAGCAGTTGTTGTCGGTGTTGGTATTGCGTGGTGGGGGTGGGGGAGGCTCGGGGGAACTGCCGCACTTGCGAGTACCTGCGCGAACAACTTTCAGTTTATATTAAGAGGAAAATAGTTTTCACGTTCTATTTTTAAATTAGTCTGGTACGCTACCTAGTAGTAGACAAGTGTTAGTTTCAATATTGACAGGAATTGTACTAACACCAAAAAGGGGCGTTTAGGAGACAAATTTGTTATAAATGGTCCATCGACACTTAATAGCCAAATATAACAATATCGGGACTGTAACCCATTCCATAACAATTTTTTATTTATAACGTGGCATAATTTAACTAGAATAGCATAATAATTAAAAGTTCATAATAGCATTAGATGATTTAAATAATACACATTTCTGAAATGTGTGGGGCTCAAGTAGTTACCAATGCTGGGGCGAGAGCCGTAGTGGTCGGAGTAGGGAGTGCCGTAGGCGCCGGTGTACTGCTCGTCCTCGGGCGCGCAGCAGGCGGGCTCGTCGTACTCGGGGCCGCACGCGTACATCGGCCGGGAGTAGCGGGCGCGCTGCGTACACCCATTACTTTTACGTATAATACTAATCATTTTAAGATAATGCAATGTGAAAACTGCAAGTTTTCACAAATACTGATTTGTTACATGTGTTAAGTGCGTCGATAACGTAGATGTAGATTCATAACTGAACTTTAAACTTTGCATTCCACCTTTCGACTGAGTTGCAGCATTTGTGGTCTTGGGCGAACTGAATATTAATGAAGTCCTCTTCTTGCCTCGATCAATATTATGTCGAGTACGTCCCGAATTAAACTGCGGACGTTAGTAGGTTACAAGCTTCCTATCTTTTAAGTCATTTTAAGATACTACAATGGAATTACGATTATATTTTAATGTTTATAAAAAAAACTAAATGAGGCTTACGTATTGGTCCTCTTCAGCACAGGTGGCCGGGTCGTCGTATTCGGGAGCAGTTGAGTAAATGGCACTTTGTCCTCCCTGGGAGTTCTTGCGGGCATAGCGACTGTTGGCACGGGGCTGTATAGCATATGTGATAATTAGACAAATTGTAAGAAAAGTGAATTTGAAACACGACTCCTGTACAGATTATTGAAAAATTTAGATTGTGAAAGACAGTGTGAAAGGCGGAGTTTTCAAGGAGGTAGTTTTGTTTCTTTAATCCAACAGAAGACAGTTAATCACTTAGCCAATATTGGTCACGATAGTCAGGGCTCCAGATAAGGGGAAATCAATCAATATTCTCGTACCTAACTCGTAACCGTAATATTTTTGCGATTGTTTATAGCACCGCTTACCATCACAGTTTACTATGATATCTGTAAACAGTCGACTGCTCATAGTCTTATACACAAGGCAGACCATCAATGGTACATAGACATTATTTAATGCATTTATTTATTTAAAACTTAATGCATAATATGTTGTACAATTAACGGACTTAATGCCATGAGGCATTTTCTCCCAGTCGACCTTCAGATGATGTAGAAATATATTGCAGTAGGTGAACAGAATTTATTATGTACTAGAAATTAATTTATATACAGATACAATACCGACCATGCTCTGGGAGCCGGCGCGGGAGTGTGCAGGATGATGTGGGTGGGGGTGAGCGAGGGTGCCAGCGTGCGCGGGGTGGTGGTGGGGGAATGCCAGCGCCTTGCTCGGGTCCATCTCCTCGCGGAAGCCCAGAAGGTGGAATGTTGCGTAGGGGCAGATCTCGTCCTCCATGCCTGAGAAACACGACATGGTTACGTCAGAATAACTGCTCATCGTTCAAAAGGCACGGATTGTTATTTGTTATCGATCACGTTAACTGAAGTGTTTTAATTAATAATGCTTATTAGAGCACTGTACGTTTATTACTTACATATAGGCACTTATCTACATACATATTCATCTATTAAAATTCAGCTTGACAAACTATTTAAAGTAAGACACAAAGCTATATCCCTCCCATTTAGCTGGATCTCAAAAGATATAGCCTGTTATAATATCCATCGTGTTCCCTGTACCGTAGTAAAAGACGACACATTTTTTCTATGGTATTTAAAGTAAAATTTTGAATAGTTAGTTTATCTCTTTTAGGGACCCATTATTTTTAGATTTTTCGACGAAGTTTAATAGGTAGTCACTTGGCCCAAATTTTTAAACATTTACAACCCATAAGAATGCGGTTTAATGTTCAGTCATGACAATTTTATTTGACACGTGCGGGCTTATAATAATAACGCCTAGAAAACTAAGCCATTTTGGTTCAGCAACCGAACGGCCGGCGTCAGATCTCAAGGTCAAGTTGTAGTGCTAACAGCACTTGTAATTTGAATTGAAAATGACAGTTTTTGTATTATACCTACTTACTCATATAATGTAAATAAGTACATACAGATTATAAAGTACCTACTCTCATGCGAACACGGTATAAATAATTATGTTAGTAATCTTATAAAATTAGTAACTAACACTTTTAACAGTGAATGGTAATTATTTCAAGATTACATTTACACCTAAGATTTACATCATAAAGCAAAAATAAAAATAACAGGGATTAGAAAAAGCAAATTATAATATTAGTGTAGATAATGAATATATAAAATAACATGCAAGTCATGCAAGAAAATAACAATAGTACATTTGATACTTACTCTTTGTAGACATTGTTAGTAGATGTTCATTCAAATTTGTTTACGATATATACACACCTTTACCTCATAAGAAGAAAAGACGTAGGTATTTTACTTAATTTAGTTACAACTTTAATATTTTTCGTAACTAAAGCTTAAATAGGAATAAGGTACCTACTTCGTAATAAGAGGCGTCTTTCGATTTTATAGAATGAAATTTTGCCAACAAGAACCAGGAAAGACATTTCTGTTTCATCTTAGTCTTACAAAATAGTCACACATAAGTTTACACACACACACAAGTGGATCACACATTATCTGATTAACGTTTTTTTTTTCGAGTTAATAAGCACGGTCCACACTTTGCCAATACTAAGGCTCAAAACGCACTTGCGATTAGCCGCACTGCGGTGTGCCGTTGCGGTTAATGGTTTTTTTTATATGAAAAAGACATGGTGCCATTGCACTGACGTGCGCCCAGCAGAGTCTACCGTTACGGTTAGCCGGAACGCGGTGAGCCGCTACGGCACACTGGAGTGCGGTTAACCGCAAGTGCGTTTTAAGTCTAAAACTTAAGTTAGGTAAGGTCCCAATCAAAAAGTTTTATACCTAAACAAGTATCACCCGGAATAACAGATTTGTTATGTTTAATGTAGCTTTAGAATAAATTATCACTTTAATTCAATATTTTTGGATAACGCCCTCTTTGCGTTGGTTTCGCTCAAATGCACATTATTTGTCGCAACGTTATTACTTTTTTTCGTTTAAAACGTTTCAGTTTAAAAATACTGAACATAATATTTAAGTTTAGGTAAAACCGTCTTTTTTTCTTATTGGCAGTAATATTATTTTAGCACAGCATACATCCGTTACAAATTCACGCAAATTATTTATTTCATAACATACTCGACATGAATGTACAATGTAACTGAGTATGAATATTGGAAACAATGATAAATAGAACCACAGGACACTAAAAAAACAGACAATCCACACTAATCTAAGGATAAAATTTAGTTTTTCTCGTAATACTTTAGAAAAGAGTAAAACGTATCGATGACAGAAAAGCATTCAGGTCAACGGTATTAGTGACCAAAAAATAATAAGTACCAAAACCTAACTAAATTATTTTAAATATTAATTTTTCGTATTCCTTATAATGAAGTTAATAGGACAGTGACGATTGTTTAAATACAATATTAAAACTTGTATTATGCAAAACGGCGTTATAATATGAGCAACAGATGGTGTGATCTTTTAAGTATAGTATTTGCGTGAAATCCTAACCAATGTAAACTACCCAAGCTCACTGACCTGTGGATGTGGTGTCTCCGGAGCCGCGGCGCATGTGCGTGCGACGTACACGCTCGTAGTGATGACGGCGCGGGTCCCACGTAGAGTGTGCGCCCACTGAACCACACTACTGAGTTACGCATGCGCCTAACACCACCAACACTACTCGCTTACTATCTCACTCACATTTTATATAAAAAAAACAGAAAAATGTCTTCAAATGCTTGTGAATCAAGCTGAAATCTAAAAAATCTAATTTTTTTATAGTTTGTCAAATAATCGCCCAAAATTATCTGTATTGTAATAATTACGAGAAAAGCATTGATATAAAAAAATATTTTGTGTTCATTATTTAGATGTGTTTTTTAAAGATTTAAAATACAGATCATATCCCCGATATACGGCCCATTAATTATTTTATTATTCATAATGGGAGTGAGATAATATGAGTCGATGACATGAATCATATAAAATAAATGATGAAGGGATTAGGTTATGCTTGCGTCCAGCTTATAATATCAACATATTAATATTTTATTATACATACATTACATATTTGAACCATCGGAAATCAATATATTATTTAACCCACTTCAAAACAAGAGAAAGCTGTATTTTGCTATCAGACGCTTCGCTACCACCTGGGGATGTGGCGATTTAGGATTTAACTAAGTTTTGAAAAATAATAATGGGATTGTTACATAATATCATGTTAAAATTTACGCTTTTGTTAAATGTGTCGCTTGCGTGCCTGTCCTTTGACTCACTAATTGTTAAGTAGGTATTGCTTTTGGTACAAATTTATTAAAAACCAAGTAGGTTGAATGTTCTTTGCCCATTTATATTTAAAAGTGACACTAAGAACACGGAGGTAGAGCAAAAATCTACCTACCAAAGCTTATCTACTAACCCAGGACAAATGGCTTATTGACCGGGACACTGGGACATAACACTTCAAACCGGGACATATCCTGGTGTACCGGGACGTATGGCAGCCCTAGTTATACATCGAAGCTTTTACAACACATAGGATATTTATTCTACAGTCTGGTTTATTATTAAAATGGGTGAGTAAATAGGGTGGTTGAAATATGTAGTGTAGTGGTCTATCCGGTGCTACTATTCGACGGTGTAGCAAAATCATAAACCCTTTTTAAAAAAAAAGTTGAACCGACTTCAAAAAACACCGACAAAGAGCACTAAAAATTAAAAAATAATTACAAATCTAAGTAAAAAACTATAATAAGTACCCTCAATGTAACAGGTAACATTATAATACCAATAGTCCCTTCTAGTCAGTTTGAAGTCTTTTTAAAAAGGGTTTATTTTACCATTTTTAGTGTAGGATATGAAAATGACATTGGCGTCCAAACTGATCAAGATCAGCTTAAATTCTTTTCTAAGAAACAGTCAAATTCTTGTGAGTTGCAACCGAAATAACTTCCGATTCAATTGACACTGATCTCGAAGGTGAAGATAGGGAAGCTTTAGTGAGACTACTCAACAAATATGCTCAATATTTTATAGAAGGAGTTCCAACTAGAAGGGTTAATACTAGTATGTTAGAAATTAACCTAGTTGACCCACCCAAAATTTAAGAGTTTTTTCCTGATCTATTTTAATAAATTAAGTATAAAATTACTTACAAACGAAATGCGATGCCATCCATAGCAACAAAACGTCTATCCGAATTATTTTAACAAGATAGAATACAAAATTTCAACCTTTTCTTCTTAATACAACGAAAATTACTGTGGTGACATAAATACTGCAAGTTCTCTGCGCATCACATCGCGCAGTCTCTGACAGTTGCCATGGTTTGTTTGGCTAAAGAAATACTCGTAGCTAAAACACGTTGTCGGGGCTGTCAAATTCCCAATAATTGTGAGGGTTTCACTCGATTTCTCTAGGATCCCATTATCAGATCCTGAATTGGTGGTAATGGGACCAATTCGGGAGCATACCCTTTCGATTACAAAAAGAATTTTGAAAATCGGTCCACAATTGACGAAGAAATCGCGTAACAAACATACATAAAAAAAAAATACAGACGAATTGAGAACCTCCTCTTTTGTGTTTTGGAAGTCGGTTAAAAAGAAAACATACTGTCGAATCAAAAACCCTCCTTTTTTGATGTTGGTTAAAAATCGACTAGCATGAAGCTCCTAGTCGAGACGAATCAAATGAGCACAAACACGGCGGAATTGCTTTATTTTATTACAGAGTTCCCATGGCTATTTACCGTCTCCATCATCAGACCCTGAATATCACATAGGATCGGAGTTCTTATTAATTAGACTCAAACACATTCAAATTCGATGGTATTACATAATTTTGTTACAGAGATCCCATACTCCTAAACCATTCATCAACAGCTTCATCATCAGCTCAGCAACATCAGATGGTGACCATTAGATGCAAAAATCTACATAGATTAAGATAATTTCTGATAAACAGTGTATATGCCTACAAAATTTGAGGGTTTCCCTCGATTTCCCCAGGATCCCATCATCAGATCCTGACCTGGTGACAATGGGACCACCTCTGACGTATGACCTACCAAATAAAAAAAGAATTATTCAAATCGGTTTATAATTGCCGGAGTAATCGCGTAACAAATATACAAAAAAAAAAAAAAAAAAAAAAATACAGTCGAATTGAGAACCTCCTCCTTTTTTTGAAGTCGGTTAAAAACATTGAAGGATTTTTTTTTTCTTAATGCACGTACTACGTATACAAGTACTATATACTCGTAATGATGATATGATAAGCCGGCTAAGCATTTCAAAAAAATATTATTATAAAACTATAAAAGCTTAATTTTTGATTTTATCCTCTACCAAGAATACCTTATAGCTGTAAATTGGGAGGCGGGGAGAAATAATAATAATATTTTATTATAGTTATATGTATATTATATAACTAAGAGAAAACAGAGAAGTGAGTTGCGTTTAGGCTACTAGACAGCTATCACCTTACTTTCACCAATATAAGTGCTTATATGAGGTATTGACAAATAAAGGTTATGTTTAATAGCCCTAAAAATATTGGGCATACAATAATGGGCTTGTATTTAACTTACCACCAGATATAGTATATCATGTCAAAAAAATTAATGTTGCCAAAACTAGTAATTGATCTCCAAAATTAAAACCTCATTTTACACGAATGTACAAAAGTTACATGTTATAATTATGTCGTACTGGGAGAACGGTGGTTTAACAAGATATAATCAAAACCTAACCAAGTAAAAGTGCATTAGTTTGCCCCCTCGCTTGTTTGGTGATCATTTACAACTGTGTTGGTTGGTGTTCGAATACAACTTAAAGTGCAGTCATGACTCATTACTAAAACAGCTAGAAACATTGTAATTTAGACTGTCTTTGTTCAGGGCTACAAATTATTTTTTGGTGGTCATTGTATTTAAACCCATAAAATAATGACTTTTAAAACACTTTGCATTATTTATTAATACCTCATTATTAACTAAGGAATTTAAGAGAAAAATAAATGACATTATACATAAGGCACAGAGAAAGAATCATAGCATAAGTCGTGCAGAGAGTATAAAAAGAAATTTAAATAGTATTTAGATAACCGTTACCTCAAAGATATCCTGTGATCGAAGGCCGACCATCTCTCGGGATTTGTTAAGATAGAGTGCGCTTCTTATTGAAAATAATATTTACGTGTAAAGTTTGAAAAGTGGAATAGTTAAGTATATTCCTTTGAACACAAATATCTTATATCTGTAAACGGTAACATTGGGTAGAAATATTTCTTCTCATTTACACTTCTTTTATCATTTTCCTCCATTTTTGATCGACTTAGATTTTGGTATTCAAAGTATATTGATAGTTGTTAAAGCTTGGCTGTCGAATGATACTTACTGATGACAGCCTGACGTTTGACTCGGTCGCAAGTGTTGTAGTTAGAGCCGGGTACAGGGGGCAGCTTGCGGTTGGGCGGGGCGATGTATCCGAGTTCGTCGCGAAGTCCTCCGCGCTTGTCCAGCGTGCCACCGCCGCCGCCGAGAGCCGCTTGCGATGCGTTGTACACCGCGTCATCTGATAATACTCTTGTCATTTATTTCGAGGAATACTTGTAAGGAATCAAATAATAATTAATGCTATTATTTTATTAAAAAATATTAAAAGAGTTATGTATGGTTTAGAGCAAAAAATATCAAAAAACTATGAATTTCGAAAACTAAAATGGAAAAAAAAGAATAGGTATTCGATATTAGTCCTGCATGCTCAATATATATTAGGCTAAATGTTTAAAAGTTAAAATTAAATTATTAGACGTAATAATGTTTCGGATAAAAGAAAACGAGAAAGCGGTGTTCATGCCACCATACATACAATACACGTCCTTCTGACCTCGCAGGCGGTGCGGGGTATTCCTACGAGCCAGGGTCAGGCAGATCACAACGATTCCCACGATGAACACAACGATAGTTGCCAGGATCGGCACTAGCACTTCTGGTTCGAGCCAAGCCTTGACCCACGGAGGTAGTTCCTTGTCACCGTCAAAGTTTCCGGGCAAAGGAGCAATAGTTCCTAGAACGGTGAACACATTAGTTTACCTTTGTGATGGTCCCTGGCGCCTCGTACTACGCAGACGACAACGATAGCGATAATGATGACCAGAATGGCCGCAACGACGGGCACGATAAGGTTAAGGTGCGACAGGATAATCTTGATCGTCTGTTCAGTGGTAAGAGAGCCACCGCCGACGTCGCGCGCGGGCGCGATCGTACCTGAAATGCAATCCCGAGCGTTATAGGTACTATATATTTATCTAAAGGACATCTATACAAAGTAATTTGATCAAAAATACAACAACGATGCATTTCAGGTACGTTTTTCGTGTTCATACAAGGTTTTTTTTTTAATAATGTATTCCGAATGAATTTAAAAAGTAAGCAAGAAGTATTCTCTTTGTACTCACCTCCAGTAATTGTAAGAGTACCAAAATCATATTCGGCCACGTTAAATCCAGCATTGTTATGCGCTGTTATTCTTAAAACATACCACGTAGCAGGTTCCAAGTCTAGAAAGATATTCCTGGTTATTGGATATATTTGTAGATATAAATTAGTATTACAAACTAAATGACTCGGTGAACCTCGTGTCACCTACATGTATTTATCTATATGTATGATAGTGTGTCTTTTTCCAAAAATAATTAATAAAGCTAAATGATGTAGCTTAAAAAATTGTCATGTTACATCGATTAGATTTCACACCGTTTTCCCTGGACTTCCACAAATATTTCAAGACAATTATATATATATAGATAGATATAAAACGTACCCAGGACAACGAAGTTACCACCAGGTTTCACAGCGTTCGAGATTTGGTTCCATTCAGCATCGCCCCTGTTACAAAAGAGCGCCATTAGTTCGGTGTTGATCACAAACTAAATTAAATGAACACTATGATTCTTGTTTTTTTTCTTTTCTGTACAATCATTTAGTCATCAAATATAAGCTTACAGTATATACAACCAAATCGCTTATATCTAAACTAAATAAAAAACACAAAGACATAAAATCAACGATAATACAATTTTAATATACACAATAAAAAATTACAAACTCAACAATTTTATAATGAGATCTTTTAATATCACTTAGATGAAAGTTAACTACGTTTACGTCTAACTTACCTTACTATATTATTTAAGAATAACAAATTGCTATACATTACACTAGGTTTGTCAAAAAAAATATCTGCCTCTGGATTGGCCTCTAGGAAACAGTTTAATAGTCTGACGGCTTTGGAAGTGGCGCCGTTATAATATATGGCGCGTGTTGGGAGCGCCACGCCGGCGTATAGCAGAGAAGTCTATGCTGTCGCCTACCAATGGCTCTCATGTATTAGTCCGGTACATGGAAATATATAGTCTCACGTATCGTGCGTACGTAGGGTTATCTACTTCAAATCTTAACATATTGCTTACGGTCTCTAAGATAATCAGACATAAATTTTACAAGTGGTGTAGAGAATCCCAGCACTGCGAATTTCCTTAAAAAAATACCATATCAGCAAGGTCAAATGCCTTATTAAAATCAAAATAGGTTGCGTCGATCTGACACCCCGGCTTAACCCGTGCGCTTATTTATGATTTGATGAAGATGATGATTGAAACATTAACATCATGTTTTATAGGTAACTCGCCTACTAATGGTTGTATTAAGGTTATTATACAAGATATCAATAGCCACGTTTACATCCTGTTGGTGCATTAGGTCCGTACAGTCCAGGTCTCTTAGCTCAGTGTATTGGCCGTGGAGATCTGCTTTAAGGAAGTTCCACTATGTGCGTAGGTATGACATGACCTGGTGAAAGTGGTATGTTTCTTAAAGTATCTGTAGGTAGTGAAAGTCTCAAAAGGAGGATGATAGGCATCAATTGGTACTAATGGCTCGCTCTCAAGTGATCCAGTACAACTTCCAGAGTCCAGACTAGTCAACAACAGATCCAAGATGCATCCATATTTATTGCAAACATTATTACATTGCTGCAACTTGCAGTAATTTAAGAGATTGTGAAAGTCATTTGTTACAAGACTAAGTTGAAATCACCAACAATCAGACTTTACAGTCTAAATATGTGGTAATGGTATTTTCTGTACAACTTAATGCAACAAGATATTGCTTGTCATTATATTTGGTCATTATATATACTTAATATTTTTCGACGTTAAAATAGCAAATGACAATTCTAAATCATCAGTTGAACCCTCTATGTTTGTAATCCTTTTAATAGTTAGACTATTCTTCACAGCTAATAGAACACCGCCCCGCCTGGCATTACCTATACGGTCCTTTCTTAGCACAATATAATCGGGATAATGCTATTTTGTAATTCCAAATTCGGATTCAGATTAGTAAATAATTCGACTTTATGATTATATATTAATGATCCACATACGTATGTAGGTGTACATGGAATTATATTAGTGTGAGAAATATGGTGTAATGCTTCCCTTATGGTATTTAATAACTCGGTACAATCACATGCGGTCTTAAAATCTTTTTCACTTATCACAACAATACAATAGTGCTACATATCGTATCCATGTGATTTTTTATCAATATTTTGAAGTAAACATTCTACACTACTATTAGGCGAGAAATAGCGGGTATAGTCTGAAGTGGTTACCGAACGTCGCATAAACAGCTGACAGCGTACCCCAGGATAAGCTGTTGGTCAGGATACAAATTTGGGTCTCCTATTTTCATCAATTTCTGTTTAGGATGTTATTAGTATGATGAATCAGGGAAGATTCTTCATAGTTTTCAGCTTGTAGTGCCATCTGGAGGGTACTAATTTGATGATTAAGGTACCTTATTTCGTTTTTGCTGACTTCAGATACAGCTCCAGATGTATGAGTTGTTGAACCCTTTTGTTAGGCCATAGCTAGGATGGACTAACGTCTACTTTTCTTTTTACTACTACCATTTAATTTTCTTTTCTTTGGCGGTGTTTTTTAAAAAAAATTGTTCTCTTTACTAAGGCTGGACAGTTGTGAACGGAGATCGTTATTATCTAGAATAATATTTTCAAACTCATTTTGTGTTGTGGCCAAGCCCATTCGCAGCTGTTCTGTTATGTCTCTTATGTCCTGTATAGAGACAGCTACCGTCATTGTGTAATCCATACTCTTTGAAAACAAGATTTCATCAGTGGTAAGAGCATCCGAAAAATTTTATGTCTACTTTTTCTGCTTCTGTGCTAGTTGAAATAGACACAGGTTCAATCTCTTGATGTTTAGTACAGATGATAGTACTACATTATCGCGTTTTTTGTTGAGAATCATCTTCTTCCTTAATGTCACATTGCCCACCAGTAGTTAACAACGTTTGCCGTTCGCATGGTTTGCATTACCAATTATAACTCTTGTCTGGATTGCCGACACAAGAGAATTCAAATTTTTTTTTTGCACACAATTGTACTTTTTATAATCGACTCGTCTTTTGCATTTATAACATGCAACAATTAATGCTATCTTCCGGCCATTATTGGTGTTACTGGTAATCTTAGACGACATCGTTAATTGATTGCAGTGTACGTTAATGGATTGTAGTACAGCCTGATTGTAGTGAAGCCTGATAGATGTCGCTAGGTGATTAAATTCGTCTAATAAAGAAACACGCTGATTGGTCAATTCATTCAGTGGTCGTTCAAGTCGTAAGAAATAATTTTTTTATTGCTTTTATCACCGAGTTAAGATTACTTGTTTCTTATTGTTACTATAACTCTATTAAGTACTAGCTAGAAGTTAATGTTTTGTTTTAACTTTGTATAACTTGAAAAACTTACGTATAATTTACGTCGCTATTTCGTTCAAAGTTAGTTGATGAAAACATAGATAACAGTCACACACGACGATTACACATCAATGTCTTAATTTGTTAATAGTTTACCACAATAATCACTAAACTATATTTTTAAATGAAATAAAACTGCGGAGCCGCTGTAAACAAAGGCACAGTGCTGCCACCAAGAACTATCCAATGCTATCTAATCTAGGACAGTAATAATATAGAATTTGTAGTTGAATGGCATACGTACCTTTTCTTATTCTCCACGACGAAGTGGCTCATTGGGCAGCCTCCATCCAGCCATTGTTTTAGGTGCAGAGTTACAGATGAGCTCGCAACTTCGATAAAGTCGGCCGCGCGGGGAACTGGTGGCTTTGAGCCGCGGGTGCGAGCGATCACCACGTCTGAAGCTTCGCCCGTGCCGATACTGAGGGGAAGCATTTACACTGTAGTACATGTATATAATTGTCTTACGAAGTGGGTCACAATTAAGTTTGTTCTCCTTACATACCCATTGTAAGCCGTTACGTAGAGTTGATATCTTGATCCGCAAAACAAATTCTCTAAAGTGTATGTATCGGTAGAGCTTGGAATCTAAAAAAAAGTGATATGCCATTAGGATCTTGAATGGTACACAAATAATTTATGGTATTTAACATTACCGAACACTAAATTATATCAGATATGTGGCTGCAGGTGTAAGGCTCCTTAAAGTATTTCTTAAAAGAGATACTGTTACATCGATTTTTTAAGGGTTTGCTTAACTTATAAGTAAGTCAAGAAAACACAAATTTATTTTAGGTTACAATAGAAACCAATAATATCTATATATATTTTGTCTCGATAACCTACGCATGCATATATCATTATATAGTATCTTACCTGAACAGTTTCCCAATCTCCAAACTCTTGTTTATAGTGGATGGTGTATCCAGCGGCAGGTGATTGGTCCACGTCGACAGAAGGCTTCAGGCGCAGAGTCAGTGAAGATACCGAAGATGAGGCAATAGCCAGTTGTGGAGGGAATGGTGGTGCTACATAATACAGTAATAAATAGTTATGGATTAGGCCAGGGATACCCAAAGTGGTCGATATCGACCTAATTGAGTCGAAATTGGTTTCCCAGGGGGTCGACATAAACGAAATCTGATTTTGGGGTCCGCGAGGTTTAAAAATCGACCCGATAACACAAGTTCTTATTTAAAACTTTCAAGGCGCTGTCTAAGTTGTGTTACATAACCAACTTGTTAAAAGAGTGACAAATATTTTAGTAGGATTTTACTAAGAGGTTTGAGGATCTCTTAAATTTACAAGTTCCTCAATGGATAAAAAATCCTTACAATATCACAACCATAGAAGAAGCCAATGTGATAATGCAAGAAGAGGTGATCACAATCAGCACAGATGAGGGGCAGAAGTTTAACCAAGGCTATCAGAAGGCTATCTAGTAGCAGTAAACAGTATCCTGCATTATGGAACATTGCTGATAAATGCCTTATCACTTTTCCATCATGATTTGCAGTTAAAAACTTTTAGAAAAAGCAAAGATACGTTTTAAAATCACCGAAGGCAGAAATTTAATGCTAGCAATCACTAAAATTGAACCAAATTTATCTGGATTGGTTGAGAGTCACCGGGTTCATCCATTACACTTTTTATTTATTTACTTTGTGATTTACCTAAATTGTATTAATAATTATTAATTTGCACTTGATATTTACGGAACTTCATGTCTATTTAAGTTCTTAAATTTTGATGAGAAAATGATGTCAAGTTTACTCACTTAATCAACCGCGAGGCTTTTAAATTGCTAAGTATTAGGTATTTACCTATGAAGTTGGAGATTTGTATGAACATTTTAAAAGTTAAAAATGTTGGTTATTTTAGCAGAAGTCTGCTAGACGGGAAGCCATGAAGTCAGCGATAGCGTTTTGTACTGCTACTCTTAATGTTGAATTTTTCCCATTTTTTTAAAATCTAAATTATGAAAAAAAGTTGAAATCTGTTAGAACGAGATCCGGTGAGTGCCGTGGGTAACAGAGAGCTTCCAGCTGTAACCTTTGTAGCTTTGCGACTGTCTGTCGTGAAGTGTGAGCTCACGCGTTGTCGTGAAGAAGCAATGGGGAAGAGCGATGGACCAGTCGTGGTTGTTAAATTGTGAGCTTCTCCATCATTGTTTGCAATTCTTGGCAATAGACAAAAAGCTGTGACCATCATCTTCCTATGGGTAATCTTTTTTTTAGTGCACTGATTAGGTGCTGTACCCGGGTCCACTCCCTGAGACGAACGCTTACGGTTGGCGTAAAGGATCCATTTTTTATTGCAGGTTACAATTCTATTCAAAATTCCCTCAATTCTATGTTCGTTTCAGTAATTGCTATGCATACTTCGACGCGTAAGTTTCGCTGATCGTCTAGTTCATGTGGCACCCACTTATCTAGCTTTTTTTATCTTTCCGATTTGACGCAAGGGTGTCAATGTTGTTTTGATACTAATTCCAAAGCCCGCAGCAAGCTCAGCCGTAGATTGAGTTGGATCCGCTTTCACTGTGGCCTTCAAGTCGTCGTTGTCGACTTTAGCTACCGGCCGACCCAGAGGCTTGTTCTCGAACTCAAAATTTTCAGATCTAAAACGATTGATACAATAATGGATCGTGTCTATGTGAGTAGTGTTAGACCGGTACACGTCGTTAATGTTTCGTGTTGTTTTGTGTTGTGTTTACGCAGCGGTATTTCTACGTGGTAATTGTACGAATTTTGAGTTAATCCATGGCACCAAAAACTACCACAATTTCACAATACCAAAACACTGTCTAAAACAATAAATGACTGAATTTTAAATTAAAATAACATGACTTTCGAATAAAATTTATTTGAATTTTGAATTAGAGCCAATCTACAGAAAATTAAATCTTTTTTTTTAGTTTTTAAAAATCTCCAACTTCATAAAGGTCAACCAATAGGCAAAAAATAGAGGTAGGATTATAAGTAATTTGGCTGTGGGAGTCTGAGGTATCAGTTCATTTGGCTATAGCTCGAAGGAGTTCTTACAACATTACACATCTAAATATCTTGTGATTACATATTTAGCTGGCTACATTTCTCACCAAAACAGAGCGAGAGTTCTATTACTTTATACAAGCGAGTTATGTTAAATTTATTTTTTGTTTCTTGTTGAAATATGACTTTAAATTTTATTTCGTTTCTTTTACCCTCTCTCGATTACATATAATTTGTGTATAAATATTTACCAAGAACAGAGAGCGTGTGCGTAACAGTGTCAGTGCCGAACTGATTGTCAACGTGGCACGAGTATTCACCGGCATCTTCACGAGCCACTCCAGCGATTTGAAGAGATCCTTCGGGTAATTGACGAACGCGTTCGGAAGCATCTAAGGGATTACCCTTTACCTATATAAAGAACAAACCAAACGATTGAACTAAATAACAATGAAATAAAAAATTAAAAACTCAATTTACAATCCTGGCCAACAATTTGCCGGCGAGTTAAGAAGGTCACATAGAACACTCATTCATTCGGTATACGATATTAAATAATAAAATCAATTTCAGTTATTATAGTTTCAAATACTTCTTTAGTACGTAATAGAAATAACCTTCCACAGAATGTTAGGAGGGGGTACACCGACGGCGAGGCAGGGCAGTTTGACATCTTCCTTGTAAGTCGCGGTGAATGATTCATCGAATGATGCAATTTTGGCCGGTACTGAAAAGTTCACGTATAACTTTAGAAAACGTTGTTTCCAAATTTAGTGACAAAGCAATTTTTTTCTTAAATTTTCTTTTTGATAAAAGTAAGTCGAAACAGTGAGCATATACCTTTGTCGCTTGGGCTGCAGGAGGCAGTTGCTGAGGGCTGGCCTTCTCCAATCATCGTGGCAGCGGTAACCCAGAAATCATAACGGCCAGCTTTCAGATCCGTTGCAGAGTAGCTAGTTTGGGAGGAAGGGACCTAAAATTAAAAGACACTGTGTTAACCGTATACCGGTACAAGAAGTATTGAAGAAGGAAATCATGACTTAATTACTTTGTGTCATTGAGAATTTAAAATAAGTCAAACCTTATTAGGATGAGGCTCTGCATTCTGCGCTTGAGTATATACATTGTAGTGAGTGACAACACCGTTGGGCTGCGCCGGTGGTCTCCATGAAACGAGGATAGAGTCTGATCCCATAACAAGGGCCTTCACGGCGCGAGGCGCTTCGGGAACTGAAGTTCAATTTTTTAAATTAAATGTTAAACACTTCTAAGAAACGATGTGACTTAATTTATTGGAGTTTTTATATTTAAGAACACCTTCTAACTTTAAACCCAAAAATGTTTTATTTGAGAATTTGCCGCATGATATATTATTAACTGAAAGTCTATATTTAGACCGAAAATTACAACTCTTAAGGTTCACTTTCTCTCGTATACCGACTATAGCTCATACAACCATGCCTAAAAAGAGTTAAAGAATAAAAAGTGTTTGGGTAAACAGATAGATTTGAAGGTGTTCAGATGCTGTGAATATGAAAGCATAACTATTACAAATTCAAACCCAAATAAAATGAACTACAAAGTCTTCCTTGATACCTTATCTAATACCAGTGTAATCAAAATGAAAGGCCTCACCATCTTGTTCGGTTTGGCAGTGAATTGGAGCAGATCTGACACCGTCGCCGCCATTGGTAGTCGCTAGCACTTCCATTGAGTAGTTAGTGAATTTCTTGAGCCCATGAAGAATGGTTTCGCTGCTGGCCGTGATTTTAGTGTCCTTAGTCTTTTCGTCTGTAGGAAAATATAATATTAAAAAGAGAACTAAAATTATTCACTACACTAAAAGTTACTATTATATACTTACCATACCAGGTCTCACTTGGTCCATAAACAACCTTGTAAGCCTTAATCAGACCATTTGCAGCAGCTAGAGGTGGAGAAACCCAAGAAACGCGAATAGTTTGAGCGGTTAGAGTAGTGCATAGTACATCTTGAGGAGAAGCGGAGGGGGCACCTTCGGCAGTGTAAGCACGAACTTCACCAGAAATTGGGCCTGATCCCATTTTATTGAATGTCTGTACTACAATCGCGTATTGAGTGTAAGTCCTGCAAGCAAGATAGCGTCACTTAATGTAAGTACACGTAATGTAAGTAAGTATAAATGTGTGATTACAGTCAACACTTGACCGAAAGCGTACTTCAGATTCATAATATCCAAGTGATGTTCTTTTCCAGATTCCTTAGAAATGTCCACAGTTTCAAAAACGAACGATTTGTTGCTCGAAGCCAGTTTGTAGCCAACATAATATCTGGAAATGAAAATCAAAAACATTAAATTGTGTTTAGATTACACCATTTACTTTAAATTACTTTAAAATGTAAATATTACCCCTGAAGTTCACCATTCCAGTCGTGAGGTGGGGGTGGCTTCCAGGTAACTCGGAGAGTGTGTTTGTCAACGGCATCTACTTTGACGTCTTGGGGTGGGCCAGTTGGTGCTTCCTCGGCAGTAATAATAGTAACTGTTTCAGACGGCTCAGAAGTTCCTAGATCATTTTCAGCAACGATTCTGATGTGGTACGCGGTGGCTGGTCTAAGGCTAAATACACCAGCTTCAGTGGCGTCACCAGGTACAAGAACCCTGGAAGTATACAGCAAAATAAGAAAATTGGTGTGTATGGTATTATTACAAGAGGTATTTCTTAAGTATTATTTTCTTATTGCACTTACCTGTCGATATCCTTATCCCAGTTTCCTTTGGCTCGCTTGTACTCGATCAGGAATTTATTAATCGGGGAATTACCATCGTAAGGTGCAGCCCATGATAATTGCACTGTCCTGCCAGATTTATCTAATACTTTCAGGCCGTATGGTGCTTCGGGTACCTCTGTAAAATATACCAGTAATTGTAATAATCTAAAAATTGTCTGCTTAGTTTTTATACAAATTATATATTTTACATTTACCCTGAATGATCATGTTAATGCTAGTGTCATCTGAGCCAAATGCATTCGTTGCAACACATGTGAAAAGAGCGCTATCGGATCGTTCAGTCCTCCTAATGCTAAGGTCCGATACGACACCACCTGGCAAGATTTCCTCGCGAATAGTATAACGTGGGTCAGATTTAGGTTCAAGACGTTTGTTGTTCATATTCCAGATGATTCCAATGGGCTGTAAACCATTATCATATTAGTCTTGTTTTCTTTATTAAGCTTTGAATTTGGATGACACTCAAATACAAATACAGAAGCTTTACCTTTTCTCCCTTAGCTTGACACTGCAGAACAGCCGGTTCACTTCGGCGAGCGGTTTGGTTCCTCATTTTTATCTCAAATTGGGGTGGTGCTGTAATTTTGATTAACTTTGCTGTGATACACTATTTTCATAATTGCTATATTTAAAAGTTTATTACCCTTATATTTAATGAGTATATTTATGGTTACTTTTTTAATTTTGCTAGTGCAATTAGTACCAAATGCATTGCGTATTTGTTTACGACTATGTATATGACTTTAGTAACTTAACATTGCTTCTAGTTTAGTTAAATGTTCAATGATCATATATTATATTCTTATTACTGTGTTTTGCGTATGTAACTAATAAGATTTCACTCACCCTGGACACTAATAAGAATAACAGCAGATAACCCTGATCCGATTCCGTTGACTGCTTCGCAGAGGTAGTATCCCTCATTTGTCTTTTGAATATTGTTAATGGCTAAAGTTCCATCCTCAACTTTTACATTAGGATTATTTGGCTTAAGGTCTTTGTAATCGCCGGGCGTGTCTCCTAAAATTACCAAGGAGGATCAGTTTTATATACAAACAGCCTTTCACATTTAAGACCAATAAAATACATGTATGTTAATTTTACCTTCAGCCCTCTTCCATGTAACTTGGGGCTTGGGGAAGCCATCGGCTTTGCATTCGACTTTAGCATCAGATCCTTGCGCAAAAGCTTTATCAGTGGGCTCAAGAATCCAACGGGGAGGAACTGAAATATTACCGATTCGTTAAAGTGACTGTGAGCTATCTCTATAAAAAAGATGGGCAAAGAATTACGAGATGAGAATGTTGCTGAGTCGTTCTTACACATTATCTCTCAGAACAAGATTTTCAATTTAGTTTAATAAAAAGAAGTTAAAATTTTATAACAACAAAAATGTTCTGAGTCAACAAGTACCCTTTATATATTTTTGGGTTTATTACTTATTATGGTGAAACAGAAAAGTTTGCTTTTTAAACTTTATAGATGAAAATTAAATCAAAACAATTAAATTATTAAAAGTTTGGGGTAACTATTTATTATTTAATAAATATTTAATAGCCTGACAGGAAATGAACAAATTTTAACTAAAGTTAAACAAATATTACTATTTATTGATATTAAAGCTACCTGCTAATTTTAATATTACCAATATACTGGAACATTATGGTATGTTTTTTCCCGTCACGCTATTCATATATCAAGCATATTGGATAGAAAATTTGTACAAAACAGTTTCTTTGTTGAAATTTGTGTTGTTTGTTGAAATTTAATCTTAGTAAAGTTTTATACTAATAAATTCAATATACTTGAACACACATTAGAATTTTATAAGATTCTATAACGACGTGCTAATTGTGTATAGTACAATTTTTCAATGATTTATTTGAGAAAAGTATTAAAAACAAATATCATCAATTTTGCGTAACTAAACAACGTCGCTGTAGAAACTTTAAGTTATATTAACTGAACATTTAGGCATTTCAATCTAAAACTGAACTAAATATTAAAATGGATTTAAATAAAATAATAATAAAAAAGCCCATCCACCAACTTCCAAGAAAGCAAAAGGCAATGTATCTAAAGAAATAATGATTATTTATTAGATATTGATCAGAAGTATAATGACATTATTTCTCCAGATATAAATATTAGTAAGCTCAGCAACAAGCTTCAACTCAAAGGCATATCGCAAATTAATCAATGAAACAAAGGCAAAGACGGGATCCCATAGGAAGGAAGGATATAGGAAGATAAATTATATGCAAGGATAGGATAAAAAGGTTCGTCGATGATAGCCGCAGCCGGTCCCTATAGAAAGCATTCAGAGACTGATCTACACCCTGTCTTAAATTTTCGTAACGTTTGTCGAGTAAATAATCTCATATTTGTGAAAGAATTTGTATGAAAATAGACAGAAGTGCTAACATAATTAATCGAACGATTTTTAAAGGTAACAAACATATTGAAAGCAAACAACTATCGAATCTACGCAAAGCTGGTCCGTGCTAAGAGTGAAGGGTACACAGATGCGTGATGTATACCATGAACTTCTAATGAGGCGGTATAGTTGGATATGCCAGCGGCATTGCGCGCTATACACGCATATGAACCGCTGTGCGACCAACCCGCCGGGTCGATCAGAAGCAAGGAAGCTCTCTGCGCGATTTTAGTTGCCGTTACGCCGGCTTTCTCCCTTAAAGGTTTCCCTTCAAAGAACCACTGAATATCGAGGGGTTGATCACCCTCCGAGACCAAGCAAGTGACTTGACTGGCCTGCCCCGCATACAGTGGAGTCTCGAACGAGAATGGAACTATGCGAGGCAGTACTGGAAAGAACCATAGAAATTTGGGTTAGATTCGTCGAGCCAGGCAATGTTAGCGATTAATGAGAGTAAAAGAGGATAGAACAGTGACTGTGATGGGACTGCTCCATTAAAGGTGCTGTTCAGTGATGTTAGTTCCCGAAGTAACGATCCAGTATGCAACATAGCGTATCATTTATAGACGTGCCATTGACGACGAGGGTTGCTGCATATTCGGCGCGGCCGGCCGCGTTCTTCACGATGCATGTGTAGTTTCCTTGGTGATTTGCGCTCACGGAGATGATGGTGAGGAGTGAGGCGCGAGGATTTAGAGCCGTCGTTGAGATACCTCGCTGGAGGGTAGGATCTATAGTTTCACTGCTGAACGTCCACGATATGTCGAGAGGTAAATCTCCCTTGGTGGCGAGACAATTCACTAACGCCGTGTCACCAGGGTTGAAAGGCACCTCACCAAAATTGAACGGCATTATCAACGGTGGAACTAGGAAAGTAAAAATTACATAATAAAGTAAGATTTGTTGAGGCAATAAAATTTTAATTAAGGAAGGGTCGAAAGCGAAAAACTAGATACGAATATCTTTTTGCGCACCCTTTACGACTAATTCGGTGGTATGAGCAACGACACCCGCAGTATTCCTCGCAGTACAATTAAAAAGGCCTGCGTGAGTTGCATCCACCGATTCTATGGTCAATACACTACTTCTTCGGTCAATGTTACTAATACGAACTCCGGGAATAGATTTTGCAGATTGATTGTTGATTGTCCAATCAATAAGAACCGGTTGATCGCCGTGAGTTATTATGCATTGAAGAGCAAAATAATCCCCAAGGAAGGCCGGTTCTGGGCCGGCAATGAAAGGTGCAATCTTGGGAGGAACTGAAACAAATTTTATCTAAATGGCAAAATAATAATTATTTTTAAGATATTTGAAGACTAACCATAGACAACTAAGTCTTCTGAATGGGAATTTCGCCCAGCACGATTTTCTCCGATGCATGAATATGTACCGGCGTGTATAGCATCCACGGACTCTATTATCAGTAAGCTACTTCGTTTGGACTTATTTACAATATAATTACTATTTCTTGGAGAAATTTGTTGTTCGTTAAACATCCAAGTAATAGTGAGCGGAAGATCACCAAAATTTACAGTGCACGCAGCTTGTAAATATTCGCCGACGTTAGTGGGTTTCTCGCCAAATGTAAATGGTAAAATGTTGGGAGGAACTGGAAGGCATTGGTTCGTAGTAAGATTGGATAACTTTGTAATTAAAAACAACGGTTTTAATAAGTCATCAATATTAAAACGGGTAAAGATAATAGTGTAGAATCGCTTCATAAACGCGTATAACAAAAAATAATAATTAGCAGCCATATTGTTCGATATCGCAGCTAATTAAGAGACGCGCTTATCTTTTATACATCAAAACCACTGTTACTCAGGTCTGGGTTTAATGAGTTCACTGTAAAACTTTAATTTAGCCGCAAGAGATGGTCTTGCTCAATGACCGTGAAAGTTTTTGTTACTACTTTTCTAGAGGTCATTGCGATTTTACCAATATGGAAGGGGTGGACCACAGGAGGAACTAAATAGAAAGCAAACACGTTCGAGCTATAACGATCTAGTACCAATAACGTTGAGTAGAGCGGTGTGGGTTGCGGTGCCTGCCTTATTGGTTGCCGTGCACGTATAGTTGCCACTATTAAGTCCCAAAGCGTTAGGTATATCAAGGACGGATACACGTTCACTCAACGTTGTAGTCTTCACGCCTAATTTGCGTGTTATAGGTTGTCCTTGAAAACTCCAAGAGATATTTACAGGAGTGTCGCCTTTTGAAACGTGACAGTCTAGGTGGACTGACTCTCCAGCAAATACGGCTTCGTCCAACTCAAAAGGTTTGATGTGAGGGACGACTGAGCAAAGAAAATATGGAAACATTAGTAATAATGTATATAAGCTGCATGCTGTGACACTTTGCGGATATACCCTTAACGTTGAGTGTTGTAGAGTATCTGTCTTCTCCAGCTTTATTTCTTGCAATGCAGGTATAATTTCCGCTGTGAGCACCAGTCACAGATGCAACAGATAGGAAGGAGGTTTGCTCCGCCATTTTCATAGTTTTAATTCCCATATTTGTAGATAAATCTTTGCCTTCAAAGGTCCAAGTGATAGACATAGGACGATCTCCTTTGCTGATATGGCAGACCATTTGTACGGATTCTCCATAATAGATAGTCTCAATCTCAAACGGTAGTATGTGAGGAGGAACTGATAGAAGGAAAACAGTGGTTTCTAAATATAAATCTAAACGTGCAAATATATCTATACACACGAAACAGTTTTTTACAGTAACTATTGTACAAGGGGGACAGGATCCAATACCATGAATATTGACGAGGGCTGAGTGATATGCGCGCCCCGCACGGTTACTGGCAGTACAAGTGTAGTTGCCGCTGTGCTGGCCCATGGCGGTGGGAATGCTTAGAACTGAAGCTTTTTCTCCAAGCTTAGTAGTCGTTATGCCCATATTATTATGGTAGGGAATTTCATGGCCGTCAAAACTCCATGATATTTGAAGAGGTCGATCGCCCTTCGATACATGACATGTAAGGTGTACTGATTCACCAGCAAATATCGATTCTTCGACTTCGAATGGAATAATATGCGGGACCACTTGAATAGAAATAAAAGGATATGTAAAAATACAAAATATATAAACGAAGAAGTGTAACTTTTACACGAGTTTTAGGTTGTAATTTTTTTTTAAACAGAATTAGGTAGAAATATGCGCCGTATGAACTATGTACGATTATATAAATATAATCTACTCCGTCCATTTCTTTTCGTTAAATCCGTCTTTTAGCACCATTTACCTAGGACTAATATACGTCAAAACATTTGCCTTACCCAACCGAATTGTCTATCATTAGTAATATTACTAAGTACACTAGAAGTTAGTTCTTATTAGTTAATTGTTCTTTGAAGAGCACTTACGAAACGAAACCATTTTCTCACGAAATTGGCCAATATGCCAGGGAACGGGTAACAACAACAAGTGTTGAAACATCCGTGAATTTTATATAAAAAAAATGATAGGGAATGATAAAAGTTAAAAATGATGAACTGTAAAATAAAAAAAATAAAAAAGCGTTCGCTGCTTTTAGATTTCTTAACAGAATTCATGCTAATACCGTTAACAATCTCAAGCATCAGTACGCTGGTGACGAACTTAAAATGAAACCTTTAATGAACAAATGAAACTGACCATGAACATTGAGAGCAGTAGAATGATTAGTGGAACCGGCTCTGTTAGTTGCTACGCAGGTATAGTTGCCACTGTGACCGGCAGTTGCCCCAGAAATTGATAGAAATGAAGTACGCGAAGTCATTTTATTCGTCATAATATCTAGATGCGATGTTGAATTTTCGAACCCATGAAAATGCCACTTGATATTTAAAGGTAAGTCGCCTTTTGAAACGTGACAAGTGAGCTGAACCGGTTCCCCAGCAAACACCGACTCATCCGCTTCAAAGGGTACGATGTATGGCAGAACTGTTAATTCAGAAGGCCAACATTATTGCAGAGTAAAGCGTGCAGCGTGCGAGAGGCAAGGACAGCTAACGGGCTGTTAGAATACCGTGGACATTAATTGTGGTCGAATGAAGAGCCAGGCCAGCACGGTTAGCGGCGTGGCATGAATATTCGCCACTGTGACTAGCTGTTGAACTAGATATAGTCAGTAATGATGTGCGTTCGCCGATCTTCATCGTAGTTATTCCTTGATGTGAGGATAAATCCTTGCCGTGAAAGCTCCAACTGATAGTGATTGGAGCGTCGCCTTTTGATACATGACACGTCAACTGAACCGATTCTCCAGCGAAAACTGGCTCTTCGGCCATAAAGGGAACGATGTGTGGAGGAACTGGTGAGGGTAAACAAACAAAAAAAAAGATAAAACACTAAAATAACCAATGTACCCTGAACATTTAATGTAGCTGTGTGGTTGGTGCTGGCTACAATATTGGAAGCTGTGCATGTGTAATTTCCAGAATGTTTTTCAGTTGCAGCCGGTATGGCCAGAATTATACTTCTTGTGCCTAATTTTGTTATTACGACTGCATCATATTTATTTATTGGTTTTCCTTGGAATGACCAAATGAAGTTTAATGGCATGTCGCCTTTTGGCACATGGCACATTACTTGTATGCTTTCACCGTAAAAAACGGCTTCATCAAACTCAAAAGGGGATATTATTGGTGCCACTGAAAAAGATAGGCAAATTTTCTAGGTAGCAATTATTGGTGAACTACAACAAATCTATTCTTACAGGGTTGACTGAGACAGATAGAACGCATAAGCATAGACATTTCACCGAGACCGTGTACCCTTGACATTGAGCGAGGCATGGTGACTAGCACTGGCGACAATGTTAGAGGCGGTGCATGTGTAATTGCCAGAGTGTTTAGCCGTCACCGCAGGGATTATTAGAGCTGAACCCCTATCCCCCACGTTCATGATGTTTAAACCGGCTAGTGAACTCACATCTCCACCGCTAAAAGCCCACTTGAAATTTAAAGGCTTATCTCCTTTTGGAACGTGGCACATCACTTGAACACCCTCTCCAAAAAATACTGATTCGTCGAATTCAAAATGAGTTATAACTGGTGCCACTGAAATATATGGTTTTCTACAAGTTCAAGTTAAAATTCTCTTGTTTCTAATGTCTAGTATGTGTTGAGCTAGAGACTCTATTTTATATAGCCCGCCAAAGTTACACAAGATACAAAACATAAAAGATAAACTCAAAACAAACAAGTCTACCAGGCAGAATTACATATTCAAGATACCGTTGACGAATAACTGAGCTGTATAATTCATTGCACCCGCTGCGTTTTTTACCACACATGTATAATTTCCTTGATTTTGGTGACTAACAGAGTCGATGTTAAGTTGACTTGAGCGCCTTGTGTTTACAAGATTTATTCCAATTTCTCCAGATTTCACAGAGTTTCCGTTGAAATACCATTCAATTTTTAAAGGCAGGTCACCTTTGCTGACCGCGCATGTTACCAAAACCATTTCTTGAGCATTAACTGGGCCATCGCCGAATTCGAAATGTTTAATCTGTGGAGGGACTATGAGAAAACAGCAAATATTTAAATAATAAAGAGAAACAAAAAAATATTGATCATTTATTTTTTTCAAACAACTTTTACAGACATTCTGAGGATGTACACCTATATCATTCGAAAATAGATTATCTTTTTATGCATTTCTTTATTGTATGTAATGTACCGTGTTGCTGTCTTTTAATGCCACAGAGTTTAAAGAGAACGATTTTCTATTTAACAATGGAATTGGCGTTTGTTTTATAAATATACCAAAGGAAATTACAGATGAAGATGCAAATGGTATACGCCTATCCAAGAGCAACCTATTCACTATTCTTTTAAACGCACTGGGATTATCGGATACCTAGGACTCCGATAAAGGAATGGTGCAGTTTCAATTACACCGAAGAGAGCTTGTGTACTCTTATGAAAGTGATAAGCTGTAGAGTGTGTAGTTTCTTTTTTGTGAGCATATTTTCGTTTGTACTCTTAAGTTTACACGTTTTTCAATAAATATAATAAATTTAAAATGTATTAATATCCCTAAAAATAGAGGTAGAAGTGCTATCAATATTATTTAAGGGAGAAGGATTGTGTATGATAATAAACACAACTTTTAAGTACATAAATAAATTATAACCAATAAATTATATATACTGTGCAAAGTAGAAAGTAAAAGTTAAGCAATTTTTGATAAGTTAAGTTATACCATTTACGTTGAGGATTGCGCTGTGGCTACTGCGGCCAGCTTCGTTCTCAGCTATGCAAGTATAATTGCCAATGTGCTCATGTTGTACATTTTCTATACTCAAAACTGATATTCTTTTCCCATTGCGGTTTATGAATATGCCGTTACCAGAGTTAAGAGTTTGATTGTTTAGTTGCCAATGAATGGTTAAAGGTAAGTCCCCCTTCCCAACAGTGCACGTTAAAGAAACCGTATCGCCAGCGTTGAGAATGTCTTCCCCAAAATCGAATGGTGTTACCTGCGGCACAACTATGAATTCTTTTATTATTATTGATGATTTAATTATTATCTAAGCACTAAAAATACTAGAATTTTTTAAATAAAATTGTTTAATGTGCACACTGTCCTCAATTTTTCGTTTAAAATAGAATGATTGAATAGACCTTTTTAGGGGCAATAGGAAAAGGGATACTAATAAGCAACTAATATTTTAGTTTTAAACATAATGACGATCATAAAAGATGTAGATACCGTTAACAGCCAAGTCAGCCGAGTAATTGGCATGTCCTGCTTGATTTTCAGCTAAACAAGTATAGATGCCTGTATGTATTGATGTAACTGAATCTATTGATAAGCTGCTTGATTTATGTCCAATCTTAGTAACAGTGATTCCCTGGATATCGCTGGTAATTTTTCCATTCAGTAACCAAGTAATATTTACTGGAGAGTCACCCTTAGTGACCATACATTGAATTCCAACTGTGTCACCGGCGTTAGCAGGTTCGTCTCCGAATGTAAATGGGTGAATTTGGGGCAAAACTATAACAGGAAATTGTGTAACAGATATTTCATTTCCTTCAAGTGACAATTATATAGATATTTTTGGAGTTGGCTCAGCTGGGGAGACAGGATCGGACAGTAATATCAGGGACAAATAAGATAAGTCGATAGCTCAGTAATCCATGGTTGACAAGATGTAAATGTTCACTCCTTATTCCGTTGAACAATTAGTTTGTCCAGCTCGGTTGGCAGCTAAACAACTCCAGTATGCATCGATGCAACAGAGTCATTAGATTAGCTGTGACTACGGAACGATTTTGAAAACAGTGATTTCGAGAACTTCTCTAAATGGTTTTCGATTACGAGCCACGTAATCTTTACTGGTGAGTCACCCTTCGTAACTATACATCCAACTGGGACTGTGTCACCTGCGTTAGCTGGTTCGTCTCCAAAAGGTGAACGGATGCAACTATGGTAAAACTGGTTTGAGATGCTTACTAGTTATCTAATGCCGCCTTACTCGTATTATACTGTACTACATGCCTAATATATATTTGAATACATTAAGACATTTATCAGACCTACCAGATCATATTATCTGTCTTAGGAGATTACACTATATTATGTATTAATAAAAAGAATCGAAGGACAAAACCAGATAAAAAGCAATAAATAAATTAAAAAAGTGTATTAGTAAAGTATACACACTGCGATTAATAAAAGGTAAATACCATTAACAGCCAATTCTGTCGAATAATTGGCATGGCCAGCTCGGTTGGCAGCCAAACAAGTGAACACGCCTGTATGCTTGGAAGCAACTGAGTCAATAGACAAGCTACTTGACTTTGGTCCGATTTTAAAAACAGTTATTCCCTGAACTTCATCGGTCGGTTTGCCATTTAGTAGCCAGGTAATATTGACTGGCGATTCACCTTTTGTTACCATGCATTGGACTCCAACTGTATCACCTGAGTTTGCCGGTTCCTCGCCGAACGTAAATGGATGGATTTGGGGTAAAACTGTGTCATGAAACCAGTTTTGAGAAAACAATTATCTTAAGATATTCCCACTTATTAGAACACTATTCTTTTACAATAAAAAATCGCTTTGCCCTTTATTGATTTCGTATAGGAATGATTGCTAAAAGGATAGTTTAAAAAGGTATTTAAAGACAACTCAGGAAAAAGAAAGCAAATGCAATATCAAATAGATGTCTAATATATGATAGAAATACCATTAACAGCCAGTTCAGTTGAGTAATTAACATAGCCGGCGCGATTGACAGCCAAACATGTATACACCCCCGTGTGCATAGATGCAACTGAGTCTATCGATATACTGCTTGACTTATGTCCGATCTTTGTTACGGTGATTCCTTCAATTTTAGTAGTCGGTTTTCCGTTCAACAGCCACGTTATATTAACTGGCGAGTCACCCTTGGTTACTATGCATTGAACTGCGACTGTATCACCAGCGTTAGCGGGTTCGTCCCCAAAGGAGAACGGATGCATTTGGGGCAAAACTGTTAAGTGCGAACAATTTTAACCATCGTTATCGTCATTTTTTTTTAATATGTTGACGCTGAAATCTAAATGGGATTAGGTATAATTGTGCAATGGCTATCCTATTTACTGAGAACACAAACTTTAAGAGGGGGAGGTTACTTTATAAACCCATTTAATGAAATAGATACGTATAGAAAGTATTACAACGAGAATATGCGGCAAACATTAGAAAGGGATAAAAATTATGCAAAAAAGCAACTGATACAGCGTTGTCAAACAAATTAAACAGATGTAGGTACCATTAACAGATAAGTTAGTTGAGTAATTTGCATGGCCAGCGCGATTGGCCGCCAAGCAAGTGTATACTCCGGCGTGTACGGATCCAACCGAATCTATTGATAGGCTGCTTGCTTTATGCCCGATTTTTGAAACAGATATTCCTGTCATTTCACCAGTCGGTTTTCCATTTAGAAGCCAAGTGATATTTATTGGTATGTCCCCCTTCGTTACCATGCATTGCACTCCGACGGCGTCTCCTGCGTTTGCAGGCTCGTCTCCAAAAGTGAAGGGATGGATTTGAGGTAATACTGTATTGGAAAACCATGTTAAATGTCTTTAATGACAAAATTTTCACGATACGCCGGTTCTGTCTGTAAGCGAACGTGAGGTCCTTGGTTGTGATTCTCGAATCAAGCACTTTGGTATTAAGATTTTGAAGTAAAAGAATATACGTATAAGAATCATGGGGTCCGAAAAGCTGAATTTTAGATAGTATTGAATTCCCCAATATATATTTTGGGGCACCACAAAATTGTTAACCTTATGTAGCTGAAACATTCGGGAATATACTGGCATCTTTGTGGCTATAAAATAGCTTAAAAATAGTTGTTTAAAATTGGGGTTTATGACGGGAGGTTTATAGGAGAATTGAAAAGGGAAAATTGTTTTAAACAAAGCAACTGACACGAAAATATAATAAATTGTAGTAATTTGTAGATACCGTTAACCGATAATTCAGCTGAGTAATTGGCATGCCCAGCTCGGTTCATAGCCAAACAAGTATATACTCCAGTATGTATGGATGCTACCGAGTCAATCGAAATAGTGCTTGACTTATGACCAATCTTTGAAACGGTAATCCCATAAAACTCGTTGGCCGGTTTCTCGTTTAAAAGCCATGTTATATTGATAGGGGTGTCACCCTTGGTCACCATACATTGTACTCCAACAGCATCTCCAGCATTAGCAGGTTCATCTCCGAAGGTAAAGGGATGGATTTGGGGTAAAACTGTTATGGGAAACTATTGAATTAGAGTTTGGTAAAAACATAAACCAGGGAATATCAGTAACTACATAGAATTGTAAATAGATAAAGAACCGTTAACTTCCAGCGTGGAGCTGTGATTGACTTGTCCAGCTAGATTTTCAACGTAGCAAACGTATATTCCTCTATGTGTTCCATTTACAGAATCGATATTCAGTATAGACATCTTTTTGCCCATTCCTCCGATAGCAATTCCCATATTATTGTTTTTAGCAATTTTTCTTCCATTAAGACTCCAAGAGAAATTAGCTGGTAAATCACCCTTATTCATGACGCACTGAACTGACGCGGTATCACCAGCGTTGGCGGGCTCATCACCGAACTCGAAGGGTGAGATTTGAGGAGGTACTAAAGGTTTAAAAAGCGGTTAAAAAGAAATATTGAATAATCAAAGAGTAAGCGGACCGTTAACGCTGAGAGTCGTAGTGTGATTTATTGCACCAGCGTCGTTTTTAATTTCACAGGTAAAGGAGCCCCGGTGTACAGCGCTAACAGAATCTATGTTCAGTATTGATGTTTTCTTGCTAATGTTCGTGAGGACTATGCCGAGGTTATTGCGCGGTTTAACTTCCTCTCCGTTAAATCTCCATGTGAACTTTACCGGTAGGTCACCTTTACTCATCACGCACGATACAGATGCAGTTTCTCCTTCGTTCAAAATCTCTTCTCCAAATTCGAAAGGTGTGATTTGTGGTGGGACTATTATCAAACGATTTCTATTGACAGGGGTTAGGTTACAGGACAATGCTATCTACATAAAAGAAAAAGCAAGGTTAACGTTATTTGATGGTATACCGTTGACTTCAAGTACAGCGCTATGATTAGCTGAGCCAGCCATGTTCGTCGCCACACAGAGGTACGTGCCCCTGTGTATACCACTTACAGAGTCTATGTTAAGTATCGAGGTCTTTTTGTTGATAACGGTTAGTACGATTCCCATATTATTGTTCTTTGGTATGACTTGCCCGTTGAGAACCCAGGTAATGTTTAAAGGTTGATCGCCTTTGCTGACAGCGCAAGTTAAGGATGCCATATCTCCTGCGTTTGCGGGCTCGTCGCCAAATTCGAATGGTAATAATTGTGGGGGAACTGTATAAAAACTTTTTTTAAACTAAGGTCTAGTGCGGGGGTTTGTGTGTTATTCGATGTAGCTTTGGCGGGCGTAAACATTTTGGTCTACGTATTTAGTACACAATAATTTTATTATTTTAAGCATCTAGATTGGCTTCCTGTAAATAAGATTGATTAGTACATAGTTTAAGTAGTATACCATATTTGAATAGTTTGATACTAGTTCGTAATTTAAACATTATAGTAGATGTTATCAAATTTAAAATAGACATATTTCGTTACATGTTATTTTCAAATATGGTATTATATGCTGAGGATTACCGAGTTCCTACAATATTCTTATAAAGCGTGAGTTAAATAATTATTTGGACAATGTACGTTTAAGTAAAAAATTAAATGCAGTCTTGGAACAAAAACATTACAATAAACTCGGTCAACTACCATTTACTTTTACAAAGAGACAAATTAAATTTTCTTAGTTATTATACCACAGTTCTAATAGCAGTATACTAGTCCTCATGACTGATACGTAAAATTTTAAGATTAAAAAGTAATAAATAAAACAGGGACACTTATTGTACTCACATACAGTTATTTCGACAGGGATCGAACCCTGTTTCGATTTTACCAAAAATATTCTAAAGTATTATCATGTCTCATCAAAAATGGTAGATTTTAGGCACATCATTACTGTGTTTACCACCAATCCAATAAAAAGCAAATGGTTGATTCCTCAGAAACGATTTAACTAACAAATATCGTAAACGCAATGATTTCCTTTGTGATTTTACTTATTAATGGATGAAATTATTTATATTGTAGGGAAATCATTTTTGTTTGAAAAATAATACCTTTGAGACAAAAGGAAGAACATAATTCTTTTGTATGGAGGCTTACACACTCCCATCAGAATATTTTAAATACAGTTAAAATTAAATAGTTGTGAGAAACTTTTCATCTTTTTTGAATACGTAATTGCCAGCGTCTCAAAGGTGTTATAAAACAGTTAAAACTTACCCATGACTTGCACTTCTAACGTTCCCTTTGCAGTGTATCCCTGAGAATTCTTGGCTACGCAAGTATAGGTCGCTTCGTCGCTCATACGTTCAACGTTCTCGATCACTAGCGTTCCGTTAGAGAATACCTTCTGTTTGCGATTGATCGGTAGCACTCTGGAAACGTGAGTCAAGTTTTAAACAAACGACCGATGACACTTTTCAGTTTGACAATATGCTTACCTGCGGCACAGATCTCATTTTGTACTAGTTTTTTTTTGTTTTATTTGTGAAATTATAGTAAATTTTTTGAAGCTTGACTTGAAGATTTACTTTAATGTTATTGTTATTAGGTTAGGTTTATATCGTAAATGTTATTTAATTTTTCTCAGACATTTGCACACTTAATGCATGCCTGAATAGGTTCTTTTTATATTATTACACGACATTATTTATCGTATTAGATCCACAATGCATAAGGTAGCTCGTCTCTATTTGTGGTGAATTCATTGTATTAACCTGTTATCTCGTTCCCAGACAATAGATTCGATGGGGTATCCAGCAACTGGGCAGTGTACGATGAGGTTGTCCCCAGCAACAACAGGTCGTTTCTTCATGGGGCGGACGTAGGGCAGGCCGTATACGTTTACTCGGGCCGAGTGGGTAGCGCTTCCAACCTGCAACACATTAGTCCATAACTAAATATCAGGATCCTAATTTTTATTAGCTTAGTTGTTGACATGCAATATTTTTACACAATTAAGAGGAAACGTAGTAAAGTTGTTTTGATTAAATTTACTTTTTACGTGATGGTTAGCAAAGTCTCCCATTTAGGGCTAAATTTAACATGCATTTAACAGTTCAAAGCTGTTTAAACACTTTCATAAAGCAGTATTTTGAAACCAAGAGAAGCTTAAGACGTATTAAAACAACAACGTCGGTGGTATTCAACATGAGCTTAAGAATTTCATTAATAGTAATCAAAAGAGTAAAAAATGTTATCAAAATGGATACCATGGATCTTCACACTTTGAAATTCACACTTTGAAAATGTTAAAAAAGAACCTTGATTAAGATCAAAATCTATTACGATTTTTTAAGAAGAGAAATGCACTGTAAAATAAATGTTTTATTTTTATTTTTTAGGTAGTTATGTACACATATTGATATTGTGACATCCGCATCCTATAAAACAAATATGTGAACGATTACAGTAAAATAATGTTTTGTCACGTACCTTGCTAGAGGCAATACATGTGTACAGTCCACCGTCATTAGTGTGTACCGAAGAAATGTTCAAGTGCGACTCAACATTGCCATCGGCGGTAACAAATTGCCCGATCTGGAGTCGTTCGCCGCTGTTCAGCTTATCGCCGTCGAGTAGCCATGCAATGTCGGGAGTTGGGTTGCCAGATGCTACGCACTTCAAACGGAGGGATGGACCGGAACGGAAGGTCTGTTCTCCAAAGCTGTGACGGATTAGCGGTGGTTCAACTGTAAGGTGAAATTATTGAAATTAGTTTAGTTATGTGTATATATATATATATATATATATATATATATATATATATATATATATATATATATATATATATATATATTACTATGGATACTAACAATATTTTGAAATCTACTTACTGTTTAAAGATTATAAACGAGTATACATTATTGATATATCTATGCTACGCGATAATAAATCAGGACTGTGTTTGCAAAATTTTGATTCCTGTTACATTCATTTACTTTTTTTTTTTGTGTATTGGATGCATTAGATTGGATTAGTAAATTGCATTATATGTATAGTGATAATGGTGTTGCTTAACACTAAACATGGGAAAAAATCACAGTGAACTGTGAATGACCGGTGATTTATCATTCGATTTTTTCGTACGAAGGTTAGGGTTACTACTTACTCACGGTTTGTTGCTAATAAGCTGTTTTCAGACAATGAAAAACGACCCCATTTCGCCTATTTAACAGTAAATCTAGTAATTATTTTATTATATATAGATACCATTCCCTACGTAGTAATTTTTTTTTTAGATTTACTGTTAAATAGCGTCCAACCTACCTACCTAGCAGCCCTAACCTACGTACGCAAAAATCGAATGATAAATCACAGTTCACTGTGATTTATCATTCGATTTTTTCGTACGAAGGTTAGGGTTACTACTTACTCACGGTTTGTTGCTAATAAGCTGTTTTCAGACAATGAAAAACGACCCCATTTCGCCTATTTAACAGTAAATCTAGTAATTATTTTATTATATATAGATACCATTCCCTACATAGTAATTTTTTTTTTAGATTTACTGTTAAATAGCGTCCAACCTACCTACCTAGCAGCCCTAACCTACGTACGCAAAAATCGAATGATAAATCACAGTTCACTGTGATTTTGTGCCATGTCTACTTAACAGGATAATATTTATTAAAATCCTTATTAGATAGATGGTTAGATAAGAACTCCTTATTGCACACCATAATTAGGATACATGCGATGATACATACAAAAACAAAACAGTGATACAATGGGCGGCCTTATCGCAGTCTGCGATCTCTTCCAGGCCTTCTCTTCTTCTCTTTAGATGGACTATATATAGACCATATATATTAGATGGTATTATATGGACTAAGACTATACTATATAGTAATATGTAGCGTGTGGTGCGCATTTACAACTTCCGTGTATTTACTAAAGTTTATATACATAATTACGCATACACGAATATACATTCATAAACTTACATATGTAGATATATAAATATGAATACATACATAAACATACTGAAACTGTTGAAGCACTAAACAATATGTCTGGCGATCCAACAGAAGTATTTTTTAAGGATAGCAAACTGTATACTTTAAAACGTCAAAACGCTTTTAATGACTTTCATATGAAATTGCCTTTTAATACATACATCGTCCTCCAAGTTTAAGTTCAGCGCTGGCGCTTGCACTTTCTTGATCGTTCCTGATGAAGCATTGGTACATTCCCTTGTCTTCCTTCTTTACCGATTCAATTCTAAAATTGCATTGAATATATTATTTTACAAGTTAATTAAGTATCATGTTTGGGCTGATTAAACAATCTAGCTTCTAGAATTAACATAGTAGAATAGTTGACAATAACTAGAAATATTTCTTTTACCTCAAAGTAGCGTCGTGATGCTTCATGTCCTTGCCGTCCTTAAGCCACGTAACAGTCTTGACAGGGTTTCCTTCATATCTGCAAGTGAATACGGCGGGGCGTCCAAAGTCCACGGTCTGTGTCGCTGGTTCAACAGTAGCTTTTAGGGGAGCCGTGACCGTTAATACAGTTTCGACAGATTCGCCTAGAAAGAAAATTTTGTGAGTATGAGTGGATCATTTTATTTTTAAAGGTGTACTAAAATTCCTGCTCATGTTTTAGACTAGTTATGAGATCGTCAAATTAAATGATATAGAAGTATCGATTCAGCTACGTAGTAGTCTCGTAGAACTACTTCTAAAAGGGAAATTCAAGGGAATATGTTTAGTGCTAGTGAAATATTTCTCTTTTCTTCTAAGATAACTTCTCAAGAATAAGGTTTACTTGTCATAACAATGGGTTCCTTAGAATTTAATCGACTTCAAAAAAGTATGTCATTGTGTTTTGTCTAAATACTCTATCTCATAAATCAAGATATCTACAGGGAATTGATGATGGCGTTCTTTGTTTGGACACGTGTATAGTAGTATATAGGTCCCTTTGGCATCAAGAAATCGAGGGAGACTTACAGGTACACCATTTAGATATTTTTTTATAACAGTTCGTGCATTTGCTCTTAAAGAGTACTATTTGCTGATGAGCAGTCTTGTAACTTTAGATAAATTACATTGATACTTTTTATTGATCTTACTATTTAATATGCTTTAACTTAACAACAAAAATAAGTGTAGTAACATAGCTTGTTAAAATTTATCATAATTGGGTCGCATTAAAATCAACGATATTGTATAAAAATCAACTATTGAAGTACTCAATACTGTAGCAACATTATTTCTTAGTATTTTATTTAACAAAGAAAATACAATAACATGTGTACGTTACAAGAGGACATACTAACCACCCACGGAATTATTCACAACGCAAAGATATTTTCCAGAATCTTCAACTTTGGCTTCCTTGATTATCAATGTTCCAGATACTTGCTTTACTCTATCATCAAGGGTAACTGGTTGCTTCCTTGTCGTGCCGTCAATGAACTTATACCATCTGAAACAAAACAGAACACGTTCAGAGGACACTTTCGTTTATTTATCCCAATTTTGAATTTAGGTATTGTTAATTATAGATTGGCAGCTGTATTCCTTATGTAAAAATAAAGATAAATTCAAATAAATTCCATAGGAAATAGTACTGTATTAAATAACTACATTTACAAATAATAGGAAATGTTATTGTTTCCTAGAGCCACCCACCTGAACACAGGAACTGGATAACCTTGACTTAGACATAAAATAGTGCCCGTTGCTCCGAATTTCAATTCAGATTCTTGTAATCGACCATTAGACAGCTTTGGAGGAATACTATTTGTTGGTTCTTAAAGAAGAAATAAAGGCCATCTAAGCAATCACACCTTAATGGTTGTGTACAAAATATACACAATGCGAAGAATTTTGATACCAATTGCAACAAGAAATAAAAGTGATTTTCACGAAGATTGAATTAACATATAAAGCTAGCCGTTGGGACAAAGTTATCATAAAGCTAACTCATAAACCAGGGCTGTACTTTAATAATAAAAAAGGGTCAGCCTTGACTCACGAAAGCACAAAGTAAAGATTAAAGCGTCGGAACGAAAGCAAGAACACCCTGACACTTACCAACAGGTGTCTACGCCGCTCAATCGTTACTTTGGCTGGGGACCATAATATGGGCGCGCGGCCGGCCGCGATTCATCACGCCTTCATGTCACGCGTAGGCGGGGCGGCCGCCGCAACAGACTGCAATAACAACGGATATCAGTACATTGGGATGATAGAAATGGTATGACTACGTGATAAATGAGTGCGTGAGATGCCGGCGGCCGGCCCTATTACATCAAAAGATATACCTCGTAAGAGGGGCCGGGAAGGCTTGAACTTCACAAAGTAGCGCGAGGTTTTCATCTTGTCGACCTATACGTCGATTAAGCCCATCGCCTGTCACCTTTGGTCCCGTTCTACCGCTTGGCTCTGGAATACAAAACCGTTTTGTACTGCTCCTACTCACCTAAACAAGGGTGCCGGGTAAGCGGCAACTTGACATGTCAAGTACGCCACATCCATTTGAGCCACGGTGAAAACTTCCCACCCCTCGAAATTTATTGTGGAATCCTTTCGAGGTGCTATTTTATTCGTTGGTTCTGTAAATGCAGAGACGACTATTTGCAACCCATTTAATTACGGACTATTGTAAAATTATTGAGTTATATTACATAAATAGATGTGACTTACTTAGGTTGATGATAAGACCTTTAAATCGAAACCTGACGAATGAAATGGATTCGAATTTCAAACTACCTAATTAAATTAGGAGCTAGTAACACGTTGAAGATGATTACAAACTTTATATGACATTGACTATGACGCACCTCGAGGCTGGTACAGGAAATCCTTGTGCTGGACATAGGATTGCTAACGAAGAATTCTGGTGGTAAAATACGGCAGCCTTTGGAGTCGTCGTAATGCTTGGTACTGCACTTGCAATCGGTTCTACATAAAGAATTTTAATATACACTTTGCTACTCACTTTACGTGTATACGCCATAATTATAATTTGATAAATTCAGTATAACGAACAAATAACTTGCCTGGATATAGGTACGGGAAAGGCCTGTGCTTGACAAAGTAATCCAAAACTTTGTCCGACATTGCGAACAAAAGTTGAGCTACGCGCGTCCGTCGAAAAGGTGGGAGCCTTGGAGGCCACAGGTTCTGTCATTTGAAAAAAAAAATAACTTGCCTGAAAATTGGAGCAGGAAAACTTTGAGCCTGACAAAGGAGTGTAAAACCTTGTCCAACTCGTTTTCGGAAAATGCTGCCCATTGATTCGGAGGAAAAAGTTGGGGATTTAGCGCCAACTGGTTCTAGAACATTGTATCCAACGAAATTAAGAAACGACCATTAAAAAAAAACTTGCCTGAAAATTGGTACTGGGAAGGCCTGGGCTTGACATAGTAGAGCAAAACTTTGACCATGGTGTCTTTTAATTGAAGAAAGGGCTGACTCAGTCGAAAAAGAAGGAGCTTTGGATCCCACAGGTTCTGTACAAAAAACCAGATTTTCAGTACTATCTTCTACTTTTATCTACAGTTGCCCACCTACTTCATTTTGTTTACCGGGTGTTATACCTACGTAAATATAATAGAAAGACTGGTTCTTCGAACTTATGGGTTTTACGAGAGTAACAAACGATGATGATAACTTACCTAAATATCGGTATAGGAGACGCCTGTGCTTGACAGAGTAATGCAAAACTTTGTCCAATTTCTCTAAAAAATATACTCCCCTTGGAGTCAGTCGAAAAAGAAGGTGCTTTTGCACCAACAGGCTCTAAAAGCAGGATAGTTAAGTCAAAATACTCGTATATAACCTACCTGAATGTTGGTTGGGGATACCCTTGTGCCTGGCAAAGCATTGAACCGCCAGTAACAGCTTCAATTTCGTAATTGTAAGAACTGGCAGAAGTGGGAAATGTGGGCGCTCTTGCAGACACTGGTTCTAAACCAAAAGAAAAATCTAAAATTTGAGTCACTCACTTGAATATAGGTGGAGAGTGAGCTTGAGCCTGGCATAAGAGGACAATCGCTTGTTGTATGACTTTTGTGAGAGTAGTACTTTTAAACTCCAGAGAAAATGATGGTGCCTTTGACCCAATAGGTTCTGCGGCAGATATGAATCACATCAATGAAAACTGAAATACAAGTTCTCTTACCTGAATAGTGGGACTGGAAACGCTTGAGCTTGACATAAAAGTGCGAAATCTTGACCAGTTTTACGAGTTATGCCAGAGAACTGTACGTCGTTAGAAAATGTAGGGGACTTTGAGCCAACGGGTTCTATAATTGAAAATATTAGGTATTAATTTATTCACCTGAATATTGGTACCGGAAAAGCTTGCGCGGGGCATAGGAGATTAAGACTTTGGCCAGTATTCCTCACGTACCAAGAAAGCTTAGTGTCAGTAGAAAATGTAGGCGACTTGGATCCAATTGGCTCTAAAATTATACAAGTATCTCATTAAGTTACCTGAATATGGGAATAGGATGTCCTTGGGCTCGACATAATAATGCCAAACTATGTCTTATTGGTCTCATTATAAACCAAGCCAGTTTATCATCGGTAGAAAACGTAGGAGGCTTCGAACCAATGGGTTCTGAAATTTTTTACCATGAATAATTAGGATCAACTGAAAACTATTGGTAAAACTTTATGGGCCGGGTACATACTTTTAAGTCAATATACTGAATGATATTTTGTAAATATTGAAGGAACGGTACACAAGAATTTTTAAGTAAAAGATATCGTCTAACTGTGTATGAAAATTTCCGCATGTACTTTTCAAAAAGCCTTGAATATTTTTTTTAAGAATCCGAGTATGCTTGAGCCTAAAGAAAACCCATAAGTTATACAATTTTTCCATTTAAAGCTGACTGATAATTATATACATATAAATATGTTTACCTGAACAAGGGAACTGGAAATGCCTGAGCGGGACACAGCAATGTTAAGCTGGCTTCAACATAAGCATTGAATCCTCTGGAATTATCAATTGATGGAAACTTCGGAGGAACTCGTCCTACGGGCTCTAGGTAAACAATTTAATTCAATTCAAGTACCTGAATATTGGGACAGGATAGGCTTGAGCAGGACAAAGCAATGTAATAGCATTATTTAGAGTGACTTCCGTGATATCAATCATTTTCATTGCTACCTTTGGTGCTGCCGTACCCATTGGCTCTATGAAAACGTGGTACAAAGAAAATTAAGAACTATTAATTGGAGCAAAACAAACATATGTAATGTAGCTACTATTCACCTGAATATTGGTACAGGATAGCCTTGAGCTGGACATATAAGGTTTAAACTTTGGAAAGTACTCCTCACGTACCAAGAAAATTTATTATCCGTAGAAAATGTTGGCGACTTGGATCCAATTGGCTCTAAAATTACACAAAGATCGTAATTAAATTACCTGAATTTAGGAATGGGATGTCCTTAGGCTGGACAAAATAATTCTAAATTATATCCTATTAGTCGTATAAATAAGCCAATATGTCATCAGTAGAAATGTGAAATGGCTTAGTAAAACCTTGTGAAAACCAACTGGTTCTGGTAACCGTGATAATTAATAAATAATCAATATCAGTTTCCTCACCTAAATGCTGGTATGGGTTATCTCTGCGCAGGACCCGTTAGATCGAAAGAATAATTGTTTCTGATATCAAACCAGGCTAATTTTGATACACTTGTAACAGATGGTTTTTGGAGCCCAAAAGTTTTTAAAATATTAGTAAAAGTACCTGAACAAAGGAGCTGGGCATCCCTGTGCTGGACAAAGTAATGCGAAGCCTTGCTTTATATACTTTACATACCACGCCATTGAAATCCGTATAGAAAGTAGGTGCTTTATAACCAACCAGTTCTAGAAAACAAATGTGTAGGTATATTGCCGAGTTGGAAACTCACCTAAACAGAGGGACAGGGTACGCTTGGGCCAGACAGAGCAAGGTAACGCTGGAGTCCATAGACAATTCCACAAATTCTATCGTTTTAGTCGGTACTTTTGGCGGAGCGCTATTGATTGGTTCTAAAAAAAATAGATGTCATGTAGATAAATAAATTTACCTGAACAGGGGCACTGGAAATGCTTGAGCGGGACACAGCAACGTTACGCTGTCCTCAACATATGCATTGAAACCTCTAACGTTATCCAAAGTTGGAAACTTCGGCGGAACTCGTCCTACGGGCTCTAAGTAAATAATGAAATAAAATTGCATTACCTGAATATTGGAACGGGATATGCTTGTGCCGGGCAAAGTACTGTTACAGTATTACTCAAAGTTACTTCTGTGATATCAATTACTTTTGTGGCTACTTTGGGGGCGGCGCTACCCAACGGCTCTAAGAAAAATATGGTTAAGACGTATTAAAATTACGTTTTAGTTTATACCTGAACGCCGGGGCAGGGTATGCTTGGGCTGGGCACAGCATAGTGATACTTTCACCTCCGTTAGCATCAAATGCTCGACTTTTATCACCCGTAGTGAACTTAGGTGAAACGCGACCGACGGGCTCTAAGGGTGAAAGAATTTCGTTCTGTTCTTTTGTTATTCTAATGTTTACCTGAATAGTGGGACCGGGAAAGCCTGTGCTGGACATAAGATCGTCAAACTGTCGTCAAACACGGCACTAAAACTTCTGGAACTATCCATCGAAGGAAACTTTGGTGACACTCGCCCCACAGGCTCTAAAGAAATAACACCAAGATAAAACTATATACCTGAAAGATGGAGCTGGAAACGCTTGCGCTGGGCAGAGTAAAGTCACACAAGAATTTGAAGAAAATGTATAACTGCGGCCTGTTTCAATTGTTGGGAATTTCGGTGATACTTTGCCCATGGGTTCTGTATATATAAGAAAGATAAACAAGTTAAAATTACCTAAATACTGGACTCGGGAATCCTTGCGCGGGGCAAAGTAAAGGTACTCCATCTCCCGCGTTGGCAATGAAAGTTCTACTTATATCTCCTGTTGGAAATTTAGGCGACACCCTTCCCAAAGGTTCTATGAAATGTGATAATAGTTTGATTTCTGAATAGTTTTTGGAATAAGTGTCTTACCTATACATTGGGGCAGGGTATGCTTGAGCGGGACATAATATCGATAGACTTTGACTGCTGTCATAATTGAATAGTCTACTTTTCTCTAAGCTTGGAAATTTTGGTGATACTTTTCCCATAGGCTCTGAAGCAAATATATTTTGATATACATAAGGGTGAAACAAAACGTGAAAAATATTTTAGAATACCTGAAAATCGGGAGTGGGAACGCCTGTGAAGGGCATTGTAGGGCAAACTGATCAGACTTCTTCGTTCCGATCATAGTTCCCATCACGACAGATGCAAATTTTGGAGGTACACGTCCAACTGGTTCTATAGAAGCAGTGAAGAAACATTATAGTGTTGAAGTTACCATTTACCTGAATAAAGGAGTAGGAAACGCTTGGGCAGGACACTGCAAAGCGTATGAATCACCCTTAGTAACTTCAAACATGGTTCCAGTCAGAACAGATGCAAACTTGGGAGGTACTCGGCCAACGGGTTCTAGAAATTATTTTAAAATTACAAGAATAGCAAATGCCATACCTGAATATAGGGACAGGGAATGCCTGAGCTGGACATAGTAATGTAAACGCTGATCCATGCGTAGTTACGAACATCATGCCCACTTGTGTTGTTGATAACCTAGGTGGCACTCGCCCTATGGGCTCTGAGAAAGTACGTAAAACGTTAAATTGACTCTTACCGGTACATTGGTGCAGGGTATGCCTGTGCTGGACAAAGAACTGAGATGGTGGAGAGCTCGCTAAACTGGTAGCCACTGGTAGTCGATGCACTAGGAAACTTGGGAGGTACCCGGCCCACTGGCTCTGCGCATGTTGGGAGAAGGCGTGTTCACGAACAGAGGACACTAACATTCACTTGGCAAATGTACAGAAACTGGGCCCTATTAATCCCCTACACATCGCTATAGATAACATATTAACGCGAGTCAAGGTCTACAGGGTACCCTATCCCAACATTCAGGCAAGTCATAAGTTCATTATAAAAAGCTTAAAGACACAAATATTAAATTGTATATTCAAGCTTAGCAATCGTATAATAAAAATAATCTTTTTTGGTGTTGTAGAAAAATAAAATCTGTTTACAATTGTTTTATAAACGGTTTTTTAAATTTGTTGTTATTTAATTTAAAAACAATTACTGTTAAAAGATTATAATTATTTTATAAAAATGTTTAAAGACATTCACATTAGCAAACATTCTGAATTGCATTTATGTTTTCATACAAATACACTATATAATAATACTGAATAAGACCAGACACTAATGCTCGATTATATTACAGAATGTTTGCAGTTTCACACACAGTTCTCAGTTGTTCACAGCACACAGAAAAATATCTATATAGAAGATTTAAAAAAAGTAAAATAAATAAAATCCTAAAAAGATTAACTACATTTTTTATATTAAAAAAAATTATGTTAGATTAGTTCTGAGAAATATGTGCAATTAAGTACAGTCAGAAGAGAAAAATCAATTATGAACGCTATAAATTCATGAGCAAAAGTATTTTGTAATATACTGAGCATAAATAGTAATCTTCAGAATTGAGTAAATCATGAATTAATAGCACTCAATACCTAATATATTAATAAAATTTTATAAAACTCACCGGTGATAACAAGTCGTCCTTTAGTCGCGGATAGGCGGGTTTCACCAGTAAGTCTATGTTTTGTCCTGCATTGATATGATTTGTAACCATCCTCAGGCCCAACATCCCGAATATGTAATTCTCCAGATGGAAGTACCAAGTATTTGCCGTCTGTTGAAAAGAACATGTAGTTATATACAATCGGTCAGTGGGTTAGCAAAAACAATATAATTCATTTATTGCAACGCAACATAGGGTTGCGATTTACTTATAAATTCCATGGCATGCATTAACTTATGGAAGTAGGAAAAAGGATGTGGGAGGCCGTTAGACCTATGGAATCACGGGAACCCGTATAAGGATCAGTACCCTAAGCAACCTCGTCCTAGGATTCGGCGCGGTCATTGACATTCAAGTAAACGATATCTTTTCCCACGAGAAATGTTAATATGACAATTGTCAGGATATGTGAAGGCTGTCACTGCCTGAAACACTTTTTACATCGTACCGTCAAAGTTATTTGATGATTCTAATTTGATGTCTAATTCGTTGTCGTCTTCGTTGATGATCCAAGATATGACCGTAACATACTCTGACACAAAGCTCGGTATATGGCATTTCAAAATAGCGCTATTCCCTCTCAAAACATATTCTTCCATCAGATTCACGGCGTATGCCTGAGAAACCACTGAAACAATATATCGAGAAATGACCAAGGAGAAAATATTTCATTATTATGTATAACCCTTTGAAATAAAATCCTAAAACCTAGTAAATATAATCATAGGACAATGGAGGGGTTGTAGAAGTAGTTAAGAGGCCTTGTAGAAGTATCAATTAATACCTAAATCAGAAGTAGAATTTATTTTTATTTCTTGGTCATTCTCATCTTCGGAGATAATCCAGGAATTGACGGACACGTACTCGGCGACAAAACTTGGAATTTGACATTTCAAAATAGCAGCGTTTCCACGCAAAACGTATTCTTCCCAAAACTTAACATCATAAGCTTGGGATACGACTGAAATTGTTTTAAAAATATCAATTACACAATGTCTTAATCTTAACATTCTTAAAGGGTTAAGGATATGGATATAGGATGTGCGATTCCTACAAACACTGTCTATAAAGAACCTAAAGTTACCTAAAATAAAATCAGAATCTAAATTTATCTCCATTTCATCCCGGTCCCCTTCGGAGATAATCCAGGAAGTGACCGTGACATACTCGGTGACGAAACTTGGAATGTGACATTTTAATATAGCGGCGTTTCCGCGTAAGACATTCTCTTCCCATAGGTTCACAGTATAAGATTGCGAAACAACTGAAAGTGTTATAATTGTCGTTTTAGTTACCAAATGACATTAGTCTTTACGAGGGTAAGGAAAAAAAGGAATGTTTTAATGTTTTGTGAAGGTATTGTACCAGGTACCTAAGCTGAAAGATTTATCAAGTTGAATTTCTTTTTCGATGACATCTCCTTCAAATATAATCCAAGATGATACTATTACATATTCGGTTACAAAACTTGGTATGTGACACTTAACGATAGCAGCATTTCCACGCAGAACATTTTCTTCCATCAAATTAATGGTGTAAGCTTGGGAAACCACTGAAAGTAGTAACTAAAGATACATGGAGAGTAAGAATAGGAATTTCTAGGGAGTCAGGACATGAGAAAAAAAATATGCAACAAAACCTATTAAAGATCAGAGTACCCAGATCATTCGATTCAGCTTTTATTTCCAATTCATCAATATCTCCTTCTGAGATAATCCAAGATGATACACTAACATATTCGGTTACAAAAGTTGAAATGTGACATTTGAAAATAGCAGCGTTTCCTCGCAATACACTTTCTTCCAAAAGATTAACAGTGTAAATTTGTGAAACGACTGAAAATAAGAATATAGTAAATTTTGATGTGTATGAATACAGAGTACATGAGGGCTAGGGAGGAGGAATGGAATAGTTAAACATTTGCTAATTTAGACATGTAGGTACCCTCTTTATCGATTGAGTTACTGATTGTTATTTCGTTTTCGTCTTCGCCTTCAGAAATTATCCAGGATGCTACCGACACATATTCCGTTACAAAGCTTGGAATCAAGCATTTCACTATCGCCGAATTACCACGTAAGACGTTTTCTTCGACCAAATGAACGGTATATGCCTGCGACACAACTAGAATTTGAAAATACCAATAGTCATTTCCAAGATCCAATAACGACTCAATTCACTAAAATTCTAAAATAAAAGTTACGGAGAGGATAAAAGGGTTGGGAATCGCCAACCTAGGAGAAAAGTACCGTAATTTTCATTCAGTGCGTATTCTCCGCCGTCAGTATCATGCCAAGAGATAACTTGTACATGATCAGATACAAACGAAGGTATATGGCACTTGAATACTGCAGCATTACCACGAATTACATATATGTCGTAAACTTGAGATTCGTAGAATTGATTTACAGCTGAAATATTGAAATACAAAACAATAAACTATGTAATTGTATATTTATTGAGTCAGATACGGGGATTCAGCGGAGTGCGGATAGGAACAATTGGGGCCACGCTGTGCTCTCGATTACCGTAATTGCCCTCGGAGCCATTGAACGAAAATGTAGAGAGTGAATTATCTTCGTCCGTCACCCAATCCACAACATGTACGTAGTCAGCCACAAACGATGGAATGACACACTTGAGAATGGCAGAGTTACCTCGCAGAACATCTTCATCAGTGACCCTAGGCTCATAAGACTGACGAACCACTGCGGACGCAAAATAACCCCAAGGTATATACGTATTTATTATACATATTGTAAAATGGAAGAAGTTATAATTCTCGTACATACTGCTGTTATCGTTTAGTATTGTAACAGTGTATTTATATAAACTATCATAGAGGACCAGGAGTAAGGAGTAAATACATTTTAACGATGATGTACTACCGTCGTTGTTATAGGAGTGTTCGTCGGCAGTAACAGTTTCATTATCCATAATCCACGCCACAACATTAACAAAATCGCCAACGAAAGAAGGCACGATGCATTTCATTATGGCTGTGTTGCCCCTTAAGACGAATTCGTCATTAACTCTAGCTTCATAAACTTGAAGTACAGCTGTGACAACAATAATAAAGGGAATCAGGATTTCAGGAGTTTTATTTTCTCTACATAACAATTTACCCTCGCCAGCATTGGGGTAATAAGTGCCTCCTTCGCTGTCCATCCACATTTCAACATAAACAAAATCAGAAACAAAGCTCGGCACTTCACATTTCATGATAGCTGCATTGCCTCGAATGACGTATTCGTTGTCGGCCTCGGCTTCGAAAGGCTGTGATACAACTACATAAAAGTAAAAAAAAATATGGATAAAAAATACTCGAGGAAAAGTTAGGGATAGGAGCTTTGGAATTATATTGATATTTTAGAAAAGTACCCTTGTCTGTATTTGTACTATTTACTGTAAGAATTTCTCCGTCATCCATTACCCATGCTTCAATATAAACGAAGTCGCTAACAAAAGAAGGAATCTTGCAGTGGACAATGGCAGCGTTTCCTCTAATCACGTATTCATTTTCGGCTTCGGTCACGTAATACTGTGATACGACTGAAGAATAACAATTAGATTCTTAGGTTGGAACGGTTCGAGGTGTAAGGAATTGTTTTGAGTACGGGAAGCAAGTATAATTTGTTTAAGAGGACATTGATACCAAGGTTTTCAGTATGAGTCAAAACTGCTCCCTCCTCGTCGATCCATGCTTCCACTTTTACAAAATCAGCGACGAAAGATGGTATAGAACATTTTAAAACAGCGGCGTTACCCCGTATGACATATTCTGTGAGAATCTCTGCTTCATAGAATTGATTTACAACTGAAAGAACACATGGAAGGGTGAGAGGTAAAGGATAAAGGATTTATTGTGTAGATAATTTAAATAGAAATACCGATGTCATCGGTCTGTAAATATTGTCCACCGTCGGAGTCAACCCAAGCTTCTACTTTCACAAAATCGGCGACAAAGGAAGGAATATTGCATTTAAGCACGGCGGTATTTCCTCGGATAACGTATTCTGAGACTACTTCAGCTTCGTAGTATTGCGTTACAACTGCAATTAATGCGGTTGATATAATTTTGAAGACAGGATTAAAAGGACACAGGAATTATAGAAATATAGGATGTCGATTGTTTTTTATTTTTATATGAAGTATATGGTACCATCTCCTTCTTTATTATCCGCGGGAGTGAATGAATTGCCAGCTTCGTCCTGCCAGGATACAACATTCACAAAATCAGCTACAAACGATGGAATGGAACATTTGACAATAGCAGAGTTTCCACGAATCACATATTCATTATTTACTTCAGATTCGTACTGCTGCTGTACCACTGTGGAGATTGAATGTATTTAAGTAGTTTTTGTAATATGGAAAATAGGACAGGGATATATGGCGAACATGAAGAAGAATGGTGAAAGGATAACCATAGTTCTCGCCAGGAAAGAAATCTTCGTTGTCATCGGTGTGCCAAGAGAGGATCTCAACGAAATCAGCTACGAACGAGGGGACCTGACATTTGAGCACGATACTGTTCCCAAGAATCACGTACTCCTTATTCACGTCAGTGTCGTAATGCTGGGCAACCACTTCATAATAAACAAAACATAATATCAAATGGCATTTGAATTATAATACCTGAAATACACGACTATTTAGTACAAAAAAAAAATAACTAATTATAATAGCAATATTAATGTATACTAATTTTTAATTATTCATATGTGGGATTTATCACTTTTACGTTCTCAATATTTACCTCTGTATGTGACACATTACAAATTCAAAAGGTTTTTAGAAAGGCTTTGTATTTAGGCGATTACGTAAGCAAGAATCCTAATAATATTCCGACTACTTATCTTTTACCTAATCTGTCAAAAGTCTTATCCAATTCAGAGTAAGGTACCACTACATTGTATTGCCAATAAGGGCGATATAAGTACAAAATATATAATTTTCATTAGACTTTATACTTGTAATTTAGTTTAGTGTGAGTAGTAAATATACATATATAATCATTGAAAGTAAGGAGAATGCTTAGTAGATGTGAGTATAATTAATTAAACATAAATAATTGAAAAGTGTTTAAAATATACGAGTATAGGATTGATGAGAAAATTAATTTTGTTTAAAATATTTATTGTGTTTTTATACAATGTGTGTCTAGAACTTAAGGCTTTAAGGGTGTGATGGTAAATTGAGATGCCTATTTTTCTAAATTACAAAAACTTGTTTCAGAAAGTCGGTAATAGATAGTCAGAACATAATAAAAGCCGTGTGGTGTCGTGGGACACCCGATAGGAACGAAGTTGTGACGATCGAGTAAAACTGATTCGACACGATTTTAATTACAACGCCATCTATGAAAGCGGATATTACCTACATATTTTTCAGTTGGTTTCTAATTAAAACAATTTATAGATTGGTAAAATCTCCTTGAGAAATGATTTCCTATCTATTCGATAGATGGCGCTGAATGACTGACATAAAAAGTGTCGTTACAACTTTTCGTCAGAATTTTTTCCGTCTAGCCCCCTTTCACAACGCGCGATAAGGAACTTCGTTCCAATAATACTATACTCACTCTATTTCTTGTGTTTAAATCAGAAAATAAGGGAATGGACAGAGTAAAACTATAACAATTTTTATATAAGTTCTTTTTATACTTGTGTGTAGAAGTCTTTTTGTTGGCCTGCGTAGATACGTAATTAATCAAATTACTAATGTTTTTTATAAACCAAGAAACATTCTTTATCTGTAAAGAATGTTTCTTGGTTTATAAAAAACATTAGTAATTTGATTTCATGGAATGCTTGTATCAATTCTTTATTATTTGAGGCAAGGATGCATTTAAACACAATTTAAGTATCTACACACAACATCTCTGTGTGTCGCGTGCTGTGATCGCAGAAAATGTATAGTCTGAACAATAATATCATTAATGCAAGTGTGAAATAAATTTGTCTGCACATTAGTTAAATTAAAAGTTATACAATAAGTACAAACAACTACTTGCACTACTCAAAATTCTGACAAAGTGGTCACACAAATATACGCATGAAATGCTTGCTAATATGTAGCTCAAACTTGAGTTTATGCTTGGGTCTAGAGTGACCAGTGTGAGCATTATTTAAAAATCCACTTAATAACAACGTTAGAGTAAGGTCTATGTTAATGTTACACCTTCCATGTCCTATTTCACGTCATCAACTTATCTAAATATCAGTGGAGATGCCGAGCAACGTTAGCACCCTAACATTCAATTCGATGTATTCATTGGTTGATTATTTAATTGACCGTGCTTAACCTTGTGTCATAAAGGGCAGCGCCCTTTGATGACCAATGAGCCATTCATATTCAGTGACAAAATAAATTGAAGTTCATTTTTTATAAGAAATAATAGTGAAAACCCCACACAGTGAATAAGTAACTAACTCTAAAAATTGAGATTTTTTTGAAAGATGAAATTATGACTAAAAACTAGCTAAATGTGAACAGCCCTCAGTTGTACATATTATAACCATCTTACTGTGAGATATGTACACTGTATGTACATACAACAGTGAGAAGGAAAGGAGAGAAGGAAAACTTGACACAAGCCCTATACCAACCCGCCTGGCCAACGTCTATAGTAGGCCAAAACCTCCTTTCTAAGGAGAGGCCTATGTCTAGCAGTGGACTATTAAAGGCTGTTGATGTGATGATGATGATGTACATACAATAGGACTGTTCACATTTCACCAAATTTAATATCAACTTAAGACACCTTACAAATGGCCCTGTGATCCCAGACTAGGCATTCTATATTGGTGACCAGAATACTGATTTACATTACCAAATAAATGAATATTATAGATTAATTACACTTAGACACAGAACAAATACTTTTGTTTATAAAACAAACAAAATAAGTAACATCACTCCGTTTTTTAAGTATCAATCATATTATCTACTATTGAAATTACAATACAATAAAACGCACATTTATCATTTGGAACAATCAATCGACTATCAAATACAATATAAAAGAGGTTATAAGTCAACAAATAAAAGGTATTTGGACATAAACAGTAATATTGGAGTGTTACACGACATTTTATATGTGTGATTTTGTCGTGTAAAACACTGAGCATTATTTATAAATCTGTCAAGAGTTGGAGCTTTATGGTTTTCCAGAAATGTTTCTTGTTTATGTTGTAATATTATCGTATAACTTTCTCTGACTTACAAGTTACGCTCAAGTTGAGTTTTTCTGAAGTTTGTTGAAGTTTTTCTGAAATATTTGTTGTTAACTAGGTTTTACTGTTAGAACTTAAATACTTTGATGGCAATTTCGTGTCACGCGTTTGAGAACAAAAGCCTAACAATGTTTCTTGGAATTTGTTTATGTAAATGTTGCTTACCGGCGCGTACATTAACATCCCGGGAATGAATGGTGCCAACTGAGTTGCGTGCGAGACATGCGTATACTTGAGCGTGAACTTCTTGACGGTAATCCTCCGCTCGGAAAGGCGGGAAAAGAAGGTTTCCATTCGCTTGAACCTAAAAAACGATAAGAAATTATTATATTTTTAAAAATTAAGCCAGTCATTTTTATTATGAAAGTATAGGTACACAAGTATCGAACTAAAAAACATTTATCTCTACTATAAGTTTATCACTAATCTCATATTTAATACTGAACATTAAACTCTTCGCCTACTTACGTTTTAAGAGTCTGCTTAGTTAATAAAACGATATGAACGCCGTGTAGCCTATCACCATGAATCCGGGCCACAGTTGTACGTAAATATAAAAAGTAAGTATTAAAATTTAATTAGAGGGCGTCAGGAAGCTGGCATATTAATTGTATTAAACCTAGTACTAAAATTGTTGTCCGTATGTTAATAGATATTGATGAAAGATCCCTAAGAAATTAAATAACTTAAGGCGCCACGACTCCATAGTGTTCGAACTCTTAGTGAACCTTGATTTGTGCTTGGTCCTTATAACAGTATTACCGCTTACGTAATAGTTGAATTTGTAACCCTAATACGTCTGGGTGAACTATACCTGTCTACGTATTTTTTTAAATAGAGACTATCGATAAATTGTGTAAAAATTTACATTGCCCGAAAGAGACTGAATAGAGAGGTGAAGTCTCATAACAGTCTGTGAATACAAAAAGGCCGATAAGAGCAATAGGTTAATGATATTGTAATTTGTTTATTTATTTTCGGATAAATTTGTCCCTTTATGTAGGTTATAGCATATTTTTAGCTCTATGAGTCTGGTTTCGGAAAATGCATATAGTGATATCACAAAGACTGTAAAAAATTACAGTAGTTTTAATTTGGCCACATTGTACAATGTTGCACAGACGTTGAATAGAATAACTATGCTTTGTAGTACAACAATTACAATATGTTAGTTAAATATTTCAGACGGATATGTACAATGGGCGTACTTGTAGCATTGAAGAAAAGTACATAAAATAACTTAAAGCCTTTTCAAACCTGACGCAAACCGGGCACATCTCCAACAGCAGATCCATCAGCTCGCACCCAAATAATGTCAGGGGTCGGGGATCCTCGGGCAGCGCATTCAACAGTCGCACCGGTCGTATTACTGAAGTCAATTCGGTTCGGGGGTTCCTTCATGAATATCGGTCCTATAGTTTCGTCCTCGCATAGCACTGACCCTGAAAAGAGTTTCAATTGTAGAGTAGTGCTTCAGACTTAAGCAGACATTATTTCTTCAACTTGACACATGAGAGTTATTCTAACTAACAATTCATAACTAAATCATTATTTACATATTCTCCTGTAACCTAACATCACATATTTACAATAAGATACAATAGATAAAAAAATCCAGTTAAAAGTATTAACTAAGAACTCTACAATTAGGATCTATTAATTTCAGCTTTTTAATTTTTTTACCATATAACTGTGTACTAGATGATCAGCATAAATCATTTTACTTTCACAAGAAAAATTAACAAGGAATTGCAACTAATTTCGGAACAAGTTCCAATTATATCTATCAATATCAATAATCCATTCTATTCATATAAAAGCCCGTAGCTGTTAAATGAAATTAGATGATTACGCGAGATTCTTAAGTGCTCTTGAAATATGCTGTGTCAAAAATTATACCCTAAGGTTTTAGTGCCTGTAATTTATTGTTAATTTTCTTTAATAATCCAGACACTTATAAGAAATGCCAATAATTGTGTCTAAACTTTCTTCTACTTTAACACGATTTCTGTCAGCCGTGTCGATGTCAATAATAAGCAATGCAGTATACACTAATCGAATCTAAATGAGCTACTGATAATCTTCACGTTTTGTACTCGGACAATATTATTATAATGACCTCGCATTCATAAATTTAGTGATGTGCCGGATATCCGTATCCGTATCCGTATCCGCGGATATCCAAGGGAGAAGTGAGATCCGTAACCGTATCCGTATCCGTAACTTTTTTGGCGGATCTTTCAATACATAGATGAAATTCTATATAGGTGATTTTGTATTCACTGTAAAACTCTTAGGTATGTGTTTGTAACACTATAAATAGCAACTATTTTCTGGCCAACGTCAAAATGAAAAAAAAAAATTGGTCCTCCATTCAAATGACCATTCAAATGTTGTTTGTTTGTATGGAGAAACAATTTTTTTTCTTTCGTTTTCGGTGTTAGTCCAGGAGAAAAGTTGTTGTTTATAATGTTCCTAATATGCACTTCAGTTGTTTTCAGTAAATTTAAAATAACCCTAAATAATGGTTATTAGGTAGCTATGAAAAACTATTGAATTCTGTTCAGATTACTTTTTATTTCTTAAAACAAATATTTGGCACCTTTGTATTGCAATCATTTATCGTACTACACTAAATCAACTAGGCAGGTCGTAGGTACTGAAATAGCTATCTTTATAATGAGATCAATCAAACATCTTTGTATTAGCTAATTAAAATAATGAAATATTTAAATATCAACGGCAAAGCATCAAGTGGCGACAACTATCAAGGTCACGGGCTCCGATTGAGTAAGAAATTTAAGATCCGTATCCGTATCCGCGGATCTTGACACCAAATATCCGTATTCGGGTCCGTATCCGCGGATATACGTTGTTAACGAACCGGCACATCACTATTCATAATATAAAGATGTTACAAAGTATAAGGCTTATCAAAGTGAATATGACTACTTTATAGAAAAATATTTATTATTGTACTAAGATTCTTATGGTAGTATTATGTTGTAAACAATCAATTCATCAATTCAACATGTGTACGTATATGTCGATTTTTACCTGAATAAGGAGGAGAAGTGGAAATTATAATTACCTACTTTTGTTTGCTTTTATACACTTTAGAATCTGATTTTTTAAATTGTCTCTCTCGAATCCTATCAAACCAAAAAGTAGATACAGTAATTAGTAATTAAAGGTTTCCAGTGCCCCAGTGATACTATTACAGTAATAAGTGATACCTAAGTACTTAAATATTATACACGCCTGTGGTGTGCCAAAGTTGAGGGATCTCTGGACCTAGTTTAAATAAACGCTGGAAAAAAGATCCAGTTCAAGTGAAGTACACTCTCTTGCCACGTTCGCTTCATTCGTCTGAGATGATGAAGTGTACGGCTATGGCACTTACAACATGTTAATTACTGACCTCATTAGGGAAATATACGCTACGATAAACGACGTATTCTAATACCCGCGGCAGTTAAAGTTAGAATATCTCTGCAAGCCAATAGTTGTAACTTGTTACAGTTATTCCATAAGCAAACCGTATTAAAAATTACTATCGCATTAAAAATAACTTTATATACGCGTCATGTATATTCTATAGAGGTCTATAGAATATACATGACGTAAAATAATTAACCTTGTGAATAATATACATAACACTAATTTAAAAAGCTCGGCAAGCAAAATTCTTTTCAATTCTCCAAATGAATCGGTTAGGATTTAAATAAAACGATATAATTTTGAATGCTCAAAAAATAGCAACAAAGAGAACAAAAAAGCGAGGGAGTGTAGCCTGCGCGATGTGCCCGCGACAGATGTGCGTGTACGCACTCTTCTGATTGGTCGTCGCTGCGACAGATGTACTTCACATCTCAACCTGAACGCAGGAAGCTGATTCAACTAAGATTTACCACACCACTTGTAACAATTTGATTACAATATATATATGTATAATATATGATAACAATACTACCAAATTAATAGACACTGCTTCTAAAATACTTAACTATTCGTGTAGCTTCTGTCTGTGATAGTATATTATCTAAACTTCTAATTTAGTTTCTTTTTTAAACAAGTAAAAACAAACAATTATACAAATATTCTAAAAAATATAAACATATGGCCGAGATTTAAGCGTTATCAATTGTAAGAATGAGATATGTTCGATAATAAGGTAGGACAGTAGGTATGCCTTATTGGTGTATCAATATATTTTTCTAATAGACGGTACTTTCACTTAGTTTCTGTAGTATATGTATATTAATTAAATTTCTTATTTAATTTATTTGTATACTAGGTTATAGGTAAACATTGATAACACTCTCTCACTCAATTCGTTTCTCTTTAATGAAGTCAATGTCAATGTTATCATATCAGCCGTTATCTTTGGATAATGCGTAACGATAATCAATAAATGTCATCCTCAAATGGGCGTTTGATCTATTTTGTACATTTTTATATTTTACAACCACATATCAACCAACCTATTTCCTTTCTAGTACGATGTAAAGTAACGCTAAATTTAAACATACAATATCATTGTGACGTTATAGTGGTAGTGGGTACTAGTGTTAAATTACACAAAGTAAACTTTTCGCTGACCAGAACACATAAAACTTTGTTCATAAAGGTCAGTGGATAAGGGGAGTAACACTCTTTATGTAACTTGCGATAGATCGTACACTCCTGTTGCTCTGCCTTTAGTATTATGCATCTTTACCTAAAACTTTATATGCTAAAATTTGAGACTTATCTTTCTTGGTTTGCACTATATTTGCCGAAATGAGATCGTCTATTTGGTCAGTACCATACAGAATGTTAAGTTAAGTATGTGTAGATTCTTCACGGGGGCCAAGTCCTACACGTAACTGGAGAGGTAAACTTTTGAGGTCTCTATAGTAGGTTACACATATACATAGTTGGATTTCCTATGCAGTGTAGTTTATTTTATGATCTTAAATTTTTTAAACTTGTTCGAGGAAGCAGCGTTAGGGTGGGTTTTACTTACTTATTGAGTCACAATGTCTTTTACGCATCTAACTGTCCATTTTGTATCTACTTAGTTACATTCATTGGAAAATCTATTGCTTTTTGTTGTTTTTACACTATGTCCATAATCAGAAAACAATCGTGTACTTTCGTAACTTCCTTGAGGAGCATGTCACTGGTCGTTGAATTATTGATGCCTTCTATTATTTTAGAACAATAGATAGGAAACCACCGAGTTGGAAATTTCATTTATACATTGTACATATATTTGTACTAGACTAAAAGATTCAACCTTCTATTGTACTTAAAATTGCATAAAGACGACGATGATGGCGAGCATCTTGGAAGCATAAGTCGTAAAAAGTTAGTAAAAACTAGTAAGAGCACTGAAGCAAACGCAACTTCCATACACTATACGCATATTTGTCTTTATTAGTATGTATTATGAAACGAGTTAGCTCAACATCGTCCTTTTCAATGAGAATTCGTTAGGATTATACACGTGGTTCGCGTACAGAATTTCAAAAACAAAACGGTTGTCACGCGTCTACTTGCTTTGAATTGAATTCCTAATTTAGAAAACAATCAACGGTTCATGTACTTAAATTCACTTCATGTGCTAACAGAGTGCATGACAAGTCCTTTTATTATGAAAATAGTCTCAATTAACATTCGATTCACTAGCCATTACACAGGCACACTTTTATTACTTAAACATATTAAACATATTAATATTGTTGTACACAATTATCACTAAATTAGAATGAAATTGGCCATTAATAATTGATCGTACGACTGACTAAAAAGTTACACATACTAGACAGTTACATAATTACGTCAATTTAAATGTCATCATCAACAGCCTTTACTAGTCCACTGCTGGCCATAGGCCTCTCCTTACAAAGGAGGTTTTGGACTATTATACCAAGCCGGGCCAGACGGGTTAGTATAGGGTTTGTTTCAAGTTTTCCTTCTCTTTGCAGTGCTGTTGTCCTGCGTTGTATACTCCTTTAGTCGCCTCTTACGGAACCCACGGGATGAATAGGGGTGGTGACACTCTGTATTCTTATTCAGTCACCACACGGGTAATACAATTTAAATGTAAATTGAAGGTTGTTCACTTTGGCACACTGCGACGTCAGGCAAGGGTATTTTTGATCATCTAACTGAAAAGTTAGGGCACACCAGAATACTGTGCGTAATAAAGCCGAACATCTTGTCCAGTATAATAAAATTCTAGTTGTGGTTCCGCATATAAATAATAGATTGATAACGAATAGTCCCAGACTTCGTTACGCACTACTTACAGCGGCGCGGCGCATAAATGCCAAACAAAATATAACATAAACAAACAATGAATATGGTTTGGTGTTATGAATATTTTACAGTTCACGAACCATAAATTTACTCTGGCCATTGCTCCGGAAAAATTCCAAGTTGTCTGCCCCACTATATCTACGTACATACTGTATTATCATCATCTATCCTTATCTCGTGTTTCTTAACGTGTTGCAACACCACTCATCATTGAAGCTCTACATACCTCTTTTTACTTTATATTGTGAAGCTTTATTTTTTTGGTTGTTATTTATACATACTTCTATTAAGATAAAAGATAATTTTTTGTAAGTATTTTCAACAAAATTCATCGTATTGTTATTATTAAAATGGATAAAAATGAACTACGCGCAGTATACTGTACCGCGTAATATCTTTGTATCTATACGAAAGACACAAAAATAACCTAATTAGATTGATTACTTGCGTCTAAACATGTTAAACTCAAGATATTGGTGAAACAACTGGTGGTTAAGAGTATATTGAAGCAATATAAGTTACAATTTGTGCAGTGTAGGTAATATTTGTGTATTATGACACCATTAAACGTATCTATGTAGTGATTATGCTACGACAATGCAGCAGCGACGTGTCGTTGTCACTTTATTAGTACAGTTGCACAACATAGGCATAGATAATACCCCTATATGCAGGAATGTGGTCATTTACCATAAAAGTGAGTAATAAGCTACTACGGGCATGTAAAAAAACATCAGTGTACGTAATACTTGGGGTGTATTAGTGTGCTTTTTAGTTCAGTAGTTACTTATTATATTTTTCCTTATTAAATAGGTATTTTTGTAGAATTTCACACAGTGCCTATGCACTAGACATTGAAAAATTATTGCTACTTTTAAATCATAATCATATCATGAAATGATTGGTTTTAGTCAATGCGGTTTCACTCGCGATTGTGATTTGGTCATAGACAAAAATAAATGCCATCAAAATCAATCAAAATTCTGTTTCACTAACCAATTAGATAGAGAGAGTGAGTCCAGTGCACCCAAATAGGTAATGGTGTATTTTGGTGCACTTGGCGATGGACTTAATTTTTTCAAATTTTATGAGACAGGCTACTGTGTAATCAAAAAAATGCATCATCGCAAAAAAAATGATGATGAAAGACATGGGTCCATTAAGAATTGTAAATTATCTAACTGTCACCATGCTCATGTTATATCAAATTTGATTTCTTCGGATCGTTGACGGTTCGTTTTGGTCTTAACTTGCAAACACTTGCAACAACGAGCTTCTTGGCTAAGTGTTAACATAAAACTTAAACTTGATGTTACAAAGCAACACGCATCTACTTATAATTATTAAATAATTTACATAATATTGAGTAATATAATTACAAAGAAAATAACGAATTCAGAACCTCCTCAGTTCAAAACTCTACTAAAAAGTTTGTCACTATAGTGATTAGGAAGCGTGCAATTTCTTTGTTCAACAAATTCAATCGCTAAATTAATGCTAAGGACATTTAAACATCAGTTTGTTTACGAGTTATTAAAGCGTGTACCTACCCGAGTTAATAACAAAAACGTACAGTATGGATGTAGTTTATCCTCGCCACTTGCTCTACATACATCCATACACAATACTTAGTCACCACTACTGTTTAGATGGTTCATATCATATCAAACAAATAAACACATATTCAATGTTATCACATAAGTTAGTATTCTGTAGTGTACAAAAAATATATATTAAAAGGACATAAGAGATGATAAACAGCAAATGGGCTAATACACGAGGACGCTAGTAACTTGACTTAGTGGAGAAAATTCGTTTATAATAATTACACCATCCCTAACTGATGTCAATTCAATAATTTTTTATCACTCTTTCTTCGTCAGGTCCAAGTATTTATAGCCCCCGTTCATCTCTAGTGTGTTCTAACTCAGAATTGTTTAAATAACACTAGTTAAGTATTTAATAAACAACGTTTCTCAAATCCTTGAGTAAGATTTATTTAGTATCTATATAATAGTAGTAACGTATAAAATACATAAACGTATAAAATACTAATTGGAATTTATATATTTTAAAGGTTTGTCGGTTTCACACATGATATGACTCACACTGATTTTTTTTTAATCTGATGGTTTAAGGCGGCGGATCATATTATTACTCATTTATTTAGGAAAATAGAATGGCATATAAGAAACTGTTGTATTTGTTACTGTTTGGGATACATAATATGAATATTTTGAATACTAAACCAGAAGGAGTAACCATATTTTAGTTACCGTTCCCTAAACCGAAGTTAGAGTGGCGTGTTGTAGTCGTGTGTCTAACCTAAGTGGTAAACACCCACATGGCATGCACAGTGATAAGCGAGTTGCTAATGTAGGTACCTATTCGTATTATTGAATTGAAGAAATATGGGTCAACGAAGATAATTTACAAACAGTCTTGCTAAAAGTAAAAGAGTCAGGAGCAAGGCTTATATTTCTCTTAGACGGGATCAAGCTTTACTTCACGGTAGGCATCTACCGTAAAGGAAACTTATGAATGACTTCATAACTACTATAAATAGAACTAGACTATTGTTTATTTACGTACTTAATGAATATTGTTAAAATAAACGAAATGGTTGAATAGCAGTGGGGGTAAGTACATTGTTTATTTTAAAATAATTTACTTGTAGACTTCAATAACGTATCAAACGTTGAGAAATAATCTATATGAATCTTAACTGCGTCTAGTTTGGTTTATTCAATAAATATCATACTAGTTTTGATATTTAATAAAAAAATATAATCAACTAAAGACAACTGCATCAAGTAAGATTTTATGTTATCTGAATTTAATTCTAGATACATTTCTATTAATTTTTCTTATTTTGGAAAGAGTATATACATTGTTTATCACAGACAGCAGTATCGTCCAATCCAAGTCACGGTCGTAACATGACCTTCACTCGGAATCGGCAAAAGGCCAATGTTCTACAGTGTTTGTATAAAACCTAGCATTTCGATGGAACCTGACGGCCTCGCCCACACGACACTTTAGTCGCGGCTACTCACTTGTTACACGAACGGCTATAAAACCACCATTGTTTATCTCAGTCTACTATAAAAAGTATATTATTGCAGTTATTTAGTTGTTCGCATGAATCATCTGAACACGAATCAATAGGTAGTTAAACGCTCTTTTTTAACATAATTCTACGGATTAAACCAAGGATACTGAAAACCCAAGTACAACGTACATACTTAAAATTTACTTTGTAGGCACTTAAGTTCTTTACACACTATTAGAAGACCATAATCTCAGATATTCTTAGGAGCACCACGTGTTAAACAGCATTATTGAGTGTTAAATAGAAAACAGATGCGAATAGTAAACTTTACGTTGCTAATATTATAGGTTCATTGGCCGTCTGTTGTATCGACCCGTGACGTCACAGAAGCGTCGTCGTCCACCCTCCTCCGTGCGGGAGCGACGACTCTATAACCCCAAATATAATATTTAGGGATATAGAGTCGTGTGTAATAAACTGTTTAAATTTTACAAATAAATTAATTTTACAATTTACACTTCAACTTACTTTACCTTCAAGATAAAGAAAACTTGAAACAAACCCACCCTTGTGGTATAATAGGCCATAACCTCCTTTCTAAGGAGAGGTTTATGTCCAGCAGTGGACTATTAAAGGCTGTTGATGATGATGATACACTTAAACATTTTTTATCTATTTGCAGGATATTTGAATTTGTATAGTAAATACAAAGAACAGCTAATAACAAGAACCTCCGATCACATTAAAAATATTTGAAGTGTCCTTCAAAAGAGTTTGTTTGGACCCTGGAAACCTATCATTCACCAGAAACATATAAAAAGGGTCAAAACAGAAGAGTCATAGTCGTGAAAACAAACCCGCTACAAATAATCTCTCATAATATGAATACTGTAGAGTTCTTAGTTAGCTTTCTGAAATGATAGGAAATTTGAAATATGCTATGTGTAAGATAGTCTATAAGCTACGCAATATCGGGCTACGACCTATAAGGCAGCGGAGACAGACCAACGTCAACTAATTAGGTATTGATAAGTACACAAAGAAAACTATTTAATACAAATTCAATGCATGTATATATTCCGCCAGTAAGCCTGTGGGTCAATATTTTAATAACTGATACTATAGATCTATTATCTACAACTATTTAAATACAATAAAATAGAGAAACGTTATTAAAAAAAGACAATCATGAATAAGGAACACACAAAAAAATGTGCTGGACAAAAACGCCTATCTATTATGTACTGTTTTTTTTTATTATCAACAATAACATTAATGTAAAATTAATGTCTTGTTGTTGCACAAACTGGTACCAGCCATCTCGGATAACTAATTGTTTTTAAATATTTTTTATTGAATAAAAATCTTACCTATAGCGGCCAGTGCCACGAGGGCAGCTAATCCAATAAATGCCATGTTATCACTTAGACACTTCACAGATCACTTTGGTTGTTTGTAGAACTCTGACCAAAAATTCCAATACTAAATAGTGCCGCGATAGCGGCAGGGCTTAGCCCGAATCTGAAACAAAATAAAATATTCTTACAATTTGGAATTTATCTGTACCTCCACTAATGATCCCGTACGTCGTTCATAGATAAATAGTAGACAATTCTTGAGTATATACCAAACCTGCTCAACATGCATTGGCTCGTCTATTATCAATATCCTCAAAATATTAAGCGTTCTAACAATGTTAAAATTACAAAAGGATTGCTTTAGTAGTAGAAACTCCTTCATGCCCAAGCCAAAACTAGAGAGTAAGTAATTGAGTGCTAATGTATTGACACTTAAAGTTCTGACCAAAGTTAATAATAGCAATTATTTCACACAGACTTTTATACTTTGTTTTTTTTTCTTCACCAACCTAACAGTATATTTTCGTCCTATTGACCGTTCGATTCAAGATTAGTTCGACACAATTTACAATCAGATTTGATATATTTTTTTACGTCGATCTAGCTTATGAGTTTCTATGCAACGAAAACGACTTTTAATGTCATTTCATCCTTGTGGTAAGCCTCTTACTACATACTGAAGAAGTAATGGGGGTATCGTCGTCGTCTATTTTTAGCTACAGTTCGTGCCACTGAAAGCTTTACTATTAAATAGTGTAGAAATTGGTAGCGACAGCGACGAAGCGATTGTATACACATTATAAACGGGATTCTTTTCTAATAGTTTACCATGTTTATTTTTGTGTTAAAACAGAGAAAGATTTGCTTTCACCATCACAGTGCTTAGCTAACTTATTTTATAAGATTACACGAACTTACTTCTACTTAATTGGTTTTGGTATTGGTTGTGAGCTCCGATTTCCGCATTTAGACAAGAGTCTTTTATGTGTCTAGAAGAGGTTGGCTAGGTGAGACAACCAAGCTCCCTCCAGAAGCGCAGAAGCCTCCTAGGGCGTTCACAGGCTTCTAGGAGCGATTTTGTACCAGGCATGGTACTTGCCCATTGTGAGGCCACTCCCTCGTATTCCAGGATTACGTTATCCAACGCGAAAGTAAAAAGAAAGCAGAAGTGCTTTCAGGCACAGGACAAAAATAACATACCTAATGAATTTTCAGATTTTTTTCTAAAAGTATCCTCTTTCTAGGTTCAATTGAAATAATAAGACCAAATATTATATCTTATATCTATATATATTATATCTTCAAGATGTATATTTTTTCCTTCAAAATAATCTACATATTATAATTTTAGCAACCTGATGAATTTCGCACTTTATATTTTTATATACCTATATGTAGAAGTCGTTAAAATTGAATGCCAATATTAAAATGTGTTAAGGAACTGATGTATTTCCTTTGTACATACAATTAGTTGAATGATTCATTTGTGACTACTCTTCAGAGAATATATGTACGTGATTTCTAAGCTAACAGACTCATAGGAAGTTTCAAGAGTATTAAGTTTTAAGATAAGCTTTTTAACTTTAAGGAATAAGAGTAAAGAGAAATCAATACAACATTTCATAATACGTTTTATTAGTTCAAACCGAGTCCATAAGAATCTGGAATTTATGTTAACATAATAATTTCAGATTCTATTAGTGGTCAAGAGGTGCTCTATTTTTTGTTGATACTTTACCATTTATCACTTATTGTATTAAGCGAAAATGTGCAATCACAATAGTATAGACCGTTACAGTTTTTCAATTTCTTATTGTTGTAAACATACATATTTTTTATTATAAACTGTGTGTTTAGTCTAGCATATTTTACTAGTTTGCCAACTGCTGTTATACCTTCATAACAAGGTCATGGTTTAAACCTAGTACTAAAGCCGGTACTTTTTTAAGTCCACGTTTTATAATAAGACGGTTGTTCGTTAATTCATACTATACATCACGGAGCAAATACATGGGTAGAGCCGTACGAGAGTACTCGTAGGCATAGGTATAGATAGATAGATAGATAAATACTTTATTTGTACACCAGGGTTTCACAGACATTATAAAGTAATTAACAACAGATGTAATGTACAAAGGGCGGCCTTATCTTTTATGCAATTTCTTCCAGGCAACCTTTGCATAATGGGTATAATTTCGAATAGACTAATTCCTATTACACCGAATGGAAAAGGGTGGTGAAATATCGGTGGGTATTTGTTCATGGTATTGCCACGAAATATGTATATGTATAAGCGCTGGTTTATGATTATGATTCACATTACACCAGGCCGGGTCCACACTTAGTGTAACATGAATCATCTCCAATAGATGAAGCGTTCGTAGCTATCAACGTTACTCTCGTATGTCATCTACTTACATATTATATACATGTATATATTTATCTAGTTATGCAAATTTAATTTTTGTTATAGAAGTAGCTGTTGTAAATTTTAAAAAATTTGCTGCTGCTGTTTAATAAAATAACGTGTAGGTATTTTATAAAGTTTTTTTTCAATACGCTACCTCGTTCTCCTAAAAAAGCCTAAAGGTGTAACCTCATTTACGAAATAATGAAACACAAAGTTTCGTTATGCTTGGGGGACGGGACTAGGGCGGAAGTACAGTCAGTCACGCAAGGATAAATCAATTTCGTAAATCGTACAAATGAACACGCTCCCATATTTTTCTTAACAGACTGTACAGTTTCATACTTCAATAAAATGAAACACAAGTTCAACAATGGTAAGTAACACATCTCATACAATATTTACAGGTTCCTCAATGTAACCTACAACCCATCACTTCTGTGTGGAGTTCAAGGGCGTTTAACTTATTTGTATACTGTTGTTTGCTATCTCTCGCTCCTGTAATTTATTTAAAGGGAAGGTCTGAACCGAGGGATTAACAGGATTAACAAATGGATTTGGTAATTACTTTAGATCCTGTCCAAAGTGACTAATTTTATGTGATATTTGCCTGTTTTGTAGATCAAAATTAAATTTAAGATATGAGGAATTCATGGAGTTATGTACTCTGGTGTACCTATATATATAATATTGGTAGTAAAATAAATTGATGGGTGTTTATACATCCGATACCAGGCTATTCGGTATTTGTAATACTAAAAGCTTACCAAAACTGATAAGTACTCTATAATTTATTGTTTTTGCTTTTCATAACATGTTTATGACTAAAATAGTGTAGGCATCGTATTCCAGAATAAAATAGTGGTTTATCAAGATTATGGTAAGTATTTTTATATTGTTTCAAAGGGGACTTTGAAGCTATAAATACATTTTAAATAATAATTTGTACATATTAGATTACATTTACTTAGACCCCATATCTACATACTTGGGTCCAATGGACTCCATCATCAATCTCTTAGAGACTGACATTGGATATGTAGGGTCATTGTATGAGTCGCATCTCACCGCTCTACTTCGTTTCTACTAAATGCTACAATACAACTGATACATAGCACTTAACTAACACTAACATAACCATGACATCACCGTCTCAATTTATAAACTCGGTAACTTACCATGGTCTAAGAACCTAGAAAACGTTGACATATCGTGTTATGTTATTTAACTGTCCAGGTCTTCTTCTGTCCTGTCCTATTCTTGTTTTAGGTACTTAAGGCGTGTCTACTGTCCATTAGACATATTTACTTATGTTTCGCGATATAAAATAATAAAAAACGAGGAAGGAGCTCTGAATGTAATTATTATCCCGGTGCTCTACAATGCAGGCATCATCTTCATCATACAAATTACATGAAATTCTCTTTTCCGAATGATATGTGTATTAACTATGATCAGTTGTCATTCGCGGATAGATGTATTTTTATTTACGTTAAGAAAAAGGGATAATTAAAACATACATTCGTCATTATCATCATCATCAACAGCCTATCGCAGTTCACTGCTGGACATAGGGCTCTTCCATTAGCAACAATTCAATTTCATCATACTGGCTATCATCTATTTATTCTCGGCGGTGAATTAAATGTGCATATTCAGTTGTATTAAGATAAACAATTGCCTATTTAAACCCCTTTGTAATCCTGTTGTAATTCAAATGATGTATGTGCCTTACCATTCAAGTAAAAAATCATTAGAGTTTATACAAGTTCAGGAGTTATGTTAAACGAGTCCATACCGCATACATTCACAACAAACATTTCCGCGAGTCGATTTCTATGAGTTTACATCTTTAATGTTAATATGGACTATATTATTTTCATAATATTTTATTGTCAAAACTTGCCGGAATTTATAGGATCCACGATATTTCAACGTTATCAATTAAACTTTGGTGTCTAACCGCTTACAACCAAACGTCTTCAAGCAGTATACACTAACCTCGTACACGAGTGACGGAAGACTATTTCGGGAACCATTATCCAGAAATGGCTACGCTCCGGTCTTGTTTTTACGTTTAGGCGTGTGCCTATATTAGTTGGATGCGGAGTGAAATAAGTTAATGTTTGATATGTCTTAACAGAAATGTATTAAAATATACAGAAAAAATGACGAAAAATATTGATTCATTATCATGGTATTGTAATTTTAATTGGGTTCGTTTTTTTTTTTTAATTATTAATAATAACTTACTAACTTTTAATTAACGCGAGAATAAAGTTTCTGTCACCCATGAATCCATGATAAATAATAAAAATATAATGACAATTCTTAATCTAATGTTGTTATGGAATATAACTTAGACAAAAACACATTTACATTCAATACTAAAGTGTTAGGAATTATTGTAATTAAATCACAAGTTTTTACTCCCAAAATCGAAAATATATCCTACCCGTAAATTCTGTTGAATTTCTGTTTACTAAACCGATCATCACTGAAGTGACAAATAAATAGTTAATGACGTACTCTATCAATCAAGTGTATTTGCCTTAAGCACTATCAAAAATAACCTTACTATTTAATCAAGTCAGTAGTAATACATAAACATCGGTTAGAAAATACAAAATGTTTTTTGAAAAAAATTGTCTAGCCGTTCGTTAGTTCTGTTTGGTTCAATAAGAAGGATCGACTTGCCACCGAGCCGTCTGCAAAGCTGCAGTAATGCCTCCCACCCAAGCCCCATCCCCCTAAAGTGAAATTCAAGTCAACGAATTCCTTCCCCTTCCCGTCCTTAGATCTTTCGTACGCAGACGTCACACACAGAACACGCTCATATTATAGATGTGGGTAGATATTCGAGTTTCAACATTGAATGCTTTATTTCCATGGCCACGAGCTGGTCTACAAATCTTGTGTCTCAATCTTTACAATTATATCATGTTATTATACTATGTATATATATATATACATAATTTTCAACACAATAATTTTCTAATTTTTACGTGGTCTTGTTATAATATTTACTTAGTATTTAGTTATTAACATTTATATACATATAAATAATTTAACTCGACTCTTGAAATTGCAATATTATAGAAAAAAGTCCTTTTGCCATTATATTCAGATAATAATATTGTAAAGGTACCTCTAAAGTCTAAATGGAAAAGGTACCTGATAATCTTAAAAAAAAACGCACCGGCTGTTACCCAAACGAATCGCACCTGCCGTCGAGTAACAGGCTTTTTTTGAGGCAGGCTGAACGTATATTCGTATGTAATAATACGAGTATACTCGTATACATATATTTTATCATACATTATTTGAGAACCTGTTATATTATTTTTACAAAAGTTAACACTTCAAAATATTTACCGTGTCAGTGTTTCAAATGTATGGTCGCCCCTTCTGAGAGCGTAAATGGGGGAAGGTCGATATGGAAGGAGAGTCGACGGAAATTAATAGCCTACAAAATACATATGTCTATGATACTAAAGGTAATAAGACATTTCAAATCATACAAAGTGCTCAGCGGTCTTAAGTAATCAAATTTATAACAAAAGTTGTAAACGGGAATAGTCTATACGTGTTTTGAATTTTTATAGAAAGACCGGTTTTCATCGTAGCGAAAGCTAGCTAACTTAAAAGAGTATACAGCCAAGCATCTATTTCTTCTCGGCGGTGAATTAAATGTGCATATTCAATTGTATTAAGATAAACAATTGCCTATTTAAACCCCTTTGAAATCTGACTGGAATTCAAATGTGCATTTCGGTAAAAAAAAACTTTAGAATTTATACAAGTTTAAGGAGTTATGTTAAACGAGTTGATTAATGCTGGTATTTTTTTTGCATAAAAGTCTAATCCAACACGTGTTCCCATTTGGAAGTAAATGAATCATAATGACTAACATGGCTTACTGGAAGATCAAAAACGCAATGCTTAATTAAATTCACAGGAACTGCCATTTTTATAAATGAACTAGCTGACCCGGCAAACGTTGTTTTGCCATTTACATTATTTCTAGGAAATATTGAAAAAAAAAGGATGGGTCACCCTTATCATTTAGGGGTATGAAAAATAGATGTTGGCCGATTCTCAGACCTACCCGATGTGCACACAAAATTTCATAAAAATCGGTCCAGCTGTTTCGGAGGAGTATGGTAACTAACATTGTGACACGAGAATTTTATAGGTATATAAGATAAGAACTGTACTTTGAGGTAATGATAATAAAAGAACAATAAGGTATAATAACATATTTAAGAGAGCGCTTGGTAAATAAATATAATTGACATTAATTTAATATATTTCAAATTTAGCAAAATTTTCAAATAAGCCAATCAGATCGATAATTGCGAAACGTGAGTGGCCAGCCACTATTGCTTAATATCCGCCACCCACTCGCATTTTGTTGTTTTGATTGAGACAAGTTTTAATTACTTAAAGATGAATTCAGCTTAATATTTGGCAAAATAATTAGTTATGTATAACTGCATGTGCTGGCTAGAGTCAGCGGAACAAAATATGACAAGTCCGATAACTCAATCAAAGTCTACACCGGTATTTATAGGTCATAGAGTATCATAACAATATGCACAATATAGTATCATAAAAGGAAATATCAAATTAAAGGCATGATATTGCATGCGACTATATCTAAATCTACACGGTCGGGACAACATCGTTATCGATCGTGGTCGCGCATTCGCCGGCCCGGCGGTTTTTGCGAAAAAAAATCCTTTCATAACATAAACACAATATAAAATCTAAAGGAAAGCACAATTTAAAGCAGAGGCAGTTCTTACCTGTGAGGATCAAGGATGGCTCAGAACAGCACCCACAACACTTAACACACAGCACACGCGAAGAGACGAGTGGCGACAAGCGACTCGCCCAAGCTACGGACGCGGTATGAGTAACTTGCGTGATATAAACGGCCGATGACATCCGTATAAACGAAAAGGATGGCTGTATATCGTATCTCTTCTACGGTTATACCGAATCAACAAAGGTGGCCCTGGCGAGACTGGGCGATTTTTGCCGAGGGTCCTTAAAGCAGTGCGCACGCAGGCTGGACATTTATCTAACACTGCATCGGTGTAAGTATATCGTGCTCGTATAAAATACACGCCCCTTATTTAAGACACACTTTGAGGTATTTACGTCTTCTGACCTGTTTTATAATAATGGATACTTTACCTTCAATACAATTACTTGCTCGTCATTAGGTTGTGATCAATTTATATATAAAAGTCTATCGCTAAACAAGCATGAAAATATTTATTATATTATTAAATACCTTTGTTGTTTAAACAGTTGACTTTCCCTGAGACTACGTATTATGCACAGTATTGCTGGGTCACGATTGTCGAAGAAATCTTTCAATTTATCTTACAGATTTACATTATTACTCGTGCTACTTACTTTAGATATGTTATTGTGTTCACCCTTGAATGAAATTGAGGGTCTCTACACATTATGCGTATATTGACTAAAAATAGGTACAGAAATCACTTTAACAGTCAAAATATTATTGATTCTACATCGATACTGAAAGTCCGGGAAAGTCTTTTCACAACTTCCAAAGCTTTCCAGTCTTTGGCAATAGACCTACTTTAAACAGAACACCATGTTTTTGGCTATTCTTTACCAACAGCCATGGTGCAGAGGCATCAAGACCATAACATCCATAACATAACATGAAAAATAAATATCAGGTGGTATAAAGTAGAGATTACCCCCGATTAATAGTATATTTTATTAAAATTAGATAATAATTTGAGGTAACAATTTAATTAAAAACATTTTTTTATGACAGTATTTAATCATTTAACGCATTTGACATCCAAAGATTTTTCTTCAAAAATATAGATTATCAGAATTAATACTATTTAGCCATATTTTATATTGTTTCACAGGCTGTGCTTATTTTGAACATTTTAAAGTAGTAAAATCTGTCACTGTGCTCTGTATTTGGCAAGACAAGATTTATGGCACATATAAATATAATGTTTTCTTATTTTATAGAAACACATGACATTGATCAACTACAGCTTAGGAACATTTAGTTGTTCCAGTTATTAAATAACATCAATATTGCTTATGATTATAGACATTACGTCAACAGACATGTCATGCTGCACTAGTAAAGTTATTTATTGTAGGTAGTAGGTAGGTAGGTAGTTGGTATTTACTTCTACAGATTATCAAATATTTTTTTCTAAATACAGCAATCTCGAACAACATTAAAATGATTAACTAAGTCTACATACATGTCATATACTTTTAAATTTAGCTGAAATATTTTATAATGATGTTTATAACATCAAAGCATATAATATTAAAAATTACTTATGATGCTAACAGAAATAAAGGTAATAATAAAAAAGTAAAAATATATTTAGTAATATTTAAAAAAACCCTTAATAAAACTATTTTAAGAGTTAATTTTATAACACCATAGATATACTTTGCATACTATAAGATTTTAACTACATTCGGTGTTACCGATAAAAAGTATAATATAATAAATTCTTAATATATTCTATATCGAGACGACGTAAATTGTAAATAGTAAAAGGATAAAATGATTGGTATACATAAACAGGAGTATTTATTTCAAATTTTACAATCATATTACTCAATTTAGTTGGCTACTATAAATCACCTGTATGTAGTAAATATAAATCTACTCAAAAAATATAATATCTACTAATATTGTGGTGTAATTGAATCGATGTGAACGAATAACAAATTAGAATATTTACTAGCTCGAGAGACATCGTCCGCAATACTCCACACTTCTTAAACGGTCTCATGAGGTGCGGGAAGTTTCTCCCAGGTTGGTTCTACCCCCCATATCTCTCGCGCGTATTCTGAAATGGTACGGTCCGAGGAGAACTTTCCTGAGGACGCTATGTTTTCGATCACCATCTCTGCCCACTTTGCTTGATCCTGTAAAGTAAATAATATATTAATGATTTTGTCCCTTGTCGACCTTTTACTCATTTGTCTATTTTTGTGAGGACCTTACACGACGCCATCTAATCTCTAGCGAAGCATAGCTTGTATTATGGGTTACATCGAGGATATACATACGTTTTTTTTTGACAAACAGGAAGTATGCAGTAGGGAACGTTACGCAATTTTTAAAATATTATATTATTCTCTCAATCTTTTAAATTATTTATCAAAAAGAAGAAATACCGGTATTTTGAGCAATGATTCCGATATCTTTCTCCGTCATTATCTTTCATTGTATACACTTGCTTATTTTTTGGATAACATTCTAAAACATACATTTATAAGTGTATAATACATTCGAGTGACACATCTCTGTCTCAGAGTCTTTATGTTAGAGTGTGCATCTGTAGTTTATTTGATCGAAGCTTTAATTAGGTAAATTTTTAGGAGTCCATAATTTTACTAATATACCATAAAAGAAAATATAAAAGGTAACACGTTTAAACCCCCTAGTACTAAGCCTAATAGGAATGAATTTTGGCACTTAACTTTCATTGTTGTTCGGAAATTGCCATAATGACATTAGCACTCGCACCATTTAAGACAAGTTAATAAAAAAATAAAAGTGTATCTTACTAGCTACTAGTAACGTTCATCATAATATTATTCGTATATATATTTATACGTATACGTACTTGGTACACCTCCGAGACTTTCTCTTGCGCTTCAATGTAGGAGTCGAAGTCTGCGAGATGAAGGAACCGATCGTACTGCAGAAGCACATCGGCGATGTTCGCAAAACGACCTGGCTCACCCGGCGAGAAGAACCCGCTGCGGATCTGCTCTATGCACTGCCGCAGTTCTGGGTTGCGTTCGTAGTATTCGTACGCATTGTAACTAAACGGACAAGGGGACAAAGACTGCTGTGAGTAATTTATACAAAATGAGTGCTACTTGTGATAAATAAAAAGAGGTTTCCAATATCCGTAAAATACCATACAAAAACTTCCAACTTATCATATAAACACCTCTAATTTTGAACACGGTAATTTATTTATTCTATAGTAACTTATATTATAATTTAAATACACCCAGCACCAAAACAAAATAAACATAAGACTTGTTACAACATTTTTTAGACATAGTAGAAAGAAAAACACATACCCCCGTTTTTGCAAAGCTTCAACATCATCAACTCTCATGCCAAATATGAAAAAGTTTTCTTCACCCGCTTCCTCTGCCATTTCCACATTGGCTCCATCCATGGTACCGATAGTTAAAGCCCCATTGAGCATGAACTTCATGTTACCAGTTCCCGAAGCTTCGGTACCAGCAGTTGAAACCTTTCAAAAATATGCAATATTAAAGAGCTAATTAAATATATATATTTTTTTTACATTTCTCAGTTGGTCGAGTATTAAGCCATTAAATTTGGATGAAATTGAAATCCTCAGATGGGTCATTTGGACCGCCGCTCACTAGCAATATGTCTGCCGATGGGTACGATCATCAGAAATTCTAGTATCTATTGAAATTAGTAACTACTTCCCATTCCCCAATCATACACAAAAATTGAGAAATAGGTTGTTAAGAAAATTAGAGGAACGGGTTTTGTCGGTATTTCTATTATCAAGTACCAGCTTTTCCCCTTGACTTCGAGAAAAAATTCCATGATGATCGGTTAAAATAGTGAAGAACTGGAAGTACAACAAACAACTACTGATTCCTGCTAACTATTTTTAAGACGTCATATTAAACGACGAATGTAAAAATTAATCTCATAGTCTGTAACCAGGCCTCTATAGAGGATAAGTGCGTGACTATGAATAAATGACAAAGTGACTAAAGTACCAGATTAAACATGATTGCCATGCAGCTATTATATCTACACACTATGTTTTTATTTTATTATGTTGTATTTCTATGTTGATATTTTCTTTACAAATATAACTTTCACTTACATTTTAATGTTGGTGAGTAATATTATCTAATTTCTTAATTGTCTTACGTAAGTAAAACTGAGAAATGTACTGCCATGTATAATGCTGTTTTTATTTTATAAATGACGTTGAATCGATAAATCAATTGCAGTACAACCAACCTTGACTCTAAATACAATAAAGTATGGTAAATGTGGCATATTCTTTAGCGTCAGCTATGCAAGTTGTGAGACATATACAGACGTAAGTAGTTTGGATAGATAAAAAACAAAATAAAAATGTCTATAAAATAAATATTGCACAGATATTTTAAGCAAATCTAATACAAACAATAAAAATATGGAACTCAATACTAACCTGTTCACTGAGGTCAGCAGCCGGTATAATACGCTCAGCTAGCGTAACGCGATAATTTTCCAAGTAAATTAATTTTAGTTTGTCACCGACGTCTGGGTCGTTATTAACCTGTTTTAAAATATAAAAAATAAACCAACATTTGTATTACTTTCTAATAACTATCTGTACCCTGCTACGCTTCGCTGTGGCACATTCTGGTTGCAATAATGACAAATGAGAAACAAAACTGACGCGAAAAATTAATAGAAACAATCTTTGAAGCGGTTTGTATCTTGTGTCAATATTTGAGCTCAATAGGTTTATAACTTTTTGAGTTTTTGAAGCGTAGACAAACCAACTTAACATTTATATATATATATAATTGTTGCGCCATAAGATTAAGTAGTTCGATTGTTCCAGAATTGTATGGAATGTGGAGGACAGCGCCATCTAGTATCACGTAAAGTACAACTATTTAGATTGTGATTAATATTTCTTATACTTACAGCGCTACATGCCGTCGCAAGTAACGCGTAACTGATACTGGAATATTCTTATTTGTCTGGAACGGACTATTCGGTAGTCCTAGTCCTAGGGATTATTCTAGTAAATTCGATAGCACTATAAAAGCGGAGCGGAGTGTTGGCAGTACGACACAGTATCGTTTTAGGACACCGCGAATTAACATCGAAGCGAATTTCTAGTGCGACTAACGAGTTACATATATAATGACTTCTTCATTGTAATAGTAAGTGTTTGTAAATACAGTGCAATAAAAGTAATTAACCGACAACTTTTTTTATTGTATACCGCGCTCGTAACAATTTCAAAACGAGTAATCTGGTATACGAAAAATTTCAAAAATTTAAGTTAATTTTAAAGCCGTTTTGGAAAGGAAGTAAATTCATTTGCTTTCTCGAAGGTTGATTTATGGCAAACATTCGTTTTTTTATGGGTCGTTTGTTGTTTCAGCCTGGGTCATCTTTTTAGCCTACAGTGATTCTGCAAATTTATTAAGAAATCAAAGCAATATTTTGCGTGGCGAAATTCTCTAATAATATTTCTTCATACTGCAATAAATTAAACTTTAATGATAATCAGAATCAGAGTAAAAAAGGTGACAAGTATTATTCGAAATATGTAACACTAGGTTGGAATCTGTAAGTCACAAATCACAACCCTTTGATATATATTTTCTGCATGTTAAAAAATTTGAGTAATTACAATAGTGAATTTCAAATCACAAGACTGATTATAAATATTTTATTGTACTCATATTGTTTTTAATATCAAAATAAAGGGCCGCAACAACCAACGACTCTCCTTTATGCCATAAACAAAGGCAAATAAAAAATGTTCCTTATTTTTCCAATAACTGTTTCCTCGTTATTCCACTACAATACAAACGGAAGGACCGCAATTGAACGCACAATGTACACGGCATTGGTTTGTAGAGCCGCCCTGACAACATTTATTTTAACAATAAATCCAGTGGCCAACCGGAGACAGGTGATGAGAATAAATCACCTCCAAGTTACAAACGTTTCTTAATTTATACGATAAAGGCAATTACATCGCATTTGAAAGATGACCAATCGGGAGATAGGTCTTGTACAACACACATTGAACAACGATCACAATATCATGTTGAAGCTGTTGCAGTTTATCAGATATAATAATAGACGTGATGAATGTTATTGAGAATTAATTGCGATCCTTCATGACAACGCTGGTCATACTGCACAATGGACAGTCTCGCAGCTTCCTCCGGCAAACTACATATTTGAAAGGTTTTCTAAAGGTTATTGTTTACAGGGGAAAAGTACAATTTAAAAAATACTTACAGTGTTCCCAACAGCACAAGCTAATGCAATAATTTGTTTGGCAACATAATAACCAGGAGCTGCCTTTCCTCCGATCATGACTGTTCTCGGAGTGACGACAGCAGAAGGATCGCGTTTGATACGATTGTACAACGTTATCACGTGCAAAATGGTTAGAAGTTGACGTTTGTATTCATGGATTCTCTTGACTTGTACGTCAAACATAGATGCTGGATTGATTTTTACACCGGTATCCCTTTCAATCAGGGCTGCAAGTCTCAGCTTATTCTCCTGCTTTACTTTCATAATAGCCCTTTGGAATGCGGGATCTTTAGCCCAACGTTTTAACCCTTGCAATTTGTCAAGATGGACCGTCCAGTCTTCCCCTATCTTGTCACAGATAAGATCTGAAAGTCCAGGGTTACAGAGCAAGAGCCAACGACGTGGTGTGATACCGTTAGTCTTATTCTGGAATTTATCAGGCCACATTTCGTAAAAGTCACGGAAGATAGTCTTTTTGAGAATATCTGAGTGAATTGCGGCGACTCCGTTAACAGCATGAGAGCCCACGACGCACAAGTTGGCCATATTTACTCGTTTCTCCCCTTCTTCTTCTATTAGTGACATACGTCGCAAGCGATCGAGATCTTCGGGCCACCGTTTTTTAACATCCTGAAGGTGCAAAAAGTTGATTTGGTATATTAATTCCATATGTCTGGGCAAAGCGTTTTCCAACATACTACAAGGCCATCTCTCCAGAGCTTCTGGCAAAACCGTGTGGTTAGTGTAGGCGCAGCATTTAACGACAAGCTTCCAGGCTTCATCATATGGAACATTTTCAATATCAACCAGGATTCTCAGTAGCTCAGGTATAGCTAAAGCAGGATGGGTGTCGTTTAATTGTATAGCTACTTTATCAGGTAGGCTTTCGAAAGTGGTCCGGACTGCTTCGCGACTACCGAATTTAGATGCCTTGTATCTTCTGATAATATCTTGCAGAGTGGCCGCGCACATAAAATACTCCTGACGTAAACGTAGTTCCTTGCCTTCGAAGAAGTTGTCGTTCGGATACAAAACTCTGGTTATATTCTCAGCGACGTTACGATCAAGGACTGCTTGGATGTAGTCGCCGGAATTAACTAAAAATGATATTATGATATTTAAAATTCAATTAAAATAAATATTCGTACTAAACTCTGATTAAAATACTTACAGAATTTCAAGTTGAAGTCGATGGGACTCTTGGCTGACCACAAACGCAGACTGTTTACAACGTTATTGTTGTACCCAGGAATAGGATTGTCGTACGGCATTGCAAATACCACCTGATAACAATCACAATTAATTTCTTATCAATGTTCATATCTTCATCGCACCGTTCATAACAGCCATGACCTCAAATGGCTTCTCGATACGGATTTCACTACATAATTCATGAGATAAAACACTACATTAATAATTATATATTCTAATTTACATCACTCGAAGCGACTTGAGGTGATGCCACGGGTCCTAAAGCTAGGGATCGAGGAATGTCCATCGACAGAAGAGCTCCAGGTATACTCCTTCTGCGAGCAAATTATGCTCGCGAAGGAGAAGGCGAAGTGGGACCAGAAATGGGCTTAGAACCCTCTTAAGCTCGCCAGGCCCGGGAACGGACCGTACCGCAAGTGGCACGATAATCCGTAGTATGCAACCGCGTGACACAACATGCTGCGGCGTGCCGCGGCAGGCCACGACGTGCCGAGGTATAATTGTACAGAAAAAAGTAACATTATTTCTAAACTTATTGAAATATAAATTATTAAAATAAGGATAAAAACAACTTGATCAGAAATAAAATCCACAGCCATCCCTCCGGTTGTCCGGTGGAGGGGTATATGAAAAGCGATTACGACACGGGAAAAAGAGCGGCTTCATCTGAATTGCCCTGCCACAAGCACACCAAGTTGTGACACGTTGTGAAAAATTAATAGTCTTGGAACGCGTAACGGTATTACTCAGATGAAATTGGAGTAGTTGGAAATATAATAAATGCACTTCCCTCCTTAGCAAAGCGGGAGACAAAATGAAGTAAAATAGGCATACACCATCTTAAACGGGGAAGCACCACGGGCCACAAAATATTGTGGGTCCTTAGTGAGCTATATTTGATTTCTATAATATGTATGGCAGCATCGCCAAATGCACGGCAATTCACCCTAGTTGGCACAAGATCCCCATAGTAACCCGCCCCAGGTGTCACCTGTAAGCTATTCGGTGTTATATTACGTTCATTGTACCAAATACTACATTCCTTGAGGATATGATGAGCATACTGTTCACAATTAGTTAGGTATTGACTATTGAGTATTGACATAATGGTGACTCGACTAATTTAAATGAATACAGTTTGCTCTTAAAGTTATCATGACCTGTAAGAAATTGAACAACACAGTGATCTACCTCAAACCATGTAATCGACAACCATTCACAAACAGATGCAGATATACGTATATTACCGCACCTCCAAACCCGAGGAAATATTCCTTTCGCAATATAACGTTTAAAAACAGTTAAAATCGTGTCACCCGAAAGTTTAAAAGCTTCTTATAATCTTGTTTGATATTTTATCATCGACCGAAGACCTGTGAAGGTGTAGAGTTTGTAAAGTATCTAAAGGCTTGTAGACTTAGGGCGTGTAGAGCTAGAAACTTGACTCTACATGAGAACGGATTACTTTTTACAATGCGAGTCGTATGGACTCGTTTTGGCGACATTTTACATGAAAATGTTCTTGGAAACATTGAAAATCATATTTATTAACAGACAAATTTGGACCTTCTTAAATAATTGTTCACGTTTTTTCTCATAGCATCAATTTATTTTATCAAGGCTGTAGGTTGTATTCTTGTATTGTACTTGCTCCTATCAAAGTTTAAATTTAGAACGAGCGCAATTTATTTATGAATGAGGGTTTTCGATACTTTTTCTGCCACCAGACGGCGCTTCGTTTGCGTCAGGTCCAAACAGCTGTCAGATAGCACAGATTCTTACTGAACGTATAATTTTTACTGGAATTCTATGTATTTGGAAGTGTTATTGAGGTTATTATGGATTAAGATCAGAGAAAGGTTACCGAACTGAAGATTGAGCTCAAAAAGGGAGGCACAAAAGTTTTATTTGCACACAGAGGCACTGCACAACACTGTGGCATTTTAGAAAACAATATTTCTTTTGTAACGATTTTATTTTAATGAATAAACCAAAAAAATGATCGAATAATACAAATCATGTATGTGTTTTGACAGGTGGTTGGACCTGACGCTACAGTGCCGCCATCTCACGTGGAACATTTCAGAAAACCCTCATTGGTTGACGGCAACATTGGTAACATACATAGATCCAACTTGGGCATTGACCATTTGGTTTGCGCTTACGTAAGAATTCGTATAAGATATAACTTGTTATGCTTAGTAAACTATACATGGGATCAGCAACCGGTTAAACTAATAGACACCTTGATCTGATCTGAAAATAGGGTGATAGTCATTATAGTTAACATGTTCTCAGCACGTCTAAGTCATTCATAACTGCATGAACAAACATGTGTCATACATGAAATGCTATTTGTTGACGAAAATTACTATCAATACACGGCATTTTATTCAAAACAAATTATTTTGTTGGACAAAATCGTTTTTATAGGCATTATAATAGTATGTATATATTAATGTAAGAACATTCTGATTGCATAGAAGTGGTAGGTAATTTCGTACCTAATATATACATACTAAACCAAAAAATTAAATATATGTAATAGATAATAACTTCCTCGGTGATTGCTTAGTTTACGAAATCGAAAAGAGTTGTGGATTTTATCAATATTCACTACCCTAATGACATGACCTGTCCCAAGATAAGCATTTAGCTTGTTTAGAACATTTTACAATAATAATATTACGACAATACGGATAATCTTAATGGCAAAAATTAAAATAATCGAAAGCACCGGATTTATGGCAAAGGAAAACCGTGTTCAAAAAGCTGTCGGCTGTCCTGTTAGTCGGTTTCCACGCCTTACTAGGTACTAACCAACTAAGATACTAAAGTCAACAGAAAGGAGGAGGTTGTTCGTTATGTACCTGAGTATCGATCCATTTCTTTCCCTGAGGAGTGTCCACAACTCGACCGTAAAAGTTGACAGGCAGCATGAACTCCGGGCGAGCCTTCTCCCACGGGTTGCCGTAACGTAGCCAATCGTCAGGTTCCTCATGTTGTTCACCATTCTCTATTTTTTGTGCGAATATGCCGTATTCGTACCGGATACCTAGACCATGTACAATGATATCACACAGTGCCTTTATTTTCTGCAGCAAACTTTAGCTAAATACTGAATGTAAATATAATGTATAGTAGTGTAAAAGGGAAACTATGAGAAAATAAATTCTACTCCTTTTGTTACTTATACTAAAGAAAATTAAGTTTTTTTTATTAATATTTATGATTCACAAAAAGTAGATTACTAAAAAGAGAATTAAAATGAATAATACTTACGTAAGATTATTAATATGTATTTAATTATCGTCGTTGTACCCGTTACTATAAGATTTCTAAGGAATGTGCGATCGTAAATCGTTGATTACCACATTAGCGAAATTGTTTTTATGTTATTAAAAAAATAAACAGTAGTAGATAGTACGTTTGGAAAAGTGCCCGGCAGACGGCAATAGGTTACATGTTGTTATCGCACTCAAAGATATCACTTAATAAAACACCATCATAATAAAATTGTTTGTTCCGTGTAACGGGATAAAGAAGTAGGTATCACTACTTATCTACAAATATATGTACATCATATTCTACTATTCACACACATCGAGGGAGGCAAAATTTTAAGCACATCGCAGTCCGGATGTAGAAGACGATGCGCCAAATGCCGGCCCCCGGTCATAGAAACAGCTAGTGCCAAGAGCTAAACGATATCAATATGCTATTTCCCTACCGGTTCCAGACTATATAGTTACAGTATCGTTTTCTCTAGCTATAGTTAGGTATGTATAATTTAAAGTCCCAAGGTTAAAGTAATCTGTAACAGACAACTATATTACATACAGGCAGACAAGCCTCATAAAGCTTATTTTGGTCATTCTTTATATTAGACGCTGTAGGTAGACGATACATACTCTTATCAGTCTTAAACATGTATTTTTCTCTGGTTACAGTTTAAAATGTGTCTCACAGATTACTTTTGGCAGTAGGAAGGTAATTTTTAGAAGTTCCAAACAATTTGAAGTGTTTAATTTATTCGTGAATTGGCCGCTGCAACGAAGTGGCAAGTCGTAGGTATGTGTGTGTAAACGCAGCAGCCCGAAAAGATTTAACATGTTTCGTAAGAAATTTACTCAGATTAACAAATATTAGCAAAGTTTTTTTACGATTCTATTCTAGTCTCCAATGTACATCTTCTATTCTTATTCTGCATCTCAGGGGTCCCGTGGGCGCATTCGCTTATCTCTACAGTGATGATTAAGTTCGACTAACACAAGTTTATGAATGCTGTAATGTTCCTAATAAAGTTGAGTAGTTAAATAGGGAGCCTGAATACTACATTGAACATGACATGCCAATAAGTATTTACTATAGTGTTACGCCGAAAATCAGATGCATTTTTGTGCACAATGGCAACAGAATCTCTCCTGATGAGACGCTCTGGGATCTTTAGCTCAGTAGTAGTGTTTTTAATTTGTAGTAATTACATAAATTTTGTAAAGTATTATAAAAGAACCACACATTATCTCTGTATATGTCATAATAGGATCAGAAGGAACATATGCACATAGTTGGAGCTGGAGCAATGCCAGAGCATAGTATGTCAACTGCTTTAAATTAGTTTATATTGACTGAAATAATGTCAAGTATGTACTGCAATAGCCTGAAGATTTAATCAATTTATTTTACTAATAGTGACTAAAATCAACACCATGATGATAAAAGTAAAATGCTAGTATTGTGATGGTCTATTGCAATATATTAGAATAACAATTGTTTATATTTCCTTCATTATAAATAGGGTAGGGTTATTAATATCAAGCTTGAATCTTTATCTAGGTGCAATTGTAAAATTTTAGAATAATAGCTTGGTCAACAATAAATTGCTGGACCCAGGTACTTTCACATGATAACGCATATGTTGCATGTTATTAGTAAAATAGTGGGAAGGGGCATGCAAATAGCACGGAAGCACACTACTTAGCGTACTCATGAAGCCGCCTATTTCGACCAAGGGTGACTAAGGGCTGAAGAAGAAGATTAGTACTTTTGTAAATGCCTCTGACAAAGCTAAATGATGCCAGTTAAAAAGAAAATGATTTAAAAGAATAAATTTACAGTTCTTGTAAATTATTACTACTTACCATAACCATATGCCGCTAATCCAAGTGTTGCCATAGAGTCGAGGAAGCAAGCTGCTAGCCGTCCTAAGCCACCATTACCAAGGCCAGCATCTTCCTCAAGCTCCTCCAGTTCCTCAATGTCTAAACCAAGTTGATAAAGGGCTTCATCTACTGTGCCCTGGATACCCAAGTTTATCATGGTGTTCTGGAGGGAGCGTCCCATGTAGTACTCCAACGAGAGATAGTACACACGCTGTTGATGCAAAAATATTCATTATAATAAAAAATTGAATATAACATAATCCACCTTCAAATATTAGGACAAAACAAAATTTTAATCAATTTTAATATGCTGAAGAAATATTTATACTTGAAAAGCATTACAAAAATCAATTTAGTTAGTTAATTTACTATAATTGACTGCAATTTTAATTTGAGAAGAAAAAAAGCACAGCAGTTACTGAATTAAAATTGAAGTAAATAAAATGTATAAACATGACTTGGTAGTAAAAAATATCAAATTGATAGAGTTAATTTAAATTGATTAAATCGTAAGTACAAAATTAAAAGTTACAACCTGTTAAATTTGAAATAAAATGAATGACTGATTTCACCTTAGGATCTTTTTCATAGTAGTATTGTTGGGTTCTAATCCAGCGAGAGACGAGATGATCCTTTACAGTATGGGCCAAAGCGAAGTAATAATCCCTTGGAGTCGCTACGTTTCTGTCCTTTACCAGGGTATAATGTACATGACGATTGAATGCTTTTTTCACTTCAGTCACATTTTCTACCGCTACGATTCCTCGAACAGAAATCTGTTTCCGTTTTTCTGAATCAGTTTGCACGCTCATTTTGAGTTATTATATATTTATATTGTGCTTTAATAATTTAAAAGGCCCGTGCTACCGCTAGACCTTCTCAACCCTGACTGGTTAAACAACACCGTTTACGTATCGGTCACCTTGAGAAGGTCAAAAAAGTGACAGTGCCACAGACTGCCCTAGCCGGCTTATTGCATTGAGTTAGGCAATACTAACATTCTGTTTTCTTTTGTTTTTTTTTCATATCTTCCCATAAACTAAAATATATAATACTGAAAATCTACTCTTAGTTTCAGATTAGCCAGGCATTTTCTATACTTATTATTTTAAGGATCCTATCCTGAGATTGACACTATTGACAGTCATAACATTACATAACATAACACCCAAAAGATATCTCTACAAAATCCAAACTGTGACCATGCACTCGATAGATGTAGTCATATCGTAGATGGTTAAAGGAATCAAAATCCAATCTTTTCTCCTCTGGAACACTCTGCCTTTGGAAATCAGGATATCACCCAGCCGCCTCTCATTTAAAATCCGAGCTCGAATTCTCGACACTAGACTATACATGTATGTGTATCTCAGTATGTATGTATATCTGTCACACTGGTTCTGTCTATATTCTTAATTATTATTATCTCGTTACACATAGAACTTAATTTCTAGTGCACCTACTCAGACATTTTCCCGCCACCCAAAGGTAGACTGGGAGAAAATGCCTGTGGGATTAAGTGAGCCATTGTACAATGAATTGTTGTTTGTGCAAAAAGAATTAAAAAAAAATCATAAAATAAGCAAGCAACCTTAGCTTATCTTATCACGAAAAACAAGTATATATATATAGTATATAGAAGGCCAAAACCTCCTTTCTTAGGAGAGGCCTATGTCCAGCAGTGGACTATTACAGGCTGTTGATGATGATGATTGATGAAACTAACTGTCTATCATGAAGGTTGTAACAGTAATAATAGCAATATACAAAGTCTCTGTGTCCATAAACTAATCTAGCACTTGTTATAGTTTTTTTTTTTAAATATACACACTCGCATGTATATCCCCGAAGGGGTAAACAGAGGCATATTAAACGATCACATTTTAAAGTATTTTGGATCTGTAGTCCCATTTACTTTGGGGCAAGCATATTGCCGTCAAGAAAGGAAGGCAGTAAAAGGGTAAGCAATAGCTCGATCGGGTCAGGATCACATACCTCTAATTAAAAACTGGCTATTGCCGGAATGTCCAAGCCCCATAACTGGTGACAGTGGCAGTCAGCAGGCATATGGGCAGATTATAAAATACGTTTCGCTGAATTGTGTATAATGGTTCCATATTTTATTATTAGTGGGTTCCAGCCCGAGTGATGGCCCGAGCCCTCGACTACATGTCGGACCACCTCAGGGGTGTGTTGGACGCTAGCCTGGCGTCTGGACGCTTCCCTGAGCGCTGGAAGTGCGGGAAGCTGGTCCTGCTGAGGAAGCCGGGACGGCCTACTGATTCGGTCGCGGCCTATAGGCCTATCGTGTTGCTAGACGAGGCGGGTAAACTTTTTGAGAGGGTGCTCTCTGCCCGCATCGTCCGGCACCTTTGCGAGGTTGGTCCCGATCTGTCGGACGCCCAATTCGGTTTCCGAGAGGGGCGTTCGACGATCGATGCCGTGATGCGCCTTAGGGCCGTGACCGAGGTGGCTGTGAGCTGCGGCGGAGTGGTGTTGGCGGTGTCTTTGGACATCGCCAACGCCTTCAATAGTCTGCTGCAATTCAGCTGCATCAGGGAAGCGCTCCGCTACCACGGAGTGCCGGAGTACCTGAGGCGGCTGGTGGCAGACTATCTTGAGGAGCGAACCGTCATGTACGAGGACCGAGATGGCGTCTTGAGACGCAGGGCCATGTCGTGCGGTGTTCCGCAGGGGTCTGTCCTAGGACCACTCCTGTGGAACATTGGATACGACTGGGCCCTACGAGGGCGTCTCCCCCCCGGGCTGGGTGTACTCTGCTACGCAGATGACACTTTAGTCACGGCCCGGGGGGCTAACTTCCAGGAGGCGGCGCGCCTGGCCGCCACGGGAGTTTCCCTGGTGGTCGGGCGCATTGAGGCGTTGGGTTTGCGGGTGGCCCTGGATGAGACGGAGGCCCTATTATTTCATGGGCCCCGTCGTGGTCCACCCGCCGGCGCCTCAATCGAGGTCGGCTCGGTCCTCGTACCGGTCCGGGCCCAGATGAGGTACCTGGGTCTGGTCCTAGACGGTAGGTGGCTCTTCGACGAGCACTTCCGACAGCTTGGTCCGAAGCTGGTGGACACTGCCTTCGCCCTAGGGCGACTTTTGCCCAATTTGGGCGGGGCCAGTGTTCCCACGAGGCGGCTGTACGCGTGGGTTGTCCGGTCCATGGCGCTTTATGGTGCACCGGTGTGGGTGGCGGCTCTGACCGCCCCGAATAGGGCGCGCCTCTGGCGCCCCCAGAGGATATTGGCGGTCAGAGCCATACGCGGATACCGCACGGTGTCCACCGAGGCGGCTTGCGCCTTGGCCGGAACACCCCCGTGGGATTTGGAGGCGGAAGTGCTCGCCGAAGTTTATCGGCGAGTGGCTGACTTCTGGGCGGAGAGCGGATATCGCCCTCCGCCCGAAGACGTGCGCGAGTGGCGCGAAGCCACTCGCCGAGCCGAGGTTGGAGTTGGAGACTCCACGCACTGGCTTTGCCGCTGTGGAGGCTTTCCAGCTGGTCATCGCTGAGTGGGCAGGGCGGCAGCACGGGACCCTTTCCTTCCGGCTGACGCAGGTGCTTTCCGGGCACGGTTGCTTCGGAAAGTACCTGTACTCGGTCGCTAGGAGGGAATCGAGTCCCGCCTGCCACCACTGCGACTGCAGTGAGGATTAGGCCCAGCACACGCTGGCGGTTTGCCCCGCATGGGCGACGCAGCCCCGGGCCCTCACTGCAGTCATCGGAGCAGATCTCTCGCTACCGGCCGTAATCCGCTCCATGGCCGGTAGCGACAGTTGTTTTACCGCGGTCGCAACCTTCTGCGAGGAGGTAATCTCGTAGAAGGAGGCGGCGGAGAAGGCCCGGGAGGACGACCTCCACTCGGACCTGATCCGCCGCCGGCGAACCGGGCGGCGGAGGCGCGCTTACCTGCGCCTCATGCCGCCCTGAGTGTGGCCGCGGGTGGACGGGATGGGTTCTCCCCTCCACCCGCATTAGTTGGCCAGCCGCGAGGGGGGCGGCGTCCGCGTGTGCCGGACGTCGCCTAAAGAGAGGGTCCACTGAGACGGAGCCCGCATCAGAAGCGGGCCGGCGCTGGGAGGGGTCCAGAAGGCGATAACTACCTGGACCCCTCCTAAACTGGAAGCGCAAAGAGGGCACACCGTGTGGTTTTAGTCGGTTCAAGTCCGACACACCGCCCCGCCGAACGAGAGCCCCGGCGGGGTGACGGTCCGAGAGGATTTCCACAAGTAAAAAAAAAAAAAAAAAATTCTGGTCACTTAGAAGCACGTCTACTTCAAAATATCCACTTTTGCGTATGGTATGAAACAATAGATTTTTTCATAAGAAAGATAGGTACTATAGCAAATAAGTAAGTAATACTGTTGCCACAAGTAAAAACCGCGTAAGAGATCTATAGACCTCCGGTCGGAACGAAGTTCAGCAAGAAGTGTCGGAAAAGTCTTGTTACACATTTTTCGGGCGCTTTCGTCTCGTGTAACGCGCGATAAGGAACTTCGTTCCAATAATTCGTGTTTTCTATCAATAGCGAACATTATATAGACGTTAGTTTATCCGGGTCCATTTACAATATAGATTTGAGGATAAATAAAAGATCGTTGAGAAAAGAGTATGCTGTTATATTTTATTTTTAACCTTGATCATAACAATTAATACAGTGCAGTAAATGTATAACATCGCAAGCCATAACTTAGATACGCTCATCAAACATTCATCAAATTAGTTACGACAAACCAGTATTGAAATTATCGGTAAGTACCCTTAGATGATCGTAATTATGTAGGTACCACTAATTTCAACGTCGTATCAAACTAGTCGAAATACTCTTAGTCGTACCGCTTACACAACACTGGTTCTCTCTCGGAGGCTCTAGTTTCTACAATTTTACGCGGCAAGTATTTTATGGCGCCTGATGAAAGGCGCTGGGGTGCGTGAATTGTATTTAATTAGTCATAGGACTAATATAACGACGTCATAGACACTAAGGTAAAGGGACTTTCTTAACCATGCTAAGAAAAAGGATTAGAATATTTTAAGCTTAACTTTTTAAATTAAAATAAGGATGCAATAGGCACCTAGATAGGTTTTGAAAATTTTTATTTAATCACAAATTGAAACAGATACAATTTATGCGAATTAAAAAAACTAAACTTAAGGATAAGTTCACTGCCTACCCCTACCAAAGACCAGACCGCTGATCGATCTATGCTGATAATAATAAAGATAGTTAATGCAATCTTTACCAGATCGAATAGGTAAGTTACTAATTTATTCATTTTCCAGGTTGTTTCTAATATAGAGACGGCGCAAGTGTAATTTGATATAGTGGTGATAAAACAATTAATCATTTTTGCTGTTACTTGTCGAATAGGTTCTGAAGCAGAGTAATTGTAAGAAAGCTTTAATTTTTTTAACAATTCATTCGCTTTATTTATTCATTTAAAAAACAACAACGATTGACGACAGCTATAATTAAGTTAATTTTAACTAAATAGTAGCTGTCTTTTAAATAAATAACGACAAAAAACTACCTCAAATACGGTATAAATTATTTTATATTTATTAGCTTAAAAAATCAGACCAATTTGAATTACTTATTGTTAGTAAGTAAGATATTCTAGTACCTACTATAACGAGTACAAACCAAACAATTGTTGCTAAACATTTTTCTTCTTTAACCCACTGCCATCAAGCTAATCTTTTTAATTTGCTTTTTATGTACTGAAGCTCTACCCAAAACCTCTCAATTTATTATTGGTAAGATCTCAGATCAATTAAAAAAGTCAAGACGGAACTTTGCGCATAACGAACTGAGGCCGGTTTTATAATAATGTGTGCGTGGGCCATCATATGAAAATATTGGTTTCCACGCTTACTTATGTGTGAAATGCGATTCCATCCTACTATCTATCTCTTGCAGCTTAATTTTTACACCCTTTCACTTTTTCGTTTTTACTTGTAAATATTGTTGACATTTTTGATGACGTTTTTTACTGACAAGGCTTAGTTTTGTTGTACGTATGTGCGTGTTCTTGCGTATATACACGCCAAGGTGTAGTTTTAATTGGCCTCACTTCTTTGTTCACAGAGTACCATCTTAACTTTTTTTACTTGATCTGTTGTAGGGTACGTATTTTTTATTGCGTTTAAGGATATTATTTGAAGTGAGTCAGTCCTTGACCACGACCCAGTGCAAATGCACAGTAATTAATTATTAAACATAATTTGAAGTTGAAATAAAATATATTTAGTTAAACAATGATTAATACACAATTATAACAAAAATAATATATCATGGAACGCACAATTTAAAAGTTAATACTTACTTATTTTCTAAGAATATTTTAATCATAACAATCAAGCAAAATTTCGTCCTGACGACTTTTGCAATATATCTTTAACGTTTCATTACGTGGTCATGCTGTGTCGTGCTCTGCCGCAAAGGCACCCGAATAAATGCGGCTCTGCAGCTTTAGTACTATTGCATATATGTACCTATAAAATTAAATTGACAACAATAACATAATAACAACTAAACACCTTTACTTAAAAACTATGTGTATATGTGTAGTTTTGTGTTGTAAAATAAATCATCGAATGCGAGTTGAACAATAACAAAAGATGTATACGTAAAACTATTTTAATATTGTCAACAAATTATTAACATACCTTAAAAATTAAATATAACATTTATTATACAGGTATCATATATTCGAATACATTAAAGTATGTAAGTTATCTAAGTGTTGGCAAATAAATAGATCTTGTGTTAAAGACGGAATATTAAAAAACACTGGACAACCCAGTACCAACCCTTATTTATCTTTTTTTGTAGGCAGCACAGTTTACAGCATAAATGTTATAAAACCTATATATAAATTATTTAATACATTTTATGAAAGCCTGCTAATCAAGTTTTCTCAGATCTGCCGATATCTTATAGCAATGGATGTCTCATAAATAGAATAGGATTTACACCAATTTACAAGTTTATATAAAACTGTAAAAGTAATATTTACCGGTATTATTTAGGTTTAAAACCTTAAAACATCTTTTGGTTGTTTAGAAGAAGTTATAATATTCACAAAAAAACGTTGAGTGACTGCATCATAAGTGTTAATTAATGGACGTTTTAATCATCTCCACCGTACACAATTTTATCAAATCCCTATCTGTAACTTTCTTGTAAGAGAAATGTAGATTTAACTAGAATTTAACACTAAAAGCACCTCTTACCAAAACACAAGTATGTTAAAGCCCTAATAGCTTGTCTACAAGAATTTTATGGCACAAAAAAATTGTGATTTGTATGTGGTAATATCTAGTGAAATTAGAAGAGTTATCAATAGCTGCTGAGATTTTTGATTTCTTCCTAAAAGATTGTTATTTTAATAACAATTTTGAAAAGTCAAATCTCAAGCGAGGAATATTGTTTACAATGTATATTCTAAAATAGGCGAAGAGAAAGTTTCAATGTTTGTATAAATTCTGGTTACAAGAGGACAGAGGGCAATCCGAGTTGCAGACGTTCATGGGCGATGATGACTTTCCATCCGGTGACCCGTCTGTTTGTCTGCCCTCAATGGCAAAATGGCAAATCTAAGTAAGCACTTTGATCAACAACAAAGTAAATAAAATTGTATGTAGTACGAAGGAACGCAATTTTTAATTTTGTAATTCGAAATAAAGGTACATATTTAAGAAAAATACAGAATCAAGATCATTTAATATTACTGCCCTCTTATTACACACTAATAATTTTGATTTCCCTATTTGCGATGAGATTCTGGCAACCTTAATTCAAGAGCACACCTGTTTGGGTCTTCATATGGCTGCTTAAAGCTGCTAGCGTTTATTGCTATATGTTGCTAATTGCTATGCAATTGAAGTATGATTGTAACATCACTATCAGGTTCTATATTCGTCTCTCCTATATTGTAAAGTTTGAAATTCTTTAGTACTTCAATTGCACTGTAATTACCTATGACTTTTACACGGCATTTATTTAACAGTCCTCTCTTATTGGGGAACTAGATGCAGGACATAAGAAGATCTCTTCAGGGTAAAGGTCACCGCGAATACGAATAGCGTGAACGCCTTCGGCGGCCGCCCGGTGCTCCAGCTCACCAATCAGCATGTTGTCGGAATATATCGCCCATTCTCGAGTGCCTCTTAATATCCTTAGTTTTGTCTAGAACAATATGTTATTATTTTTATTTAGTTAATGTGTACTTTATACGTTAACAGTTCCATGGAACCGAAAGGCAAAATATGTAGGTACTTAGGTATAATTTGTCTCCGTCGAAATCAAAATGAATTTCAGAACAATGATTTTTATTTGCATACTAGCTGAGACCCGCGGTGTTACCCGCGTTTATTGTTATAACCGCGGGCAACGCCGCGGGGCGAAGCTAGTCTAAAAAAAGTAGCCTAAGTTACTCCTTATGTCATCAGCTATCTGCCAGTGAAAGTCCCGTCGAAATCGGTCTAGCCGTTCCAGAGATTACCCGGAACAAACAGACAGACAGACAGACAAAATTGTAAAAAATGTTATTTTGGCATATGTACCGTGGTTATTTTAATATTACAAACATACACTCCAATTTTATTTATTTGTATAGAAGATAAAAAGAATTCAGATTGCTTTTCATTCTCTTTTCTAGCAATTATGCTAGAAAGGATATTAATAATAATATATATATCTGATAATAAAGTACATGTTAATTTATTATTTCCTTTTTGTAAATCTTGAGGAAATGTGAGTAGATAGAACTAGGCCAAGTAGGGTATTGAAAAGTGTACTAACATAGGTGCCAGGCACAAGCCTTGCAGTCCGCTGGCGCCGCTCTGGGCCCCACTCCCCGAGCCTAGCGTTGAGCACGACGAGTTGTCTCTCACGTTGCGACTCGTCATACGCGCGAACATTCACGTGCGCCAGTATGTTGGGACGCGGCCATTCTCGTGCCGAGTCCATCAGATCTACTACGAATGAGTGCAGGAGAGGACGTAGTCTGCAAACGATAGTTAGACATTTTACTGGCAGTGATTTTTTAATTACCAATGGATTGCGGAGGTACAGTCGACAACATTGAAAGTATATCCAAATTTATACATTATAACGTTACTGATACTGTCACTGATATCAATATTGACTGCACGGATGGCGTAGTGGTTAAAGCGGTCACCTCGCCGCTTCCTACTGTGCTGATTGTTGTGGGTTCGATCCCCGCATGGGACAACACTTTGTGAGATCCACAAATTATTGGTCTGAGTCTGGGTATCCTTTGTGTTCGTTTCATGTATGTTTGTAAAGTCCCCCGCGACACAGGATTTATTCCTAGTGCGGGAGTTGTCTTTAAAAAAACCGATATGATTATTTAGCAATTTATTATACTGATATCAGTAGATTTATTATAATAAATCTAATTAGTAATTGTCTTACAGCTTCTGATTTTCGAAGTAGCATGGAATGTATAGGAACGGAACTAAACACTGACACGACAGAATCGACGAGTTATTTTCGATAATAATACATTTATTCATATTAAAAGCGGCAAAAGAGCACACGGGATCATCTAATAAAAATGCATACAACCGCCCAAAGACTTTTTATTTATCGATATTTTAATTTACCATATATATCAATCATGTGTAGAGTTAATAAAAAAACCTCCTTTCTAAGGAGAGGCCTATGTCCAGCAGTGGACTATTAAAGGCTGTCGATGTGTAATGTTATGTGTAGAGATAATATTACAAGATTGACCTACTAAGCTCATACATTTTTATTTTTATAGTTTGGTAGACCTTGATTGTATCAGAATGTCACTTACGTGGTAGAAAAAAAAACAATGACCGCCACTGCACTATTTAATAAAATAGTTGCAAGCCTAACAACCGTAATAATTTATTCAGTATACCCACGACCCAGTATTCTTGAAATATTCGTTGTTTTAAAATATTTATTCACAACACCAGCCTTGGCAGCGCGCCAACAATCACAACCGCGGTTCAATCATTAGTACGTTAACATTGTGTTTTAATGTTCATATTATAAAGTTGATTATAAATTACCTTCCATATATAACTAACTGGTGTCCTTCAGGAATGCCGTTTGTAAGCAAGGCGGTGATGTTGGGTCGCCATATGGGCTCAGTGCCTTCTTTTGAATCATCTTCAGAGCTTGCTCGTAGAGGCACCTAAAATTGAAAATCACAATATACATAGATATTTAATTATCACCTCGTTTATTTAAGTTGTAACACATACACAATCTTGAGTATATTTGATTGATGCTGATGTGGTGCCTAATAACTCCATCGTCACGCGTTGCGATTGGTGAAGAGTTCAGGACAGGCCAATTGCAACGACGAACGTGATCGTCGAGAGCGAGTTGAACTAAATTGGTACTTGTGGTAGTCTTGATATGAACTAGGTATAAAATAAACCTAAGTGTACTAAACTAAAAGGCAATAACTGGGTAAATCAAAATTTAACTTTTTAAAAGAAGTAATATAACCTTGAAAAACTTTGAACGGTGAATTCAAAATATTTTATTATATCCGAGGAGAACTTTTGTAGGACTTGTGAGTATTTTCCATCCTAGTAGATATGTTATATATTCGTATGCGTGAGAGGAAAAGATCAAAAGTTGATAAGTTGCGGAACACTTTTTTATGAAGAAGTGGATTAGCTGACTAACGTGTACCAGTAGACATTGATGGTGCAATGTCAATATAGAAATGGGTCATATCTCTAAATAGTTTGGCAACTGTGCTCGTTGAAATGGATATCGTTTTACAAATGAATAAAGCATAATGGAAGATAAATTCAATCAGTTTTCTTTAAAAAACTTTAACTCATAAATAACACTTGCTATTCCAACCGATCTATTTGAGTTTACACGAAACGAAATAACTTGCAACATTTATGTGACCATTATTTTACTTCTTGTGTATTTTATTCATATCTAACTATATAATTATTTGTGAATTAATGTATTGTGTAATTTGAAATAAGTAGGCATACATCAGACTAACCGTCTTATTCAACTACGCATTACCTACATAAGTTCAGGAAAATGGAACTAAACTGAAACAATCATTAACAGTAATTTTTTTACTTACTTCCAAAGGGATCGGTGACAAAACGGGAAAATTATCAGTCTTTTGTATTTTCAATGTAGCATCTCTAATGCCGGTAACTTGTACCCATTCTGCAACGAGTGGGCTTGGATTTCTATGAGTGTAGCTGCAATATTGATCGCCATCTAACGCCCACAGTGTCTCAGTTTCATCAACTAAAATCTCAATAGTAAATGGACGACCCGCTTTGAAAGGAAACAACCTGAAAAAGGAAACAGATAAGTAGATATATGAGACATGTGAGTACCTGAGTTAAGCTTAGCCTAGTGTGTCAACCACTTACTCACTCAACTGCCTAACTAGCAAGAACAGACCAAGTAAAAAATTTTTTTGGAAGTACCTAATGGATAATAGCTACAAAAAATCAAAAAGCCTCATGAGTAAATAGGTAACGTAGAGAAAGGGAAATCGTAAATAAGTTTTGTCTGATATCAACTCTCGCGCTAGGAATATATCCTGTATCACGGGGTCTTTACACACATTAATGAAACGGACACAAAGAACACCCGAAATCAGAACAACAATTTGTAGATCAAACAAAGTGTTGTCGAATGTGGGGATCAAACCCACAACACCACACACAGCGCAATAGGAAGTGGCGAGTTGACCGCTTAAACCACTACGCCATCCGTGCGTAATATATATATATATTTGAAATCAATACAATGTCATTCGAGGAATAGAATGCTTTGTCGAAAGCAAAACAAATAAAATATGAAAAAAACCCGTTGCAAATGGTAAGATCGCTATATGGATGTGTCGATGTGTAAACACCCGTTTACCAATACTTAGTTGAAACTTGTGAGAAGAAATCGGACCAACTCACGGCCACTCTTTTTAATCGCTAGATACCTAGTTCAACTATATTTACAGAAGTAATATTGAGTAGCACTGTTTTATCGTGTGCTATTATGGTATTAAGATTGTATTGTGTATGTATATGGTATTAAGAAGTGAGCAAACTAAAACAAAGCACTGAAGCTAAACATAATAAAATAAGATATAAACGTCAGAAGTTGAAAAACATATTAGCTTAAATAACATATCTATAAGTGTTTAAAATAGCGTGTGAATCTAAAAATACTTAAAAAAAATTAAATGTTTTTATTCTCCACTAAATCCACCATTTAGGCACAGTTGACGGATCACTCATTTATCTGCCTACCCTTTTCCCAATTTTATTTAGGGTCGGCGCAGTATGTATGATTTTTCCATTCTACTCTGTCATGCGTCATCTCACTGTTTACTCCCTTCCTAGCCATATCCTCCCTCACGCAGTCCATCCACCTTTTCTTCGGTCTGCCTCTTCTCTTGTACCCTTCAACTCCCATACCTAAAACTTTCTTCGCCACATTTTCCTCATCCCTCCGCATGACATGTTCATACCAAGATAACCTATTACTTCTTAACTTTTCATTGACGGATTCGTTGACGGATCACTGTAGATTTTTTATTCAGTGTTAGTTTGTTTAATATTATGACTTTTATTATAAAATCGGATACCAAAAATATCCTTGTGTGATATTTTACAAACATATTTGTATGCCGTAACTATCGGTTAGGTACCTATGTATAAACAGATGTAAAGTTACGATCTGAAAGTAAGATCTAATATCTAATTGTGGTAATCTAATCTACAACAGTCGACTGGATGTCAAACACTTATCATTTTTTGGTAATACCTATCTATACGTATTATATTTTTATATACTTAGTTAGTATCTTTCAAGAAACGCCAATGACTGTTGGACTTGACAAATAGAGTGAAATATAAGAAATAAGTTTGATTGCCCTGATTTAGAAGCTCGCTTTTATAGTGTCAAGGCACCGCAACCATTAGTATTTGTTATTCATTATAACTTTATATCTACATGCGTTCCCGTTCCAAAAGGAGTCTTTATCGATAAACCTTTTTTTAAATAATAAATCCCTTTGAAAAAAGTTGAACCGACTTCAAACAATACTAATTAAGAGCACTACTATATATATATATATATATATATATATATATAAACATCTGAATTGATAACCTCCTCCTTTATGAAGTCGGATAAAAATCATCGGTATTCAGTGTATTCAGTCCGGATAACGATAGAAAGCTCCATTTTCAGACCAGACCCAGACAAATTTATATATAACGTTACTCATTTCTAATGAAAATCTATGAGGTAGTTAACCAATAAACTAATAATCAGGACTAATATTTTCTTCACCGTAGGCGAGTCTAGGTAGATAGTCAGTACCACAGAACAAATATTTTTTCTTACTTAGGTAAGTACTGTCTAACGTGATCTGTGTTAATTTGTGATGATGTAATGTATGTAGGTATGTGTGTGTGGACAAATGTTGTAAGCGCAGAGCTAACGACCTTCTGTGATTATGTCATTGCCAGATTATTCAGACGTATTATATTTTAGTAAGCATCTACCTATAGGTAGGTATTTATATTTTACAGAAACAGAGAAGTTATAATTTAATGTGGTAAAAAAAAAACAAAAAAAGTAAACCTTACTATTGTCTGTACATTACCAAAAAATACCTTTATGACCTTAAATAAGATACAGAAGAATTATTTTTAAAATATATTATAATAGCAAAGATTCAGTTAATAGAACTAACTACTTTTTATAATCATTTTCATATATTTTCAATATTATTAAAATGAAGTGATCCATGAACGAATATTAACAATGAGGTTAACGATATAAGAATGATAACCTTACTAAACATCTAACTATTCGTATTCTTTGACCGAACATTTGTTCGTCGCTCATATTTTATTTACATATTTATTTCTTTTATTTTACAACTTTATGCACATGTGGACTATTAAGTCCGCCGATGTACACAAAGTAACTTAAAGTATGGTTGGGCATTGAGAATGCCCGGGGCATTAGCCCAGGGCATTCCCTACCAGCCAAACTTTAAGTGGTGTAGAAATCTGGTAAGGTAGGTGCATTGAGGTTACAGTTGTAATAGTAGTAGGTATATATATATATATATAGTTTCAACTAACATATACAATTACACATATACATAAATACATATACTTTATATTCGTACACTGTCAATTTGGAGGTGTACTATCGAGTAGGTAATTCCGTCAACTGAAGAAGGTAGCTATGTACGTATGTTTGTGGACATCTTACGTATGTTTGTAGAACAGTACTGCTTGCACAAAGAACGAAGAGTTCACGAACTCGGAATTGTGGAAAGAACACAGGAGAAGCAATTTATTTGCTTAGCGAAGATTTCTGTCGTGATTAGTGCAAAGGAAAAGCAGATAGGGATCAAGGTAAGTGGGTGAGAATGGGGAGTTGAGGAAAGAAAAGAGAGGTAAGCGCTCGTTGATTACGGTGCAGGCGAATAGGCAACCATTGTAATTGGGAACGTAAAGCAGACACGTGTTCATACTTTCGAAGATTGAAGATATTCCATGTCGTTCGTTGACATTATTTTAAAGAAACCAGTTAGTTCAGTTATTCATTGGCAATATAGAACTTTTGCAGAACGAAGTTATTTTTATCATACTGAGAATGTGTATGGACGGTGATCGATTGATTAGTCAAGACGTGAAAGCACAACAAACTCACATTAGTATTTTTAATATTATCTAGGTGAGATTATTTATGTGATTACCTAAAGGCTGTAGTCTCCTCGTGTCCCCATTTGCCGTGGCGACGTGTATTCCTTACCACATAGCATTGTGGAAGACGTACGTTGAAATGCACCGCGATGTCTCCACGTCCCGTATCAGGTTCTCCACAACCAATGTTTACAGCAAACCTAGAAAGAAAGTAAATATAAACGATCCTTAACTACTGCAACTGCAACAACTGCCAACCTCAACATTCATTTTACAGAAGTCGGTCTTTAGTAGGACTTAGAACTTTCTAACTTTAGAACTTTCTACCATGTAGTACCTATACATATGGTAGGTAATTTACAGACATGCAATTCCCTCAGTCCCTTACAATTCAAATTACAGAACGTTTTGTAAGTCAATATCATATGAAACTTGGAAAATAATTATTCTGATATTTTAAAACCTGAAGAGATTTTTTGGGCTAATAGTTGAGTTAAAAAAACATTTGCACATTTTGCTTCGATGCTAAGGATTAGAGCAGTGACTATAAACACGAGAGCAACTGTAGGAACTACTTCAAATTAAGAAGGTCGAATATTGCTTACCATGGTAAATCGTCGCTGGGCGTACCAGTGCATACAATATGTGATCCGATAGTCAACGGTTCGTTCAAAGTTTGCGTAAATTTCACTTCTCGAGCCTCGTCTAGCTGGGACTGAAATCACATTAAAAACATTTTTAACCTATTCGTTGTTTTTATTTAACTAATAGTATTAGGGAATTAAGCTGGTGAAGCCTAACGCTTCGTGGTGTATTTGTAACATGCAAGGCAATTCAAACAGAGATTAAAACACATGTTCGTATTATAATGGAGTATATCTAAATAAAAAAAATCCTTTAAGATCACTTAATACTGTCAATGTAAAAAATATCTAATTTGGAGTTTTCTTATTGAGTGTAAGACTTAAAAGACAAGTCAAAATTAAATTTTTCTATTATCTATTTTGTAGTTGTAACAACTAATAAGCAAAAACAACAGGAATAATTGACATAAACGTACATAGATATGAGATATTATTATAAGTTGTAAGAAGTATAACCTAGCACAGAAACAATACTAACTGAGCCAAGTGTGTCGTAAAACAAAAAAAGCTTAACTCTTCAATTTATTAATAATATTTATAAAAAAAACTTTTGAAACGAAATCACTTGTCTACAGGCTTTACCATGTTGGCATTTTCTTCTAGCTCTTTTAATAAATAACAAACAAATTCTGAGAATGAAAAAAGTTATTTGATAAGGCTTTTTGCACTACTTACTGCCATTATACCGTGGTATGGGACTTCAAATATACATATAATCTAATTTATTCCACGTGTGCACCTAATTATCATTAGATCTAATTATTTTAACTAGATAAACCTATACTGTGATCTAATTCACTCCGTTTGCATTAAAAAAACCTCTCGTCTAAAGCAGTGTACTATCTCTGAGACAGTACTCATCAAAATGTTAATAGGTATGTACGTAATTATAATACGATGCACGACTCAACCTTTTTGGGCGCTGATTAAATTAAAGAGGTGAGGTCAGCCAGGCATGCCTTTCCTTAATTGTTACTGCCTTTAACGTACAGTACGTACAGGAAGGTGATAACATTTATGATATATGAATTTAAAAAATGTATTGGTTCCTATTCGCGCTACATATTAAAAGGGTCATTGCCAGCAATTTTCAACGGACGGATTTTGCACATTTTTATCTTTGTATTTAGGTGGGATGCCAATTTGGAATTAATGTTGTAACATATTATGAAGTTATCTTGTGACTGTGATTCGAATAGGAAAAAAATCGAAATGAGTCCAACGAATTAGCGTCAACAGCGTTTATAGCATAGATGCCGGTCGACGAAAGCCCATAACCACCATTTTGATAGCCGTAGTAAAAGAAAACTTATCTCAAACCGTCAAACAAGTCGATATTTGCAACAGTCATTAAAGTGAGTGATAAAACGTTTGATTCAATCGGAAAAAAAACTTATATCCAGAAAACTAGATATAGTATGTACTTACTGAAGGAAAAAACAAGATATCATCAAAGTTATAAACACTTTCCTTGTTGAAACGAAAGTGTTGCTCCGACAAACCCATGACAATAATGACTTGTCAAATTTTACATACCACCGTCCTTTGCCAAGCTAGGCAGGACATGCACCAGTGCAAGTAATGGTAATCAAAGTATGTACTAATAAACATACTAATATTTTTCTAATTATGGATATTCAGTCAGCATAAATGATCATCCTCATCGATCAAACATATTTATATTTTTCTAAATTTAGATATCGATATAGAGAATAAGTGATCGTGCTCATCGTACAATTATTTGTCTTGGGTCGAATCGGCCCCACAACCTCTGACCCAGCAATTAGGATCACTAACCACTAGAATAGACCAACAGTAATAAATCAAATACAAATGTCGGAAATTTAAAGCGGACTGTCGCTTAGGATAAGGAATGTATTTTGTATGGCAATTCTAAGCCTTTTTTTCTTTGCGGGAATCCCCTCGGATACAACCCACCGGTAGCATGGTTATGTCGGACTCCAACCGATCCAAAAACACACGCCGTCTCGGGTACCAGTTGCCGGGGAACCAGGTGTACCCTAGAAAGGAAATCCCTTGTTACCCCGATGTACGTCGGGCCATCTACGGCGTGTAGATGACCCCCTCCTGTGTGAGAACCCCTATGTCCCCTTTGTGCTCCCGAATGGGCGCGCGAGCTCCGTAGCGCGTCTCGCCACCACCCCGCCTGCTTCTGTTAGGTTGACAGATGGCCTTACCTACCACCCCCAAGCGAGGACAGAGGTCGTTCTGCAACCTCCGGCGCCTGAGTCGTCTGCAGTACCTGGCCCGTTCCCGGGCCTGACGGGCCAGGAGAGTTCTAGACCTCTCCCGGTACCGCTCCGCCACATTCGCAAACATAACTTGCTCGCAGAGGGAGACGGCGGAGTTCCACGCAATCTCGCTCCGTACCATGGCGGCAATCATGTTACCGAGTGAAAGAATTCAGACTCCGATGAGGCCACGGGATCACGCCTCTGTAATTCTAAATGCCTGACGCGCTGATTGCACAGGTAAATAATATATAAAGTGCAAACGTAGAGGCAATAAAGGGCCTATTAGAAAATTGAACCTGTTCGAGGATTGCCCATTACATTTTGAAAGCCGATACAACAGTTACTGCGAAGGTGTGTTTGTTTACCTATCAGGCGAATCCCAAATATGGGTTACGAAGACATCTAAGCAGAGTCCCAATCTAAGCAGAGCTTGTACTATGGGTACTAGACAACTGATATAAATACAAATATACTTTTTTTTTAAATACATAAATATTATACATAGAAACACCAAGACCAAATCAAACATTACATGTTCATGCAAATGTTTGACTTGAGCGGGAATCGAACCCTCGACCTTTGGAATAGCAGTCCGTTACACAAACGGAAACGCCATCCGGGCGTCATTATAATAGGAATACCTATGAAATTGCCGTTGTTTGAAATTTTGGAAAAAGTAATAGTCGGTAGGTGCAAGGTCTGGTGAGTACCAAGCAACCAGCTTTGGTCAATCGGTCGTCCCCACTGCTCCTTCACGACAACGCGCGACCCCATACTGCGCAATAGACAGTCTCCAAGCTGCAAGAGCTGGGGTTGGAAGCTCCCCCTCATCCGCCATACTCACCAGACCTTGCACCTACCGACTATTACTTTTCCAAAATTTAGACAACTTTTTAGTGGGTAAAAAATTCAATACCCGAGAGGCAGTACAAAATGCCTTTGAAGAGTTTTTTGCCTCCCGTCCAGCTGATTTTTACAAGAAGGGCATCAATAAACTGCCAATGCGTTGGCAAAGATGCGTCGATTGCATGGGTGATTACTTCGAATAACAGAAATAAAAAAGTTTGAGAAAATAAGTACTTTCACTTATTGCATACAAAACGGCAATTTCATAGGTAAATACCTATTATATAATTTAATATAGACGGCATATTTGGCAGTTACGTATCCAAAAAATATACATATATTTGCTATTTTATACCTATTTTTTTATCTCTGTGTAGTGACGGATTAAGAATACGGAATGTCACTACCCCAATTCATCCCGTGGGTGTCGTAAGAGCCGACTAAGGGCGCAAAACAACGCAGATCACCAGCACTGCAAAAAGAAGGAAAACTTGACACAAACCCTATACCAACCCGTCTGGCCAGCGTGGTGTAGTAGGCCAAAACCTCCTTTCTAAGGAGAGGCCTATGTCCAGCAGTGGACTATTAAAGGCTGATGATGTGATGTGATGTGATGTTTTTTGGAAATGGAAATATATTTTAAGATAATACCTATAAGGTCTGTCTAAACGTAGAAAAGAATAATAATTTACTCAGAGTAAAGATTCACGAGGTCTGTGACGCTAGCAACGCACACTTAGCCATTTGCATTTAAAAAATGTTAATAAAGGGGCTTTTAGGTGCTAAGATTAAAAATTAATTGCTCAAAATTGATCCAGACTCATGATCAGAACCGAGGATCATTTCACCAGACTATTGAAATTTGCGTTGCTAGCAAAATATCAAGCTAGCAACGCAGTTACAATTGTGAGTTTACAATTAATACGAATAGTAAGAAATTAAGTGCTGCAAGTACAAAGAAATAGATACTAGATATAAAAACAATAAAAGTGTTAATTGGAACAAAGCAAATGTATAAATACGGTCTTCCAAAAGTTAAAATGAATTCATGGATTGAATGGAATTCACATGATTGGAATGAATGAATGGAATTTAAATATTCCGGTGCAGTGAAAGTTTTTGAGAACCTAATTTTTAATCTTGGCACCTAATTAGCACCTAAAAAGCCCCCAAGTTTGGTATTTTTCAAATGCAATTTCCTAACTTTGCGTTACTGGCCTCACGGAGCTAGATTCACGAGTCAATTTTCTGAAACCTTTTTCACACGCAGGTACATTTTGTAATAACATGAATGAATGAACACTGTTTTCTTTTTCTTTTTTTTTATATAAACCAAAATCATTGATCTCTTGCTCTATTTAAATTAATTGCAACGTGCTTTTGCGTTCAACTTAGAAACTAATGCGAATTTAAACAAACGTTAATACAATCTATACGATAAGATCCATTCGTAGAGACATAGATACAAAGTGGCAGATATTAAGTAAACTAATGTTAGGAAGTAATAACTTCTTTACTATTATTTTTTGTTTTTCTCTTACAATTACTTATTATTTTTAACCGACTTCTAAAAAGAAAGGAGGTTCTGAATTCGTTGGAATCTTTTTGTTTTTCTATTTAGAATTAGTTTTTATTTCTATTGAGTCATACTAACTTGAATAATTATGATGTATAAAAGTGCAATTCATTATAAACAATAGAGATTGCGTGAGAAGATGTTAAGAAAGATCTGATTCATAAAATTAAATCACAAAAATAAGTTGCTAAGCAAGGACAGATATAATCAGATAAACTCAAAATGAAATATCTTTGTTTCATAAAAAAAATGATTTGAAATCGTCTCTTGTGTAGACTCCAAGGTCATAGATCAACACACACAATAGCAACAATCTCTGTTTTGTCAAATATTTAGCAAACGTATAACGTATATATACGTATCGAAAATCACTTACCTATATGCTGTGCCGATCTAGAACCGCCCATTTCCAAAGGGTTGAGCCTCATGAGAAGATAGGGGAAACAAACTCACGGCCACTCTTTTCAATCAACAGATAACAATGGCATCATTAAATTTACACAACATTGTTTTGATGTATGCCTGTATGTAAGTTTTAAGGACTTAAAAGGTAAAAAGGCAATGAAGAGAAAACAAGATATAGAAAAAAGATGGAATAAAAAATAAAGTGGAGTAAAACATAAAAAAATGGAAAATTAAATAGAAGACACACTAGCCCAAATCACATTTCCATCACGAAAAAGCCTGTGCTAAATTTATCCCAAGCATTCTTGTCTTCTATTTAATCCACAATTGAGTAATAGGCTTTTTGACATAGTTTACGTTTTATTGTGAATTTCAATTTGTTTATACTAAAATCGTGTATACTATTTGGGATATTTATTATAGATTTGGACACATTAACTTCGAAATGTCTTGTTTATCTTTTGGAGCCTAGAGGCAGGTACTACAAGTTTATTTCTATTTCTGGTATTAAAAGCATGTACATTACTTCTTTTCAAGAAGCTATCTTTGTTTTAATGAACATATATTACATTTTCATATACCTATATATTGACTTCCCACTGTCAATATGTTTATTTCTTAAATTTTTTGTCGCAATGAACAACGATTGCCTAAATTATAAATTGCACGAATCGCTCTCTTGTGCAACACAAAAATAGTTGATTAATAGAATGTCGTTATTAGATCAAAGGTAAGGAAAACCTTTTAAAATAGTCTATTGCATTATAATCATTTATTTCACATAAACTATGATTAAAAATAATGGCAAGGCACATACAGGAACAATTATGAGTGCCTATAACTACCTTAACTACTTCAAGATACTGAAATACAAAAATAGAAAAAAATATTTTTTGGTTAAAATTATAGGATAGTGCGCAAATACACATATTTCTCATAGTCACAAGAACTCTATCAACGAACCTATCAACGATGATGACAACAAAGACAAAAAATAAGAAAAAATTGGAAGATTTAAAGAAAAAAAAAGAAAAGAAAGTATTTGAGGTTACATTTTTACTTATTACAGTAAATAAAGTATTATTCAATTTTGATCTTAATAGAATAGTCGAGTTTAGTTCAGTCAAGTTCACATATTTATAGCTTAAAAAGAAGTACGGCCGATGTACCTGTATAATAGCAACACAACGCCCTATCGTCCTTCGGTCTATACAACAAAGCTCGTAAAACACTAGTGTTCAATAGCACTAAAGAGTTAATAGCACTAATTAAATTTTATGTTAATTAAACGGTAATAATAAAAATGTTTACCGTCCTTATTTTCACATCATGAATACCTAGTAAGACGAGCCTAGTAAGTAGGCTATTGGTATATTTTACGTAGATACTTTGTTTTACGGAAGTGTAAGTTTGCGTGTCTAAAAACAATCAATAGCCATTACAAAACAAAAGGGAACTCCCCTTTTGTTTTGTTACGGCTATTGATTTTTTTCATTCTGTACGACCATGTACTAAAGTGTAACTTTTTCATGTTCAATCAATAAATGTGCCAGGATATTGGTACTACCGCGCCAGTTACCTAAATGCCAATAACCATTTTAAATCGTAACATTAACGTCTTGTGACAATTTCTTTGTACTCTATTGTCTTGATAATTCTTAATTCAAACCATACCTTAATTAAAATTAATCCGTTAATACTGATTTTAATCTCGATTTCATAGCATTAATGTAAAATGATACAGAATCAACAAACCTAGACAAATGCAAGGTTACCTTGACAGGTTTTGTGTAACCTTGTATGTTGATAGTCAGCCTATCTCAGGGATCATACCAGGAATTTCCTTTCTAGGGTACTACTGGTTCCCCAGCAACTGGTACCCGAGACGACGTGCGGTTTTTGGTCGGCTCGAGTCCGACATAACCATCATACCGGTGGGTGGTAACCGAGGTGATTTCAGTACAGAAAAAAGGCAATAATTCCTCGAAGTTACCTTTTCGTAGTTCTGGTAAAAACGTATCTACTTTGTCGTATATGGGAGCCTATACATCGATATACGTGACGGTCAATTTTCCTTGATCGAAATATAAGTTTGTAATTGCAAAAAATAGCTTGGTTTTTATTATGCAGATGGGTCACCTGATGGTGTCTCTCGCTAGCCATGGACACCTGCAACTAAAGACTTACAAGTGCGGCAAGCAATTTGATTGGACCACCCTCCTCCCGGAGTCAGGTGGAGGAGAGTTTGGGCTCGGATAGCCTCACTCACTACGTGAAAAGCTACGTAAGAATTGCTTAAAAGCATGCATCATTGCTCGTACACGGTCAATAATTGTTACCTATGTATGTTGTGCTGTCTGTCTCTGTGCTGTAAGGGGAAGGTGTGAAATCGCTGACGTAGTGAGATCGGCATTCTCTTAGTGAAATCATCTGCTGTGTTACGTAGTGGCACACCAGTCCAGCAGAACCCCGGCAAGTCCGCGTCATCCACGTCCTAGTCGTCCACCCTGGGACCTGCTGCAAACACGAATCGCAGCTGAGCTGAGGGTGCAGGGCGAAAAGCGAATATTCAGCGCCTTAAAACAAAGCTTATCACTAGGGACGATACCCGAATAAAACCAAGCAGGCCCGGAAGCTTTAAGCTCCTAGGCCTAGGCCTCTGAGCTTCCGGGCATGCTCAGTTTTATTCGGGTATCGTCCCTAGTGATAAATAGTGCATACCAAGGGGCTGCCAAGCCCCGCCACCGGGCTTGGGCACAATGGGTTAATCACCCGCTTGGCCGAAAACTCAACTGATTAAAGAAAGGAACACAGTAAGAAACCGGACCTGTCATTTAACAGCGACCTTTGGCATGAAGAAACGGACACGAATTGGTTGTTGGAATGTGTGAACACTTAGCGACGACAGCCGACTAGCCCAAGCAGAAGCAGAAATGCTGAGATACCAGCAAATACTAGGCCTCAGCGAAGTGCGTAGAAATGGTTTCAGTAAATTGAGAACGCCCAAAGGTTGGACTTTCCTATACTCTGGTAAGGAAAGTGAGGAGGACACCCTCGAATATGGTGTTGGTTTACTGCTTTCTGATGCTGCAAAGAAAAGCCTTCTGGACCGGAAACGTCTGCAACTCAGGAGTCACAAACGCCGGCCTTTTAGGAAGGAGTACCTTCTTTTCTTGAAAGTTTGAAGGTCGTATCGGTCCGGAAATACCGCAGACGATAACCCGTTCTACTAATTGGTGGTGCGGGGCAAAAAGTGTCTCGAAAAACGCACAGTAGTGGAACTCCAACTATCTAGGTAATGATAAAAATGTTGCCGCGTGGAAACGTGACGATCAATTACTTGCCGACCTTAGACGACAGCACCGTCGGAGTCGCAAAGAAATCTACTGCAGCACGCGGTGAGATAGGAGAATGTGGGCTGATGAAATTGCTTATAATGCCCAAATCGCAGCTAAACCCTGGCAGTAAATAGTACACCTAAAAGGAAGCCCCTGAAGTCTAAGGACAGGCAGCTAATCGCGACGTCTGATCATCAACTGCGATGTGGGCGCGAACATTTTGAAGAGGTTTTCCGCTCCACTACACCGATCGCGCCTGATACACCGCAGCACACCTCCCTTCCATCTAGGCTTCTGGACATTAAAGTCGATCCACCAACTCACGACGCAGTGGCCAAGGCTATCCCGTCTCTCAAAATTGGCAAAGCTCCAGGACTGGACCTCGTTACTGCGGAAATTCTGAATGCGGACTTGTCCTCTGCCGTCAAAGTCTTGGCACCCCTTATTAAGAGAATCTGGACGAAAGAAGAACTTCCATATGACTGGAACAAAGGCCTGCTCATAACCATGCCTAAAAAAGGGGATCTTAGTCAATGCAGTAATTGGAGAGGTATCACTTTGCTCTCGGTACCGTCGAAGGTTTTCTGCAAGATTATCCTGGACAGGCTATCGGTGGTGGTGGAACCTCTTCTTCGCAAAGAGCAGGCTGGCTTCCGCCCGAACCGATCGTGCATCGACCAAATCAACACTCTGCGCATCATCCTAGAACAGGCATCAGAATGGCAAAGGGAGGTTAACCTAACCTTTGTAGACTTCGAAAAAGCCTTCGACACGCGGAAGTAGGCAAGCATATGGTCTCAAATCTCTGACATTGGTGTCCTACCGAAGATCATCACAGAGCAAGTGACGTGGGATAGAATGGGGTATAACGGATGTCCTAGTAAACTTGGACTATGCCGATGACCTCTACCTGCTGAGTCACCGCGATATGCAATCCAAAATAGGCGACTTGCATCGAAAGGCAGGTATCACGGGTCTTAAAATTATTATCCGAAAGACCCAGGAGATGCGATCTGATATAGAAACATGCACACCACTGTGGATTGATGGGAAGGACGTGGAATGCGTCCACAAATTTACCTACCTCGGAAGCGTCGTGTCTGAAACAGGAGGTACAGAGGAGGACATCACCTCACGCATTGCCAAGGCTCGAGCTGCCTTCGCACAACTCCGACCCGTGTGGCAGTCACGAAAACCGACTCGGAGGATTAAAATCAAAGTATTCGGGTCCAACGTAAAATCGGTACTGCTATATGGGTGCGAAACGTGGAGGGTCACAAAAGCCATCTCGAACCGGCTCCAGGTATTAGTTTACCGCTGCCGTTGCCGAATTCTTGTGGTATACTGGCCCGAGAAGATCTCCAATGAAGATCTGTTGGAACCCTGCCACGAATCACTCATCGAACTCCAGATCAAGCACCGAAAGTGGAACTGGATCGGCCAAAACTCTGCGTAGGGACCTCGAGCATATCGCCAAACAGGCACTGGATTGGAACCCGCAAGGAAAACGAAAGCGTGGCCGCCTAAAACAAACTTGGCGGAGCACTGTCGCAGATGAGGTGAGAGAATCGGCAAGACGATGGAGGATTACTGTGGACGCCCTCTGCACCATCTCGGGGACTTAGGATATTAAGTCAAGTAGGTAAGTTATGTATGTGGTACTATAAATTAACGACTATCGTATTTTTGCCTTCACTTATGTTGTGATTCCTTGCTTCTCACAATTTTTATGGTTTTAAGATACATGGGAAGCATAGGGTGTTTAAACAAAAAAATATTATAAAATTTATCTTTGGATAGGCAGACATACAGAAAATGATGTGATGGTATAAGGGATCCTTCTTTTGCGTTTGGTGAAAGGAACCCTAAACACCTACATTCGAATACAAATTTAAAATATTTAATGAGATCAACTACGGTTACAGTCATTATTCCTCAACCTTCGCTCTGAAAATAAAATATTACTCGTCAGTATTATTTCTGCGACTCTTATAATGTAGCTGACTGAATCAACTTTTTTGTACGTATTTACTTGTCTTTAGTTTTCTATATATTGTCGAAGCTAATAAGAAATAAGTGCATAAATAACTAATATTGTTGAAACATATCTTGGGTTAATCGCATATCTATCGCAGAAACATGGTTTCCTTTATGTAAGAAATACCTATTTGATAAGTATACCAACTATTTCTTGAGTCACATAGGTATGTTTCTTCTGGTAAAACAAACTAATCTCAAAGGTTGTTTAATTTCATTTTCTGAATTTTATTTGATATAGAAACAAGTGTATTAGTGGATCAACACAATTCCTCAAATGACACTAATTAAGTATATATTGAGTAGATAGGTATGATGTGACATGGCACGTCAGACTTACAAACTGTTCCCAAGCTTCCTCTAGCATATGTGTATAACTTTAATTGTTCAACCGTACACATCCCGAAATCATAAGATGAGAAAGACAAAATAAAAAACGGATTTTCATCAAACATAAAAACCAAGAAAGCTCTAAAGCTAGAAACCATCCCAGATGAATGAACTACAATACCAAACAAAACCACAAGCATCCATTTATTAACTACGGACTAAATAATCCGACGACGACGTTAAACAGACAGGGTTAAAAATATGTTTAAGGTATCTTGTTAGCTCTTTGCGCTTTCTAATGTAACATTCATTATAGATACTTCGTATACTTTTTATATGACAAACTATTAGCTTAAAATAACATAATTCTTTCTAGTCATATTCGGTAGCTGTTACACGAAACAATACATTATTACGACGAGTTTTTGAGTGAAATAAACAAGTTAACAATAAAAAAAAAACAAAAAAAAAACGACTGCGTGATAAGATACCTTAAAATTTACAAACTGGCTATTTTTATTTTTTTTATATACTTACTCAGTGACGACAAAAGTAACTACCAAAATCTATTAAGGCGTTTAGGCTACACTCCAAAGAAATATACGTTCATACATACTCTGGAAAACCCTAATTTTGGCGCGGCCGGGTAAAAAGGAAATCATCGTGCGAGAATTAACTATAACTAAATAGGTAGGTATTTACAGGCAAAAACTATAAATTCGTGCACAAGATTCGTGTCAGCTATTATAAATGTCTACTGCTATAAACGATTCTCACACTGTCGCGTTTACCTACAGCATTAATGATAAATGATTAGATTAGACATACAAGGGCCCTCATAAAAAAATATATTCGACATACCAAATTTTAACGTGTAGAATTGATAACAATTAAAAGTCGAAGCGAATCTACCGCCAATTCAATCACGTGACTATATTTTTAGCGATTAATGGGTTTTAATGGGTAAGAAGTTTTTTCTAATCTTGTTACAACAAAAACTACATACCTATTTATTAGTAGGTCTATATATCCTTGTGTGGTATGTGCACAAACTACTTACTATACCTAAGTGAGTCATTTTAGTACTAATGCGTCATACAAATAGTAAAATACCACAGTACTACTTAGTTGAATGAGTAAACTTATTATAACATACATAGTACATGCGTATTTATATGTATAATTTATTAAAAATACTTCACATCAACAGCCTTTTATATAAGGAGGTTAATCATACTTAATATGTGACATATATATATATAAGTTCTCGACGAGATAGTTTAGGTTGAAAAAAATTTAATTTAAAAAATAAAAAAGTTCTAAATAGTTTAAAAGAATTAATATAGTGGTCGTCATCGTAATTAAAGAGTATTTAATAAGTTTAGGGGAACATTAAAGCACGGCACGGCAATAGTGCATATCGAATAAGATTTGTGCATCATCAAAATGTGAAACCTGCACATGGCCCTTAATGGGTATATACAAAACATTCGTGCAACTTAATGATGTGTTACATTGTGTTGTTTTAAAACTTTACAATTTTCTTTAATACAAATAAAATAAAAGGTACCACTAAAAGCTAGAGTCATCATAAAATAGCTACATTCTTGACACCTAAATTAAATTACCAAGGAAACTGGTATATGTTCTTCGTTTTCTTCATTTTCCGGTGTCCGACCCCGACAAAATAATCGGCGGCAAAAGGCACCACACCCGCATCTATCTCCAAAGCAAACCATAATCTATGTTTATTTATAAACACAAAAGTGTAACTAAATATAAACAACACTATGTGAGTCCGTATAACTAGAAATTTCGCGCGAAAACATTTTACGAAAATATCAGCCCGCAGTGTCAATCGTTTCGGTCGAGCTCACCTAGCCAACTACCTATCACAAACTTTATACGGTTGCGTGTAGCTAGCTCGTTATCTGGATATACACTCACACAGTCATGTACAAAACTCAGTTTCGCACTTCGGATTTCTCAAAATATTATATCTCCACAATCAAAGAGCGGATTCCAAATAAAAACCCTTATTTATATTTAGTAGAAGTGAGACGGCAGTGTTCGTTTATTATTTGTAATGCGCAATATGTTTAATATATCCATATGTAGGCACACCAAGGTAATTTTACAAACCAAGCGCTTGTGAGTTGCCCCTATAATACAAAGGGGTCACCCTACTCAGCCCAGTGTTGGAGGGGTTTAAAAACTTCAGGTAGAAAAGATCTACGCACACATACCTATTTAACTGGCCTTTGACAACATGAATAGACACACAAAGCAATATCTCCGCAGTCCGCACTCACTATTATCTGTCAATGTCAATTCTCACAGCGTAATTCTCATCGATGTGATATTTTTTAGATATACTATGCTATTTCTTAGGTTTACTATGTTAGAATATAATTATTGTTTTTATGAAATTCCATACCCACATTATTTTCATCTATAATATTATGACTATTGCTTCCCTAACGCTATAACTTATGTCCGCAAAATTTGTTGTTTCTGCATTTACTGCGTTAGTACCTACGTTTAAAATTTTTACACATAATAAAGAGTATAATTAAATATCTAATGGCGATTTATATACTTGTAAGTATGCTAATAGAATAATTTAGAATAAGATATACATAAGCAACTAACAAGCTTACTTTAGAAGTCCAACAGCTGTTAAGTGTAACTAACCTCGAAATCCAATGCATCTTCAGCAAAGTCATATTCAATGAAGTCCTTTGATATCCCTTCTTCAACATCGTAATCCATTCTAACACAGTTTACACATTGCATCACTTCAACGGGCATGTTTGGTTTCTACACGTCGATAATGCAAAAGCACAGTTCTTTAGTCGTGTTCGGTCATTGTTGTAAAAATCAATATGTATTACGTTACCGTAACCGGTTGAGTTTGGCTAGGTGGCGGATAGCCTTAAGTTTTAATTCAAATTACAAATGTACACAGAAATAAATACTTTACAGTACTAGTTTTGTATTTGTATTTTTGTTTGGAAGGAGTAAACAAACAACATAGAATGTTTAATATAATAATGGCTACACTTCACTGCAGGGAAGCTGCTGTTGCTTTCTCTCTTTTACATATTAGCAGCTAGATGTATGAAAGAGATGGTACACTTCCTGTCGCGGCTTGACATCTGATAGACCTTTTCTCGAGTACCATACCTACTGGTATATCAATACAAAGAAACGTTAGAAAATTTGACCGTTGTTCGAATGCAAAGCATCCATTAATATATTTTTAATGCACACGCGAGTGTAAAATGAAATTTAAGAGTTTGTAAATGAGTCGTAATTAGGCTGTGCCAGTCTTTGTTTATTGCGCCACTAAGGATGCAAAGAAACCTTATTTGCAATTGTAAACAAGGGGACATTTTTACTGCTAGTGAATCGTATTTTTGCCAAGGAAATGAAGTAGTAATGATGGTTTACTACCTTTCCTACTCTATTCCTAGGAAGCCTTGCCACTATGAGGAAATCATCATTGTATCGTCTAGCTTGTGTGGTTTTCAACACTGCGCTGTATTATTTCTTTTTAATGCTATATTTTACACCTGCTATAGAAATGTAACAGTTTCTAACCTTGGGAAAACATGCTCCAATTTACATTAAATTTCGTCGAAAAGACTGGAAAAAATCATAAGAGCAGATTGCCGTATTTACATGTCACAAATTTAAATATTTAGATATAAGAGATTTTGGTAATTTTATCACATTCTCATAAAATGTGGCGTCAAGGAATCACAAGCATTGTATTCTATTAATCAAGATAATCCATTATAAATTGTTCCTGTTATAATTAAACACGGTTTTATACACGGTTTTGCAAATTGCTCTAATGCGCCTTTGCAATCACACTGGCGATATGTAAAAACAATGCTAAGGTGAGCACAAACTAAAGAAAGCCACTGAAATAGAAAAAAAAAACACTGAAATAAAGAAGACCATCAAAATAGAGAAGATTAACAGAATACAAGATATTTTATTTTTCGATTTTCCGAAAACAAATATTTTCACGACAGTCATTTAAATACTCATAAATGGATTTGTTAAACAAGTTTTGAACGTCGACTATCTTTTGTCTGTTTCATACCTCCTCAAACTCCTCAACAATGAAGTCCCTTGTCCCGAACAGTTAATTTACAGCTAGGGTAAAATTGTAAAATTTATTTTTCAATAACACACGCACCAATTTTTAACTGTTTATTAAATCACACACTAGTCAGTAGAAATTGAGCAACTGTTGTAAATTAGTTTTGTATTTATGTAATTCTTCCGAAGTAGTGACTCGTTCATTCTGTGAAAGAACAGGTTTATCCAGTTAGATTGTTTACATATACTAGAATATTTAAAGTGGGTTTCTTAAAAGATTTTGTGTACTTAAAACTTACTAATACTAGTAAAAAATTAAAGGAGCGATTACAAATGTCTCGGCATCGTACGGTAGATTACGATAAGGCCATCTATAATAACTATGGTGACTACCTAACTTTTTAATGAGCGATATGGCGATAGCCCCATTAGTTTTTAATGTGGCGATGTTATCTCAATAAAAAATGCTTAGCTGACCGAATAAATAATATTTTACCGTTTTAGTATCCTTCTCAGTCAAGTTAGTCTTCTTTAGCGTCGCCGGTTGTACCTGTTGTATGTAAGCATGTCTGATATTAATTCTAATAAGCTAACTTTTTTCTATTTTATGTTATGACGATAAAATTCTGATTCTGAATAAAAAAATCCTAGAAAGCTGAAAAACTACAGTTCTCTTCAAAACTTGTATATACACACATCAAAAATTAGTATTAGTCAAGTAATACGCATCATTTACAGAAACTGCATGTTATTTTCTTTTTTTCTTAGATATTTACTTTTTTCTTAGGGCCGGTTTTTCAATCCTCAGATAAACAGTGAGATAGATTTATTCCACAGCTAGCGTAATTTTGGATTTTAGCTTCAGTTAGTGATATCATCACTGAGGATTGATAAACCGGACCTTAGTAAAGTAAACTTTTCAATTGTGTTTTGTTTTCAGTTAAATAAAAGCTAATATTTTTTGGTATTCATCTCACTATAGATATACAGTTTTAGAAAAATTTAAGTAGCAAGTCATTTTTTATGTTATGAAGCGATGCTATTTGACTGCAGATGAAATGCATAGTACTGTAATGCTACAAGCGGGAAGAAATCAGTCAGAGGTATGTCGACTTTTTGGCAAAGGAGCGTGACTTGTCGTCTTTGCCAGCGTTATGTTAATACAGTGGATCTTGCTGAGCAGCACCCAGAAAGTGGAAGGAGTACAACTGCTCGACAGGACCGATACATACAACTGACTGCAAGACATCAGCCGATGTTAACCGCTAACGAAGTGCCCACCTATACGCCATGGAAATCGCGCCTGTCGAAACGAATTGTGTAACACTTGACATGGACCCAGGAGTAATGGCCTAAAAATTTATTTTGTTAATTTAGTCTAGAGAACTTGGATGGTGTATCGACAACCCAACAACTGACAATTGTTAAAATTTCCCTGAGAGCGACTGCCGAAGGATCAGATTGTTTATCTTATAAATTCAATAAAAAATCGAATTGAATTTCGAAGTAATAAAAAAAATGTCGTTACTTCATTTTGTAAAGCATGAAAGTTTATTTTCGTGTTAACTTTATTTCATAATACCTATGTAAGGAAAATAAGAAGTAATAGGTTAGTAGTAGGTTATCTTGGTATGGACATGGCATGCAGGGATGTGGAAAATATGGTGAAGAAAGTGTTAGGTATGAGAGTTGAGGGATACATGAAAAGAGGAAGAGCAAAGAAAAGGTGGATGGACTGTGTGAGTAAGGATATGGCTAGGAAGGGAGTAAACAGTGAGATGACGAATGATACAGTAGAATAGAAGAATCGTACTTACTGCGCCGACCCCAAATAAAATTGGAATAAGGTATGATGATGATGTATGTTACGGTACACATTGTTAATTATTGTGATAAAATGAACACATAAGATTTTGTGACTTTAGTCACTAATGCATCAATGAATGCTTATTTATTATTTATAAAAGAAACATAAATATATTATATATATGTGTGTGTAAGATTATTATTATTACTATTTTGGATTTCAATTTTTTTCAGCTAATCGGCTGTTTGTATCGTATTTACGAGCCTATTTTTGATGTGTGTATTATATATATAGTTTAGAAATAGGTCATGTATATACCAAGTAGGGGTGGTGCTGTCTCTGGTGCTGTAGTAGCTTGGCACGCGTGGCGTACTGTCGCGGACACTCTGTACACGCTGCTGGGGAACAAGTGCGAGTGCCCCCTTCGATCTCCTTGGCTCGTATGTTTTCTGAACCTATTTCAGAAATAACAGTAAATGAAAAAGCTTCCATGAAATGAAAAAGCTTCTATGAAAGTTAAAATAATGCATGATTATGTTAATTAGATTGGATAATGGATTTTTTGTGAATGTGTTAACGAGTAAAAGGGGATTTAACGTAACTACCGGCGCCCTTAGACATCTACAACTCAGGAGTGCATGGCCGTACTTGTGACTCCTGAGTTGCAGGTGGCCCTTTAAAGTACGCTCAAAAAATTCAATTCAATTCAATTCCCGAGAGGCAGTACAAAATGCCTTTGAAGAGTTTGTTGCCTCCCGTCCAGCTGATTTTTACAAGAAGGGCATCAATAAACTGTCAATTCGTTGGCAAAGATGCGTCGATTGCATGGGTGATTACTTCGAATAACAGAAATAAAAAAGTTAAAAAAAATAAGTACTTTCACTTATTGCATACAAAACGGCAATTTCATAGGTAAAGACCTAATATTATGCTGCCTTGAACGATGGCGGAAAACTACGGCCGGTATTAGTCAGACCTCGGAGCATTTCCTTTAATATAAGGGATAGAGAATGCGACGCCAAGCGGCAAAGCTGATCGGAAGTATTCTGGCAATTATGGTTCAGAGAGAGAAGTTGTTATTTGATGCTCCTGCCCAGAGATAAGAATATAATTCTACATGCGGCCGATCTTGCGTCTAATAAAGTTGCAAGCGGTATATAATAGCGAGAATAAAGTAGTTAGTATTAGATGTATCTGTATGTTTTATACCTACAATATGCAATATTTTAACAATAATATATTAAGTTAGTTATATATTTATGACAGTAATGGGGATGTCTCATCAGATTTTAATGGGTAAGAAATGATCGATAATTAGGCTCGAAGTTAGTGATATAAAAATGCATAATATGGCTAAACCTTAGACAGATGTGTGAGCGTACGTACCCGGGTGGTGCAGACGCAGGTGACGGCGGCGCTTGGCGGCCGTGCGGTACAGCTTGGGGCACGCACCGCACGGGAAGTGCCGCTCGCGCCGCACCAGCGGCACGCGGGTCGGGGCCGTGTTGTGCACGCGCCACAGGTGGTTCACCAGCATTCCCCGCCGCTGCAATGTGCATACCTACTCTATATCTCTCTTCAAATTTATTTTTTAGGATGATGGACTGCATAAAAGTGTGTAAACCTATTACGATAGAGCAGCTAACTTAGTATAGCATTTAGTTTAACATAATCCTTACATTGATCTTATCGAACCAGTTTGAAACGATCGTGCCTAAGTAAAAATTTTCTAAACCAAAAAAGTTGTTTTTTTTTGTCGTTTAATGTGTCCAGTAATTTAATAAATAGCTAAATAGAATAATCAAATAGATTACAAACATGAAGAATCGATTTCTAGTTATATTTAAAGATTTAAAACAAGAACAACACAAAAAGAAAGAAAGTAAACAAACAGGTAGACTTCTCCCCTCTAGTGATATCATAAAAATGGGCTTATTTGCATTGTCGTATAATGGATGTTCCGTATATGATGTTAGAGTGAAAACTTTCAGACTAGAGAGAAAAAAAAAGTTATTATATAGTTTTTATAGTAATAGAGAATACGCACGTGACACCAAAATAGACAAAATATTTTTATTTGTAATTTTTATTGCTAAAAAAAGATACCCATACAATTATTTTTGAAATTTATTATAATTTAATAGTGAAACTTAATCATCAAAAAAAATTTTTTTTAAGATTCCTTTTTAAGGTTGAATAAAACGTGACGTCAACCTACACTGTCAAGAGTGTCAACAAGTTGTGTGTATTTGTAATATTTGGTTTCTGGTGATTATTTGTTTCATTTTAAGTTAATAACTAATACGTTTTAAGTGTTAAATTATTAAATTCCCATGTAGAAAGACTCAACACAATGACTGAATATACTTTGTCAGGTGCAGTTTTGATATTATTTGGGCACAAAGGAACGGCACAATATTTATAATAAGGTTTTATTGGCTTTTCCATGGTAATAAGTTAATTTTTATCACTCACTTTTTTAACTTTCAGAAACTTTGTGAACTTCACTCCGTTGTTGACATCGAATTCGTCTGAAAGTGTAATCTGACGTCACAAAAAAGCGCGCCAAAATGAACGTGTTCAAATTGCCCCAAAATGATAGTGATTTTAATAATTATTTTTTTGCTGAACGGTTTATATTTCGGATGTGTTATATATATTTTTGGTAATGTAATAACTAGTAGAATCGTTAAAAAAAAATTACATGCATATTCCCTATTGCTCACGGCTTCGCTCGCGTGATTATTTCTTATTTCTTATGTCTAACTTTGAAAATGATGAACTTTCATACAACCTTGGTATATATATATTTTACCCCCTTGCGGGTAAAATTTCCAAAAATCCTTTCTTAGTGGGTGCTTACAATATTAAAAGCATCAGCTGCCTGCCAAAATCGCAGGGGCGTGCGCTCCTTGTAGGCAGAAATGCAGTGCTTTACTTGCTATTCACAGACATTTTAATAAAACGTTGGTACGTTTTAGATGACTTTAATTAATAGTAAATAAATGAAAAAACAAAATATAATAACTTAAAAACGCGTACTATTTACAAATAGCATAGCACCACACAAACATTGTTTGCCAGGTGTTTACCGAAAAGCAAGCGCAAAGCAACTCATGCCGTCGCCTCGCGCAGGACATTTGTTCGCATGTGTGTAGTAATTTTGGTGTCCGTGCACAGTTCGCATACGCACACACCCATTTATTTTATATGCCCGACTACAGCCGCAGGATGGCCTTCGGGTGTCGGCTCCCGCGCTAATCGTTGTCGTCAGTATTCGGGTATAATCGGCAGTGTTCGTTGCCTATAAATCCACCCAATTACAATTACAAAAGGTACTGGTAGCGCTACTGGAAAAGCGGGACCCTGTCCCACTGATCCTCGACTGCCTAGCACAGTTGTGTAAGTCTGGATTTGCGTAGGCTACACATACTGTTCTGGAACGCCGACGGGATGTCACCAGAGAAGACCAGGCTACTGAAATTGCTGCTGGCAAAGCAGCAAGTGGATATAGCCCCGCTCAGCGAGACCCACCTCAGACCAGTAGACAACTTCAAAATGGGTGGATACTATGTCTACCGGGAGGACCAACGCTCGCCAAGAGGGACTGCCTACAGGGGATTAGCAGTCCTGGTCAAGAGGAAAGTCGTCCACCAAGCACTACCAGTACCGACATTGCAGTCTGTGTACGCCCTGAGAGGAGAGGTCTGCATCGGAAGCCAATCTACCCGTGTTTTCGCATTCTACAGGCCGCCGGGGCAGCGCCTCGCAGTGGCTGACATACACACCCTGCTAGACTCGGCGCTACCTACAATAATCGCCGGCGACTTTAATGCGAAACACACGGCGTGGAACTCAAACATCATATGCCCAGAAGGCCGCCGCCTTCTAGATGATGCAGACCGCAACGAGTACCAGGTGCTAGGACCAGAGGTCCCGACACACTACCCGTACTGCGTAGCCCATACACCGGACTTCATAGATATAGCTGTCATCCGCGGCATCGACGCGGCTGTGTATCTTGACGTCCAGGACGATCACCTCATCTCAGACCACCAGCCGGTGTGTCTGACTCTAGATGACATCCCTCAAACTTTCCAACTATCTCCTCGTTCACGCCAAGACTGGCGGGTCTTCGCCGATTATATGGCAGAGCACTCGCCCTCCTTCCCAGTGGAGACACCCAACGACGTCGAAAAGCTAACGACGGATCTCAGCGCGGTCCTACAGACCGCGCTTCGAGAGTCGAAGCTCGATGCCACTACCGGAAGGAAGCCTTTCCAGCTCCCCGCCTACATCCTGGTGATGATCGAGAGGAAGAGGAGACTGCGCCGACAACTGGCTGCGAAGGTCTCTGCCGCGCTGGTAACAAACGCGGCAGAGTCCTGGCAACGCACTATTGAGCGAGCTAGTGAAGATTGGTCGGGCATACACCGCCTGTGTCGCCAACTTTCCGGGAAACCAGCTCCGATTAGGCCCCTGATGGCCGGTGACGGCACCCCACGCTACCGTGCCGAGGACCAGCACGTGGCAGAGGTCGAGAGGAAGCTCGAGTTGTACTTTGAGCAGCCGATAGCCCCGACTGAGGACCCTGTCATCTTCTCCCCTGGTCAAATCCAGCGGCTGATTCACCAAACGCCTCTTCGTAAAGCGCCCGGTCCCGACCGGGTTACCAATGAAGCCCTGCGTCACCTACGTCCGCGAGCAATCGCGACGCTGACGCGTCTCTTCAACGGCATCCTCCGCAGCGGACACTTTCCCACCGCATGGCGACTTGGCAGAGTCATCATGCTGCCCAAGCCGGGGAAGAGTATCCTCTTACCGGGAAGCTATCGCCCCATTACTCTCCTCTCAACGACGTCGAAGTTGTTCGAGAAATTGCTACTGCTGCTCATGACACCACACCTTCAGCCACGCGACGAACAGTTCGGATTTCGCGCCGAACACTCCACGACGCACCAGCTCGCGAGGGTACTGCATGACATCACGGTTGCACGCAACAAGCGCGAGCGGGTTGTAGCAGTCTTTCTCGACATGGAGAAGGCGTTCGACCGCGTCTGGCACGCCAGCCTGCTGTACAAGCTGTCCACATCTACTACTCCTCGCCGAGTAGTGAAGATTGTGGCCACCTTCCTGCAGGACAGACGCTTTCAAGTGGCAGTTGAAGACGCCTTGTCCACAGAGCGACCGATCTTTGCCGGTGTGCCGCAGGGAAGTTGCATGTCTCCCGTGTGCTACTCTTGGTACTCAGACGATATCCCCGTTACCGACGGCGTGAAACTCGCGCTGTACGCCGACGACGCTGCCTACATCGTGACGTCACTAAAAGGTGCCAACACTACTACCAAGATGCAGCGCACTCTAGACGCACTTCCCAGCTGGCTGAAGGACTGGAGACTGACGGTCAACGTGGCGAAGACTCAGGCGATCTCCATCGGAAGCGTGACCCTACCACAGCTGAAGCTCATGGGCCAGAATATCGAGTGGTCCGCGACGGTGAAATACCTCGGCGTAACCATCGACCGCACCCTCTCTATGAAGCCCCACGTCAAAAATGTCGTAGCCCAGGTTCGTGCCACACGCTCCCTTCTGCGGCCCGTACTATCGTCCCGATTGCCGCACCGTGCTAAGCTCGGTGTGTACAAGGCGTACATTCGCACCCGACTCACGTATGGTGCTCCGGCCTGGTTCGCGCTCGTATCCGTAACGAACCGACGCCGGTTGCGTGCGCAACAGTCGCTCGCACTGCGCACCCTTGCCAACGCCCCTCGCTTTGTGCGGAACAGGACGATATCCAGGGATCTGCGCGTGGAGAGCCTGGACGATTTCGTGAGACGCTTGAGCACAAACCTGTTCGTGCGTGCTGACGGCTCGCAAGCCCGCCACCTGCGGGAGCTTGCGCCCTATCATCGTCGACCGCCGGACAGGCATGGCCTGCCGCGAGACTTAGTCTCCGTGACAAACCCTACTGGATCAACCACAACACCCGACCTGATGCTGGCTGATGGGCGCTCCTCGGGGTCACCATCCCTCGGAGCTCGACCTCGCCAAGCACAGGGGGATACACTGGACGAAACCCGGGCGTAGCTAGTAAGCTGTTTGTCTGCGGGGCCCACCCGCACTGACTTGACCTCATTAGCCACGCTCCCCACCGGAACTACCAACAGGCCCATCTGGGCCCAACCCAGTGACCCGCCTGTAGTGGCAGGCGGCGCGGAAAACCACTTAAACAGGCCGTGGCCTGGAGAAGTCACCCCGAGATCCTAGCTCCCCAGCTAGGATCTCGGGGTGACTTCTACGAGAAGAACCTGAAGAGACTGAGATGAAAAGTAATGATTTCCTATCAATTCGATAGATGGCGTTGAATGACTGATATAAAAAGTGTCGTTACAACTTTTCGTGAGAATTTTTTCCGTCTAGCTCCCTTTCACAACGCGCGATAAGGAACTTCGTTCCAAAAAAGGAATCAAAATCGGATCATCAGTTCGGAAGCTACGATGCCACATACAGACACACACAACTTATAACCCCGTTGTTAAAAAAATAAATTCAACTTGACATTTATAAGGCATACTTTACAACCTAATTATGTAGTAGTTGGACTTAATTGTGCACTATTGCACCTTATTGTAAAACTGTTACCCTCAATCGTCAGTTCTCAACATGAAATTACTTACTTTAAAAGCGTGTTGACACTGTTCACATACGTATGCTTTGTTATTTTGAACTGTCACACTGGTTGTGTCATTATCCTCCTAAAAAAAATCAAACTTTAATACAAATGAAAGACAAGATATTTTGAAAATTGGATCTTCTCTAGATGGAGAATTTAAGGAAATAATATAAAGATGTCGGTGACTTACATAACGTACATAATATTATATAGATTAAAAAACCGGTGCATTGTTTAATCTATATAATATTATGTACGTTATGTAAGTCACCGACAACGTTTATGTGGTCACACTTTTAAAGTTTCAACTGTCAATATAATGTTATACAGTATTGTTTGTGGTATTTTAGTTTAGATCTGATGTTACAATACTCTACTGTGGAAATTGTGATTGTAAAACACTGTGCTCATTTGTATTATTATTATATACTACTATTTTTATTATATACTATACACCCGTAGTATTATTTAATTAAGATGTTTGATTTGATCAGGTGCTCTGATACTCAACCCCAAATTTAAACACATTCTAGACTAGTTTCCCAGGTCCTTTGGTTTTTCGGCAAGCTACCGTTTTCGGGTCTTATTTTTGCAGATAATAATAAAGAAAATTTTTTTTTACGTTTTGTTCTTCTTCTTCAGTTTCTTTGTTGGTAGAATGTTCCGAGTAAATATGTAATGCAAGGAGTTCTTTGCTCGTGAAGATTTGTTTGCAATCACACTCAAATCGACGCGCTGGACATTCACTGTATTAGGAGACATAAAATTATAACGCATTATTACTACTTGACAGATACTTAATTTAGATAAGCGTCTAGTGGTCTAGAGATTATTTTTGCCGTAACAGAATATTCCTATTTCTTTAATCTCAAAGGCAAAACACATTTAGAGTGCAACTAAGTATTGTTTGCATCTAAAGAAAGGAAAAATCTAGGCAAGAATTAATAAATTTCCATTTCAATTGTGTATTTACCTATTCCTTTGAGATAAACAGACTACATACGGTTAAAAATTATTTATGCGTCTCTAAATTTTATAAGGAATATCCACCTTATATGCTGACGTTTTTTGCCTCTGGCGACAAGTTGTTTGCAGTAAGTGCATGAGACAGACGTTTCAGTGTCCTTTTCTTGCTGATTTTTCTGTAAAAAAAAAAATATATCTTGATATGAGTTGGAGAGGAGAGATAAACTAATTACAAAAAGAGCTGCATGTAGTCTTTTTTATATTGGTAAATAAAGGTCATTAAATCAAGATTAAAGAGTAATTATATAAACAATACAGTCATTTTATTTTACATAGAACATGTAAGATGCAACATCATCATTATATCGAAGTTGAACATCAGATTTATCGCTGAGAGACTAAACTTAACTTAGTCGCCGCGTTCTGCATATAGCACTCAATGTTAATCTCTAAGGAGTCTTGCTTGCTAACACTCGCAACAATTGTAATTTGAAAATGGACTAGTCACATGCACAACACTGAGAACTATATGACCTATTAAATTTTACTAAGATATAACCAAGGCTATTGTAGCTTGACCTTGTGTATGGGTGTCATTGTCAGAGCTTGTTCAATTTCTTCCAAAAAATTCTGAACCTACAAATCTACATGTTTCGCATATTTCGATTTCGTACAAACCTCATTTTCTTTGGCGGGTGAAACATCGACTTTGTTCAGACTACCATTTGTGTACTCGAGGTCGTTAGTTAGAGAGCTAATATTGTCCAGTCCATATGGATTAAATACTTCAGATCTGGAGTTCCCAGATATATCGAGACTGGGTATCCGGTCCGTATCAAATAGATTAGTTGAAAAGTCCAAACCGTTGGAATAATTCTGAAAACTCTCGTCAGATGGCACTCTATTATCTTCACTGTTCAAAGACGTGTTTAAAATGGATTCTTGTAATGTTTCTGTATTGATCACACTGTCACTAAAACAAAAGGTATATTCGGTAGGTATATTAGGTAGACTTCCACCCACAACAAATAATTGAGTGATGAAGCACGATCATTGTTGTGTATGTACTTAGAAATATGTAAGTATGTTTATCAGCAGTCTGGTTGCCATATCTCAAACTCTGCCTAGTTTGCCATGCGTGAGATGTGTAAAGTTGTTTTTATTATTGTTAGCGAGTGTTAGACTTAACAGCTTTCTGTTGGGTTAGAACTGGTCTATTGACTTAAAAGAACTTTCCAGTCAGGTGTTTGAGCATTAAAAAATGCAGTTATACAGTATGTGTGTGTTTAGTAATGCCAGTTTTTGTTATGATAAAAAAAACGGACATCTAACAAACAACGCTATCTAGTTTCAAACTAAGCAGAGATAGAATATTTATATACTTTCTTTTGTACATATTATACATAGAAAACACCCAAACTCCGAAACAAATATTTGCAGATCATACAAACATTTGGTCCCGCCCGGGAATCGAACCCGAGACCTCAGCACACCAGTCGCATACGCTACCTACTGTGCCAACAACTAGTCTACTAGCTAGTCAAAAAACGTGTCCCTTCATTGATTTTTGTAGTTGATTTGTAATATTAAAATACCTTTTCTTTGGTTTCTTTTCACAATGCCGTGCCACGTGCCGTCTTAATCTGAAAAAAAGGGATAGTTTACAATCCATAGCAAAATGAATAATAATGATAAAATCAATATAATTACTTATGCACATCGTTAGAGGGTGAACAACAAACACTTAGAGTTATAGGTATGCAAGCCTTATTTTCTGGAACTATTGCCGAGTTCGGCGCATTCCGCAATGTAAGATACATGATCGAAATTATCAATGACTGTTCTGATCACTCATAATCAACAGCCTTTGATAGTCCACTGCTGGACATAGACCTCTCCTTAGAAAGGATGTTTTGGCCTTAGTAGGTATAGTTACCACGCTGGCCAGATGGCTTGGTAAGGGGTTTGTTTCAAGTTTTCCTTCTCTATGCAGTGCTATTGTCTTGCGTAGTTTGCTCTCTTAGTCGGCTCTTATGACACCCACGCGATGAACAGTGTAGTATAGGTGATACTCCGTATTTTTAATCCGTCACCACACAGATGTTGTAATCACTTGTTATTATTTCTATCCAATAGACACACTTATATCGTACGTGCATTTTAAACAATCCATGTTTAAATTAGTTTCATGTTTGTTTCCCTGTGTGAAATGTTACAGCTAGAAGTTGCATCAATTTATTTAATTTAGTCTATCTATCAAGTTATAATTAAACCTAAAGCAGATGTATATTTATTTAGCTTGCTCCAAAGCTGTTCGGCGCTGCTTCTGCCCTAGGGGAACTTTTGCCCAATTTGGGTGGAGCCAGCGTCACGACAAGATACGGCGCAACGGTATGGGCGGCAACTCTGACCGCCTAGAATAGGGCACGCCTCTGGCGCCCTCGGAGAATATTGGCGGTTAGATAGACCCATACGCGGTTATCGCACCGTGTCGACGGAGGCGGCGTGCGCGTTGGCTGGAACACCCCCGTGGGATTTGGAGGCGGTAGTGTTCGCCGAAGTATATCGGCGGATTGCTGAGCTTTGGGCGGATAGCGGCATTCGGCCCCCGCCCGAAGAGATACGCTGGTCGCCCCGGCTGGAGGCTCCACGAGCTGGATTTGCCGCCGTGAAGGCGCTTCAGCCAATTATCGTTGAGTGGGCAGGGCAGCAGCACGGGCACCTTTCCTTCCGGCTGACGCAGGCCCGGGCACGGCTGCTTCGGAAAGTACCTGCACTCGGTCGCTAGGAGGGAATTGAGTACCGCCTGTCAAGACTGCGATTGCAGTGAGGACTCGGCTCAGTACACGTTGGCAATTTGCCCGCTGCGCCGGGTCCTCATTGCAGTCGTCGTAGGAGATCTCTCGCTACCGGCCGTCATATGCTCCATGGCCGGTAGTGACAGATGTTTCACGTCCTTCTGCGAAAACGTCATCTCACAGAAGGAGGCGGCGGAGAGGGCCCGGGAAGATGACCTCCACTCGGACCCCCTCTTCGCCGGCGAACCGGGTGGCAGAGGCGCGCTTACCACAGCTTCATGCAGCCCTGAGTGTGGCCGCGGGTGGACGGGACGGGTTTTCACCTCCATCCTACCATAACGGCCAGCCGTGAGGAGGCCACGTCCGCGTGTGCCGGCGCGTCGCCTAAATAGAGAATGAACCCGAAGGTTGCGGGCAGGTGCTAGGAGGGGTCCGGTTATCTTAATAACAACAGCAGTTCCCGGATCCCTCCTATTACAAGCGCAGTGGCACACCGTGTGGTTTTAGTCGGTCCGATTCCAACAACAACAATGTATTGATTTTATTATTGTTTGGGGTAATTTGGAGGTTGATAGTGGTACTCACGTGAAAATTCGCGAAAACGTCCGTGCACAATGACGACAACGGTAACGACGTCTTTTAGTGTTGGCCTTGTATTCCTGAAACAGAGGTATAAATCAATTGTCAAGATATGCCTTTTAATATATATATTATTCACTAAACCAAAATATAATTAGCAACATATGGGTATTACCCTTCTGCTTATGCTGCTTTTATGATATATTTATGTAAAATTTGGAAAGCAGCCAAAGGCACTGCTAGACGTACACCTCTCTTTAGTAAGGAGGCCTTGGCCTACTATACCAGACGTGTTGGTAAAGATGCAGGTATTAGTACGAGTATATAACAAAGACGAGTTTCTTATTTGTGTGAAATTACTTATAACTCCTAATATTGCAATTAATGATTATATATTTTTTAATACCTGATGGTGGGTATTCATATGTCGCTGTAGTTGAGACGCTGACGTCATTGCGCGCTGACATTCGTAGCACCACCACATCTTTGAACTCAACGGAAATCCTGTAAACATAGACTATTGATGTAACTAACAGAAATTATTTAAGTTTTTTTCACTTACAGTACAGAGTAAAACGTAATGCCTGAGGTGTTCTCTGCCGGTGAACCTTCAGGTAATGCAGAGAAAACAAGAAGCATCTTATCTTTATTAACATTACTAGCTGACCCCGCAAACGTTGTTTAACCATATACATTATTTCAAATAATTTTGTCAAAAACAAAATTTGGGGTATGAAAAATAGATGTTGGCCGATTCTCAGACCTACCCGATATGCACACAAAATTTCACGATAATCGGTCTAGCCGTTTCGGAGGAGTTCAACTTCTAACACCGTGACACGAGAATTTTATATATTAGATATATGAAAACAAAAAAAAATGTTTGTTTTGTGATTATTAAAGAAAATTTCTTAATGCAGAAGTGATATAGGCCAATTCCAGTAATACGTGTAAGTAAACGCGAGCTATGTCACGGAAACAGAAGAAACCATGTGTGTAACATTAGTCCTAATACTAGTAACATACAAGAAATTGTCTTCGTGAATTAAATAACTACAGTAGTAGAGAATTTTACCTAAGTAGTTCTATATTCAATTCACGTTAAGAAAATAGTGACACATTAATCAAGCCCCGCCAATTGACAAATCAGGTTTCAAAAAATTATCATTTCGTACGAAAGTTTGGAACTTGATTGCTTAGGGCAGGACTCCAAAAAGAGAGAGGGGGGGAGCGGCGTGAACAATGTTGAAAACCCTGGTGAAGCGGGAATATCTAAGCACAGGCAACTTTCGCAAGTTAACCTAAAAAAAATGTATCAATCACCTGTCTCAATATTCTTAGTAGGTCCTACTAATCCATATTCTTGCGCATACTTCTGACTATAACCTAACATTAACTGTTTTCTAGATGGTACCGCTTCTGTCGTGATGATATACAATTCATTGTTTTCTTCATAAATCCAAACATTAGCTGAAATATCATCTCCTAGAGGCAGTAAACCAATCCAGTTTGCTTTGTCTATAAAAATAGAGCAGTTATAAATTAGCCTAATACCATATAGAATTTAAAAAAAAATATGAACTAGGCACCTTTTTTTTATATTTAATAATTTAAAAGAAAGTCACCTACCTTTATCAGTTACGTTAATATATTCAATATGTTCGTCATCATCTTTCAACATAAATAAGGGTCTTTTATTTATAACTGCTTCTTGTAACACCTCATTTGCTTTTTCAAGAGACATTCTTTGTTTAACTCCTGTAACAATAAACATGTAATAAGTGTTTGTAGTGGGAGAGCAATTAAATATTGCCTTGGCTTCTTAGACTGACAATGAGTTGACAGGTTAACCCAGGTTGTAGGTTTTTTATTTTAATTCAAATTATCTTTTTTTCTATGCGTAGCAGTTCTTAACAAAGTGTCATCCTGACAGGTCAAAAACTGCCAAAAAAGCTTCAATACTGCCCAATAAATAATATTATACTGTATGCATACAATCATTTCACACATATTCTTATGCTCTATAATTATTACCTTGAATTGGGCCAAAACGTGTGCGTGGAAGTAAAGACCGTCGAGGCGATATCTTATCTTTTTGTCGTATGTGTAATATAGTTGGCAATACTGCAATTGCCCGTGGTGGAATGCTTCGATCTGATATGTGCACTGCAAACAACAATGTAATACACACACTGTAGTCTTAACTACCTAGTTTTGATTTTTAAGTATGTGTTCACCCATTTCATTTCACAGTTAACATCATTTTAAGTCTTTACTGGTCTTCGTATCTATTTTTATGTGTTTTACTAGCTGTACCCTACCATGCTTAGCTTTGGCGCACTGTGGTTACATTGATGAGAAATGAAAAACAAAACGAAAATAATAGATAAAAATTAAGCAGTTTGTATTTCGTGACAAATCTTAAGCTCAATATTAGTGCAGAACTTTTTGAGTTTTTGAACTTAACATTTGTTATAATATAGTATATTTATATAAATGTGTTTTTTTCGTGTATTGTGGAAATAAAATAAATTTATTTATTATCACAACTTAAAAACATCATAGATATATTGTCACTGCAAACATGTTGGGTTCTGTAGGTTTAGCATTTTGCACATATTAAACAAAGTAGAAGAAAGAAGTAGTAGAAAGTAGTATACCATAATTTTGCATCCCCTTGCATGCTACATTTAAACTTTGTTCAGAACTATTTGTTAGAGGACGAATTAAGTTCATTCCTGACGTTTCCACCTCGTCTCCCAAGCAAGGCAATTGATTGGAACTAACAATGGTTAAGGGTGATGATAACTGGTCAGTCTGACAGACAGACATCTGTTGCTCTTGCTGGCAGCTGCTTTCAACTTGTATGGTAACAAATTTAACAGCTGGTGCTGGACAAGGATCTGTAAATTTTTATAGGAGAACATAATAAAGTACTCATAGGTAGTGTTATTGTTTATAATAATGTAATATGTGGGAGATTGTTAATGAAAAATTTGCTTATTTTGTTTGAAAATTCTGGTACATAAGTAAACAGAAAACTTATTAAAATTGCTGCAAAGATGGAACTCTAGCAAGCATATGAAAAAAAAATTTTAAATTAAATAATTAAAAACCATCTGTTTTAAAGGTTATGACCATTTTAAATACCAAGTATTATCACTCTTGTTTCTTATAAAATCTTCTTAAAAGTCATTAGGACTCACCAATCAAAACTTGAACTTGTTGCTGACTTTCTTCTTTATTTTGGATTGGTAGGAAAAATCTGTTAGGACCTAAGTCTGTGCCCTAAAAAACCAAATTTCTTTAGTGTTCAATTTTATAAGTATTTTAATAAAGAAATAATATTTAAAATTTGGCAATCATACATATGAATTGTTTTTTTAACCATTTAAAATAATTTTCAATTTCCACAAAAGGAATATGTGTAATTAATTTATATTTATTTATTTATATTAATGAAATAATTTATATAAATTAATTAATTTCGATTAATTTATATTTATTTATTAGGTAGTGATTTTAATAAGTTTATATCAATATACTATCCTTAGGTATACACAAAGTCAACGCCATATCATTATTTTTTATTATTATTGTTTATGAAATATAATAAAATTATTATTTTTGTTTGACATATTTCAGAATAATATTAATGGAATGTAAAAATGGAGTAACAATTTTTTTTGAATTTGAAAAGCAATAGCACGGCAATCCAAATATCCCATGTACAAAAGCAGAGCTTATTGTACTCAAAAGGTTTACAATCTCTACACACAACAGACATTGCGACGGTGGGAGCACGACGACAATAGATTTACGTGCGAGGTAAAGAGACAGGATAATAACAAGTCACTGTACGAAATTGTTTCTGCTCTGTGACCGCACTATCGCCATCTTGTTTTTCAACACAAGTTTATAATTTTATATATTAGATGCCTATGTTACTGGGGAAATATGTCTATGACAAATATATTGTATTAACTTTATCTTTTATACCATATTTCTTGCAAACAAATAAAATTCCTACTAATTTCATAAATGCCAAAGTAACTTTGTCTGTCTGTTATGCTTCCTGCTGGTAAACCGCTAAACTGATTTTAATAAAAATTCGCTTGGAGATACATACTTTGATGCTTGAGAATGAACATAGGCTCTATAACACAGATAATGTTAGTGATGTTAGCCTTAAAGACGTGTTTTAACATTTGTTAAGTACTCATTATATATACAGGCTCAAAACACCACAGCATACCTTGTATAATTTTATCAGTACATATTTGGAACAAATATTTTCTATTAAAAGAAATTGCTTGAGCATTCAAAGCTCATACAAGTAGTATGAAACTAATTAAAACAAATTCTAACTTGATAAATGTAGGCTCATACATTCACAAATATACAATTATATTCAGTGCTTTAGTTAGCAAGAAATTAACAACTGATATTGATCAACTTTCTATATTTTATTACTATTAAACTTAGATAAAATAAACATAGCAACTTACATTATTTAAAACATGAAGGGGAATGACTTGTGCATCACTGGTTCTTAAGTTAAAGGTGGAATCCATCTCCAGTAAATAAAGAGTTGGTTCTACCGCTCCAGGTAGGTCTGAATTAGAGTGAGATATACCTGAAATTATGAATAAAAAGTTGTATTTTAGTCGTTTTTTAACAACCTACAAAAGTTTTAAGCAACTCAATTAAAAGCGTCAAACGTAAAGAATTTTTATTTAGGTATACTAATTTTATAATCACTGAACACTTACTCATTTTTATTATTTCATAAAGCTGTGTACCTTCTAAAATAATCACAATGTATTTTTAAAAGATCTCAATTGAAATTAATTTTACTATATATATTACATACACAATATCTAAAAAATATTTAATGGAAAAAGTGAAAGCACATTAATATAGCTTTACATCATCTGAATCTGCAAAATTTATAAATTCTTGAGTATTATTTTGATGCATTTGTTTTGTATATAATAACCACAATCCCGCCAACCTTAATTTTAGAAAATTAATAGATGTAATGCAAAAAAAATTAGTAGATATGGTAGATTTGCCAATAAAAAATTGAACAATCCATCTGCCTCCGTTACTATTATGAACTCTGGTTCATTAGTTAATAATATAAATTTATATTAGATGTAAACTAAATAAAATGAAAGCCGTTTTAATTTTTTTATTTACATTTAATCTTATGTATTACATTATTCCTGTAAGTTCTCTTGAGTTCAAAACCTACGATCATTAATGGCGCTTTTAAAATTGAGTTGAAACGACTGGAGTATAAAATCGTAGAAACTGCCGAAGAATAAGATCTGTAGAAAAGAACTCCTGTTTTAAATTTTAAGGTAACATGTGTACAAAATAAAAAAACGCATATAAAGTTCGATTTTTCGTTTCAAAACTTGAAAGGCGATATCGACTATTGGTATAGACGTAGGTTTTATTTCAACTAAATTCCATTATGGTTTCAATTACATTTTAAGCGGCTAAAATTGGGATTTAGGAATTAGTTACATAATCTTTTTTAAATCCTGCATTTAAGAGAAAATCTATAAGTTATTTTATGTTAGTAAATTTTTTTTTGGAGGATAGGAATACTTAATAAACTATACAATAATGTATTTAATCATCAAAGTAAACATTAAAATTTTAACAAAAATCTTGTGACAGTGTATAAACCAAAGACCTTCTAAATGGAAGCGAACTAGGCGGAATCGCATACGGTCGGTAGAGAAAGAAGATTGTTTTGGTCTGGCATCTCTCTCTGGTCGCTGCACTGATGGGCCGACAAGAGGGCATTTAAAATAGAGTAGAGTACGATATTGCTATCCCTTTTACAGAAGAATAAACAGTTCTCTCCTTCTATTTATGGCATAACAGAACCTTCATTTATCCGTCACACGTGACAGATGGTCGATGGATGACGATTCTGTTGGACAGTTGTCAAACTTGTCACTTCGTTTTTCGTTAGGCATCGGTAGCAAGAGATTTGCTCGCATTCGGTCTAGCAATATAAATATTCATAAAAAGATAAAATAATGTTTGCCTAAAATTGTAATAATTTATAATTTCATTGTATAAATTTTAATATTCACATCACATCACATCAACAGCCTTTAATAGTCCACTGCTGGACATAGGCCTCTCCTTAGAAAGGAGGTTTTGGCCTTACTATACCACACTGGCCAGACGGGTTGGTATAGGGTTTGTGTCAAGTTTTCCTTCTCTGTGCAGTGTTATTGTTCTGGTGTGTTCCGTTGGTGTGTTCCGTTGCAGCCCGGCCACAGTCGATTTCGTAATTGATAGACGGATCAATTAAATGTTCTTTTATTGTTCTTGCTGTACCAATTAATAGATTAAATGGTAAAAATTTCCTTTCCAACTACTTCTTTTTTGTCAATTTGGTATGCCACAATGGTTTCTCGGCAATAATTATACCCATTGAGTTAAAACAACACTAGAGAAGCAAACCTCATTATCACACGTCGAAAAAAGTGTAACCACTTTTGAACTTTGACGACGTAGCTTTGATACCACTAAACATTTGACAGTAAACATATTTATGTCTCATTTACACGCGAAAAAAGAACAATACCATCGCTCGGATTAGACAAAGACAAAGACATAACTTTACGATGGTGGGCCAGTGTTGACTACCGTATGAAATTTTACCCATAACAACCAAGAAACAATTTTTTTTTAAAACAATTTTGTAATAAAATAAATTAATTTAAATATTTTAAATAATATATTTCGAATTGAATGGAATAGGTATAAATAATAAAATAACTAGAAATATTTGGTTAAAAGGGTTTATATTCAGTGTAAAATCAAACTCCGCTATGAAGCATCAGTTTTGTATACAATTGTCTTTTAGACTCTTTTTTATAAGTTTGTGTGAATATTTTACTTTCATGATACAATCTTATTTTTACCTATGTATAAATAATGGCATTTAATAGTAAAAGTGAATGATCAACTTGTACTGATAATAAATAATCCCCAAGGTGTATTGCAAATTCTTTTAATATTTTAAAATACAAATAAAAAAAAATATAATAAATATTTTTCTTTTTGCTTTTTATATTTTTTTATTTATATTTATTTACTTTTTATTTTATATATATATATTTTTTTGTACAATTGTTATTTATATTTGATAATTAATTAAGAAAAATGAATGAATGAATGAATTAATTCCTTTATACACAAGTCTCCAGCACTGCGAGCTTGGCAGAAGGTGAACGTTCAACGGGTCTCTAAAAAAGTGATCAATTCAGCCCTAACAACTACCGTTCTTAGTATATTTTATTATTATTGACAAAATGTTTAAAAACAGTAAAAAACATATTATTTCATAAATTATAAATTCTCCCACTAATGTGGGAAAACAAAAATGATTTTTTAATGGTAACACTGATTCTAAATTACAATTATCAATGTTTTATTTGAATTATAGCCTTATTTACGATATTTTCAATACAAAAACCATAAACTTACACGTGATAAGTAATTCCGCATGATTTATTATGGTTTTGTGACCTTGAATCGCATTCTTTCACTACGCATTTACCCATTTTGGCGATTGTTACTGTCATGTGTCGCTATGTTCAACTCGGTTGACGCCACATTGAACACTGAATTGACGTTTGCTACGCATATGCCTGTGGACAGATGTGCAGTAGCAACGATTTTAGGCGGTAATTACTCATCTATGTAAGTATTATATCAATGATTATACCAGTCACATATGGTGACCCGGCCCAGGCACCTTTCAAAATTTTAGCCAAGTCGTAGAAAAAACACAAATCGATACGGAAGAACACATTCACTATTCGAGTATAATAATACTCGAAAGCAAAGGAATGACGCACAAATTTGACATTAGCTGTCAATATCATCTATCCAAGATGCGTTTCGTTTCACGTTTTTCACATAAAACCTAAAAATTACATTTGAAAAACTATACTAAAGCAAAAAAATTACGTTCCGTTTTGCATAATTGCAAGAGTATTTAAGAATTTTCGGAAATTGTTTAAAAATATTTAGACGCAACTCCGGCAGCCAAAATTACTGTGGGGGGATTAAGACTAACTCCCTTAAGCCCCCTACACCACCAATACCCTCAAATTCAGGCGACTCGTTTTAAAATCCAACCCGATTAAATGTACCACAAATATATCTTGTTTAAAAAGAAATTGTTTGTGGCCGGGCTGCACCGTATACGTTGCAGCCCGGCCACCTGTATATTTTCTGGTAGGATGCTCAAAATGTTCCAAAATATAAACCAAATAAATGTTCTTTTTATGTTCTTTATTGTTTTCAATGAAATAAACCAAGAGAAAGGTATGCATAAACAAAAAATGATTTCAAATAAATGAATAGTCACTAAGCGCCTGTAGAACTAGAATAGCACGTCGGCTTTGTACAAAGTACACAAATTTGTACAAAGTTGCTAATGCATATCTTTAGGAGCAATTCTCTAGGAAAAACAGATATATACATATTTTTTATGTATTTTTTTAAGTTGTTTTATTTTATATCGTATTTTGTTTCTTTTCAATTTTTTTATTTTTTGTTGAATTTGAATTGTACAATATTTTTATTTTATTTTTAATTTATAGTTGTCTTAAAAAAAACAATACTATGAATTTTTTAAATACTGTAAGTTACAATTTATTTTGATTACTTTGTCTTTAAAAGCATATAATTTAAATTTACGGGTTTTTAATAATTGTATAACAATAATCTAACTTGTCATTGTTTAATTGCTAACAAAGCGCCTGTAGGACTAAAATAGCAATGTAAGTAACATTGCTATTTTAGTCCTACAGGCGCTTAGTGCAAATTTTTTGTTTATGTATACCTTTCTCTTGGTTTATTTCATTGAAAAAAATAAAGAACATAAAAGGAACATTTATTTGGTTTATATTTTGGAAAATTTTGAGCATCCTACCAGAAAATATACAGGTGGCCGGGCTGCAACGTATACGGTGCAGCCCGGCCACAAACAATTTCTTTTTAAACAAGATATATTTGTGGTACATTTAATCTATTAATTGGTACAGCAAGAACAATAAAAGAACATTTAATTGATCCGTCTATCAATTACGAAATCGACTGTGGCCGGGCTGCAACGGAACACACATTGTTCTGCGTAATTTTTCCTTAGTCGGCTCATACGACACCCACGTGATGAATAGGGGTGGTGACACTCTGTATTCTTAATCCGTCACCACACGGACAATTTTAATATTAGTTCATAGAAATTCTATCAAATATTATTTGGTTCTTCGCCACTTCCAGTATTTCATGATTAAAAAACTATTTCTTGACAACTCTATTATGTAGAGCCGCTGCCGCGTGTCTAGAACACGCGACAGCGGGTCCTCCCAAGTTCAAAGAAAAAAGAACTGGCGTCGCAGCAGCCGTGTATAATATTACAGTACGTGCGCGTTTTTATAAACGCGCACGTTTACATGCCTACAATTTGTTTGCCGCTGTTTAACAGAGGTTACGTAAAGCTAAAGATTAAAGGAAAATAGAAATAAGTAGTTTACAAGGCACTTGTTTCATTAGTTCTTTATTCATCAACAACCTTTAACAGTCCACTGCTGGACATAGGCCTCTCCTTAGAAATTAGGTTTTGGATTACTAAGTATACCCCGCTGGCTAGACGGGTTTGTTTCAAGTTTTCCTTCTCTTTGCAGTGCTGTTTTCCTGCGTAGTTTGCTCCCTCAGACGTCTCTTACGACACCCACGGGATGAATAGGGGTGGTGACACTCCGTATTCTTAATCCGTCACTACACGGACAGTTCTTTATTATGAAGAATACTTCCTTATTTTTAATATAATAAAATATTTAAAGATAATTTAACACTACAGATACTTCTTTTTATTGTTTCTATGTCTTAATATAAAATATATTATTTTATACATAAAATATACCTATTATTAATGTCATGTCAATAATTTACTAAATACACACGTGAGTAAAACCGGACATCTTTAATACATCATAAAATCTTGTTATATACAGGACTGTACCTACTTATTGGGTATATTTTTGAAATGAAAAAGCGTGTATAAATAATATATCAAATAAATGCATTACTAATATGTCAGCAATGTCACTCCAAATCCTCCCTTTTTTTGTTAAGGGAAGCAATTATGGAAGTTAAGCATTTGCAACTATCCAGTTACTGTAAAGCGGCACTCGGACAATGACGCTAGGATATGTAGATGGAGCACAACCATAGCTCCATGAGTGAATCCCTACTAAGATAGGTCTATCTAATGTAAAGAAAACTGGACCTCCCTCATCACCTACACAAGCGTCTCTGCCGCCTTCATTAGGAACACCAGCGCACGCCATTCCTGCGGTTACTTTAGGCCAGCCTGCAAATTCTGGTCGCTGCCTTAGGCTATCATATTGCTGTTCACATATTTCTTGGTTAATAATAGTGATATCTCTTCGTTGTAACTGCTCTGGGCGTGCATTTCCTTGCTGCCAAAAAAGAAACAAAATTAATGACTGTACACGTATTGGTATACAAAAATTGTGAGTCATTTTAATGACCTCTAATTAAAGCGAACACTACAACAGAAGTTAAAAATTAAGTGGTGAAGTAGTTGGTGCGTGTGGCGCCCGGGTACGGTAAGGTACTACCCGCCTAGGCCGCCCTCTTTAAAGTCGGCCCTGCTTATCTTTAACACCTATTTCAAAGTCAAAATCAAAATATCTTTATCTCATAAAAATAATAATTGAAATGGTTAGGTAGACTCTAAAGTCATAGATCAACACAGAATAGCAAAAATCTGTTTTGTCAAATATTGAGCAAAATTAAGTCGATTGGCTTTTAATAATTACATTTATTAAAATGGAATTATTGTATTATGCTTGTGCCGATCTATAACCGCCCGTTTTCAAGGGGTATTGATTATTTTTTCGTTGATATGCTTAGTCTCTGATATTAATCTCTATTATTTATATCAGTAGGTATGTCAAACAATACCCTGTTGTCTGAATAATTAAAATCTTACTACATACCCGCCTGATATATACTTAACCTACTTAGTTACATACAGTTCGTTCATGGTAAGTCTAGCAAAAATAAAAAACAACAAGAGAATACCTACAATTTTAATAGGAACTTATCTACCTATCATTGCAGATATAAAATACATACCTATCTACTTATTACGGGCTAAGCTTGGATTGTATGTTATAAAGTTCCTAGATTTAAAGTTAAATCGTCTGTTTTGTTACATCTCTTTAATTAGGTATTTAATGTCACCTTTAGTGTTTTGTACGGTACGGTACAAGTTTTGTTTTTGTAAGGTGGTGTTGCTCCCATATTTTCAATGAGCTCAACACATGTACCTACTTTTAATGTTATTTGTCATATATTAGTTACCTATGTGTATAATTTGTTATAAATCTTATTGATCTACTTATCAAAGCTGACCCTAACCCTGTAAAAAGGTCTTGTTGGTACCTAACTTTACGATAATTATATTAATTCATAATCTGACCACCTAGATACGGGCAACATAGATTAGGATAACAAAAGTTAACTTCTGGTATCATAATCTACTATAATAACCTACACGTGATCCGGGCCGTGGCAGCCCTCTGAAAGTTGACTCCGACCAATCGCAACTACGATGTACTTTTAGCTTTTTATCCAAAGTGCAGAGTGGACCTAGCCTACACCAATTAGAAGTAGAAATGAAAATTATTGCTACTTTTAAATCATATTCATTTGATGAAATGATTGGTTTTGGTCACTGCGATTTCACCTGTGATAAACTACTGCTTAGATTTGGTTATAGACAAAGATTAATGCCTTCAAAATCAATTAAACTGACCTTTTTTTTAGATTTAGACCTTTCGCATGTCTGGCGTGATAATAGGATGCAGTGATGTTGTAGATGAGTAACATTTAGATTTTGGTCACTCTGACATACAATAATAGGGGTTAAAGTATTGTGAACACACACAGGTGAATAACGCTGAATTGAAGGAGATCGTGGAAGCCGATCCGAGTCAAACTACCCAGGAATTAGCGGCATGTTTCAACGTTACCCTACCTACAATATGGACTCATTTGCATCAAATCAGTAAGATTAAAAATATGAAAAACGGGTGCCTCATGATTTGACTGATCTTCAGAAGAAGAAGAAATGCGTGTTAAAACTATGTTAAAACTTGTTGTTATTCTAGACAGTATGTGAAAAAAATTACCTCACTTCCCCATCCAATGGAGGTGACGGGTAAACCAGGGAAAACGATAGAAGTAGCGCTTGCAACAGCAGCATTATTGATGGTTTGTGAGAACACCGCATTACTTGTTAGATGTACAATGGCAACATCGGCGTCGAAGAGCGACAGCACGTTGTAGCTTGGGTGGAACGTAAATCTGGCAACGTTGAAAATTGTGTCGTTGTTGCTGCGACTCGCACTTCCGAGACCAACTCGCCATTGCGCTGGTATTTTCCCACTGAACAAATTAATCATTTAATATTAAATTTTATTTACTGAAGAGACTTCTTTATAAGGTACAAATTAATAAAAAATAAGTAATTATTTGTCTGTACCTATGGTAATAATTTAAAAAAGGAAAATCATTGCAATAAATAAAAAATGATTTTTCTGATCTAGATCAGGAAATGTGCACCTACTTATTGAGATTACTTTTCTAAATTATTTTTTTCTTATATACATGCAATAGCCCTTTTTTTTTTGTTTTTCCGTGCGGAAATCCCCTCGGATAGCACCTGTCGGTGGCATGTCGGACTCGAACCGACTAAAACCGCACGCCGTCTCGGGTACTAATAGCCGGGGAACCAGGTATACCCTAGAAAGGAAGTCCCTGGTACCCCGACATACCTCGGGTCATCTACAGACGAGTAGACACCCCCCCCCCCGTGTGGGAACCCCATGTTCCCGGTGCTCCCTGGAAGCGAGCGCGCTTCGCAACGCGCTCGCCGCCACCTCGGCCTGCTTCTGCTAGGGTGACAGATGGCCTCACCTGTCACCCCCAGGCCTGCGCTAATGGAGGACGGAGGTCGTTCTGCGACCTCCGGCGCCTGAGTCGCCTGCGGTACCTGGCCCGTTCCCGGGCCTGGCGGGCCGGGAGAGTCCTAAACCTCTCCCGGTCCCGCTCCGCCATCTCCTTCGCGAGCATAACTTGCTCGCAGAAGGAGACGGCAGAGTTCCACGCACTCTAAGTATGGGGCACTCTTACAGAGGACGGGATAATAGGCGGAATATGAAGTATCCGATAAAAGCTTTTATTAAGATATAAAACCTTTCTTTTTTTTGGTGACAGATGGCCTCACCCAGAGCTGCACTTATGTAGAACGGAGGTCATTTAGCGATCTCCGGCGCCTGAGACGCCCGCAGTACCTGGCTAACCATGGTACTGAACTAGACCTCACTCCGATGGCCGTCACGAGGACACGCCACTGCTCCACCCATGCCGGGTGTTTTAGTAGCGTGTGGAGCGCCCTGTCCATGCTCTGGCTACCACAGTGGTGACACCCAGGCGTTGGTTCATTGAGGATCACACACAGGTGATCTACTGCGTTACGAACCCCAGATATCTAATTGGGAGCTCGATGTCTGACGGAGCATAACGTCCTCGCAGAAGGAGACCGCGGCTGCCCATCGTTCGCCACTCGCCAGCATTGCCGCGATCAATGCTAGCGGGGACAAGTTTGATCAGATCTGTCCGACCAGGTGGTGGTGGCATTGTGCCATGACCTCCCACTAGATTCGATTAAAATACTCATCGAAGCAACCGTGCATGAATTTCACACGCCTCGCTCGCAGAGCATGTGTATGCGCGTTCTGCCGTAGCATTCTGGGCCCATGATTCGGCGCGGCATCTTCACCATTCCGACATACACCCATACTACACCCTGCCCACTCGACGATGACCGGCTCTAGCGCCTCTACGGCGCCAAAGCGTGGAGCCTCTACTCTAAATCGTACTGGAAGCGTCTAAATCCTACGGGAAAGTTCCGCCAAGACTCTCTGAGGATGCAAGAGGCGCGCCTTATTCTGGGCGGTCTGTGCTTCCGCCCATACCGGTGTACTGTATAGTGCCATTGACTGGACAACCCTGGTCTATTACTACTCGCACTAGCCTGAATCTTTGTAGGTATCCGAAAAGCAAAGCAAAGAAGTAGTGGCAATTACGTAATATAAACCCCAAGATGCTTTACATTAACCTTACATTCCAACCTTAAACATCTCTATAGAATTAAAGAATTGTTTATATTGTGTATGTGTATACTTACTGACACAGTTCTTTTTATGTTCTCTCTGTATCTACCTTAATCTGTTAGGCATATAATGTTTCCTTGTCCTTGCAAATATATATTACTATACTAACTATATATTACTTTGGCTTAGGGATAATCCGCCCCAGCTAAAGAGTGTTAAGTTCGAAGGATTGGTCAGAATATAAAAATTTATTATGGCACGTAGTTAGTCCGCTAACCCACTTCTCTAGTTATCAAGTATACTAAGTATGTATATACTAACTTATATACTTTTGCGTAGAGAATGAACACGATCGGTGTAACCTGATCGAAATGTCAAGCAATGTAAAGTACTTTGGACCTTTGAATTGCTTGACTTGCCGAACTATTTACCTAGATACCTATTGGTCGTGTTTATGTCCATATTTATAATTAGTTATCCAGTAATGCAAACAATTGGTATACTTACTCATAGCAATGAGCAGCTGAGAGGACAGCATTATTAGTGATAAGAGTTCCAGCACAATTCTGCGCCCAGGCGATATTGGCCCAACCATATTGCATGCTGGCCATGAAAGGGTAGTTCTCTATAATTGCACTGGTACGTCGGACGGACGTTTTGGGAACCGCTGTATACACATAAAAAAAAAACTGTACAATAAACTAAAAAGTTTTTAGTAAAATTACTTAGTAGTGTGTATTTCATTTCAACGAAATATTCAGATTAGTAGGTACGAAGGTAGGTACAAATTAGAAAAAATTTAGTTAGGAGCAGTTTAAATGAAAGTGCTACAATAAAACTTAATAAATTTTATTTCAATAGTGACTCGTGTCTGTGTTACGTCTTGTTTCGTGTTAGTCTAATACGCTGTAAGTGATTAAAACTAATAGATCAAGTTCAATGACCGAATCCATAGTACCTACCTATAACTTCACATATTACCCGCAGTTTGATCCCAAACTATGCAGAGCCTATGCTATGGCAACCAGACTGGCTGGATATTGCTGATAAACATAATTCAATTATTTATTATTTATACACCTACTATAAATAAATCCTTTAAATTTTTTTTTAAGTCAATACTGACACAGAGCACTAAAAATTAAAAAATAATTACAAATCTAAGTTAAAAATCTATAATAAGTATCCTCAATATAACAGGTAACATTAAAATAGCAATAGTCCCTTCTAGATCATAATATATTACTTTATAAATAACATCTGTCCTCTGTATTTAGGTAGAGGCTTTGTATTAGAGGCCCTCGGCACATAAGAATAATAGGGCCCCTATGACCTTGAGTGAGCACTGTTCCGTTATGATAGACAAATATAAAAGACAAACATAATAATGATTGACGGCAATAGTAGTTAGTCACTATCGCTGGTTTGCAGAAATAAATATGTTTTTCGGTAATAAATATCGACTATCGATTGATGATCTAGCAGGAATTAGAGGCCCAGTGCACCCGTTGTTGGCTATCGTGGCACATGACAGGCTTCAAAGTTCCCGTTTTCAACTAGGGAAAAAAGTGGACAAGTAGGTAAACCATTACTACAATAATTAAAAAGTTAGGTACTTACCTAGAGCAAAACCCAGAAGAGCTGCAAAAATTATAGCACGCATATTTTTGTTCTGTGTGACAAAACCTGACAAAAGTAAACTTCGTATCGTATACCTATATATATAGTTAAACTTGTTATCTTAGGTTTGATAATGATTCTTTATGTTATAATGGTTTATCTACATCGCATGAATACTTTAGAGCAGCCTTTCCCAAAGTGCGCTGCAGGCCTAAAGGGCTGTAAATGTGGCGGTAAAGGACCCATATATAAAATGAGGCTTCAGGTGCGATTTGTAATTTCATCTAGCTAGGAGGACTCTTAGACAAACTACAATATCTCTTTGTTAAAGCTCAAAAAGATAAATCACACAACATCGCAGAAGAGTTAATTTTGCCAGCAATAAAGGAAGTAATAACTAGTGTGCTTCATAAACCGGCCGCAGATATTATCCAAAAATTCCTTTGAGTAATAATTCTGTGCAAAGACGAATTGATGAAATGGCTGAAAACATTGAAGGATCATTGTGCAATCATCTGAGGACTAGTCAATTCTCAATTCACCTCGATGATTTCACTTTACTAACTAATGAAGCATTGTTGCTGTCTTACGTGAGGTTTATTAAAGATGATAAAATATGTGAAGAACTATTGTTTGCTAGAAATTTAGAGACCGATACAAAAGGCGATACCATATTCAATACATTAGAAAAGTTTTGTGATGAGAAAGAGATTTCCGTGAAAAATATTAGATCAGTTGCTACGGATGGCGCTCTGGCTATGACAGTGTGCCATAAAGGCTTCATAGCGTTCTTAAAAAATAAAACAAACACAACAACATAGCGTTATTCATAGACAACATTTAGTTGCTAGAAACTTAAGTGAATGACTATTTCAATCACTGCAATATGTCATCAGAGCAGTCAATAAAATCCGTAACAGCTCTTTGAATGATAGATGATTTCATCAGCTTTGTGTTACTAATGACGAAGATTCGTTCGTTGGCTATCAAGAGGCAATTGTCTGACTCGATTTTACAACCTGCTTGACTCTGTGATAGAGTTCTTGGAAAATAAAGATACAGAATTGCGCAACAAGCTCATTACACCAAAGAATGACATAGCTTAATCTTAATGAATCTCCAACTGCAAGGCGATGAACTAAATTTAATTAAACCAAAAAATGTCGTTGCTGCTTTCGCAGCCAAACTGCTTCTACAAAAAATAATATAAAATTGTGAAACACGTCTGCCGTGTTCCACAATTTTCCGAATTTATCAGCATCCTGCAGTAACGACGACTTGTTTGCCTACTGTGAACATTTGGAAAACCTCCAAATTGACTTAACCGAACGATACCAGGACATTTTGAACTTGGAAATACCAGACTGGGTGTTGAATCAGACTGGGTGTTGGATCCGTTTTCAAATGTCAGCACAGCAATGCCACCTCAGCTGGGAGAAGAACTTATAGAATTTACAACAAACGAGGAAATAAAAATCAAGTTCAAAAATGGCTACCAAGAATTTTGGCTACAAAAACCGATCCCAACATTGTACCCTGGATTGTGGTCATTCGTTCAACGATTCTTGATATCATTCCCATCGTCATATTTGTGTGAACGTGGATCTAGTGCTGTGGCAACGCTGCTTACTAAAATGAGAAACCGTTTGCATGTTACCGAACGTGGTGACTTGAGTAAATTGCTGCTCTTGAGTAAATTGGAACCTGATATCAACAAGCTTATTAAACACCATCAGATTCTAAGAATCGATTATGTTTGTTTTATGGAATAAAATATACTCTTTCGGAATATTATATAGTTGGGTTTTAATAATCATTCTCATTGGTAGGTGTAGCCCATAAGAGTTAACTTTGTTGTTGAGTTAACCGTTGTGCACTACCTACTGCGTTCAGGTCTTAAGTTATCTCTTGCTTGGTTATAGTAAAAGTCTCGTTTAGAATGAATGTTTGATTTCCGCTAATATGGCTCACATTAATTAATTAATTTAATTTGAAGTTATAGTGGTTTTTATCATAAAAAAATTAAAATTGTTTGAAATCGTCTTTTATGTACACTCTAAAGTCATAGATCAACACACAAAAGCAACAGTCTCTGTTTTGTCAAAAAGGAAGCAAACAAATTTAACAAAAATCAAACCCATGCAAAATCTTATTACATCATATCAACATGCAAAATCTTATTAGATATCATTACAAAACCTTATGAGAACAAAGGGCAAACAAACTCATGGCCACTCTTGGGCAATTCACAGATAGATACAATGGCACTGTTAAATGTACCACAACATTGTTTTAATGTGTGCTAGTATGTCCGTTATTAAGGAATAAAAGGTAAAAAGACAATGAAGAGAAAACAAGATTAAGAAAAAAAAACGAATAAAAGAGAAACATAAAAAACAGATTTTTTTTTTAATAAAAACACACTATCCACACTACATTTTTACTTAAGAAAGAAATAGCCTGCGCTAATTAATCACAAACATGCTTGTCGTCTAATAATAATTAGTCAATGTAATAAGTTCGTTGGTCATGCCGGCTGGAGGCTCCACGAGCTGGCTTTGCTGTCGAGTGGGCAGGGCGGTAGCATGGGACCCTTTCCTTCCGACTAACGCAGGTCCTTTCCAGGCACGGCTGCTTCGGGAAGTACTTGCACTCGGTCGCTAGGAGGGAATTGAGTCCCGCCTGTCACCACTGCAATTGCAGTGAGGACTCGGCTTAGCACACGCTGGCAATCTGCTCGGCTTGTGCATCGCAGCGTCGGGTCCTCACTGCAGTCATCGGAGGAGATCTCTCGCTAACGGCCGTCATACCTCCATGGCCGGTAGTGATAGTTGTTTTACCGCGGTCGCAACCTTCTGCGAAGTCGTCATCTCGCAGAATTAGGCGGCGCAGAGGGCCCGGGAGGATGATCTCCACTCGGACTGGCGGCGGCGACGCTTAACAGAGCCTCATGCCGCCCTGAGTGTGGTCCTTGTGGACGGGATGGGTTTTCCCCTCTTATCCACCATAACGGCCAGCCGCAAGGAGGCGACGTTCGCGTGTGCCGAGGGGGTTTCCACATGTCAAAAAAAAGGGTTAAGGCGACGACAGCTAGGTCGTTGTGAACATAATTGGAAGACTACGAGAACGTTTGGAGGCAAAAATAAACAGAGAGACCGATAGAGAGAAATCGATCACGCACAATGGAAGAGAACGGATTTACCTAGTATAATTTTTGAAGGAAAGAATTTAGTCATACATAATAATAATAGGTCTGGTCTGGTGGTCACATCTGCAACCAGCTTTGGTCAATCGGTCGTCCCCACTGCTCCTTCACGACAACGCGCGACCCCATACTGCGCAACAGACAGTCTCCAAGCTGCAAGAGCTGGGGTTGGAAGCTCTCCCTCATCCGCCATACTCACCAGACCTTGCACCTACCGACTATTACTTTTTCCAAAATTTAGACAACTTTTTAGTGGGTAAAAAATTCAATACCCGAGAGGCAGTACAAAATGCCTTTGAAGAGTTTTTTGCCTCCCGTCCAGCTGATTTTTACAAGAAGGGCATCAATAAACTGCCAATGCGTTGGCAAAGATGCGTCGATTGCATGGGTGATCACTTCAAATAACAGAAATAAAAAAGTTTGAAAAAATAAGTACTTTCACTTATTGCATACAAAACGGCAATTTCATAGGTAAAGACCTAATATAATGTAATTAGATTAAGAAAGCTAATCTTTTTTTATTATAGAGTCATATATTTTCTGTTAGATAGACATTTGAATCCTTATATCTAAATCCTTTTAACCAGTCTTATCTATGTTATTATGGCCATACAATTTTTTTATTGTAATTATAATATTGAAGAGTTTGTTTGGTTGAACGTGCTAAGGACCTGGACTGGACTACGGACTGGTTCGAAAAAAAAAACCTTTTAGTATTATAGAGACCGTTAATCGAGTAAGGCTATATAGCATCACGCTATAGGCAATAGAAGTATAGCATCAATGAAAAATGTTGGAATAACAAATAAAAATGCCTTTTGAGAGCTTCCGTTTCGTGCGTATGTACACGAATGACGGAATATTCCTCTTAAAAATACCCAAATAAGGGCCGCGACATTAGCTATTTCACTAAATTTACAGTTAATCTTAGTGCGCGTAAGTTAGTGGATCAGGTAACGAATCTAAACGTGTAAGCCTTAGTGATAAGCAGTGATGGTTCAACCGCGGTTAAAACTATAGATAGTAATAACCCTTGACATGAATTATTGTGTGTATTTTATGATGTAACAAAACCGGTTTGCTATAAGGAACAACCTAAACACTGTGTGTTACATTACATTGAAACTTCGGGAGCACCAGTGTATACTAAGGCAAGGCAATTACCTCCCGATCGGTACGCGAGAGTCAAGAAAGAGTTCAGGTTAACAACCGAGCTTTGTATTTGCAGACCTTCAGAAAGCGTATGGACCAGCCCCCTGCATGTTATGCCAAAAAAGAATTGTGAGACGACCTTGTTTACTACAGGCGTCTTAATGCATTTACCAAGTACCTACGATCGATACCCAATACCACACTTGAGGGATTTTTCGTTTTTACTCGCAGGAAAAAAGGTACTCTCGCGAGTACTCTCTCGTTGGTCTGAAGGGTCGGTTTGTCTGAAGGGATAAATTCTCATTAAGAACATTTGAAAGCCATTTTCTCAAGGCTAAACGCACCAAAAGCGGCAGAATCGTAAGAAAACCTATTCGTGGTTCGTGGATTAATAAACAGTACATTATAAAAAGTTTCACATATATAAATTACGTCACCGTCAACCACGAGGCAAAGTATGTTTATTTTAGTTTTTTGTACGAAGTTGCCTGTCAGCAGTCTCGCTCGGGCCAGCCGATATTATGTTACGAGTACAATTATTTAATTATGGATTCCATAATCTTAGAGAAAACAGGAGTTAATGGAGTTATAGTTGGACGGGTCAAAGCGGTCACCTTTTATAGGGATCGGGTGCACAAATGCTACCTTCCAGGAGTTCGTGATGACGCCTTGGGAGTAGGAGAATC